CCGTGGCAGTGGCAGAGTGTCTCCAATATGCAACGCGCCTCCCCTGGGCTAGGCCTTTCTTTCGCATGCGCACGCTCGTGTCCCACCTGAGGCAGGCCGGGGAGACGAAGGTCTCTTGCCTCGTAAAGCCCGACCTTTTTCACCGCAAGAGCCTCTCGAAAGTTGTGGACAAACGAGGAACCCGCAATTCTGCGTTCGCTCTGCGTCCTGCTGAGGAAGCGACTGGATTCGCGGCTGTATCCCCCACAGAGGAGCTCCCGACCATCGCCACTAATCCATTGGTGGCTGTGGAAGAGGCATCTCCGGCATTTGCAAACTCTGGGCCGTCAACAGGTGTGGACGAGCAGCACTCGGATTCTTTCTTTGCCTTGCTTTCTGCCCCGATCTCCCCTATGTGTGAACACGCAAGCTGCCCCCTCCAAGCCTACACGGTGTCCGCACGTAGGACGACTGGATGTGGATCTAACACCCCCTGTGATTTGTTTAGTGGCCTCGCAGGCGGGGCATCGGCTGGCGCTGCAATTCTTCAAAGTAGGTCTGGGCCTCGTGCCTTCTCCAGAAACCCGGAAACGGAGGCTGGCCCCTCTTCGCCAGCCCAGTCGAATTCCTCGTCGCGTAACAGCTCTACCCTTGAGGCTTCCATGCCTTCTCCACATACTTCCCCCACTCGGCCCTCGCACGGAGGGGTTTCCACCATAGCGGGAAAGGCCCCTGACACTTCACGCCGTTCAAGCCGATTTCTAGGGAAGAGCGAAGTACACGTCGGACATAAACTCGTGCAAGGCAGGCCTGCTGAGAGCCAATTGGTTTTGGATGCCAGCAAAACTGCAGGGCTGCAACCCACACTTTCTCGGGTTCACTTTGAAACGGTGAGGCGTTCCGGGGGAGCCACCACGTCTGCGTGCTTACTGGGTGCTTGCGTGCATGTGCCTCCACGTAATCGTGGATCGCTTCAGGATGGTCTGCTGTTGCCTCGACCCAGTCGTAAGAGGCTTTTGGCCGATTCGTTCCCCGTGGATTTCCTGAGACGCGGAGTGACTGTACCTTGTCCATGAGTGCAGGAGGCGGAGCCCGCGGTGCCACTGATCTGTAGTGATATCCTAAGCGAACCAGAAGGGCCCCAAGAGGAAGCAGCAGGCACGTTTCTCCTCCGCTTTCTGTCTTGTATCCTTTTCTCTCTCTCTCTCTCTCGTTTGCTCATAGAGCCTCTTTGCCTGTGCAGGCGGCAAGTGGTAGCCTGTTTTTGCGCCTACAGAGACGTTGCCTCACAAGGATGCATTTGCTCCCTTCCGGAGTCAGTGTTCCTTAGGCAGAGACAAAACCAATTGTTAATTGCAAAGCCAAAAACCCGCTCCCATATCGAAAAGATCCGTTCATACACAGCAGGATCTAACGTTGTTTCTCTGTCTCATGCTCGCAGCCTTTCACGTGGAACGTCAGGGCTCTATCCTTTCTGAAGAGACATTCGATGATCTGGCCCATGCAGACACGAGCAAGGTTTGTGCCTTCGTGCAGTTTTGCAGCCGTAGTGTTGCTCATTCGCTTAATCCAGAGGGACCATTCTGCTTTTGTGGACGGGGTCCTCTCGAGAACACGATTGACCCCCTCAAGCTGACAACCCTCAACAGGCCTTCGGTCACCCGCTGCCTCATCTCTTACTAACGGCAGTCTGCACATCATGGACCGTTGCCTACTTGTATATGTGTATATACATCTACTGGTTTTTTGCTCCGTCTTATCCCGCACGTTTGTCCCGTAGCTTACAACGGACAGCGTATTCTCTGTTGCATGGGCTTTCCCTTCCGTTCTTATTTGCCCCTCCTCCACAGTGGCCCTCAGCTGCTCTTTACATCGTCCCTCAGCATTTATGTGTCGCATGAAGCAGCAGTGTGCTCTCTTAGTCTGGTACATATCCACTCTTGGTCGCCATCCTCGCTCTGTGCATCTTCCTGTTTCCGGCACTCGACCTGGTCTCTTTATAGCAGTGTGGAGTCCCAAAGCCATTGTGTACCGCCGCTTCCCTGTGTATGTGCTTTCTTGTCATGAGTATTCTGACTAATGCTTCTTTTGGAGTGCTTTTTCCTGCTGCAGCTGTTTGTGAGCTCCGCTGCGGAGGCCTACGAACGGAGCTTTGTGGATGCCACGAAGCCGCTGATTCTGGTTTGCGGTTGGCCCAAGTTCCTCTCTCGTCTCCTCAAGAAACTTTCACTGGGCAGCGGCAACAACGTCATAGTGCTCGCTGCAGAGGTAATGCTGACTTTCGTCCTTGTTCATCTTGTTCGCTGCAGTAGTATTCCGTTTTTGTCTGCCTTTTACTGCTATACCCCAAGTTTTTCTGCCCCTCTATCGGTACTTTCCGCTGATGTATTTTTCCCTAATCGATTGTATCAAGCCTCCTCAATTAGTAGCCTCTGAGTTCCAGGATTGTAGTACGCAAAGGGCGACCTGTATTAGGGGGCCTCAATCTCATGCAACCGTATAGTCGGCCTTATCTGATTGCTTGCAGACGCCTCCCCCGTGGTCTGACTTGAAGATGCTGTTGCCTTATGCCTCATTCACGGCGATTATTAATGGCCAGCCACTTAATGAGGTCGATCTGATGCAGTGGGTTCTTGCACACCGTTTTAATCGTGGGCACTATGCCTTCCGAAGGCCTACCTGTCAGCCTTCTGCAACCAGTCACACCTATGGTAGGCACTTCTGTTCATTGTCTTACTCCGAGAACTCAGAGGCCTAGTGGCTGTTTCTAGAGGTATGTGCTGCAGTTCAGGGCTGTTGGAGGCCCGATGTATATATATCTTCCCATTAGCTCTAGATGGCACCGTCTACGAGGGGACGCCCACCATACAGCAGCACAATGACAGAAACGCTATCCTGGTGTATCTGCAGATTCGTCATCTTCTGCTTCATGTAGGTCATAATCCGCCTATTCCCAAAGCCTAAAATCCAAACCCTGGTTGCCAAACCACAGACTGTCGGCAAAACACGGTGTATGTTTGCAAGCCTCATGCGCTCAAGCAACTGTGGGCGATGTCCCTAATCTCAGAAAATGGAAGTGCTGCAATCTTCTGGGGCTCGAATTAGCGATGGTTCGCCAAACGTTGGCAACGGTGCCTTGAAGTCCATCAATGCCTTTGGCTTCTCCGGTAGTTTCTCGTCCAAGGGGCGGTGTAATGTGTCAGCGCGCCTCGAACCTCACCCTCTCCGTTGCAAACCCCCTGGACCGGCTCCTTCGAGCGCTGGGCCCTCTCCTCCCCGCAAGAGCTTTTGGAGGCGGCGGGGGGCTGCATTCCGCCTCCAAAGGGGTCCAGTCAAAAGGAACAGCAGAGATGGTCCTTTCAAATTCAAAAAACCCTTCCTTTTCCGACGATTTGTTGGGGAGGAGCTTGTTATCATTGAGCTACAAGACCATGACAACTGGCGCTTCATTACTGATGCAGAATGGTACCCTTGAGGCGCGCGGTCGAATTGAAACTTGACGCGTGTGCGGGATGTTCAGAATGAGGGAGATGGTTCACAGGCTAGTTCCCGCCGATAGTTCGCCTCCAAAGATGCTCCAAAAGATGTTCAACTGGCGTTTCCCTTGACTTTTGTATTGATTGTGTTTGCTATTCGGGTTGCTGTCACTGCGCAGGATCGAAAAGGACTTGCGGCAAGCCCCCTGTTATTCTACTGCCTCTTATCTTCACTCCACGGCCTACATGAACGGCAGTTTCTTCTGCGACCGCATGCTCTACAGCGTCATCACGCAGAACCCTACCCTTTCTGAATTTTCAGTCCCTCCCCAGTTGCTTGTCGAGCTCGTTGGGAACTCAATTGTCACCTCCGCTGTATGTAGAGCGAATCGAATACGGGAAACTTGCCCTATGGTTTAGGACCTTGTCCCCCTCCCCCAGCGTATGCCTGCTAGAGTGTAGGAGCCTGGAGTCTATTCGGTACTGTGTGATAATTGTTTCCTCACTATGAAGGACATGTAGGGGGTATTGTACTTTCGCCTTGTTGTGAATTGGCCACAGCCTTCTTGTCTACGAGTGTCTTCCCTAGTACTCGTATAGGCGTCCCTAGGGAGTTCTGTCAACATGTGCGTATGGGTTGCTTTGCTCATTCTGGTGTGTTGTGCAGCGTGGATTGCAGCTGGAGGATGTACCTGACTATGCATTCGAGGAGGATGGGACATTTGGTCGCCTATTTGAAACGATGCTCTTGCGCGACAAGATACCGATAGCGCTGTACCGACAGTGAGCTGGCACCGGTATGGGGCCCCTTCAATGTGCAGGCGGCCGTAATTAGCCCTCTTATTAGGGTATAGAATTGCATGTCAGTTAGACGATATATACCTCTGAACGTTTGACTGCACGGTCTCTAATCTACGGCGAGGCCCCAATGAACCAGGGATAGGAGCAGCCTCCTACTCCTGTCGCTATTGTGGGTATTTCTGTCTCTTGTGGTGCGTGTCTCCTCAAGAGGTTTGGGGTCCCTAGAACACTACGTTGTCACATGCCCCCATAGGGAATGCCTGCTGAAACGGACAGATAGGGTGTACATACTCCACCCCGGAACAGAGAGGATGAGTCTGACTGCAGATAGGGTGGTTAAGCGTATAAACGCGCACCTCGCCAAAAGCCTTCAATCCAAATCAAAATCCTCCTCTTCTCATCAACCAAGCAATTGATCCATCTTTACCATATTTCTCAGCAGCTAGAGCTTCCTAAACGTTTTTTTCCGAATAACATTTTGGGGGATGCTTTGAAGCATCAACTTTTGCGTTCCTTCAGGGTCGTCCATGATGGGTGAGAAGATTGTACGCATGTAAACGTTGCGGTTTAGCTCGCTCACCTGTCAACTGCCCACTCATAGGGGCAGCAGGCAAGGGAATAGATAGGCTTCGGTTTTCTCCCAGAGGCTGCCGCTGCTGCAACGGCGAACGCGGATGCGGTGCCACTATATAAGGCTCTCACGGGTGTCCACATCTTCACATATTCATACCGCCAGTCTTCCTTCTAAAGCTTTGCGTTTCCAGTGGTAAGGGGCTTAATTTCCAGTGTGCCTCTGAGAACAACTGTGCCCTTGTTGGAGAGATCTAGAACTTGAAAGACGACAGTAGAAGTGTTTACGCCCCACATGCACACGCGGAGGCGGTCCCCTGGGGTAGTGGGCGCCGTGAAGCGACAGGATATACTTGCCACACGAGCGGGGTCTCCATCTAAGCATTCTTTAATGATATCTGCAGGAAGTACACAAAGACCCCACTAGATATTGTCTCACGGTTGCTAAGAACTAAGGGCTTACGATTCAATGCTCAGGGCAGGCATGCACGCGCAGCACTCTTATTTCTGTTGCAGGACATGGGGGTCTGTAAGTGTCCTGAACCCTTTGGTGTACTTCATGACCCTTCAGCACTTAATGTGGAATGTGGGACATAGAGGCCACGAGATTCTTTCCCTCCAAAACTCTGATGAGAGCGCTTACGCCTTGTAGCTATTCCCAAAGTGCATAGCCCATGGAGTATAGGCCTCGAGAAGCCACCCATCTTTGCAAGGCCCGAATCCACCTGAGAGACTCAAGAGAAAACAAGTGCGCTACATTGTCTCCCTTTGTGGGTAGGCATACGGCACGACACGCGGAAGGAAAAGTATATCCTGGGGGGCCTTTCAGGAAGCCCTGTCCTCCACAGGCCACCGGGTTTTGGCGTGTCAGTGTCTCATTGCACAGATTACAAAGGTTACAAGAATTATATATCTAGCAGAAATGGGAAAGGGCATAAAGAGGCCCCAAAGCTCGGAGCGCCCCCTTACATGCAGCGGGTTGTAGTCCCCTGAGAGTCGGTATACAAGAGCCAAGTTGGGCTGGGTCAGGATCTCAGCAATCTTCTCAGGCGCTCCCATCGGGGATTGAAAGGTAGCTATAGAGGCTCCAGAGGATGATGGTCCTTCGCCAAAGTTACCTGGGAAACGCACAACCAACGCTCGCCAGGGGCCTTCTGCGGAGGTGTAATTCCTGCTTACTAAGTTGAGTTTTAGCTCCTGAGAGTGTTGGATCCGCGAATGGAGCACGTTTATGCATTTCTGTTTCAAAGAGTCTCTCTGGATCAGCCCCTAGCTCACCGATGCCTCTAATGAAGAGCTGGAAATCGTTAACACAAAGTAGGTCACCCCCGCAAAATGCTTCCACGCGGACGGCTACCAGGGCCCCCGACTGAGGCATTCCCACAACTACAAAACAGTGTGCTCACCGTCTATACCACCAGGAATGGCCTACAGAGCACTAGAGTTCGGGTGGGCTGAATGCCATGCGCATGACCAAAAGACGAAAGTGACTCTGCTAACACCACGCCAACGCGCTCCTGGGAGGCGACTGCTAACCCTATGAACCGAATCTTTACACAGTAAAAAATTGGCCTCACTCACCCGTTTATCGAGAACATCCTGAATCGCGGCACGACATCTCACTCTAATATCTGCTTGCAGAGGCTGGAATAGGGTCAACTTGTGCTCGCCGTGGAGCAGACGCATCGGGTTGAAGTCGGGAAGCCCTGGAAGCAAAAACCCCCATATAAGGTCCAAAGCTTGTGACATGGAAAGCGTAACCCTCCTCTGTAGGCCACATGACGACTCTAGGAAAAGCTCGTACCTAACATGTCAAGATTCAAGGTGCAGCGATCTGAGGCCCACAGAAAAGCCACTCCTCTTGTTTGACAGGATATGGTGCCATCATGTCAAACTAGTATTTTGCCTTTGCAAAACCCCAAGTGCCCTGTGTAGTGACAGTACGAAGAAAGAGGCACAACAAGAATGTCAGAGAGGTGGGTTGAGCCGTACAAACAACTGACCAGGGCATTTGTCGAGGCCTTCAAAGATAGCAGCCACAGACATAAACGTCGTGGCGAATGTTGGTAATACAGAAAAACCTAGAGAGCTCCCCTCATAGCAGTAACGGAGGTCTTTTTCGTCGAGAGGGTCCTGTGTCATCAAGTATGAGCAACTTACGAAGGTATTCACATGGGAGAGGTACGGCAGGGGCGGAAGAAATGAGATGAAAGTACACCACGAAACCGAGGGTGTGACATGGGAGGTCTTACAACGTCGCAACAGATATAAACTGTCCCAATGGTTGCTAGGGCCCTGAGTAAAGAGTAAGAAACAGGGAAAGGAGCCAATTCTGAAAAAGCTGCACTCTGTCAGAGGAGCGGCCTCCCCGGGCACCAAATGTACCTGACATGCAGCAGTCCCTAGAGCGTAAAGGATGCAATCGCGGGTGGTGACGTCCCTTTCCTCCTCCGCCAACACAAACCCCCGACACAAATCGGGGATTACCTGCACAAAGACAGAAGGACACAACCCATGAGCACAGGCAAACAGTGTGGACAGGTAAATGGGCGTCCGTCAATAAAACCAGGTATGACAATATTCCTAAGATGATGATCTCCCCTTTTCCACCTGTTTTGAGGTGGGATGACCCCGCGCAGACAAGCGCCCAACACCCTAAAACTAGTGGTCAGAGCTGCCAATGAGTAGCTACGAGGAAACAGGGTAGGGGGCTTCGTCGGAGAAACTCATGGCAAAGACAGAGATAAAACAGGATTTAGAAAAGAGGCTGAGAGAAGAGAGCTGGTACGGCATGGTGTTGATGCCGCTAACAATGCACGCGGTGTGCTGCAGGAGTATCCCATTGCTTATCAAATACACTTCTGCTATCGTGTCCTGAGTTCATAGCCCTATGGCGGCACAAAGGGAGCCTGGTCCAGGACAGAATTGAAACATAGAGAAAAGGAAGCTGCAATTAGAGTCGAAGCTTGTCAGTAGGTGCTCGCCTTCTTTGGCTTCCCCATAAGACTCGAGGTGACCCTCTGCTGCCCCCTTTGTCTGCAAGGTATGGGACGGAAAAGGGGCTTAAATTATTATGACGCACACAAAGTAGACGAATGATACCCTAACAAGGAAGATATTGTGTCTGCTATCTGGCTTCAAAAGCCCCAGGAGCAGTAGACCAGGGTCGTTCCGAGATTCCACATACCGCCACATTTACATATGCATACACACAGTTAAATGCAGCCCCAGGCTGCTCCATTATTTTTGTATCCAGATGTAAAAGCCAATTACACCTGTCCAATACAAATCTATTTGCTTGCCTCCTCTACCCGCATTGCTCGGTTCCGGGGGAGGGGCACCAAAGAAACAAATCTTCAGGGGAGTAGACCCTCTAAACGTTAACACACAATACGGCATCAAAGCAGAGCAAAGACAAAAAAAATCACAGATCCATAGTGAAGATAAGGAAGCTCTGTAAATTAATTAAAACAGGACGGAAGGAGCTTGGTCTTCTCGATCTTGAAATACCAGAGGCGCAGAGTGCTCTTTACATACGTGCTCCTTTGCCAGAGAAGAGGTAGAGGCTCAGGCCTCTGAGTTGCTAGGAGAGTTCGTTATTTATATCATTACTGCACATACGGAGTCTAGTGATCACGCAGCTTTGTTGCCTTTTGATGCATCTAAATTTGTCTCTTGTTTCAGGCCTCTCTACGGCGATCGAGATAGATGTTCTTCAAGCCGGGACACAAATGAACGCTTTAAGTCACTAACATGCCTCTCGTGTGGCTATCAAGTGAGTTATGAGCAGCGAGAAACGGGGGAGCCTACAGACTAACTATCCTCACCAGCTAGGACACCCAGAAGGGCACGCTGATTGCTTCCCTCCTATATCCGTCTTGTTCACTGTGTTCTTCCCTGGCAAGCACATACAAATACTAATTGAAAGAGCTAGACCTAGCAACATCACCGTTGGTGCAAATGAGATCCTCATGCGCTACACTTTGCAGTTAGGTAGTTGTACCCTTCCGCAGCCCCAACACAAAAAATAGTGGATAGTTAGTGAGTGGTTTCTCAAAATAGTTCCCTCGTTCCCCTGCCCCCGGCTCTGCGAGCTCTGTCATGAGGGGAGAGGGACGGCTAGGGAGGGTGTAGTTGCATTCTCTAAGCACTCCGGTCATTCTCAGCTATTTGTGAGTGGCATCTAGCGCACACTCGCACAACATCGATCTTTATTGTATTAAGTTGATAATACTCCGCCATACATGATAGATGCGAGTAGGCAATCAACTACTTAACTCTTTAATAATTTATTAGTGAATATAACGTGTAGCTTAGCCCACCACGCTTACCGCATAAAAGCCGAAGTACGACAACAATAAAAAATAGACAAACAACCCCAAAAGCATTTATTTTTGTTGCAAGTGGGTAGTCCTGAAGTAATATGCCTGCATCGCGAAAGTATTCATCATATGATGCATTCAGATTCCAGCAAAGGGAGTAGGAGCCCCTTTTTTTCAACTACATGAATAGGGAAACACGAAACGTTCTGCGTCGTAAGGCCAGTTAGGATGCAGGCATCCCGTAGCGTCACCATGAGACTTTGAAATGCCCTTAAGGTAGTCTGGGAGTAAATTTTCTTTCTACAATGCGGTTAAGGACTCATACAGCTCTTATTAGTAATTGAGCCTTGTTGAAGCCCAGATGAAATTATATGGGGCAACAAACACAGCAGCATGCCTCTTACAAATACAGGAAAGTTTTGAAACCTCCTGAAAGGGTCACGAAATTATACCTTGCAAGGAACAGCTGACTGCGTAAGTGTCACCGCAGACGCAGCAGGCATGTTAATTCACATATGTTCATTCTTCTAATAACAAATGCATTCATAAACCATAATAATCATACCACTGTCCTAGAAAACTTCTCACTGTTGCTCTATGTTAGCATCTACATCTGGCTGCGTTCGGAGACCCTATGAGTGTAGGCCATCAGGGAAGACAACTAAGAAGGTCATGGCAGCTGCACTTCCAGCACGTAGTAATATGGGGAAGAAAGTAGCACATTACTTTCGCCCGTGCTAAAGCCTGGTTGAATGGTAGTGTACTAAAATCCACAGTTTTTAAAAAAGCGCACGATAAAGGGACGTCCAAAAGAGGTGTGTGGCTGCCTGCTTCCCAGATATCTACGGCAATCGCTGCATAGCGTGTGGCTCAGTCCATTACAAAACAAATTGTTCCCTCCTATTACTAACCAGACTCTGCTGATTGTAATCTGAGCATATTTGACGGAAGTTCCCTTAGTCTGCACGGTTCCCTACTTGTTTGCCTTCCCCTTACCTGAACTTTTCTCTTCTGAATGGTCCACGCTAGCTGCTTTTTTTGTCTTTCGTACTGCTTCATTATGCTTCCGGCTGTTAGATAGATGGCACGTAAAGAACGCTGAAGAAGAGCCTGCACAGTGCAATATCAAAATTAGCACATCCATTGCAGAGAGCAGCAGCCTTCTCACTCGAATCCTCTAGATAAGTTAACCTTCAAGCACAGTTTTGTGGCCTTCTTCGAATCATTTTAGGATATTGTGAACGTTGTCTGTGCGCCCCATGGGAGCTCATGCGACTCCTCCGCCACCTGCATTGACTTAGTAATATTCATAGGCCTACATGCAAGGCTTTTTGCGGGGGCCCTACTGCGTACTGATATTTTCAATGCTTAAATACTGTTTTACCCTACCTCTGGACGGTCGTGGTGAAAAGCAAGACTATGACTCTACGAATCGGGCTTTGAACAGTTCTGTGTCGGTCCTTTTGTACAAAGTAAAAGGGTGCTTTCAAATATCGTACCTGCACCTCTGGTTGCTGGGATCTACAAAGAGTGAAATGACCACTGCCTTACTTCAGCTGCTGAAGGGCAAGCATAGCTCACCGCTGCGCATTCTTCTTCGTTTTTTCCGCCTTTCATCACGTGCTGAACCACCCCCTTGAGACCCGCTATTTTAATTTCGCTAAATCTCCTGGGTCGTTTGATGGAGGGCTGGCAGCAACTAAAAGGCCAAAAGTGGAATCTCTACTTCCAAATTCACAAAGTTTGCGTTTACAGTCAATTGAAACATACGAGGACGCTGGAATCGTCCATTAGGCGAGGCTAGAAAGAATTAAACCTTTACAATCTTACTTGGCGGATGAATAAGGTCAGGAAATAGGACATGCAGCGAACCGATAAGCTCACAACAAGCCAATGCAGATATGAGTGCAAGATAAAATGGACGCTGTGGTCTGCAAGGTGCATAAGGTGTTTACTCTAGGGCATTGACTTACAAACAAAGGACCCCACCCTTTTCTGTGCAATTTTTGTGGATTTATATGCATGGACTAGGCTTCAAATTTGCGGCAAGATTGACTTCGTTGGATCACGCGAAAAACCAATAAATTTTGCTGTCGGAAGACCTATGGATCCTTAATTTCTTATGGGATTCGCTGCTTCTGTGTGCCTTTACGCATCTTATGACAAATAAAGGAGCTACAGATTGTCTGACAAGGTTCTACGGCGCTTTCAGGTGGTGTGAGTGATGTGGCTTCATCTTCTGTCGCTTCTATCCTATCCGGGCTGTTCAGAACGGCTTTCCTGCGTCCTAGGTAGGGCATATGGCCAGTCGAACTACCATGATATAACTTAAAACACATGCAGTAGCTAACCAGTTGTCTCTTAAGGTGACAACAACCAAAAACAGACACACAATAGACTTGTATCTATTTCAGGACAGCCCAAATGCCTCTGTACCGCAGACATTGCTGTCTCTCTACATGAAACACACATGTTTCCACACAGCGAAGACCATGTGCTGCTCTACAGGCAGCACATAAGTTATCGGTAGAAGAGACTTGGATTTCTTGCTGAGGCTTCCAATGTCTCGAAGAGGGACTCCCTCACCCCCCCCCCCAAAAGAAGGGTCAATGCTCGTTACCTTTCCTTGTACCCCGCGCTTGCGTAAAACACATAAAAATGTCAGGGCGAGACAACATAAGCAGGAGAAGCCACTGTAGTTCATCATATACTGCAAAAAATAAGATGGGGTCAGCCACAGTGAAACAGCCAATACTGGAGACAACAAAGTGCAAACAACAAAACACAACACGGTCAGGCGCTTCATATCTTTTCTACCCACTTGTTCTCCCTAAGGCGTCAGAGAGGACCTTACGAACGCCATCGGAGAGAGATCGATCTTCGAGTAAGCGGGAGATTTGCTTCTGCATCAACAACTGTCTGCGTGCATCCATGTCACGCCATCCAAAGAACAGCTTCGCCCCGTTTAATGCTTGGAGGCTGTGCAACCGATCAAGCTGCACGCATACAGAGCAACCGCACAAAGCAACAGCAAACGGATGAAGCCGAGTAAAATGTTCCACCTAAGAAGAATTCCAACAAGGTACGCGGAACGGGGGCACGCGAAGGAACACACTTGGACCACTTTAAGATTCGGGCAAGGCAGACTACGAAAACCCATGCTTGCAACAAGAAGGAACAAACGTAAGACAGAGACATTCTAAGCGATTCCGTCTTAAACCGAGTGCAGTAATACACACCAAGACTGACAAGTGTAAACCTTTTCCCCTTTTCCTGCTTACTTCCACTATAGCATCTGCCAAGAGTTTGTAGCCCTCTCCATCTGTACGATGGAAGTGCACGTCATTCGTGTGCACGAAATCAAACAGAAGAGACCGGACATTGCTTGGGTTGGAGAAGGAGAACTCGCGGTGCTGCTGCAGCTGCCGCATTCTCTCCACTTGATCAGGCAGGTCGGCACTCGCCTGCACGCTGAACCAACTGTTTACTAGGCGCTGGTTACCTAAGAGTAAAAATAAAGAGACCGACACAGGCTGTTGTACTGACGGAAAGCATCCTATGTACAACAATATCCCACAGAAGGGAGGGTAAGAGTAGACAACAGAGGGGTATACACTACAAGAAGGAGAGGTTGCAGGTGCTGTGGGGGCTGGAAGTTTTCTGAGCAAACTAGTAAGCCAGCTTGTCAGAGAAAGATGACAAGTAAGATAGCTGGGCGCTGGTAGACGACTCTTCTACGATGGCTACACGCAAAATTGTATGAGTAACTATGTGGAGGTCGAGAACATGAAGAACAAACAGAAAAAATCTAGAGGGGCGAGAGAGCATGCTGCTCACCCTTGGCTTCCATATAAAAACGATCCAACGCCTTTTGTCTCAAAGGATGCTCCATGCCGGAGAGTGCTATAAGTGCGTGGTACTTGTCTGTCATGCACTGCGCATGAAAGAAGTATTTATAGGCCCTTTCTGCTGCCTCGCTATCTCTTGTCTCGGACAAATAGAACAACAAAGCGTTCTGCAGACGACGCCTGGACAGCTCCTCCCTGTCATGACAGTTAGCTCCAGGTGCAGAGGTATACACCTCGTCAAAAAGAAAAACCAGTTCTTCCATCAAAGCAGCCCGGACTTCGCGGATAACGGAGCGACGGGCAAAATGCAGTGCATCGGGGTCCAAAGGGCGAAATTTCCTGGACAAATCCCTGACTTTGGGAACCATCAATGTGAGAGCCTGCAATCGCACAAAACAGAGGAATACGCCCTAATTGACAAATGCAGAAGGACGAATAGAACAATGCCCAAAATTCGTAGGTAAGTACAGATACACCGAATATACTTGCATTGGTAGAGATAAATCTACTACACAAAGTCAGAAGTAGATGCCGTTGTCCGCGCGAATACACTTGCTATCAACATGGAATACAAGCAAGTATACACATCTTTTCACGTACATATTAGAACAACAGAGAGGTGCACGCACACAAGCAAATATGTGTTCAAGAATGAACACAGATACGCATGCACATTCACCCTCCAAGGCCTTGTGAGCTATAGATGGGCAGTCGCATTTGTAGATTCTGTGCAGTTGCCGATGCTAAGCAAGGGTATTGCTCCAAGCCTACGCGTAGGACTTGCTCAAAAACATGCAAGCAAATGAGGACAGCCGCTCTTTGTTTGCTGTTTTCGAATGGACACCTTCATGTATTAAAGAAGACACAGGGGCAGGAAAGCGGCTCGCCTTTATGGAACCCGCAGTAGTTTCGTCTCGTAGAACGGTTCTCAGTGCTTCTATGAAATGTACGGGAAGAGGAGCGAAAACTGCATTGGGGTTTTGTCGGGCAAGAACCGCGCGTGATAGAATGAAGGACACGAAAAGAACGTTTGCCGAGCGCCACTTGTTGACTGGATCGGTATCATAAGCAAGAAGAAAGGCTCTCTGCTCTTCCGACAGGGGTTCATAAAACTTCACGGGTGCAGCGAACTCGCGATGTACAGAGAGCACGCAGTCCTCCTCTACGTCCAACACCACCGTCGTCTTCTTTTCGCTCGTTAGTGCGAGAACCTGAAAATAATAGGAAGGCGAATGCAGGATATATTTCATGGATGTACCGCCCTAAATTCACCATAAGACAGTTCGGAATATACCAGAGCTCGAATCCAGCAATCGAGTCATGTGTGCTCAACAAAGAGGGTGCCGCATTGTGTACTTCCTTATCCACTGAGCTTGAAAGTAGATAAAACCACAAAGCAAGTGAGACACGGGTTCAAAAATAGCGGTCAAGAAGATAGCCTTGAGCCACATCTGACTTGGTGCATCTTGCCCACAGTCCAACTCGCCCTCCAAAGGAGGGAGAGACTCCATTCGCGCAGTAAGGCGGCCGGGTTAGCGGGGGCCTTGGAATTTAGAGCAGCGAAGACAGAGAGGCACTCAAAGGCGCACACAACAGATGAGCTTTGGTGCAAAAAAATACACGCGCAGCACTCGTTACCTATGCCGTACCATGGTGGGTGGGTCAAGGAGGTCCTTTTTGCTTATTTTACCGATGAGTCCAAACTTCATAGGTATCATCAGAGGAAGTTTGGTAGGCTGACTGCGGGTGGGGGGAGTATGCTGCGACAGGGTTAGTGTGAAGGTCTTGAAGTTTGGATTGTACGTCGCCTGCTCTACCCGCACCTCGGGTGTCCCCGCCTGAGCAAGCAGAAATATCCTCGAGACTCAAAATCCACGCATCTGGTTTCTTGCACCTCTTTCATCATGCGGTCTGGCAATTTCCAGCCTTCTCCCTGCCACCAACATGCCCAGCTCAGAGCAAATCAGAGATGAACAGGCACAAACCGAACTGCGATCCGGTAGCGCCTTCTGTCTTATGACGGTTGTTTTGTCTATCTACGGTCTCCCTGTCTCTCCTGTTTGCTTCTAACCTGAGAATACCAGCGGTTGAACTGCTTGAGGTCCAGACCGTTGGCGTCTTCCATGGCCTTTCGAAAGTCGTCTATCGTCACTGCCTCTCCGTCATGTCTCGCTAGATACAAAGAAAGACCGCGTCGAAACCCATCTTCCCCCAACAACGTTTGATACCTGAACCCCGCAAACAACTCGAGAGGCTGCGTCAACCTCCTGGCTTCATTAAAATCCTGAGACTCTACCTGACCGGCGTTCTCTCTCTGATAACTTTGAACCATCACTCTGGAGGCTTCTATGCCTGCCACTGTTCTCCTTCGTGTCCGATACTTTCTACACGCCGCCTAGCCAAACCTGCTCATCTCTATACAGGAGGAACTGATAAGGGGATTTTCCCAGGTGCCTAGATAAGTTAATCCTTACGCGCGCATGACCTCGGCAGCCTTCCAGTGTAAGGCCGGGCTGTAGAGCTCGTAAACGTCTCCATAGCTGTCGGGCCTCAGCGGCTTCGCCCTCGAACTTTGATCCAATCGAAAGATTTTCGAGAAAATGTAGCGCACACCGCTAACTCGACGGTCCCCTGGGGCAGCCATTGCTGCAGTGAAGAGAGATTCCCTTAACTTCGTCAAACCCTCGGTCAGGCTCAGCTGGAACCGGTCTCTGAAGAGACAATAGTAGACCATAAAGAAACGCGCTCATGCAAATACATTTGCACACGCCGAAGCCAGGCAATGCGAAAAATAATTTTGTCGCTGCGACCAACATATTGAACAAGGGCATACGCGTGGAGAGGATGACTGGAAGAGCAGGATAGCAGCCAGCGGAAAATCTAAAGAGGGACGAGATGTGCAGAAAGAGTTGAAGCGGAAATTTTAAGAGCCAAGACGCACCGCACTGCAACACGACTGCCTGCCCAGTTGCGGAAATATTCGTGTGCGACGGCGGACATGACTTTGTAGAGATCGGCGTCTGCGAAAAAAACAGCACCCCTTTCCCCCACTCTTCTCGGGCGCTTATTATCTGGCAAATAAAAGGCCAAGCGGGAAAACATACACGGTGGACTCCACCGCGTCCAATCCCGAAGATACGGAAAAAGAAAAAGAGGTGCGGGGGGCACGAAGTAACAGAGAATGCAGATGCATTACACAACAAGACACGGCTACAACACCTGTAGGATAGGGAAGCAAACACACCAAATTAATATGGAGCAACTGGAGGAATGAGCAAAACATGGAGAAGGAGTCAGCAACAAGGGGCAGAGAGCAGCAGGAGACCGTACCAGTGTTCGTTTTGGGGTCCACAAGCAGAGCGTCGCAGTCGAAGATAAAGAGCCCTTTGTTTGCCATTTGGCCCCCAAAGTCCTCAACGCAAACAACGCTTAATAGATCCAAGTCATATTCAATGTTAAAATTTTCCTCGTCCCACCGCATACTCTTCTTTAGAGATTCAAGGGCCCAGTTCAACTTCCACACATCCGCCAGCTTGCTATAGAATTGGAGGGTTACCAGACGGCCTCCCTGAAAAGACACAGAACAGAAACGGCCACACCCAGTGAGAAGTAGCCGCTGCAGAGCAGCCACAGTCGGGGAACCGAATGTTTGAAGAAACACAGCCACGAAGTCATATTCAAGAAAGAGAGATATGACAAGCGGGCCCAGAGAAGGGGGCGGTGCGGGTTGGGGCGGAGGCAGACATCGATGGGAATTGCAAGAGCTAAAAAGCCCACAAGAAATAAACTGATATACCTTGAGCGGTCAAGGCGGCAGAGCCTTCAGAACAAACTTGTACCCCACGAAAAGTGCTCCATTAAATCACGACTCAATGCATGCAATACTCAAGATGGCTTAAAGAAAGCTCGACAACCGGTCTCGAGAGTGTAGTGCCTCCACGGGTGCAGCTTTCGCAAAGGCTTCAAGGACATATTTGGACAAGTCTGCCCATCTGGCTTAAGTAATAACAAATTGACTGGAAACACGATGAAGGCAGCAACAGCAGTGACTGGCCTGTGTCATAATTCCAGCCTTCAAAGCCCCAAAGTTCCCTGCAACAATTCCAAAGTAGTCGCAAGGCTTGGGATGGGGATCGTCAAAGACCACGAAGTGCTTCCCAGGGGACCAGTCGATTGGGCCTTCCGCTACTTTATTTCCGTTGCTAAGAAGCACAGGGAACGTCTTCATGTCTGCCTCAAGCTGCACCTGTACATACACCGGCAAACCAGCATCGATATGAAGCAATATCGTAGCAATATACAAAAGCTGCTGATCTACAAGAAAATTTCCCTCTGCAGTAGTATACGCATTCCTTCATTAGCTCCTGTGTCCTCAAAGGTCTACTCCTCTTCTCTTTCACCCGCTGCACTCTCCCCTCATGCGCCTTTATGCTCTCTCCCACCTTCATAATCCCTCTCTGTGCAGCTCCCGCGCATGCCCCCCTCCCTCCGTCGTGCTCTTAGCTCTCTCAATATAGATACACAGATACATACATATGCATGTCATCCCTCTACCTCCCTGAAGGCAGCTTCTCCATCCCTCTATTTCTCCCTGCCCATCATGCACGCGTACGTAGAATCTGGCTAGGATGTCCGGTCTGTCCAAGAAAAAGGTGATCGCTCGAAATCCTTCAGGCTCGCACTGCGTAATGAGACTATGCTGTGAGATGAAGAGCCCCTTTCGCCACCGATTTTCCATCGGCTTCAGGGATACATCAATTAAGAGCTCGAACGGTGTATCTCCATCCCGTGGCAGGAGCTTCTGAGGGATTACCAACTGTCCTTCCTCCTGGCGAAGAGAAAAGCCATCAATTGGATCGGACAGCAACAACTTGCCGTTTAGAACCACCTGATCGAGTTCCAAGTCTTCCCCGTCCAACACGAGATCTTGGGGCGGTGCAGAAGGCGCACGGTGTAACACTAAGCGAGACAAGACCTGGCGAACCAAGACAGATAGGGATAGTGAGAAATTGAGACACTGCTGGAGTCCAGTGGGCCCGATACACAAATGCGTGCACAGGATGAGAAAGAGGCGGTCGGCTTTGCGGGAAACGATGCTTGGTTCAATGACAAACACAGACTACACGGGGTAGGCAGGCGATGAAGACGTGAATCTAGCTAGCTACACAAACTTCCGCCCAAGCTGTGTCCTTGTGCCTTCTACTTGAATGGCACCTTGCCATGTTTACACCCTCAGACACACATGGATTGAGGACTGTGCGTGCGTCGCTCCATGAAGAGAGCCCACCAAAATACACTCTCTGGTTCAATTGAAAAAGACGAAACCAGAAGCTGACTGTGCGGAGATAGGATACTTTTTGCATACTGGATGGGCGTACACCTCGTTGTCTCTATAATACTCGAGCTCACCTTGGTGTCGAAGAAATCAAGCTTTACGACTAGCTTCACAGAGTCCACCAGAAAGCTTGGGGGTGAGTAGCTCTCCCTAAAAACCTTAGAAGCATAGATATGATCCTCGTGGTGCTCGCGTAGTGGCAGCCCATTTCGCTCTTCCTCCCCTTCTTTCTCCTTCTGATCTAGAAGAATTTGGGGAGCTGACGCCTCGGCAAAGTCCAAATGTGGTAACTGCCACTGCAGAAGTTCTGCAGCTCGATCTACTGCTGCTGCATCCGTTGTGGGACTCTCCCGTCGCCACCTAGGGGGAGAAGAGGACAGCAGCTCCAGCAACAGGGACCCCTGCCCCCCGTTTCCAAGTGCATCATGAGGAGAGCTAGGCGTACTTCGCGCAAGAACCACTGCAGAAAACCAAGCGCATCGAGCAAAAATAGTCCTGACGCTGACGCCCACCTGTGAACAGCACTGTTTTCAATGATCGGTCTGGATTGATCGGCAAATTTCACGGCCTCCCCAGCAGCAAATTGATGGGTGTCGAGGAAGAGGAGCACTGGGAAAGGAAGCCTCTCCACACGTGACGAAGGTGTACAGCAGACCCCCCTGAATGGGGCCTCATTCAACTCCCCCTCAACCCTGCCCCCCCATTAACAAGGTCTTCCTTTTCATTAGATGAATTTCGGGTGTTAGCAGCGTATGTGATGGGATGCTAAGGCGTCCTTTAGGCTCTAGCATATCTGCCGTACCTGGGAAAAGGGGGCATGCCGAGCTCAGTAGTATGGGCAACAGTGCGATGCCGATAGCCGCACGGACGGCGATATTCATGGTGCAAACGTGCATGCTCTTAGCCCCATCCAATTTCGCATCATGCTTAGCCTGCCCTAACCAATAAGGGCAGTTCGTTGTGCGTCGAACTTGTACCCCTCGAGTCCCCCAATACCGCGCATTCGCCCGACTCACGTCTGTGGGAGCTCCTTTCTATTGTGCCCCCGTTAGTGAATGGGTATATTTTGTTAATTTAAGCCGGCCTCCATTGAAGGTGCTTCAGGAGTCTCTCCGCGCTGCGGGTCCCTTGGGCGATCCTTGGCTACTGTACTGGCATGGGAGCTGTCGGCACTCCTGAGTGTAGTGTTTGGCTCCCCGTGTATGTTTGTTACTCTTCACCAATTCTATGCTCCAACTGATTCTGAATTAAATGCTTGTTGCATTACTTCGTGGGTGCAATACCAACCTTTTTTAGTCAAACCATGGGCTTGAGGACTAAGGGCGATGACGTAGCGCGTATAGTGCACTCTGCCAGGGAAGCATTCCGTAGAAGGCATAGTACGATTCAGCAGACGGACACACAAAAAAGGATTCGTCATTGAGATAGAATGTTTCGCCGTCTTTATAATCTCTCAGGTGGTGAAGCTATTTAAATACTTCAACCACAATCTGCAATCCGTGTTAAGCGATCCCCAGCGGGCATAATGGACGAAGTTTACGGAGGAAACAGATACGCTTAACTCGTTTCCCGCTATACTAGTTGCATGGATCAATAGCTAATCAGTGATCAAGTGTATGTTTTGCACGTACTGATGTCATATTTTCGCGGAGTCAGGTCATTACTAAGCCGAGTAAAAACACTGAGTGCACCTGCACAATTACTCCACATGGCTGTGTGTGGATCCTAGGACTGCTCAAACAGTGCAGCGACTTGCATCCCGTTTCGCCCAACTCCTATTTGGCCAGGTCCACCAAACTTTTTGGGCAAGTAAATGAAAGGGCTATCAAAGGTCTTGGCACAGTGTCACCGAATTCATACTCAATACAAACATAAAACATAAGTGCGGAGTGCTTTTTACCAAAAATATCTCTCCTTGCTCCCCTTCTCGCGCCCCCGAAGCTTCCCACATGAGGACAGAGCGACAGCTAGGGTGCGTGTAGCTGCACCCTCCAGGCACTATGTGCTTCACAGCTACTTACACACAGTTTCCAACACACATGCGCACAGCACTGCCTCTTTTTGCATCGATTTGACAATGCTTTTCCCTAAATAAGAGGTGCGAACAGGCATAGCGATTAAGCTTTTCGTTACTAACGTATTTTAATCAAAAAAGGTACGAGAAAGTGCCAAACTGTGGCTTGGGCTGCTACACCAATTGGGAATTTAGCTAGGGCTGAACTTACAAAAGACATAGGAGAATGGTAACGATATTAATGCCTTTTCTTTAATCCCTCTGTGTTTGCGCATGATGTACGAGGAGTATTGCCTGGCGTATGTGCCTGAACTTGCACGCTAAGTAGCTCGACATTGAGCAGTTCCACTCAGATCTTTGGGGAGAGCTATTATACCATACCTGTAGTGAAAGCAAGGCTGTTTTTCTGAAAGCATCTTGCGGGAGCGAGAGGCAGTTGTCTTGTTTCCTGCAGATGAAAAGAGCCCCTCATCCTTTAGCTGGTTTGGATTTCCGATTCGTAGATTTACGAAGGACGGTGGAACGGTAGCTGACAAAACATATTTTCAATCCCCAGAGCTTCGTAGCGTAAAGCCAGCAAAACAATCATATATGTCTTTGGCACTCTGTATGCTGTTTTAAAAGGTGAGTTTACCCGACCATTTTGTGCTGCCTCCTACTTATGCATGGTACAACCTTTCAACATCCAATATTTTCTAGATTACATAGTCAGTACAACTCAGTCCCCAATATATATGCCGAGAGTGCTGTAACTTACAGCTTCAGGTTCTAATTTTATATCCAAAATGAGGTTGCGGAGATCAATTCTTGAATGTCAATTGGGTATGGTGTTGGAAATATCAGACAAGTCTATTACTAATCTAAAGTAAGTAAATAAAACTGATACAACTCAAAAATCCAAATTATGGCCTGGATTAAATTCATTAGTAGGTACCACAAAGAGAATGGTCGTTGTAGCCCTAAATATGCCACACCCTCTCTGTCCTCGGCACGGAGGTCCTATGCCCCAAACTCAAAACCAAATTTAGCAGAAAGTAACCAGGTAACCATTATAGGAAACCTCTCTTTCTTGCCCACCTTCCATAGAGCTGCAACAGTAGGATATGGAGGCAGAGGGGATGCAAGCTTTTATACCTACTTCCGTGCTTTCCAAGCCTTTGCACGGTGCACGCAGCAGGCAAGCGTACAGGTACTCTGCGTTCATTCTTATTGCAAGGGCTAACTATGGGTTGAAGCAAGTGGCAGAAGAGAGCAGCCGATTTAATTAGTGCGCTCGTATTTAATTCGAAGTCATATACTCTCAGTTTAACACGAAGAAATTACGCCCACACCCGGCAGCGGAGGTGCCGGAGGTATTGGAAGGCGACAGATAAGCATACATTGTACGGCATGAGCCTCCTCTATCCAGGCAATATGCTCCTGTTTTTGAAGTGGATACATATAGAGAGTATCGATCTGAGCACCTCGTGAAATAAAAGGTTGGTAATATGGTGAGACCCCATAAAACTTTCCAACCCCTTTGCCGTAGCACAGGGGTAAAGGCCTCGCCTTGTTCCTCAAATGTGCTAAATTTGGCTCAAGTTATGTACTACCTTCTGTTATCTTTTGGTGTCAACACCAAGTTATGTCCAAGCGCGGTGTGTAAATTCCTGCACTTTGCCTTCTTTGAAAGCATGTGCCTATTGCACTATCTCCTCCTCAAGCCGTGAATGGTTTCCATGCCACGAAGCATGGGGTAGACCTGACCGGGGGATTGGCTCAATGCACTGTACTGGATGATTAGAAAGTGGCCAGGCTGCTTGTAGTTTACAGTAACTTATCATATCCGCGAACTCCTTGACCTTCGCTCATTAAATCGTTGCTTGGCAGAGCGTTGAACGTCATTTTGCAAATATCCAACCAGTTGCTCAGCCACCGAGACAGGAAGCATTCTCACAGCCGTCTGATCTTTGCACTGCTGAGCCTCCCGCATGAAGACTCTGCCTCACCTTGTTGAGAAACCACCTCTACCCCGCTCATCATATATCAAGTAAATGTTATTAAAAACCAGATATTAATTCTTTCTAGCCCGTCCTGGCAAGCAAGCCTCCACAGGTGAACCTCTGTCTGCATAAATGCGCAGGTTCCCTCTAGCTTTTGCTTCTTGTCAGATTCGACTCTAAGCTACGGTCAGTTCGCATGGCTTCAAGAACCGTGGGTTCTATATCCCGACTGCAATTTTCCTTTTAAATTAAGACTCAGGGGTTGCGCTCGTTTGATTGTTGAGCCTCAAGTAGTCCATTGTATGCGAAGAGCCATTGGGAGCTTGCCTAAGCTCCCGGTTGTCTACCATCCCGAACCCACGTTTGGTGGCCTTCCGGGTAGGCCCGAAATAAAACACTGATTAAGATATCATCCCTTTACATTGTCGCTTTTGCAGAGCCAAACTTTCACAGCTAAATATGTACCGATATACCAATAAATATTTGTGGCTTAGTCGTCTTAACAATCCCAAAGCTTCCTGCTAAGCTAATCTCCGCTCAGACTGATGAAAGAGGGAGTGTGTGAAGACTTTGGCTGCACTAATCCATGCAGGTAGATACATTTCTCCACTTTAGTAGAGCTGCCATTGTAGCGTCTAGCTTTCCAATAACCTGCCACTAGGAGCACTCGCTTCTCTTTATCACTTCTTTCGTCTGGATATACAAAGCGTGGCACAAGTCCAACGGGCTGCTGATACCTTCGAATACTTGCCTATTCTTTTTGGTCATAATATTTTTCTGGTCTTCATCATCTCATCGATGCATTCATGCGCGTTGTGTAAGGGAACGACTTATGCCTGTTCTCCAGTTGTGAAGCTGCTGCGTTCACGCCAGCTTTCCAAGGGGTGTCTGCCGCCCATTGGCGTTTTGACATTGTCGACCTCCAGAGGCTTTATTCGTTCCAGCTTATTGCCGAAGCAATATAAACTATTGAAGTGCCAATAACGTATGAAGAAGACAACTGTTGTAGGAAACCTGACATCTTACAGGTTTCGGTGCTACAAAAAATAACGCTTTACCTAGAGTATCGGCAGGCGAACACCTTCCCCTAGACTGAATTCAAACTTGATAGAAACGAATTCTGCGTCTTTTTTCCAAAGATGTCTTCTTCCTTCTGCTGTTCGGGCCTTTCAAAGTTTCTGGTATGAGGACAGAAGGGAGCTAGGGTGTGTGAGCTACACCATCTCATAATGTTGAGCATTGACATCTAGCTGGCCAGTGCACCTGATGCACACAGAGCATCACTTCGTATTGTATCGAACTATCAGCACTCTTCAGCAAATGAATTATGCAAACGACCAAAATCATTAGGCAACTTCAAAAAAATATTCAAGTAAACACAGCTAGTATGGTTAAAAGTATCGAACTGGAGCGTAGCCCGCTGTGCTAAGGAATACCCATCCCCGTCCATTTGGCTTCAAGTGGCAAGTACTACACTCAGATGGCTTGTTTTACTAGTGCTATTGGTGCCCGTTATGCTCGGTTTCCACAGTGCATTTTTCATGAGGATAGAACAATTAGTAGTGAGAGATCGCCCTTACTTAAGCCTCTGCTCGCCGAAGTGGATGTATGTGGTGCATTGACTCAAACTTGCTCGCTTACTAGCAAACTCATTTGGTCTCAGTTGCTTCTTGTACTTCAGCGTGAGGCCAAATACCACACATATTTCGCCTCATTGCCACGTATTTTATATGACGGAAAACAGTCGCAATGGCAGAATCACACGTGATTATGTTGAAGCACTTGGTAGGCACTTGAAACCTAATCCAAACATGGCGTCCCTTATTCTCTGCTTCGTCATTCGAGCTCTTCCGCTGATCCATGTTCTGGTAAGAGGGAGGTTTGCTACGAACTATGAAAGGAAACGGGTTTTAACGATTTGGGCATCTGAGAGGGCATAGAGTTAGGGAGAAAAAGAAGTCTATTTTTTGTCTCCCTCCGTCTGTCCGTTTTATGTTTGCCATAGTGGCCACAGACAGCAGTGCAAACTGCAGTAAGAATCAATGTCGTATCCTGAATGGAAAAGGCAGCCGACCGCCCGAACACTACCTCGGCAAAGTGGTACACCTCTGGATGGAACACACTTTAAAAAACTCTAAAGGCTAATCTTTATCGATCATGTAGTGCGTATCGCTCAGGCTTTGGCTCTCGACATCGTGGTAGTGGTCGCTCGCGCCGGCTTGAGGTTTACAACGATTAGAGAAAGTGGCGCCCAGAATATCGTTATTAGAGGCAAGACGAATGCATGAGCACGCAAAATTTAGGGTCACTTGAAACAAAACACCCTCAATACCTTCTAAAAATAGAAGGGAAGTGGCTAAGGAAGTATCTGGTCCACCGAGTCCGGACCACGCAGCCACAGACTCGGTCTGTGTGGTGCCTGTGCTTCTCTCTTCTGCCCCACAGAAGCCACGACGAAGCATCTGATAGTAACAGTTTCCTCATTTAGAATTTCTAGATTTTGGTGTGGCGGCATTTTGGAGGGTCTCCAGTGGTCCCGCCGGCTTTCAAACCCAGCAGTCCGGGTGCAGACCGGCCCGAACGAATTTAAGGGAATCCACGAGAACTTTCATGCATCTCTTCTTTCTCATTGCATGAACTTTCCCATAAAACTGCGCAATACGTTGTTGGAGTGCGCAGAAGGCAGTGTTTAGCGCCAGAGGGCACACTGTGCCGATGCTCCCCAAAGGGCAGCTGGAGTATCTGCGCGCGCTCTTTCCCGACTCTGTCTGTTTCAGTCTAACCCTGATGGCTCAAGCGTAGCCTTCTTGGCGTCAGCTAGCAGCTTATCCTTGGCCTTCCGTGTGCCCTTCTCCACAGCTGTGTGAAAAGACAGTGGTCCCAGTGTGTGCAGACATCTTGCAGCCCCGTAGTGGCTGTCACCTCGTGTGCTCTGCCCAGTGGCTCTTTCGTCTGACATAGAGGGCGACAGAATCTAAAACCCAGGCATTGGGGCCTCTTCACCGCTAAAAGGCACATCAGGGGCCTCCTGTCTGGCGCGGTCTCGCGTTTGTCTTGCCAAGGTTTTGGTCCTGTGCGCATCGTGCTTGCATGTCACTTCTACACCTTGGGGTCACTTTCTCTCAATGGCAGGCCGTACGCTATCGCCGTTGGTTCCCAAGGAGTACGTGCCAGGGCTGATGGACGAGGGGGGGCTGCCAGTGCGAGTGCGCCACATCTTCGCCCGCTATCAGAACTACATGGAAGATGCTCGGGGGGCCTCGTACCAGACCTTTGCATCGCGTTCAAGCATGCCACTGGCTCAGACGCAAGTAGGATTGCTTGCGCTGCTAGCGCCACTCCATCATCACTCTCATCACTCCTTGCTGTCCCTCCCCGGGCACCCTAAGCGGCGGCACTCAGAACTGCTGCCCTTTCCCCCTCTAGCACATCCTTTTCTTCGCCTTTCCTTTCCAGAATCTTCTTTATTCTGTTGGGCTTTGCTGCGCTTGCGTTTCCCGATATGTCTGCCGACGCTAGGCTGGTGGCTCCACAGTCCGACAGCTGGGTGGCTCTTCGCAGGGGCATCCCAGCGGTTACGGCTTACGGCAGGAGCGGCACATTTCCGCGACTGTGCCCTCCTGGGTGTCTCCTCCTCAGACATCCTCTCCGCTAACAGCACTTTCGTCCGTCCCGAGGACTCCCTATCCTTTGGAAGCGACAGAGTTGAACAGAGGAGCTGAGGCTATCGTTGACGGTAAGGAAGTGGGGCTACACAGCGCGAGCTGCTTTGAGCACAGTTAGATTGGGACCAGTCTAAGAGTCAGGATGGGAATGCTCCCAGGAGCACCAGAAGATTCGCTGTGCCGCCACTGTTTGGTGCACTTTTCACCCATCTTCTCTTCAGTCTTTCCGTCATCTTGAGCAGTCTGATCTCTGCGACTTTTTGAGTTTCCATGAGGCTGTTTGGATTTGTCTTAGTGTCTTGCTGGGCATTATCTCCCAGCAACCCTTTCATGATGCCGTTCCTCTTGGTCTCTATCCCAATGCGTGTTTGCTTCTTTTTTTCGTGCTGCTGGTTCGTTGGCTCTTTGACCTTCTGGCACTGGGTTAGCCCTGTAAAGGGACTGGACACCTTCTCTTCCTTTTCTGCGCATTCGCTCCACCTTCACTTCTATCTCCTTCATCCGCATGTCTTGGTCGCTGTCCGCATCATACTGCGACTCCTCAGAAGGCCACTGCTTGTTGACTGAGGCGTATACGGGGGTCATGGAGGCCGGCAAGGAACAAGAATTCGCCCTTGTATTACTATCTCGATCCCTTCCAGCTTCATCCTTATTTGTTTGCGTTGGTGAGCCTCTTACTCAGTGTCCCTTTTTGCTCGCACTCGCACTGTCTAAGGCGCAGGAGGCCCCTTATATTCTTGGTCCACTAGCCTGTTGTATTGCCTCTCTACTGTCGATGCCTGCAGATCGGGATATTCTCTGCAAGGCATTTCTGGTGGGCCGCACACTTAGGGCCACAATTCCACCGCTGGATCCAGGGAGACACTCTGTGACAATCACAAACAGTCAGGGGGAAACTTACTTCGTTCAAGTTGGTGGCCTCCCTGGCAACAGCACCGAAAACTCAGAGACACAATCACTTCCCCTAGTTGTGGTGGCCTACCCTCCGAGCCGAAAGCAGCCAAGACTCTGCTACAGCGCCAAAGGGATGCGACGTAGGCCAAACCGTGATGATGATGCCTCTTGTATCCAGCGGCCTTCATCTCTTCTATCTGTCTCTCGGGGTGCCTTTTCATGCCTCCTCCCGTGTCTCTTCTGCACTATAAAGTCCGCAGTGGCCTGTGGACATAGACACTTATTTCTTGTGGTTGATGGAGCTGGGCGGGGTGTATGCATGCATGCTTGTACGTGTGCAACGGCTTTGTTCACTGCTGCCCCCCTCTGCCCCCCGTTGCATGTTCGGTATATCCGTCTCGCTTCTAGACGTCTGGCGATTCGTCCTCCATTTCCCCTGCCCCCTCCCGCGTGTATATACACGCCTCCTCTGTCTGACTTTGCTTTTGCAGGGAGCTTTGAAGGCCCCTTCTCAGGTGCAGGGGCCTGTGGTCCTTACACGCCAGCAGAGCTAGAAGAGTTTGTTGCAGCCACAGAGAGACAGATGTGGGGGCCCAACAAGCCAGTGGTCCCCTTTAGTAACGCCTTGAGGAGTGATGTAAAGAAGGGCAAGAAGGCTCAGTCCTTCGATGACAGACTGCGGAAGTGCCTTCAGATGGCCTATGGCCAGAGAACAGCCCTCACGCGTCCAGCCGAAAGTGTCCCCTCATTTGGTTAGTCTTCCGTAATATACGTCCAGAGGAGCACTTCTTGATCCCTGCCTTCTCCTCACGTAGAGGGTTTAAATGACCCTTTATCTTCATCCCCTCAAAATTTGCCTCCAGTGCGGTTCCTCTTTCCTCTGCGCTTCGCTTTGCAGTCCCGGATGACCTTTCAGAGTGCCGCATACCCCTTGCGTTTAAGGCCTCTCTCTATGCTTCCTGTCAGCCTTCGACGAGGATGGCAATTGCCTCTTTCCATTCTCAGGTCAGTCGTACACTCTGCACATCTCTAGCGGCCTGGCAGCCGAAGGACTATGTGTCATGCCTCCTACATTGTTTAATTGTTCGGCTGTGTCTGCTACTGCATGCGTTCTGATGGCTAGTCGGCTTATTCCGCATGCATGCAATGTGGACATGTGGGGTTGCAGATGTTCGAGTTCATGCCCTTTGGGGTTGTCTCGGCGCACATCTTCATGAAGTCGCATCCTTCAGATAAAATAACTATCTTCGCCTTCACAATAACTCCGCCAGACAGCAAGAGTAAGCTGCCTCAGTGAAACTGCCCATTGTGTACCCATGCGAAACGCCCCTCTTCCTCTTTCCCATGCAGCTGTCTTTTTGTTTCTGCCTCCTATCCTGCCATGTGGGGGCCCCTGTCTCTCGATGTCGTACTCGTCGACCATTTTTCGTGGCATTACTCGACCCCGCCCCTTTTCTCGCCACTCTCCATTTGTCCACTATGCTCTCTCTCTCTCTCTCTCAATTTTACTGCAGTGTCCGATTCAAACGCAGTAGCCTACTATCCCTCCGTTGTCTCTGCATTCTCAGGCCGCACTGTTCCCGTGTGCTCCGAGCCTCCTAATGTAGCCTCTCTAGATCGCTTTGAGGCCTCCGAGAGACTTTGTGCAGACACTCGCCACTGGAGACACGTAGATACGAGCGTTCCCCGGAAGAACGCAGAGGCCGCAGCCTACGTCTTTGGCACGTCAGGGGATTCCCAGTAAGCAGCCAAGCCAAGCTAAGGCCCCTATATATATGCCCGCTATCCACGCAAATTGCTACTTTAAACCCACCAACTACCACCCCAAATCTAAGGCACTACAAGGCCGCCGCGGCGCTAATACCTGCACTGCCAGTTTTCCCATCAGAAAGCTGCTTGATGTAATATTCAGGAGTATCGTCCATGACCATGACCAGCTCTCTTCACACGCGCCTCCGCACTGCTAGCCCCTCCCTCCCTCTCTACCTCTGTGCATATGTGTCTGTCTTGCGCCTCTCCCCTCTTCTCCCCGTGAGGGCCCCCAACTGCACCCTATTTCCCCATGTCCTGTCTCGGCTCCTTAGGTGCCCGGTTCCCCAGTCTTTGAGATATTCGAAACACCCCCACAAGGAATACCCCGAGGGCATTGAGATTGCACCCTACGTCTTCCTGTACTTTGAGCCTTGGCCGGTAGCCGATCTCCCCATTCCAGAGCCAAAACTCCCGAAAATGAAGAGCGAAGGCGTGCATGGGCAGTCACCAGCTCCAAAGTCTGTCCCTGGCGGCACTGCAACAGTGAAGCCCTTAGGAACAACTGCTGCAGATGATTGTGCAGCAGATGAAGGCCCATACTTCTCAGTTACCTTGTGCGTGGGCAAATACATTTTCTCGTCCGTTATAGGCGTGCACCGACGTGTGCTGTCCGCGATCTTCAACGACTGGTTAAAGGAAGTGCCCCATAAGAAGGAAGCAGAGCAGCAATTGGTGAGGATGAAGCTCAAAGACGTCGTGAAACCGATACTTAACGGGGCATCTCTGGCAGGCAAGGCATTCTAAATTAAGATTTTGATAGGAACTGGTTGCCTGTGTATATTGGAGGACAAACACGTGCCTCTACAGCAACCAGATACAAGGGTACTAGCCCCGATAATTCAAATCTTAATCGTTTCTGTACAGCTGGAAAGTATTTCGGCTCTACCACAGTACACAATTAACAAATGGTGCAGAGTGATTAACAGAGTTCCCCCTCGCGATGGAGCCACTAAAACTATTCAATGTATAAAATAAGGCCATTTAAGCGGCCCCAGGAGAGAGCTGTCAGGCTGCTTAGCTAGCACGAACAAGCTTTCCAAACCTACAACCGCTGGGGTAGCCCGCAATCGAGTCTCAATCGGAGTTGAATAAAGCGAGGGTGTCATACTCCTGTGCGACCGTCTGTCAACAAATCCGTCTCTAGCGCATCAGGGTAGGGGGCTAGAAGCCTCAAGTTCTTGCAGGAGATGTCCAGAACCATTGAACAGGATGCGTCTAAGGGAAACTGCGAGGATCTAGCAGTTGCTTCACAAGAAGTAGAAAAATCATGCCAAGATACCTGAAAAACGCTAAGGATTGTGGGTCCCCTCATGCAAATGCACGTTTGGAACGTACCACACTCAAGCGGGTTGTATGTACAGCTGACCATACCGTGCGCCTCGGGGGAGTAGACATCGATACCTCGAACTCTTTTCCATCTTATTTTACACAAGGGGGACTTGTAAGCCCTTCGCAACGCATTCGATGCATTATGCTGCGGTTAGTGGCATTTGAAAGGTGGGCCCCTAGGGTAATTCTGCAGGGTGCGCAGGGCCAGGCTTGCGGCTGACAGGGTGGTGTAGGCCCGACCAAAAGAACCTGCCGGACGGCTGCCCGCTGCTAGGCGGGGCCCCATAGGGGGTGTAATGTTGCTGTCCATAGGGAACAGTCTGGTAGGAAGCAGAATAGCCAGGAGAGCGGCTGTTTTCCTGATAGCCCCTGAAGAATGAGGCATAGGTTTGGCTTAGTTTCTCCTGGGTATGGGGAATGTTCCCTAGGACTGTATCTTTGCTGCCCTCAACAAGGATCATGATACGGGCTGCGTCCACCTTTGCACCTTCCAAGAAGGCCTCCAGAGCAAGCTTGTTGCCCCTTAGAAGGTACTCGGCTTCCTGCTCGCCGGCGTCAATACCCTGGTCAAACTTGCACCTGTCTATCAAACAGGGGCACGAAGCGGGAGTTTACCTTCAGCCGGGCAACGGTCAAGGTGCTCCACACCGACTCTCACGGAGCTTGCAGCCTTCCCCATAATGAAGGTAAATTGCTGCACAAGCCCGTCGAGTTCGCGTGCAGACTCGTACAGTTTCCCGCAACCCACACTTCACTCTCTACTGGGGGCTGAGCGAGGGGTGTCGCTCTCCTTTCGCGGGAACGTTCACCGCAGCAACCGTTCTAATAACACCGCCAACTAGGCCGCTGATTAAGGTCGGTAGCTCTGCCAGCTTCGCGCAAAAAGTCAAGAAGAGGGCTAATGGTTAAGAAGCCAAGTAAAACACCCACAGGAGAGGCCTGGGATGGTAGCTGAGAGAAAAGAGGCGCAGAGAAATTTGCTCTACTGCTGAATAAAGCAGCTCTGCTGGGGACCAGGGGCCAGACTGAGAACGGAAGTCGGGAGACAGCAGCAGCTGCTTAGGGCGGCGCCCTTCAAGCTGCCTGGCACAAGCAATGCTTTCGGCTGCAATGTTTAGCGATTTCCCCTCTTCTCCTTGTCCCTAGCTAATTGGTTGTACAGAGCTACCTGGACAAAAATAAATGGGTGCCCTCGTTTTCGCTTTCTGCCCATTACGCTTGATGCCCGTACCCGATCGGTGTCGGCCCTTGCCCCTAAGACACGGGAAGCTCGGACGCAAGACGCGGAACCCTTCCATTTGCCCGTTTTTGCCTCTCCAGTCTTTAAATGTATTACTAACAGCAGCGCAGTTGTTACGAAGAAGAAGCTACGGATAACTAAGTGACAGGCAGCGGCTCCGTAGACCGGAACACAGACGACAGTGAGACCCTCCCTGTAAATAGACCATCCGAAACACGACATGCCATGTTAACGTGCATCAAGAAAGTTGCCCCTGGGAAACATAAATCAGAAAACACAGGATTTTACTTTTCATTAGTGTCTTTTGGTGGGAAAAGCCTTGGATAAAGAATTAAGGCTTGCGCTGAACTGGTACCGCGCCAGCGCTGCCTCCCCATTCAAACGCTTCCTCCTAAATCCCTCTCTGCTTTTGTGGTACACTTACAATTCGATTCATCCCCTTATTTCGCACATTTATTATCTGGTCGGCCGGAGAAAATCTCGGTTTCCCTTTCAGCACCTCTGGTGTATGTAGCGGGATGTCCTTGGGGCCCTCTAGCAGAGCGGCTTTAGAGACCCTCTTCGGGGCAGATGTGCGTGACACCCGAATTCCAGCGCTGCTTCCGAATATAGGGTCTTTCTAAGGATTATAAGGCGGTGTAATATGGTGCGCTGACGCCGCAGCACTTCTGATGCTTCCCTGGTGTCTCTGTTTGAGTCACACATCGCTGGCGCTAGGGCCCCCTCGTCCTCTTCGTCCGCCGCTTCGGGTAGACGAGGATCTCGGTGCCCGTTAAAACTGCTGACTGCTTTTGTGGCCTCTGCCAGTCTTGACGACGCCTCTATCACAGAGACGACTCCCTGCGCTACGGAGGGGTCCAGAGGACGGACCCGGCTGGGGGGCCCCGTCCCAAGGGGCCCCAAACCCTCCCTGTATAGAGGCCCTCCATGAACTTGGCCTCTTGTGTGGCACACGGAATGAACAGCGCAAGCGAGCCCTCGCTGCTTCTCCCTCCGGGGGCCTCACGGGGCCCTCCCGAGGAAAGGGCCTACCGTCCAACAGGACTCGTACCATCCCCAGGAAACGCGCCTCAACATCAAGGCGTCTATCCGCCTCACCACTTCCAGGGAGCATGGGGGCCCTCTGCTGGCTCCCCATACTCCCCGTACTGGCCATATGGGTCCGAGCAAGCCACCTGGGCCTCCACTCCGTCGGGGGCCCCTACCGGAGCGCCGGGGGCCCTCGGCGCATCGCAGGTGGCCTTGGAGAGTGAAGTTGCCTTGATACACTTTGTGGTGTACTTGGTGTGCTGCATCGGGTGTGTGTGCATATACTTGAACTACGTGGTGCTAGAGGCCCACATCTTCGCTCTGTTTTGGGCAGTGGTCTTCTCGATCCCCCTAAGGGCCGTTGTCTCCGCGATCGTTGGGCAGCCTGTTCAGCGATCCGCGCCTTCCGTCTCCAGTGTGTCGCCTTCTCCAGCTGCAGCTCCCCCCCCCCTGGCTGCAGCAGCCGAAAGGACTATTCGTGACCAGCAGGGGCCTCTGGGCCGGCTTGTGCCGCTGCAGGATCTGCAAAGGGCAGCAACAGTCCACCTGTTGCCCCCCTCCCCCTCAGCGCCCCCTTCTACCCTTCCCCTGCGGCTCCAGCAGCAGCATCTGCAGCCGCACAAGCAGTGTGAGAAGCGGGTGCGGTCCTCGTCTTCCCGACAGCCCCACAGCAACGGAGGGGCCCCCTCTGCGGCCGGCGAGGTCGCTGCGGGGGGCCCCCACGCGGCCCTCGGCGGAACTCCCAAGGACGGGGGGCCCCCAACTGCCGCTCACAAGAGGGCGATCCGGCTCAAGTCTTCTCGAGAGGCCGCATCAAGGCACTCGCAGCAGCAGCAAGGAGACGCGGACTCTCCCCCCAACAAAGGCGGCACGCAGGCTGCCACGGCCACATTGTATCTGGGAGTGACAGATGCCGCAACGCCAAGAGCAGCGCATGCAGCAGCGGCGACGGCCAATGCAGCGAGGGCCTCTATGCAGCGGGGCTCTTCGGCCCCTATGCGCGCTCCTGGCGAAGGGCATCTCCACCGCAGCAGCAAGAAACGACGGCAGCAGGATGACGGAGACCCCTCCGGGGACGGCGCTCCTCACGAAGCCTCCTTCCCCGCTTACCCCATACCCTCCTGTCCCTTCGGCAATAGCACCAGCAGGAGTGCGCGGCTCTTGCGGTGGCTGTGGCACCTTGGCGAAGGCATTCTGCAATTCGTAGGAAACTCCTTGTCCATGCGGCTTTCGCGATCGCTGCTCTCCTTTATGCTGGTGCCGATCTACGAGCTCGCGGGGCCACTGCCGGACCGGTGTGCTAGCAAGCCGTGGTTTGGCTTGCTCCACCGCTGCTGCTTGCTGCTGCTGCTCTATCGTCTCTGTCTGGCCCCCTTCTCCCCGCAGGAAGTGCTGCATGCGGTGGGCGCCCTCCTCCTGCTATTGCTGCTCCTCGAGGTCTTCTTGCTGCCGCTCAGGGGACAGACGCTTCTCAAGAAGGGGTTCCTCCGCTGGTGAGACCTGCGCGCGCGGGGAAACAAATCGCGTGCTGAACGCTTCCCATTCTGCCTCGATCGCTTTGACGGCCGCACACAGAACGGCGGAGAGAGCCTTCGCATAAGAAAGGATATGTGGCGTTTGCCGGAGGGGCAAACAGAAAAGAGTCGGAATACTTCGCTCCGCTTTTCCACGCCTCGCTCAGTATCTGCACCTGTGCGTCTGTTATGTCTCTCTTCAGGTCCCAGCGATTCGCGTCTCTGCGCCCTTCTTTGAGCATTTCCGCGGAGACAATGAATGCTTATGTGACTCCCCTTGTCTCCGTCTTTGTTATCTGCTGCTTCTTCTTGTGCGGCCTCCTCGTCACGGCCTTCTTCTGCTTCAATATATATAGCGAGCTCACCACGCTGTGGGAAACAGCTCATTCCCTTCTTGAGGTCTACGTTGTTCGCTCTGCCTCCTTCCAGGAAGCATACGCAAAGCTGTCTGCCCTGCTACAGCACCAACCCGACGGGGCTGCTGCTGCTGCTGCTGCCGCTGTGGAGGGAGTAACAGCAGCATCAGAGACACCCAACACACTGGCTGGCTTTGTTGCTGCTGCCGCATCCGCTGTAAGGAGCACCGCAGCTCCCAGCGGGTCCAGTAGCGGCAGCAGCACTGCAACATTGTTGCTCGGAGGAAGTCTGGGTTGGTATTCGGACCTATGGAGGGCCATTCAGGAGCTGGCCTCTGCATCCTCCGCAGTAAATGCAGCGGCTTCCGCTGCTGCAGGTGCAGACAGCGCCTCCCTTGCGGCTCTGCAATGGACATCCACCACCGCTTCCTCGAGCCTCCACACGGAGGCCTCCCGTGCTCGCATTGGCAGTACAGAGGACCCCCCGCGTCTAGCGACTCCCAGCGCGGAATGGCCCTTGGCCGCTCCTGAGCCGCAGCAACAGCCTCAGCAGCAAAAGAGCCGTTTCACTCACCTTCACACCCCTCCAGACCCGCTGTTTTTCTCGCATGCCGAAACCTGCCCCCGATTCCTGGCCTCAGAGCCTCACGAGGTCGATGTGGACCTCGAAGGCCATGCCTCAGCTGCGTGCTTCCTCTCTTCTGGAGGCTTACCGGAGGGGCTTTCTTCCTGCCAGGGAGAAATCGCCGGGTGGGACGCTACCAAGGCGGAAGATCTCACCAACCCCAGTTTGGAGGTCTCTCTGCTCCGTCTACACGATGGCGTGTCTCTTTCTTGCATCGATCCTTGGAGGCTCTCGGGGGGTGACGCCGGCAGCGCGCGGAGAGTCTTCCCCCTGGGGTTCGCCTGGCCCTCAACGAGCACTTCATGTCGACGGGAAGGCCTCCAAGGAAGCAGTTGGGCTGCATCCTTTCTCTCCCTGTTGCTTCCAGCTGGCTTGTGGAAGAGGTGGCCCAATACTGCGGAGTTGCTGGGTCACTTGAGAGAGGGCAACTTCCTCTTGGCCTTGAAACGGTCCCTTGAAGCCTCTCAAGAGGTCTACTCGCTGACCAGAGAGGCCTGGTGGAAGTACCTCTCGGAGCATGCGCACACACTCCTAGCTTGGGCCTTCAACAGCGGGCAAGCGAACTCTTACTCTTTTTGCACTAGCTTGCAACTGAGCCCAACAGCAATCCCTTTAAAGACTGGGTAGCGCTGCAAAGAGCGGTTCCACTGGGATGTTTAAAAAATGCACAGTCTTCGGGTTCTGCTGGTCGGTGGGTGCAGGTTTGGGGCCTGGAGGGTCCTCTGCTTTGTTGTGGCATTTCTCCTCCGCTTCTTTCTCTCAGCGTTTGATCTCCTCTTTCAAGTGAGTGTTCAAACGTTCGGCCTTTGGCGTTGCATGGGCCAGTATGCGTTTCAATTTGCGGCAGTGCAAACAGGATCACGGTTTGTGTATGTGTGTGAATGTATATATGTATGTATGTATGTGTATGTATGTGTGTGTGTGCATGTATGTATATATATCTTGTAGATATACATATGAATATATATCTGGTGTGTGCTTCATTCCCACCCCAATCACAATGTTTGTTCTCTTCTTCCCATTCGCGATTGGGGCCTTATTTTTCCGGGCCTGTCCGCCTTCGTGTGCTGTCATGCCCTTACCCCTCAGTTTATCGTTTTTGTTGGGGCCCTGTATGCGCTGCTCTGCACCCCCAAGAGCTCCTTGGATTTGGTAGATGAGGTCCTCTGCGTTGTGGACCCCTCCGCAATCCTGTCTACATCAGTGAACGAGAAGATACGCGCCATTCTCTTTTCCTCCGTGAAGAAAGTGTGGTTCTACAGGTCGGCCTAGCCAACCACCCACTACAGGAAACCCCTTAAGCGCCTAGCCCCCCCAAAAACTGCAGCGCGAAGATCTCACAAGCCTTCTCAGGCCCCCATTCTGCAAACACGGAACACACCGGGTCGCCCTAAGCCCGTCAGATGCAGCAAATCCTTGAGCGCACAACATAATGCTGAGCTTGGTTGTCAGACTGTTGGGATAGGGCGCTCCAGAGAGCTTGTGGCACAGGTTTTGCGCTTTTTCAGCCTCTTTACCTGGCTGATTTTTGAGAGCACCGGTATGCCGGTGGTATACGTGCCAACTGCCGTTTCGTCACTGCTGGCCCTCCTTCCCATCCTTCCCCCAGAAGTCGTCTCTCTCCTTCCCTCTATTGCGCTTTGGCTGCATAAGGATGTTAGGGACTTTGGGGGCCTCTCTACAGGGGACGCTCAGACAGCAGAGGCATGGGGCCCTTGGCTGGCTGCCCCCCATAGACTTGCAGCTCTTGCTGTCTGCGGAGCGAATGCGTATGTTCTGACCCCCAATTCCAAGTATTGAAGTCCCACCACCTGATTCCGCAGCAGGATGTACATGCAACAAGCCCGTACAGTCCCCCTACCCACCCTACGCATCGGCAGATGCCGGTCAGCTCGCTCCGCCTCTGTGAACAAAGAAAGTGATTTTGACGCGCTGCTTCTGTCCACAGGCTAGTCTGGTGGAATGTTACAACGTGCATATACCGAGAGATTCCGGATGCGAGCCCGTGGCTCGTAGGCCTATCCGCGGCCCTCGGGCTTTCAACCCTTGGCCTCAAAGGCATTATCCTTGGCAAGCGCGAACGTCCCACACCTGTCTCTAGATTCCCTTACTGCCTCTACAGCTTCATGAAGTCTTCTTCTCGCATCTCACTAAGGGACGCGCCTACGAGGATGTGCCGGCCCTCTGGCTGTGCATTTGGCGAAGCCATGAACTCTTCACTGCGCAACTCCCAAACCACCAGTCCTACAGACATGCAAAAATCCACGCATTCGGAATATAGGCTCTCCTTCAGATCTCCGAGTTTGGCTACCTGTGGCTGCCCACCCCTTTGATGCACCTGTCCCTCTTGGCGTTGGTCCTCCTAGCATTCTATGACCTCTCCTGCGTTGGGTCCTTCTGAGGGCCTCGAACAACTGTCATCGCTTGCTGTTGCTGCTCCTCTTGTTTCTTGTTGCTCTTCCTTGGTCTTCTAAAAGGCCAAGCGATACCTGATGCTCTGTTCATATTCTCCGAATTCTCGGGACTCCTTGTAACTGCCAAGGCCCTAAATTTGTGGCTTTTTGGCTTCCCTTCATCACATGTCTTTGAGGTGTCTTGTCCTACTTTTCATAGTGTACATGTGCAGTCCCAAGCTTTTTCTGGCCTTCTGCCGGCCCTGTATATGCAGTTGGGGCGCCTTCCAGTCTCAGGGGTTCTGAGTCTTGTGCCGGCTCGGCATGCAGCTGGTGCTAGCGAACTAGATAAACATGCTTCGTGTCCATTTCTCTCGGCCGTCATGGCTTGCTGCATCCCTGTAGCCGCCCGCTCGTCTTTTTCTCTTCTGTGGACGCTCAGGCCCCGCCTTAGCAACTATGCCGCTCATTGTGGTTTCAGCAGCTTCCAAGTTCAATGAGCGGCACATTCGCACACAGGAGGCCCTAAGCCCCCCAGAATTACTGCCACAGCAGCAACACGATCAGAGGCAGCAGGTGCCGCCGCAGGATGAGCAGCTGCACCAAGCGGGGGGCGCATCAGAGGCCCCTCCCGGCACTCCAAGCTTTCAACAGCCCGGCCTTTATCAGAAGGTAAAACCGGCGTCCCCTTTTTCCATGCGCAACTGGATTGCCCCGCCACTTCTCGCGTCCATGCTTCAACTCGCAGGCGTCACAGCTAGTTCGCCACACATCTGAACGCAACTGTTGCTGTGTGTGTGTGTGTGCGCGCGCTCAGACAGTTCCTTCGCAGCGAGTTGATGGGGTCCTTCAAGAGAAGCTCCATTCTACAGAGAACCTGGGACTAGCTAACAACGGGGCCCTTAGTAATGCAGCGTGGGGGCCACCGTGGGGACCTCTGCCAGCGGGTGGATTTGCCCTGGGAGAGTGGCGCTCTGGGCGAAAGTCCAATACGAATTTTTCCGTGGCCCCCCTCAGGGGGAGTTTTCACGAGGAGATTCCCTCGTTCCAAGCTCCGCAATTCCCTCTACAGTCGCCTGCCCGGACTATAGCAGCAACACAGGAGAGCGTTCCCCAGGGGTCCCTCCCACCCCCATTTCGGGACACACAAGCCTCCTCTGCCTTATTTGGGCTTTCTCAGGGGGTTACTGGTACGCCCCCCCAACAGGCGTTGGCTGTGCATTTTATTAAAAGCGCAGCAGACGCAATTCGGTGGGTGCTGCAGCGGCGGCGATCCGGCGTGGGGGCCTCCCCAGTACTTCCCTCCGTCGCACTCCCCGGGCAGTACCCGTGGGCCCCTGGAGCGCCTATCTTTGGAGGCCCTGTGCAACAGGTGCTCCACCAGTCACATTCCGCAAAACCAGTGGGTAGTAATAGTCCACGAAAGGCCATGTCCATGGGCGAGGCCCTCAGGACGCCAACCGATGAGGAATTATCCCCTTCTGTGCCTGCAGCTTCTTCTCCAGCCGCTGCACAATTGAGAGCCTATTCAGGTTTTCCTGCAGCGACTGTAGGGGATTCGGTTGGAACTTGCGCAGCAGGGCGTCGAGGCCCTTCCCTTTACCGGGGCCGTCGGCGCGCGCACTCGGGTCCATAGAAAGGGCCCATTTTAGGTGGGGTCTCAAGGCAACTGCTTTTGGACTGCCTTTTTCTCTTTTCTCGGCCCTCCGCGTGTGCGGTGACGGTTCTCAAGCTCAGATCTCACAAAGGCTTCAACACGCTAGTGAACAGCAAAGAAGCCGCATAACTGTCACACAGATGGGCCCCGTAGGGTGACCCGAAAATCCACCCGCAAAGCAGGCAGTGCGACAGTCATGCATGCAAGGCAAACTAAGCGTGTGCCGCGCGACGTTACTACTATGGGTTTGCCGGCTCTTTTGGCTGCGCCTAAAACGTGGCCGCGCCAGGAAAGGCCGACAACCTACTCGAAAAAATGCAAAGGGGCACTACTTTACGAGCTGTAAGAGCTGGGAAATTACAAGGGGTGGGGTGAGGTGGAGTTGAGGCCCTTCAGGAGCATCCTCGCAGCCGCCGGTGCATTTGTGGGGTTGCACTAGTGCAGAGACCCCGTCTGACCCCGGCAGAGCGTACTCTCGCCGTGGTGTCAAACCGACCACGGAGCCTCCCTGCTACTAGACATTGTTGCTGGGACATCCCAAAGGGCAGCAGCAACTGGTGTGCCTGTAGATTTGCGTGGCTCTCTCTCTTAGGGTCCCTGGTTCAGTCAGGCACTTGTTTTAGGGAGCGTGAAGGCGGCGGCCTTGAGAGCCAGGGATACCAGTTGATCGAAGTGTGGAGAGTAGATGTCTTCTGGAGTCAATCGAGCATTTAGAGTAGCTTCTCCGTTCTTGAGCTCTTCATCAAGTTTGGCGATGTGGGTGAGAATAGCTTTGGCTGCATTCTGGCCATCACGCGGCTGCCCCAACGCTGAGAATGTCAAAGGGGAAAAGAGCCGAGGGAGCGCTAGCTGTCCGCGCATCCAGCTCACCAAGCGGACGGCTAGCTCTGCGAAGAAACGGTGATCGGGATGCGTCTCAAGTCTCTCCTTGACTTTCGCGAGGGCCTCTCCCATGGCCTTCTCTTCCTTCGTCAAGCTGAGCTTGTCTTGATCCAACAACATGGCAGTGACAGCGGGATCCCAACAGAAGGTCCCTAACCGCCTCAGGGCCTCACCCAGGATAGAGAGGGATGGTAGATTCCGTCTCTCCCAGAAATAACGCTCTGAGTGAATTGCTGCAACCTCCGCTACCTCCTTGCCTGCCTCTTGAGGAGGGACTGCCAGCGCCAGCTGCTGCTTCACATTCTCTTTCGCAGTCAGCCCTGCAAGGGCCTCCTCGCGCATGAGCTGCAACGAAGTTGCAAAGAAGTGGCAGAGCAGCACCTGGGAGCAGACGCAGACTGCCGCTGCACTGACTGTGTTGAAGGGTATGGGGGGCCCCCCGTGAACGCGGGTAAGACCGCCCCAAAGGGGCCCCTGGGCATCGATGCAGTCGGTGAGCAAGTAAAGAAGCCCCCTGAGAGTTGCCGGGATGACGCAGAACCTGGTTTCTGTCACGCGATCTACAAGCTCCTTTAAAGGAGGGAATACCACATCGTCAGGGGCCCCGTTCTGTCCGCTGTGGGCCTCGCCCTGAGCAGCGAGAGCCCGCGTAAGAGCTCCCAAGGGGGCCCCCAGCATAGAGAAGAGCCAGCGGCGGTCTTCCATCAGCAGAAGGGGATGCGGAGGCAGCAACATGCTGTCGAGAAGCGGCGAAACGAGGGAGGCGGCGGAAAGGAACATCGACTCGGGCAGGTGGCTTACAGCCTCCAGCTCAAACTGCGCACATTCGAAAGGAAGGCGCACGTATAATAGATCTACTCTCCCTTGACCCCGATGAGCCTGTTTTTCTTTGCTGGTGCACCATGTAAGCCCTACGACCTCCTGATCTGTGCATTCCCACCTCAAGAAGCTTCTTTAAAAAGCTCTGAATATCCCTCATGTAGCAGGCAAGGCGACAAGAGTTCCTCAACAGGTCAGGCAGCTGCTGCCGGCCTGCAGCCTGCACCACAACGCGCCATGTTTCGAGCACTATGTGTTTGTTGTCTCGAGACCCCTTTTTTGGGGAAATCGGCATCATGCCAAGAGGCTCCACACACAGGTAAACCACAAAACATTTGGGAACTAGCCACCCACGTACCTTGAGAATCAGAAGCAGGGGCTTGAAATTTATGTCTGAGGCAATTGCCCAGAGCTGCTTGGGGAGCTCTCTGGGTATTGAGTTCAGGGGATCTACGAGGCCGTTTCCTGAAGCCAGATCTTCTCGTTCGCGCCGTTCTGCAGCCTCCAGGGCTTTACGCACTTGAGGAGGAAGCGTGTCTTTGTCTGTTTCTGCCCTCTCACAGTTCGTTCCTGGCAAAGAACGCACAGAGCCACGCACCGGAGGCCCTCAGGCCCACACTGGGTGCGGCACGGCGGGAAGAAGGGGCTAGGATAGGCGGGCGAAAAGCCGCATGGCAGAAGCAGCAAAAAGAGACAGAAACGGTGTCACAACAAGAGTGGCGAACTGCAGGATAAAAGCAGCAGCGAAGCCGCGAGCCCTTCGGGTTCTTTCGCGCAGTGCCTGCCTGCGCAAAACAACCCTGCACCTTCCTACCTTCTGCTTCAATGACTTCTTGCTGTTTTTGACTGGGGAGGCCCTGCGCTGCTGGCTCGTCAGGAAAGAGCAACACCTTAGACAGTGCATGGACTTGGGGCCCTGGAATCGCATCGTCTGCAGTACCCACTAGGAGGCTCCACTCTGCTACGGCGGTGTCTCCTTCATCATCGTCTGCTCGCGCACATGCAGTAGCGAAAAGCACGCGGCAGGAAAGGAAAGCTAGGAATATGTCCATGCATGCATGGAGGGGATGGATGGGTGCAGGCACTTGCACATAGGGAAAGCATTTACACCCCCTGAACAGGACCCTGCTGGAAGCGCAGGCAAAGGTCAAGGGGGCTCAAGTGCAAGCCTGTTTATGAGGCACCAAAAAGCACTACAAACATAAAAAGGGGAGAGGAGCGAACCGGAAGAAGAATCGTCATCTGAGGCAGGGCAGGCAGCCACCCCCGACTCCTCAGTACTTTCGGTTTCCAGGATCTTCAGCTTGGTTTTTCGAGTCTTGTCTATTCCCGTCAAAAACACGCGTAGCTGCGTACGTAGCGAAATAAAGGCGTCATGGAAGAAATAAGCGCTGGATCATGTGAAGCACGCCCGTCGGTGATATGTCTTAAGCAACAAAAGTTTCTCGCGGCACGGCAGCAGCAGTCGAACTCCCGACTCACCCTGGAGTCAGGGCCCCACCACTTTCCCCGTATTTTTCCCCTCTCCTCCCCTTTTTCCCTACTCTCCTGCTCTCTCAAGTGCAAAGCCGTATACTTGCAAAGCACGCTCACCAGGTTGTCATCTGCAACTTTGGAGGCCCTAAGCTCGGGGATGGAGAAGGGAGTCGAGCTGACCCTAAAGCCACCCTCAAGGAATAGCTTTTCTGTTACCCAGGGAGGCAGCGCTTCCAGTTCGACTTCTATCCGAAGCGTTCCACCAAACAGGTCTGCCGCCTAAAAATTCACAACGAACCCCCCACCCCGTGAGGCCCTCGAACACACGAAATCTCGAGCCTTCGAACGTATGGAATTGATTCCACACACGAGGCAACAAAGGGCAGACTGAGGGAAGGGCACGCACGAGAAGATCGTGGCGATGCTGGTAATTCAGATAGTCCGAAGGGCAGAGCGCCAGTCGCAAGTGCGCAAAGAACGCCTGCAGACGAGAAGACAGTCCACCATAACACGAATTCCCTAAAAATACGCATCAACACGCTGCTAAGGCGTTTGGGGAACGTGTTTTTCAGCTGCGACTACTTAGGGCCTGCGGCTTTGTGGTTGGCTATACCTCCATCCACTCAATTATGAGGCACTCCGTAAGAAGCTCTCTCTTAATGGCCTGCAAAAATCCAACCTGACGGTTCTTCAGAATCTGCAGCTGCTCCATGAGGGCCCTGAAGCACAAAGGTGCCAATTTGGAAATATAGATATGTGTAGACATGGATGTATACAAGTAGAGACACCACGGCTTTCCCCGTAACCAAGTGCACACATAATTCGACGCCTCACTCTTGAGTGAGGCCTTGAAGACGCTGCTGAAAAATACGTTCACCCCCAGATAGCGGAGGAGACAAGAGTTCAAGGATCCCCATGGCCCCTCTAGCTTTGAGGCGACAGGACAGTTGAGACCCTAGGACGCACTTGTTAGAGTCGTCTATCTTGCGATGCACAGATACGAAATTGGCATGAAGTCGGGCAAGAAGGCGATGATTATCCTGAAGATCTTTGAGAATTTTCTCGCGTCGCAGGCTGAGTGCTTCCTCACTCTGCAAACAGCAGGTTCCCCCAGTGCCTCGGCCGCCACGGGCTCTAAACTCGACTTTTTTTCAGCACACCAGCATAGAAGTGCCCGCTCGGCACAAACCTTGCGCGGCTCCTGCCACCTCTGTCGAGACATAAAGTGCCTGAGGGGAAGGGTGGGCTTCTTCGGGGGAGGAAGGGGGGAGCAAGGAGGGGGGCCCACAGATGAGTCAACAGCTGCATGCAAGGCGAGTGTGGTGCGAAGAGACAACAACGGCATACCGGGGAAGTGCCTTGCATGCTCATCTTGTATGCGTCTAAAGTCGATATCAACGGGTGCTCAGAAAAGTCTGCAGGCGGCGCACACAAGTCGCCTCCGAGCTCTAGTCGGGTGGCTTGGTGTTACCACTCCAAGAAGCCCTCTGCTGCTCGGGTAGTCCCTTCACAGAGAGCCCAGATCACGATTCTTACCTGCCGCTGAGTGATGTCCTATGAGAATGCAGTGAGGACACAATGCCACGAAGCACTGCACAGCGACATCGCATAAACAAACAGCACACCCTCAAGGCGGCGAAGCCGGGTACCAGCAGCACGCGCCACGAGCCACTTTCTAAGCGAGACACAAACAGGCAACCTGACAGACGGAATATATGTATGTGGGGAAGGAGGCACATAGGGGCGGCGATGCAAGGGCAGATAGGAGCGATGCGAGGGCAGAGAGGGGAGAAGAATACAGCAGCAGGAAGAGTCCGAGAGCCAGAAGCCCATATAGTTGGAACAACCCTACAGCGTTGCATGCACACTAAATGAGGACCTATGCACAGAGAAGGATCCTCTTGGGGCTGAAAGGCTGAACTACGCACCACCATGCAGACGCAGTCGATCATCTCAGAGGGATGGTTAGGACACTGTCCAAATTGGAATGGAGACTGCAGGCAGATAGGCAGACAGACAGACAGACAGACAGACAGCAGCGCATGTATTACGGGGTGAATGGCAGTCTCCGAGGGCTCCCCCACGCCTAATAAGGACCGGATTAGGGTTCATACATGTAAATATCTATGTATCTATGTAGATATGAACACCCTCTATGAGTACTACAGCTTCCTCCGGTTCTAAAGTTGTCGAAGCAAGAGACTATCGGAGGAGTTCCAGCTATATATCTTTAAAGCCCGCAATACATGCGTTGCATCCCGCTTCCTCGTGAGGATACGCATGCATAAGGCCCCGCAGAAAGATCCAAAAGATATACAAGAAGATGCCGCTGCAGAGCACCGGATGCGTCGAGAGACCCCCTTTTAGGGCCCTTTGAAAGGGTTGGACTTGCATGCGTACATGTGTGACAGGGAGGCGCTTGTGCCTGGCCAGGAGCCTGCTGGCGCTGTGATGAAGCTGATCGCATTCATCGCAGAGGTGGGCCCTGTCTGCAGGGCAGAAAAGCGTTGCGGGGAGGAAAGTACAGACTTCGCACATCGGCTGGGAGACTTCGATGAGGAGAGACTGGAAGGCGAACTCCAGGACCAAGGATGGCAGCACTTGCGTGCTCTTCCTCACGCGGTACTGCATCCTCAGCATCCTGTTCGAAACCACGAGAGGCAAACAGGGATATCTTTGGCCAAATAACAGAAAAGCCAGCAGCACTGAGCGAGGAAAATCCCTACTTTAGCCTCCAAGCCCGAATTCGTTGGACGTTAAGGACTCGTCAGGAGGAGGCCTCCTCGGCAACGCGCCACCATGCGGCTTCAGGGTGAGAGGTCGTTGACTGGTGCAGACTGACTTTGTTTCACTTGTGGCTGGAGAAGATTGTATGAGCGCCATAGAAGCATAGGCCCCCGGAATCTCGCGTGTTGCAAAGTCGCCTGCAAACCTCACAGCCGTAAGAAAAATACCTGTGTACCTGAAGCGTGCCCTCCGCGTGCTGCACAACCGAGCCTTTCGGCCCTGCCGAAGAAGGGATCGTTTTAGTAAGATCCAGCAGCGGCAATGCTGCCCCTCCCCTCCTAGTCCTCGAGCGCCGTCCGCATCATCCGCAAGGGCAAAGGGCAGACTCACCATCTGCTTCCTGGTGAGCGAGGGTGCTCCCCGTCGCGAGTTTGCACAACAAGACTTTAAAGGTTCCCGTGGGCGAAGCGGCGAAGGAGACGGGGGCCTCCAGAGCTCCTACAGGAAACACCTGCTGTTCCCAGTCGCAAGCAAATCGACGGCCCTTCAGAGCTTCATCGAGGGACTGAGGGTTCTGCAAGCGGTCAGCGTCCAGGAAGGAATACACTATTGCTCCTTGCAGAGCCTGCAGCACACAAAGCGGCACGGAGAAAGATCCACTGAGGACGGAAGAAGACGTAGTGCATGAGCGCGCGCCAAAAGCGCGGGTGGAAGAAGTAGAGTTCGAGGGGGGCAGCCACTCAGAAGCACACATGGGCTTGCATGCATTCTGGAAGATGCTCGTTAACGGGGACAGCCCCTCGTTAACGGGGTCGGGAAGGGAGAGAGAACGCAGGGATTGTAGGACACAGCAGCACCGATCAACAGACAGCGCACAATCAGGCAGTAAAATGCAAACAGTTAAAGGCACTATGTTGACCTTAATATCCGCATGTGTCAAGAGAGCCCTATCTGTGGGGCAACAAGGCGCATGTGGATAAAGGCCTCCCAAGCAGAGGATCAAACATGAAGGGCGGCCTCGTGAAATTCTCACCCTGGCCTGAGACTCAAATGACACCTCTGTAGCCCTAGAATTCAGGCTCCAGGCCCGGACGATGTGGAGGTCGGCGGTGTAGTAGGAGAGTTTGAGCCAATACTCCCATCCCGCCAAGACATTGATATCATCCAAGAGGCATATATCCAAAGGCTGCGGTTCTTCTAAGGCCCGCGAATCCATTTTATAAACAATGAAGAAAGAAGCAAACAATGAAAAACGTGGTAATGTCTTACCCTGGACTGCAAGGGGGCCCCCCTGGGGGCCCCGTCACAGATCCCACTACCGGCTACCGGCCACTTCACCCGGAACACAGTAGGATGAAGAAATTTAAAAAGACACGAGAGGGATGCGCTCGCTCAAAAGCATGGCCCAAGGGTGCCTCCCGGCGGAGTGAGGACACACTTGCCCTACAAGCTGTAGGCTGAAATGAACCGTGAGCACACACAGAAGAATCAAACGGTATGCCATAAGCATTAAAAACGTTAAATGGAAACTTAGAGCACACATTACATACTGGGACAAGGAAAGCGCGGAGAGGGTCTTTAGAAAAAGTGCTGCAGTTCTGGCCTCTGGGCTGGTCACATTCACAGGCCCCCCGTCGGCTGCGCAGGCTAAAGCACACTGCGACCTCCACTTTCCGTACTACTAGTCGATGTCTATAAATTTTGATTCGCCATAATGAATATGACAGCTAGTATTTTGCGATGGAATAATACTAAAGTCTTTCCGCCTCAGCAGTGTAAGCCCTAGCCAATCGCATGCCGCTCTGCCACAGTGGCACTGATCCGGCCACTCCACAAAAGCAAAGCAAACAGTATCACTTCAAGTATTCTTTTATTCCAAAGATGCTGTGCCTTGTATCTCTGCCTTACCTCGTCCAGGGGCTTATCCCTTCCTGTTGACCCATGGGGTCTTTGTAAAACATCAGTCTCTACATGCAACAGCTTGCTTAGTGGCCGGCACTTGAAAGCAAGGTAATCGGGCACAATTCTAGAGCATTAGGCATATTCGGCTTTTCTTTAATCGTATTACTGGGCAATAGATAGGGATACTCTACGCCTTAAAGCCCACTCGAACCCTATGAAAACTGGCATGTCCCTTCCCATGAGCTCTCCTTCTCCTTACTCTCACACTGCAGTTTCCAGTCTAACAGCCAACCGAGGTGTACGTAACACTGTTGTCTGAGCACTGAACCTATCCCTACAACACGCAATCAGACATGCCAAGCAGCAAATACCATGGACGTGCAGGCAAAGCCTTCGGCAAAAACCCTAATTATTCTTGCTGAAATGATACTGCTGTTTTACTAACAGCCTCAGTATAGCTTGGCCCACTACCGTCTACACAGGCCGCTGCATGTGAAGTAACGCAAGAGGATAGGGAAGAGGAGTTCTGCCCTACAATGTGTATAACTCATGGAGTTGTACGCATCCATTTGCAACAGCTCATGAGTTGGGCTATCCTAGCCACTCAGGTGGATTTTAGCAAGCTTGACAGGCTGGCTGGCTGTAAGTTTTTTTAGTCAAGCAGCCACCGTGTTAGCATGCGGCTTGGTGCTTGACTTTAGCAACGGCTTTGGGATAAGACAGTAGGACACTTTAAACGCTCTGCTGCGTCAGATACCCAAAGACATCGAATTAATTTACAAAGTCCCAAATGTGTGGCGGTGGCTAAGTGGCTAAAGAAAATTACAGCCAGCTAGCCTGTCAAGCTTGGTAAAATTATTGCTCAAGGCAGCTGGAATAGCCAAGCTCACAAGCCATTACAAGTCATTGCGAACAGTTACGTGAGTTACACTCAATGTAGGGTTGAGCTCATCCCCTTTTTCTTTTGGCTATGACCTCACGGCATTTTAACCGGGTAAACGATTAGTTTCTCATAGGCCCTCTGTCCTTTGCAACCTGAGCTGCAAGACAAACATATGCTTTCATCTATTTTTGCTATGCAGATAGCGTAGCTAAATGCGTGCACTTTTATACAACTGTAAAACAGACCTGGGAAGTGGCGCTCGTTGGGGTATTCAAGTTCCAAATCGCTGGAAACAGCTCAGGGGGCTCCACAGGGGCCCCGAAGCGCTCATGCGGGGGCCATCTGCGCTGAGGAGAATACCGATTAATCAGAAGGCCAGCAAAATAGGTCTTTAGGCACTTGAATTCATGTAGAACTCTAGTGACCGAGCACACACTCGGCGCATTCAGCTGGGCCTCGCAGAGCCTTCACAAGTCAATAAAACTGTGAAGGAAGTAATAAAAAGACTAAAGAGCTAAGATGCAACGTCGGACACACTTCAGATGTACATACAACACCACAGAACCTCATGGAAGTATTCTCTCCAGTTTTGCTCTACGCCGTCGAGTGGCGACGAGGCCCTCGACGGAGAAAGTTGTTGTACGAGGGAACGGCAGCTAGAGTATCTGCTGCTCTTCCTAGTTATATGACTATGACGTGAAAACCATCTTAGTTTGGTCGCAAGGACGCGTGAACGTATATATTTATAAATATACATACAGGTGCTCATCAGGTGCGAAGATGTCGATGTATGTCTTTAGGTGCACATGCATATCGGCAACCACTCGTGCATATACAAGCAGATGTGTATCTAAAGTGCATATGGTTAAGCAATGCAACCTGCACTATAAACATAGTAAGACATATGAGCACACAAAAATCTGTACATTCGCACATATGTGCTTACACCCAAATGTATTTGTAGCTATGCCCCTTGTGATGCCCCACTCCAGCACCAAAAGGTCTCAAGGGGCTCCAAGGACAATTAATCATCAAGCGAATACATCTTCGAAAATTGGGGTTTGGAAGACGAGGCGTTTTCTTTGTTCCACGCAACAATTTGCTTCCCGTTAGCTGTATCTGTAGCATCGCTGTCGTCGCTTGCCGCCTCCATCATGAGCCCATCAACCATTCGCCTTTTCAGCTCCGCAATGCGAGGCCTCTCCTGCTCAGTTGCCGCCGTTTGTCTAGGGCTTGCAATGCGTTTTATGTCTAAGAGGTCCTGAGAACGACTGAAGGCCAATTCACCTCTGGGGTTCTTCGAAAGGTTCTTAGAGCCACTTTTTTTGTGCTTGCCTGACTTTCCGTCAGCTTCCTCATCGATTTGCCGTTTCTTTTCAAGATACGCTTCAGCCGCAGGTAGCTCTGGTGATTTTTCCAGATACTCTCGTAGTTTTTCGATAAATTCATAGAGGCCGTTTGACCACAAGTTCCTGTCCCTATCGACGCGTCGAAAAAACAAATCATGAACCCCTTGGTGGTTGTGGTAGCGCATGTAGAATGTATTGCGGTCATACTTGTCCGGAAGCACTAAGCTGATTGCCAAAAATGAGTAACCACCTTTTTTTTTTGCACCAGACTGCACCAGCCCCCCCAAAACCGGACAGCCACACACAGAGAGAGACACAGAAGCTGACATAGCGTATGTGTCAAAGCAGACTAAACCAATTTTCTACCCGTTACACGCAAAATAATGCAAATAACGATAGTAAAAACTGCAGCTAAAAGGCACCAAGTAGAGCAAGGCTTTCACTGTGAGCTGACTAGGTGGCATATAAAAAATCTATCTATAGAACTGAACACACATTCTGTTCCTCTCTCTCCGGCTTGTGAACAGTTACTTTCGCTGCTAGCGCATACTTAAAACAAAAGAATACCACATAGCAACTCACGAGGCATTCCTCCTTGGAATCCCAATATTGCCATTCCCATTTTCCATTGCGTCTTTCAGTTGCCTTGAAGTAGAGAGGGATCCAGGAACCGCCGATTGAACTCATAAGTTTGAGGGGCCCCTCCAATACTTTGCTGAAAAAGCGGAGCCTCTGCAGGTCGCTCATGCTATTAATATCAATTTTTAAAGGCTCTCCTCTCCCTTCTGCTTCGTATTGAGCATGAAGAAGAGCCTGGTGGATTAGAGGCGACATCTGATACTCCCCAAGATTTACATTTGCGGTATCTAGACGGTGAAACGATAGCTGAAAAGCCGCATTTAAAAAATATTATTAAACCTCATTATCTCTTCTTGGCGCATTGCACACATTCTTTGCCCTGCTGCTGCCTAAATGCCGCTCACCGGACTAGCTCATTAGCCCTCAGCGGGGAGTTTTATTAGTTACTGGTATATGTATACGCATTAAGCTCTAAGCATTCTGCACGGTCCGCTCGTAGAGAAGAAAGGGTAAGAGGAAGCTCGTGGAGGAAGGAGGCCGGAGAAGGCAGCAGCGAAGCATAATAAACTATAGAAGATAATAAAATAGGAAGACGTAAAGCAAGCTAACTTCTCTAGTATTTCGACTCACAATGATTTTACACGAGATTTTCCCTGCGTTCATCAAAGCATAACTTTGCCTTTTTGGAAACCCCACGTCAATTAAATCCGATTTAACTTTGATGCGGCATTCTCCAACTGGCTCAGAGCCAATGACACCATGGCGAAGAACCCGCACCTGAATTTCTCGCTCGCACTGTCTCACATGCAGAGTAAGCCGTTCCTGAAAATCGACAGATAAAATGCCCGCGTATTCATAAATTATAAAAGAATCAGCAAAGAATAATAGCGGCAATACAGTACAGAAGGATGCGCCGGTACGAGTTTCAGCTTTCTACAAACAGCCCCGAATAATATCCCGACAGGTGGAAGAAACACGTCATTGTGTCCACAGCAATGCATGAATAACTGAGACATGAAAGGATACACCCATACATGGACAAATGTAATGTACAAAGTGGCTTGCCTGAATTTCTACTTTGGTTTTCCTGGCTTCACTTTGGGTGGTCCGCGCGAAGAATCTACCCGCTCGCAGTTCAACAGAAAACTGTCCATTTCCTTCGATATTCATGATTTCATGGACCTCCACCAGCATGTCAAACTTATCATGGTCATGACAGCCGAGTTTCCGGAAGCATAGGCCCAAAAGGTAACATTCAGAGGGATGAGGGATTGCCTGTCTGTTACGATACACACAAATGCTACCAATTCCACAGGCGCATGTGGCAGCGCAGCAGGCTATCGCCGCAGGATCAGGAAAGAACATTGTTGGAGTTTACTCCTTCCCGCCACGAAACAAGCAAATAGGTGCATCGGCGCAAGGAGCCGTGGCCCGAAAGAGATGCAGAAGTTGGCAACGACTGGGAGAGACAAACGCCGACGGGGACCCTCCCCCACAGCTCACAGCTTGAAGACCGACTCCACTGGTAAAGCCTTTCCTGGTGGTAGGTGAAAAAGAAACATCATTAGGCCTTTGTCGCACCTATGAGAGTTAAGTAATCAGGAACCCTGAAGGCTTGAAAGACGGCTAGGCCCCTTAAGAGGAACCCTGTTCCTCTTGCTGAATAAAGCGTCGTAGTTGGTCTTTATAAGCTTTGACACCGCTGCTCAGCTAGAGTTTGTAGAGGGAAACGAGTGGGCCACTGCCTCTCGACACTGAGGTGGCCAAGCAGAGGCGGGTTTTGAAAAGGAATAATCTGTTTAGAAAGCCCACATATCTCTAGATAACTGATAGCGTGGCAGTTAAAATTCTTATTCCGGGTGTCCAGCCTTGAGAGAAGGGTGGAGCACTGAGAGGGACAAAGAGTGCAAGGCTTCTCGCCTGAGGCAGCGGACCAGCGACAGCCCCACTGGTACAAGTAAATGAAAAGCGCCGTGTGGACTATGCTTCTTGGGATGAAACCTGATGCTTAGAGGGTCTAGATGTGATAGAAAAAACGAAAAGAAGGCAAGGAGGAACAGCACGTACCTTTTTATTGATAAGGTGTTACTACAATAGCACCTCGCTCACCATCGGCAGCTGCTCTCGCTTTTTCTCTCCCTGCACTTTTGCGTACCTTCGAAGAGGGCCAACTTATTTTCGTTCAGTGAATTTGAGTAAATTAAAAGTATCTCAAGGCTCAATTTCATTTGTTGGCCGTCGATATTGCAAAACAAGATGTGAACCTCGTGACTCAAATCTAGCCGTGCGGCTGCGGGCTACTGGACATGACAATTGGTCTTCCCCTCCTATATATACGCAGAAGTCAGTTTGTTTGAAGCGTTGAGACTTATATCCTATATCGAGTCAAAATACGGCATCTCATATGTGGCCTCAGTAACAGGCATTGTGGGGTCGGCTGCTATGGGAAGGGGAAACGGAAGACCTGGCTGATTGTGTGTTGATGCTTCTATAAAACGTTTGCTGAGAACTAGCACTCCGAACATACTTAAAAGTGCATGTTGCAGTCTTCCAATTTGTCGAGTCTCTTTTAATCCAATCGTGCTCCTTTGGACTTGGAGAATTACATGTGGCCTCATCACCGAAATGTGACAAAGACTAGGAAGCGTGGACGACGCCAGCTTCAACATTTGCAGAAGCGTCATTTGTGGGATCGGCTGCCTGCGAAAGAATTCGGGGCTCTTCCTGGCTAACAGCGTAGCTGCCCAGGATTATTCTGCTTCCCTAGGGCACGCATTGCATAACATAGCTAGCGTCATCGACGGGCAACGCTTGGGGAAATTGGCACTTATTTTTGTACCAAGCGTCTCCTGAACTCGGATATATTCGCAGCCACTATTAGATATGTTGTCCCTACTTTCTCCTCAAGGCCCTTAATTTGGCTTTGGAATATTCAATGCTGAACGACCGGCTTTAATCATACGCAGGGCCAAACGCACTCCTGAGCTAGGTTTACAATTCAACGCGATCGCACATAAGTCTTCTTTTACAAAGGTATTGGACATAATGCGGACTACTCCGCAGGTAGCTTCAGATCAAACTAGCGAGCATGTGTGTTCTAATACCTTATTTATTGTTGTTTAGTTTGGTCGATAAAAGGAGACACAATGCTGTGTGCGCGTGCGCTACATGAGATATGCAGCTAGCTGTGAATGCTCGGAGGGCTTAGGCCTTGCAGCTATGCACAGACTAGCTGGTTCTCTCCCCCTCGTGTCTTCAACTCTTAGGGGTGAGAGCAAGGAAAGGAGGGATTTGACTGCCTTCCCATGGAGACCGACATGTAGAGTCGAATGTGCAGAACAGCTACATGGTGTCACTCACACATATCTTCATAGGTATCCTTAGATACAGCCGTAACAGCTCCTTCGGCCTAGTGGAACGATGCCTCCACACAAAGACATCCCGTCCGTCCCAGGCAATACCCAACTACCAGACATAGTAGCAAGTTTTTCGATAAGGTAGCTAGAAGGATGACTAGCTACCCCTTCAGCTCTCCAGCTATCCGGATAGCCTAGCGGAAGCTTGAATAGCTAGTAAAATCAAACCGGCTACTTAGTATAGCCCTAAAGCTAGCAGTGTACGTGGATGGGTAGCAGGAGAGCTAGCTCGGTTGCTGGGCTCCCAAATTTGGGGGGGAATCAATGGGAACAAGCTGTGCGTGCCATCTCAACTTGACCGGCGGAAAGTTCTGGGCCCCTGTTCGCTTGCCATACTTTGTAGTAAAGCCAGCTATCGCAGCATGAGCAACAGAAGCGACTTAGTACATTTCTGAGGGCAGCCCCTTAGAGTCCCGCACGGTAACCAAAACTGACTCTACCCCGTTCAGCTGTGTCTTCTTGCAGATGCTGCAACAAATGGTTTGCCCCCATGCTTCAGATCCCTAGAGTGCTCGCACGCGTAGCTACTGCGCCGCGGTTTAACTTGCTGCCTCTGACTCCTCGCCCTCTTGAATTGTCTGTAGGCGTTCCTTTCATCTCATATCACTTCCAATCCTCCTTCCGCGCACCTGCGTAGGTCTTAGCAGAAATTATGCCTTAATAGACATAATGCTACGCATTGTGAGATTTTAGCGTTACTGGACCTTCAGTTTGGCACTTCTGGTGTGCTATTTCAATCTTCTCACCCCACTTCGCTATTCATGTCTCCAGCGTGCATTGGATGGCTAGGCCTCGGCCGAACCTCGCTTCCTCTCAAAGGAAATCCACAATACAAACTGAGATGCAAGAGCTCAGAGTTTTTAATAAATGCATGATTTCATTAAATGGCGCCCCATTGGCTCTGTGGGGGTTAACACCTTGGTTTTGTCGTTGCGGGGCACGCTAACTTGACGCCTACCTGTGAAGGGCGTATGCATGAACTATTTGAACTGCCCCATAGAAAGACAGCAAAAAAGCAAAAAATAAATGCAATATTTCATGAAATTAAGGCTCGGCGCTCAGCTTTGTACGAATCTATCGGTGGGGTTTAAGCACAGTGTCTGGACACATACTTCCAAACTGGCCTCTGACTCAGTTTCTCCTCTTAATTGTTGTCGAATGCGATTACGCTGCTTCAAATTACTATACTATTACGTAGTATTACGCCTGTACAGCAAAAATAGGGGGCGAAGATAGACTTACTATCCTCAACGGAATCGCCCCCTGCATCCCCTAACCCCCGTGCTGCACTGTCCCTCCTGCCTGGCGCTTTAAGGGGCTGCGTGAAACGGCTACATAGAGCTCTGCGGAAATTACTTCTCTCTTTATCCGGTTTGATTTTAATGTAAGGACTCAAGATTTACCCCCGATCCCTCTCCATAGAGGCCCCTGATTAGCCCACACCGGCATAGCTGCGGCTCGACAGGGTCCCACTCCGGTCTTGTACTCGTTTACTCAAAGAGCTCTATCCCTATCCTCGCTTTCCCTGTTTTTACAGCTACCACTTTAGCAGCCTGAAAACTAGTACACCCCGAAAATGCGGGGGTTCTCATTGCAAACCCTGGTGGGCCTGGTGGTGGTCCTAGCGGGATATGCACAAGCAGCAGAGGACCCCGCTCTGTTCCAGCCTCCTGTGTTGCCCTCTGATATATCCCAGGCAGCTCAGCCTGCTGAGCATTCCTCCCCCCATGCTGACCAGGCTCTTAATCTGACCAACAAGCAGGCCGAGCAGGTGCAGCAACCTCCTCGGGACCAGCAACAAGTAAAGCAAGAGCAACAACCGGGCGAAGAAAAGCTGTTGCTCGGTGCATTGAGATTCGACACGCTTTTAGAGCATATGGGCGAAATGCAAAAGCGGTTCTTCCTTGCAGTGCTGCCGGAATCTTGGGTTGTGCCAAAATTCGCTTCTGCGTCCAGCTCAGAACTCGCCCAAGTGCATCAATTCTTGAAAGATATAGCTGAACCTTTGGGGGGAGTCGCTTCGGTTCCTGGAGCTGTCGTCCAGCTCGCTGAGTCAGGGGATCTGACAGCTCTGCTTCAGCAGAATCCCCAGCTCCCTCCTGTCTTCAGAGACCTTGTTTCTGCATCGACCACTACAAAGGGAAGTCAACAGGGAGGAGAGCCTCAAGTTCTCTCTGGCCTCATTGCTGACTTGGACTCTGCTAATTTGGGGAATGTCGCGAAGTTGTTCCAGCTGCCAACAGAACTAGAGCTCCCAGTATCTTACGACGGGCTGTCTTTCTTCGTGCCCGTTCTGGTTCGCAATGTTTCTTCCATTGAGCTTCCAGATCTCGGACCCACTCAAGGCTTACAGCAACTTAGCGTAGACGTTCGAGACATTCTTATCCCCATCGCGCAAAACAAGGGGCGCCTGCTTTTCTCAGAAGCCTCAGCAGTCTTCCAGGGGATCGAGTTGCCACAGCAAATCCCCATCCAGCCAATCGCACTCTTTTCTTTCGAGGTGACAGCAATTACTGCTTCTAAGCTCATATTGCTCACTAGGCATAGTGCTCCACAAATTAGAGTGCCTGTGTCGGGAGCCGCGTGAGTACTGGCAAAGTGCCCCCTGCGCGAGGATACGCATGCCTTGTTCATCCAAACCCATCACGGAAACTTCAAAGCCTGCAACTAGAGACCTTTGAACTCCCATCCCCGTTAAAAGGCCATAGAAAGAAACCAAGTCCGGCGAAGCCTGTGCGTGTTGTGCGCAGTTGAACGATGTGGACACCCTGTGGTCTACAGTGAAGACGTCGGTGCTCAGCAGGCTCACTCTGCTGGGCTCTGATGCACCCGCACTGTTCGGCCCCGTCATGCTGGTCACATCTCTGCCGCGTGTGGCGCTGTCCCTCAACGGGGTGCCCCGAAACATAGGAGAGCCTACTCAACTTGCCCGCATTATTGCGGACTTTACTTCACAGCTCAGAAGAGGCCTTAGGAGCTTTGCGGACCTCACAGCGGAGCGAGGCGTTCCCCCCAGCACTCAGGAACTCATGCGCGAACCCCTCGATGAATTTCTTAACCTGAAATTCCTAAATTTCGGGATCCCTGTTGTCGGTGAGCTATATGATCCCTGCAGAAAACGATAAAATGTTCTTTCTCACTACCTCCCCCCTTTTCACGTGGGTGGTGCTTCTCCTGGTCCCTGCCTACTTTAAGGTGCAGCAAGCTGGGAACAGGAGAGCTCGGTTTCGCTTGCATGCGGGCTCTTCCCATGTGCTGGTGTGCCTGTGTATTTGCACTCTTGTGGTATGTACCTGTCTGCTGGCGTATTTGTGTGGTTCCAGCTCCTCATCCATGTGTGCGCTTTTCGCTGGGTGCAGGCATTCCCCGCGAGATGGAATCCTGCGTGTTCACCCCGCTCAAGACCCTTAGTCTGTGCAGTGCAACGGATTGCCCCATGGACCTGTCTCTGCCCTCCTTCCCCGACTTTCTGGTGGCTCCTGAGGCAGCCATCTTAACGCTGCAAGAGCGGATAGAGGGCCTCATAAGAGAACTCCAGCAGGCGGTGATCGATCTGGAAAGCAAGATCAACTCTTCTCTCCCACAGGGTCTTAGCTCCATCAGAGACGCTCAGGGTGTGCACCTAGGATTAAACTGCACGGCTTAAACAGGTTAAACACCAAAGTATCTACTCGCTTCTGTGGGAGTTCCTCTCTAGACTTCTCCAAGGCCTTGGATGAAGGAACTCAGTGAACGAAAGACGATAGTTGATTGTCTTGCAACGAAAAAGGGCACCGGTATTCTTGGTGTTACTGCCATTGCTGCTGCTGCTGCAGGTGTGTCCGTTGACGAGGCCCTCAAAACTGCCATGGCGCTTTCCACCACTTTGCAAAAGACTGTGGACGTCGCTAGTGAGAGGGCGAGGGGACTGTTTGGGCTTGATGTAGCTGAAGCAGCTGCTTCGGCGGCAGCAGCGGAGGCAGCAAGTGCAGCAAAGACCGTCATGCAAAGCCTCGAGAATCCTGTAGGCTTTTTGGCTTCTCTCTACGGGCATTCATCCACTGACGACCAGAGCGAGCATGGACTTCTAGCGCATAAACGCAAGTTACAGGTGAGGTACTTGAGCGTCGAAGTCCAGATGCTGCGCATCGTTTGAGGATGGCTTTAGGGCCTTACATTAGTTTCTAAGAAAGCAACACCTGCGGAGTTTCACTGCTCATGTTGTTGTTGCTTCTTCAGAGCGGCCTCATCACTCTGCCTATTCTTTCCCGGGGCCCAGGCTTGAGCCGTTTAGAGTTACCTGGTCAGGGATCTTTGGAGCAGCTAATGTCCCTGCGCGAGCTGACATCGGCAGTTCAAGACTTCGTCCTTGTGGAGGGCAGTCCCCTTCTTTCTGGCCTGTCCCCTGCGAATGCGGGCAAGACCCTAGGAACTCTGTTTAGGGAGCATCAGTTACCAGACTCGCTGCTACGCCAGCCACTAAGCAGCCTTGTGACTGATGCTAGCAGCCTTCCTGCCACCCTTTTCGACCTCAACCTGGGCCAATTCCTCTCCTTCTCCGCAGCCCTACAAGACATGCTCACTGCCCCCATTGTTGATTTTCCCAGCCTCGCCGGCCTTATCCTCAACCCAGCTGCTGTCCTTTCCCTTGTTCCAGGTGGCCACGCACCACAGCCCCAGCGGGCCTCATCTCCCCTTCCAGTCAGCGGTGGTCTATTCTTCTAAGCCAGCCTCACAAGCCCTGGTCAGCACGCATTTCTAGTTATGCGAACAGAATTTTGAGGTACCTGTCCAGGCGAACAACAAGTGTTTTAAACTAAGTTTGAAGAGGCTCAGTTGTATGGCTGCGGGGAGGAGGCTGTTCCAGAAGTAGCCTAGTGCCTAGTGTCTCGTGGCGTTCTGAGAAGTCCAGTTGATGCATCCTGCCCTCTCATGTCGGTACTGGCTGGTGCCGTTTCGGGTCTTACGCAGAAAGTCTCAGGAAGGCCGGAAGATATAGGTGTTAGTGCTACGTAGCGAGAGACACGGCCGCAGAGGGAGTATGTTCGAAAGGCTCTCTGGAGGGCCCCAAGTTCAGAGGTAGACTAGTGTAAACCTTTCTTCCAGCACCTCACCCATCTCTAAGTGCCGACGAAGACATAAGGAAGAGGACTTTCTTGCCGGCTATTAGCACTTGGCGAATGCGCGCACCTAGGAGCAGGACCAACGCACGTACCAATTGGCATACACCAATCTCGAATTAGACTGGTTTATTTCCAGCTATTTTCTTGTGTGGCAACTCAATAGATGATAACGCATTGGACAGCATGGCAGGTGCCTACTGCATGAAGAGTACCATTGGTGGACGGCCACCGATCCGTAGCATGCGCGAACGAGCTGTCTAACGCTGTTCCCACAAGCCTCTTAGAGAACAGAGATGTGGTTTGTTTGCTATATCTGTGCTTCTGCATGGGAAGCTGGAGGGCAGGCAAAATTGCTTGGATGTGAGGGGTGATCACGTACTTGCCATTTCCATCGACCGAAGTGAAATGCACTCACTCAGGGCTGCCTGCTTTCATCTTTGTTACCAAGATTGCGCATACAAGAATGGAATGAAGAATAATGATTCCTGAATACTGAGACCTGGGTAGAATAGAGCTGTGCCCTGCGACTCCCTCACTGTCCCCATGGAATCCCGTGGCCTCCGACCCGTAAGTATTATCGCCTGTCTTTCACTAGGGTGTATCGGGCTTTTCACGCAAGCCGGTGTAATTAGGAGTTTCCCAGCCAAGTCTTGGTGGTATTCGCTCCTTCCGCACTAAGTGACCTCCTTTTTTGGAAAGTTTGAAGTTTTCCCCGATCCCTGGGGTGTCCCCAAAACGTCGCCCATCTCGCGAGGAACCTTTGATAAGGATATCCGAATCAGGCTTCTGGCTATGTACCTTTGCCTCTGGAGGATCTCGGGGCCCCATGACAGGAACCAAGGGGATTCTTCGTTTCCGTTCTCATTGCAGGAGTTTGGGACGCCCTCAGGGAAGGCCCTACATTGGCGTGGTACTAGTGCCCTTCGCCAGAGGCGACTTTCCGACACTTCTTATCCAACGGATGCCGATGGGGACTTGGAGCCTCCACGACGGCCGCAAGGCTCTAGGGGGATTACCCGGGATCCTAAGAGTCGGAAGGCGACGGCGGTGTCCCCCGAGACACTGAAGTTCGGAATGCCTCATGGGCGGGGGCCTTCAGAGTGTTTCTGGACTTTTCAGAAAAATGCCGAGGACCTGAACGAAGTTGGCAGGGGCGTCTGGTCCGCCTCGCTTGCACTAGGTAGCTTCCTGTATCGGCAGCCAGCCGTCTTTTGGGGGTCTCTAGAGGGGGTCACCACCAGACCCAGCCTGTCAGCTAAGTACAACACTGCTGGAGCTGCTGAGAGTCAGTCCGCATCGAAGAAACCCCGGGGCATCACGGGTAACACTCCCAAGGAGACCTTGGGGAATGTTGTTGAAATGGCCTCTACTGGAGTCCCGAAGGTCTTTAGGATTTTGGAGCTTGGCAGCGGCGTCGGCCTTATAGGGCCCCTCCTCCGGCGGCTCTTTGCCCGAGGGGACTTTAGCGCGTCCTCTTTGGGTTGCACCAAAGGGGCGTCTGACCTCTCTGTGGAGGTATATCTGAGCGACACGGATCCAGAGGCTCTCCAAATGTGTGAGCGAACACAGCGGCTGGACGAGTCCATTCTTGGACTCCTCCACGAGGGCATCTGTCCTAGTGGCTGCCGTGAAGAGGCCTTTGGACATGGGTCAAGTCCCGACTTGGCAGCAGCAAAATCACCGAGAGCCCATTTTGAGTGCTCTCCGGGAACTTCTGTCAAAACCTTTGTGCGAAGACTCGATTGGAGGCACGGAGGCCCCTGGGCAGCCGACGTTTCAGGTATATCCCCACAGACGGATCATTCACGTGTAGAAGATGACGATCCTGAATCTCAGGATGACCTTACCGTGGCAAGGACCCGAGGTCAAGATGCGTTTGAGTGGACTCGAGAAGAGGTCGAGATGCTGCAGAAAGAGGGTGCCCTTAGCTTAGTTCTAGCGTCAGATGGTAAGCATGAGCAAACGCAATCGTTATCATTACTCACTGAGAACCCCCCTCGGAGTCCCGAAGGGAGCGTTACGCTACGCGGAGGGATAGCTCTATAGCTACCAGTTTTGAGTGAAACCAGCAGAGAAGGGAACTGTTCCCAAACGGTGTGATCAGTGTACTCTAGTATCGGTCTTATAGGCACGCGTTTTGCGTTCGCATGCCAATTTGGCCGTCGATTTTTTCATCGATTCCGCGTTTCTTTTCGTATCCTCCCCCCACCGTCCTTAGGTACTGCAGTGTATGTACGTAATGTGTGCCTGCGTGCGCTTGCATATGCAGTGTTGTACGACTTTAACTTAACTTCATCCCTTTCGAATTTGTTGTGTGCCATTCTGGAGAAGAACCCTTCATGCCGCTGCCTCCTTTCCCACTCTCGGCGCTTGGGCATTGTGTGCCCGACTTCCTCTGTCGCGGTCGATATCTATGCTGAAGACTTTTTCGACAGATTCTGCTCCAGTGACCCCAAGGAAATACAGATTGCAAGCAGACGGTTTCTGCTGACCACACATCCCACCCCTCCAAATGCAGTCGTCTTTGCAGGATACTCAGACCCTGTGGAGACTGATAAGGTAAAAAAGCTCATTGAAAAGGATCTTGCGTCGCTTGTTGAGGGCGTTGATGGAGAATTAGGGAGCCATAAGGATGCTCAGAGGGCCCCCAGAAAGGCTAAAGAAAAGCAGTTTAGGCTGAGTCCCTCCGAGGCGGAGGAGGCCACGGCTTTCGCAGAGATATGGGAACTTACCCTAGCCGAAACACAGCGGCCATAAGGGACTATAAAGATCGATATTTACTGTGTATAGGGGTGTGTGGGAATGAGCGAGCAGGCAGTTGAGTACCTCTCTCCCGGAGGATTGGGAAGCCCCCAGGTTTTTTCTGTTGGAGTTTATCCATCTCTTCTTCCTCAATTTTCCTGTATATTTTGATTTTCGAGCTTTAAAGAGCTGCTATTTCTGGCAATGGGAGCCCTTAGCATACCCTTTCCGTTGATCTTGCATGCGTCTAAAGGGTCACCTGGTTGCTGTGTGCTCCTCTGCACCCGGCAGAATGTTTCTGCTTGTTCCTTTGGGCAAAGCTAAGCTTGAATCTAAAACAAAAGCCAAATATTTACACATAAACTGGTCTATATCCTTAGTGAAGGGGACCCCGTTCTTTTCCTAGAGGATTCGAACAGCATTGGATCTTGACGGTAGGGGGTTTAAGGATATAGAGAAGATGACCTCGCTGCAGTCATCTCAGGAGCTCTACCTGGCTCTCTTGAGTGGGGATGCCATGCGAATGGCCCTACAGTGGTTCGCTATGCCCACAGCCCTGAGCAAACGCGTGTCTGTATGCAGTCAAAGACGCATGAAAGTTCCTCCATAGTCCCCTATTCGTGTTCAGATCCTTCTGTCCCCTAAAATTTCCCGAGAAATCATGCCTTCTCAAAGGCCCTGTTCAAGGCATTAGAGCGGGGATCGGTGTGGCGGCACACTACGGGCCATTCGTAGGACTCATTTTGCTATCCCCAACACGCCGCTGCACAGTAATGCCGCTTTGCGCAGGGATACGGAGGCAGAGAGTAAGGGAAAGCGCGAAAACCGGCTCATGGGGCATCAAGAAGAGCTAAGGGCCCATAGATGGACGGCTGGAGGGACAAATACCCCGACACAACAAGCGCCTCATGCGCCTGAGAACACTAGTCAAGACTCAAAGCTCAAATGCCAGCTAGATAGGGTGCTGATTCTGCTTTCCGTGGTGCTGCTGATAACGATGGCTTTTTAATGCTGCTGCTGTGTATTCTCGTTCATTAGGCACCCTGAACTTTCCGACTCGATTACTTGTTTGGCGGGTTTTGTTGCCATTGTTTCTGCTGCAGCCAGAGAGCGACTCCATTCCTCAAGATGCTCTCTCTTCTTGCGACAGTGACGGCAAGACACGTCCTTTTAAACCTTAAAGTCCAAAGCATGATTCCCAAAACCTTTTACTAGAAGAAACTTACATCAGGGTGTGCGGCGGCTGCTTACGGCAGTTCACATGCGGTCCCTGTTGCCGGTCCTGATTCAGTGTCTCATGAATATTGCTCGGTGGTCTACCGGGAAATTTTGGAGAAGCAAGGGGCTTTGGAGAGGCCTCGAGCGCATTGCACCCATACCATGATAGTGGAGGTTGACCGTGGGGCAGACGACTCGAGTCTTCCCCGTTGCGCTTTACACAGCGCATGTGGAGAGCAGCAGGAGCCAGTCCTGCAGCACTTGCAACAGAGGCCGTACGGGGTCAGCTGCAGCTGTGACTGCTGTTCGTGTAGCTACAGGTGGCCGTGCCCCGACAAGGAGGAACACCAACAAAGGCGGTGTGTGTCCTCGTTAGATGGCTATCACCATCGTACAGAGTTTAAAAAATTTCAGAAACAGCGGCACCAGCCTCAAAAGCAGCAGCATCGGCGTTCAGTACCCTTTCTGCCTTCTAGGGGAGGCCTCGGTAGGAGGAGGAACGAAGCCCTGCTCCAGAGAGTGGGGGGCGGCTACCAGCTCTACGGGCCGATCCCGTGGAATTCCCTTAAAAAAACAGAAGCTCAAACAAACACTCCCGTATGCTACAGCTGTGTGGATAAAAATTTCATAATCTGAATACTACTTCTACAGGTCTTTGATCTAGAAGGATGTGCAAGGTACTTATCAAAAACTTCATACTGAACACCAGGGTATCCGAAGCCAGATTTTGCTAGCTGAGGAATAATTGGGATTTTTGTTGATCCGATGCAGCTGGACATAAAAAAACACGTTTCTACGCAAACAGCACAAACAGGAGCAAGAGCAGCAATAGCAGAGCCACAAAAGAGGGGTGGCTGCTCCCCATACCCTAGCAGGTGCTGCCGCAGCAGTTCCTGCACACCCTTTGTACTCAGGGGATGCCCGCAGCACACACGAGACCCCGAGAAAGAAGATAAGCGTTGCCATCACTGTATACTTAGTGGAGATGTTCCCCTTTCTAAGGGGTTCCTGGAGGCATACTCACGCGCAATGCCTCCATCAGCCAAAGCAGCAGTAACAGCAGCATCAGCTAAAACACCTGCTGTTGCGGATAAAGAGAGGCCTAACATTATTCTAAAGCCCAAAGAATATATCAGAGCAGCTACAGTCTCTGCATGCCGCTGCAATGCAACCCTTCCACGAACATTCAGGCAGCAGCAACAACAACGGCATCGCGTCACCGGAAAGCCTGCTGAGCGACCCTGGTGCTGCTCTTCAGCAACAGCCCCCCCTGTCTATTCGAAACAGACGAAGGCGCAAACGAGGATGCAGAGGGTTTGCCCTGCAGGAGCTCCCAGAGGCTTTCTAATGAGAAACGCCCCCAGCGGGCAAACTCCCTCCGTCCTACAGGGGCACGCGAATGCCCTCGCCAGATCCCTCAAGAGCTCCCGGTCTCAACGGCAGAAAGGGTAAGAGCATGCATTCCCACTGTATACTAGCTTTCAACCCTGTTTTCTTCACTCAACGCTGAGATACCTTGAACTCTCAACTCGATAATTTCGTGGGGCGCACCTGCAGGAACTTCGGGTGCTGCCCGCGCTGCGACAGGGCTCCCCACTTGGCCCCCTGCTGTACGCAGTCTTCGTGCCCCAAGAGTGTCCTCTGGAAGTCGCCGAGATTCTGCATGGAGGAATTCTAAAGATGCAGTCGCTTCATGGGCCATATGGACGCAAATCATTTTTGGAAGCAAACTCTGATAGGGCTCCTCTTGAATCGATAGGGAGCAGCCCAAGACGGTAGACTCGTGGGGCTTGCTCCCCTTACCTTGGCTCCATACACCTATGTGGAAAGATTGGGCTGCAAAATGGCACTGCGTGAAGGCCTGAGGGGCCAGCGCAGTTTCCTTTAAGCAAGAATGCACCCAATCCGCTCAGGCCACGCAGGCTCTTATGAAAGGGTGCTTAATTTACCCTTAACTTGCTGAGGCTCTGTCTACTCGTAGCCTTCGATCATTGTCTGTGACTCTCGTTATTTAGGCGACCCTGTGGGGGTAGGAGCAGTCAGGAAATGCCTGGCATATCTACACGTTGTCTCACCAGCACACATGGGAACTCTGCAAGCACTACTTCAGTCCATGCTGCCCTCAGTCCCACTCGCAGCCTCCAGGCTTTTAATTATGCGGTTTAGGTGCTTTTGAGCTCATTTGGCTGCAGATTAGGATAGGCTATAGAGAATGCCTGCTTCTTTTTGGTAAAGCAGCAGTTGAAAGGCTTTGTTCAGCTGTGTGGATACGAGAAGAGAGGAGCTTGACAGTCTTTCATCCAGACAAAGTCGCGATCTTCAACGATGGCGCAAATAAATGTATATGTGCTAGCCTGTCAGTGGTCCTAAACTGAATTGGTTGAGTTCTTGCAATTTAGCGCAAGCTTCGGGTGCACTTGTTGCAAGCCTGTCGCATCCAATGCAGTTCACATTGACGCACTTCCTTTCAGCCTGTACATTTCACATAACTTGCAGGCATTTATTTTTCGAGGCTTGCTGCGCTGTGCCCTGGAGAGCAAACAACGCAGCGGACGGACCAGCGGTCCTTCGGCGCATACGCGACCCGAGGTCACTTGGGAGACTTCAGGTACCCAGATGAAAACTGCATGAAATTTTATGCAAGAACAATAAGTAAATAGGATGTTCCCCGTAAAAGAGCCAAAAAAAAATTTTGGGAGGGGTAGGGGGCCAGGCTCCCGGTTTGTGGGGCTGTTACTCTGTTACCTGCTGACTGTTCCCCTCCTGGCAAAACACCCCTCTCTCCTCTAACTCTCTACCCATCTCGCATAAAGTGCGCAAAAGTGTCCAGATAGAGCACAAAATTGGAAGCGAGCGTCCTCGCCGCAGCAGTCAAACGTGCACGTTTTCCCTCTTAGAACATTACAGAAGCAGCTGAAAGGGGCGTCAATGATGCAATTTTCTTTTCTTCCATCCTGAGTTTCAGGCCCTTAACTCTGATATCTAGCCCTAAATTGTACTCCATCGACCCCTTAACTTCTTGGGAAAGCCCCCTTTTCCGCCTGATGGACGAACGCTTCGTCAAAGACTCACATCGCAGAGACATTCAGCCGTTACTGGGAGACGAGGGTCCCTCCCCACCCTCCTCTTCCGGTGCGGCTTTGGGGGCTTCAACCCGCGGCAGTGAGCACTCAGGGCCCCTTTTTTCTTAACTCCCCAGATTACGCGTATCAGCAGCACTGGCACGACTGAACGAGCACGGATTGGATATTGTGTTGCCGCGCAGACAAAATGCACATCTCAAGCCGCAGTACTGAGAGATACCCAGAGGACAAGCCACTTTCACACCCACAAAAATGGGCGCTGTAAGCTTTTCAGGGGCCCTCTGGAGGCCCTCTCCGAAGCACCCCTCCCACTAGCGATGGAGTCGCTGCGCCGACTTTGGAGCCGCCATTTGCCATGTTCAGAAGACCCATTCCTGCATGCGTGATATACGGGGTGCACGAACGTGCCCATGGTGTTTCCACGGCTTCATTCAGTTGAATGGTCTTGAACATGCCTTCGTTTTCTGTGTTCATGCCCCCTAAAGTCGTTTATTGTGTACATACACCCAGAGCTGCCCACAATGCGTTTCTTTGTTCATCCCATGCTTTTGCATTCCTCTGCTCGTGTGCATGAGAAAATGTGTACACTTGAGTAAGCAACCGGCCGCTGTCTATCGGCGAAAGGGCCTCATTCTTGAAAAGCACTGCATGAGGTTTCTTTAAGGGGTGCTAAAACGATAGGGTTGAATGTTGTGTTGTCGATTGAGTGCCTCAGTACCTTGCTGGCGGCCCGTGCATCTCTGGGTACGGCCCTCCTTCCACTCGCGGTGCGGCTGCCCTCCTCAATGGTCGACGTTAATGAATGGCTCGCATGCCAAGGTCTGGCAACACGATCGTTGGTGATTTCGCATCACATGGTACCTCTGTTGGTGTTGCGCTGCTCTCTGTGTTTCCAAGGACTCGCCCTCTGTGGCGGCTTGTGCATGTTTTGCTGTCTGCTGCTGCGTTACTTCACGCGACATGAAACGGCAGCGGTCTGTAGGTGAGGGTGCAGACGCGTGTCAAGGGGAAGGCGCAATTTCGCCCCAGCACTGTGGGCTCATGCATTTGCAGTGTATGACATCTTTAACGAGTCGACGGTGGTTTGGGGCTTTGTCCGAGACGTTTGCAGCTGCCGGCGCTTGACTGCGGGGGAGTGAGTCGGGAACTTTGTTGAACGCGTGCCAAGAAGCATGCTCATCGTGTGCAAAAGACAGGGCATATAGAGGAGCCGCCTGTGACGAGACAGCGCAGCCTCTCAGGGAGAGTCTGAGCACATATATACGCGCAGTGAAAGTTCCCTAAAGTCGCTTGCTAGGCTGCTGGTTATGCATACTTGGAGCATGCGCTCGCGTGCCCTGCAGGAACCCCTCTCAGAAGGCGGGGGATCCGCAGTGCGTTCGCCTGTTTCTGTTTAGTGGCTGGGGTGTCGTGTGCGTGCAGTGGTCGCATCATGCACGTGAGAATCTGCAGTCTGCGTCTGGTCTCATTCTCGCATGCGTGAGGCGGCTGTGCATCTGCCTCAGCTTCAGTTTGGTGGCTGCGACGGAGCCGTCAGCGCCTGCAAGAGATCACATTCGAGCCACCCTCAAAAAATGTCGGTCTATCCTCAAGGACCCTCGCATATTTGCCTGCCAGCCTGGTGCGTTTGCAACATCCGAGTCTGCGCAGCATGCGTGTCTTGCTGCCGAATTTCCAGCAACAGACGGCGGAAAATGCACATGTGCTCGCAAAAATGAAAACTGACAAAAAACGCCTCACCCTCCTTGCGTGGGAGCGCGTCTGTTGTTAGGTTTGTGAAATAGACGCAGTCCCACTGGGGGAGTTGGGAGTTCTCGGGGTGCTGTGCAGGTCAGGATTTTCCGCGAAACTTTCCATCGTTTGTTTCCCACATTCTCGTACAGCTACTCCAGATGTACTGCCACATCTACAGGCAGCACTTTGATTGGTTGCTAGAGGTAGGCCCGAAGCCTAGGTGCCCTCCCTAAGCAGCAGCGCTGCTAAGCAGCAGCGCTCTCCACCTGCCGTGCAGCCAGCGTAATGTGTGAACTGCGCCGAAGCGACAGCAGCCTCAAAAGCGTTTGTTGCCGCTTGACGCAGACAGACACAGTAGCCCACGTGAACTGCTGCTTTAAGCATGCTCTCTTCTTCGGAGCGGAGTTTCGACTTGTCAAGCTGGAAGACGTTGCGCCAATCCGGGCAAGCAGCACGCACAGTACACAGGGCCTCCGTGGGGTTTTGTTGAGGCTCTACGGCTCCAGCAACTTGGGTTTTGTAGAAAGACGCCTTGAAATGCCTTCTAGAGAAAAAGGGTGCAGGGAGCTCTCGATCCGCCAGGCATCCCTCTTTCGCCCATCCCTTCAACATGCATCCTTGGGAAACTGGGAAATGGGGGCCTTAATACCTTCCTCGCATCGGCGTCGTGGTTGCAGAGGAAATTTAGAGATGATGCGCGCAGTGCCCGAACGCTATGTAATGCATGCAGAGGAGAGATTTTCAAAGAGGCAGTGACCTCCACAGCTAGCTGCTTCATGGCAATACGGTGCGAAGGGATTTGCTTGTTTGCTAATTAGGGCTTAGCCTTCCACTTCCTAGAACAAGCTCAGCGCGAGATCGCCGAGGCCGAAGCAGCAGAAGACACCCAGAAGCAACAACCGCAGCAGCAGCACCTGCTACACAAATTGCTGCCGCAGATGCCGCCTCAGCAGCAGCAGAAGCCGCTGCTGCAGACTCAGCAAAAACAGGGCCCTGGACTGCGCACAACACAGCATGCTGCAGGGCAGCACCCACAACCCGAGATGCAATAAAATGAAGCTTTGTGCAAAATGCTGCCTCAGGAACCTTCTGGAGTCCAAGGAAGGTCTTGAGCGAGAAAGGGGCAATAGGCCTGCTCCTCACTTGTGTATATATGTATATATACATATATATACATATATGTACATATATATATACATATATATATATACGTATATATATTCGTATATATATATACGTATATGCCGCATTTTCACAAAGGCCCTCTGTAGTAATGCCCAACTACTATGCAGGGGCAGAAGGAAGCACGGGGTGGGGGAGTCGGGGGAGGAGGATGCCAACAGCTGCTGCTTCACACAACACGGGATATATACAAGGAGGTGTCTCAGGCCTTTGCCACCTTCCCCCCTACAAAGCCGTGCAAGCAACCTTTCACTCGATAGGACCCTTTGCCGCTGCTGTTGGAACTACAAACAACACGCGAAAACTCTCGAGCTGAGGCCGACGCACAAACACACAGACATAACACATAAACACACTGCCACATCCACAGCCGGAGGTTCCGGCATCATACATCCTGCGTGCTCCGCTCGAGGCTCTGATTGCTCTATTCTGTCCAGAAAATAGCCCTATAGAGTTCAAGCGTAGTGAAGTCCACGTTCATAAGCCCCGCACTCACCCCTTCATTCTGCAGCACAACTGACAGCCATCCGTGAACCGTCTCATCCTCTGGCACAACTGAAGCAAAGCCAGCAATGCCCCACACCAAACCCTAATTTCTGAGCCCAACGTTTGGGGGTAGTATGGGGGTCGAAAGGAATTACTTAGACGCACGTAGAGCCACGAGACCCTCTGGCTCCTTCCCCTGGTTGCTGTTGCTGCAGTCCACCAACGCCTGAAAAAGGAGGCATACGAATTACCCCTCAAACCGTAAACTTGCACCCCTTGTTGCGCTCTGACGACAAACCCGAGGCATTTGCCAGAGAACCCCCCTCTTGAGCCTTTCGTGCACACCTTTAGGCCAGCGATGAGGTGCTTCGTCAAGACAGACCGAACAAAGGAGATATCCTCCAGAGCTGGCAATCCGCAAACACACGCAGTCTGGCAACGACTCTACTCCACGAACAATAGATAAGGCGGCGGGAACTTCGAAGAACAGCAGACAGCTTCTTTTAAATGCACGATTTCGTGGATACAGCGTAAGAACTGCGTGCTGCGAACCTTCTTGCCCTTCCGGCACCAGCCGGCTGCAGCGAGTGTACATGGCCTTGGCAGTGACCAAGTCGGAGGCTGAGACGGCGCACAAGCCGCAGGCCTGAAGGCTACGTCTTTTCCCCATAAGAATTATGAGCTGCAGCCTCCCCGAAGACAAAAAATGCTGCCTTATAAAAGAGGCCAGCCGCCCCCCTAGACCCCCGCTTCCCCCTGCCTGCCTGCCCCCTGAAGAGCGATATTTTAGAGCTTTAGAGAAGCTGCCACGCGTTGAAGCTGAAGGGTAGTTAGTAGGAAGGCGCAAGCAGGACCTGCCGAGATCGATAGGTCGAGGGCGCTGGGATCCTGTTGATTTGTCATCCCTTCTAAAGTCAACTCGTCGCTTCCTGCAGCACATCGAGTCTCGAACCCCCCTCCTGAGTTGGCTGCAACAAGGCGCTCTTAGTCTGAGGCATCAAGGGCCAGAGGGTGGCGTCCAGAGTCAAAGTGTGCAAATACCAAGTTTTCGGAGGCGTTCGAGCATCGCGAGGAGAGTCTTCACTTTGGGCAGCTCCACATTTGACTGAGCAGGGAAAAGCCCACACCCTGAACCCTTTGCACATCCACAGTTTGAATCGCCTTTCGGAGCACCTCCATCATGTGCACTTGAAGAAAGCACCGAAAAAAGCACTATTTTTGAGACACTCAGCTTTGCACGGCCAAAGCGAAAGCGCTTGGCGCGAGAGGTGTCTGAAGGCAGAGGAAGGAAATGCCAAAGGGTCAGAGTTCAAGTAAACTTTTGTTGTCGCTCGCCTTGCAGAGAGGAATATCGGGAGTTTGAGCTTCGTCCACAGCTGCGCCCTGGAGAGGCACCACTGGGCAGTCCTGCAGCACAGGGAGAAGAAGAAGCCTTTGAATTTTCAGCATCCTGTTGCATGCATGCAGCGATTCGCACGCCAACGCATAGAGTCTCCCCGTCTTTTTCTTCTGTCCCTCCCCCCTTCCCTGGCGCGTGAATCTTACTTGTGTGATCCACACATTTGCCAGTTGCAAGTCAGTGAACTCGAAGACTAAGGCCCCTTGACCATTCCGTCTGAATAAGCGCACACAGATGTGTCTTCTCACTACTCGAGTCTCTAGGAATTAGCAGCTAAAGACTGCCGACGTCGCGCCTCAGGGGTAAAGCACTTTCTTGGCTAGCCCCCTTCCCTCCTCCCTTCTCCCCCCTTCCCTCCTCCCTTCTCCCCCCTTCCCTCCTCCCTTCTCCTCCCCCCTTCCCCCTCCCTCCGCAGGCTGCTGATTTTTTCTCTCTGGCCTGCCTGCACCCCAAGCTAGAAGGTCTCTGCGGTCCAAGCCTTACGCACTTTGCCAGCTTAACAGAAATGCGACGACATGTCTGTGCCAACTTGAGGGTTGCATGCAGCTGCTTGGGGTCGATCTGGAGGGCCACTGCACCACTGCGCTTGCTTTCCAGGATCCAGCCCAGGCTAAAGACATCTGCCTGCAAAAAAGGAACGTGAACAACAACCGCATCCCTGGATCGGGAGAAGCTAGCCGATTCAGGAAGCAGTCAGACTAGGCAGTTTGCCGAGAGACTCCAAAGGGAAACGCCTTAGTCGGAGGCTGCGGGGGGCAGCTGTCGTCAAACACGGGGTCTCTGGATGTGGTGTTTCGACCATATTAAGTTCGGCGTAAAGCTCGCAGAGCGGTTGCCTCGTGTTGAGAAACAGCTTTCTTGGCGTCAGCTTCAGGCAACAACTCCCAGGGGGGCCTCCCTTGGTCAGCCTTTGGAGGGCTGCAGTTATTCCTAACACACACGGAGCAAGCACCCACAGCGGATGTGCCTCTAGACACAGACACCCCTTTACCTACCCTCGCATCCTCGCAGGCCCCTCAGAGTTGACAGAAACCTCGTACCTATCAGATGAGGCACTGCCTCGAGGCGGAGAGATGCGCTAAACTTCATTCTGGAACGAGGCTCAGAGGGGAGGAGACCTCAGTAGGGCAGCGGGGGAGGGAGGGAGGAAGGCACGGCCCCTCGAAGGGGCCCCTCAAGGGGCCCCCGCGAACGGAGTACGCGAAGCAAGGAGTGCTTCGCCGCTGTAAATGGAGCCGCGATACCAAACGAGGAAGGACCGTGTCACTACCCAAAACGTAACTCCTGCGATCTCGAATTTCAGTAGACTGCAACGCAATGTTCATGAGCTTCCACGTGCAGAAATTAAATGCATTTTCTTGGTCTGGCAGCAGGGAAACGCGCCGTTATCCCCTGGAATGAGAAGTGTACGGCCTTCCCTCCTCTGTCTTCCAGCTGGTATCACTCAGACAGCTTCCCCGTTGGCTGGGGCCCCCCCTTTGGCCATGGGCTCCACACAAGTCTCTCTCGCCTTCTCCTGTCCTTTTAGTTGGCTAAAATAAGGCTTTTTGAGCCAAATAAATCTGCATGCAGGTCATAAATACCCCAAACTCCACGGAATTCCGTTATTTCTTCCTGGCGCGCTCCCACCGACCACACCACCTTGGGGCCCCCCCTGTCCTCTCCTTCTTCTCCACGGGAAAGGAGGGAGGGAAGAAGAACGAAGGGGCCAAAGGAGGCTCCTCTCTGATCCCTTTGTGGAGGCTTCAACTGGCAAGGAGAGAAGCTCCTTCCTCCGCATGCCCTCGCAGACCTTCCCTCCCTGCTCGCATGAATGACGGACGTTTCCAGTGGATGGCGCAGATCTGAAAGCGCAGCAGAGCGTTCTGCCGCATGCCCTGCCAAGACGCGAAGCGCTTTTCTGGATCGCAGCTTCGCGTAGTGTCTCCACGGAGCCGCGATGGCAGCAGAGACCTCCCAGGCGCTCCATGCGCCGTCCCCCCTCCCTGCAGCTTTCAGCAGCATGCAGGAGCAGTCCAACGCTTCCTCCCTCCACCCCACTGAAAGGAAGGCCACGCGCAACTGCCGCAACGAGAGTGTCAATGCACTTATTGGGAGGCTCGTTCAAAGCCGGATCGCTTGTTTAGGCGTTCAGAACGCCCCTGCACCCGCAGTACAGAGGGCGCGCAGTGCTGCCTGGGGGGGCCTCCTGCATGGCTCTGCGCACTGTAGATGCGGCACAAGTTGCAGCACAAGCTGCAAAGGCGACGGTGAAGCCCAAGAGACCCTGAGCCTTCTGCTGCAGCAGCAGCAGCAGTTGCTGCTGCAGCGCCGAACCCAAGAGGCCTCCTTCTTGCACCTCGCAGCTGCTGCGATTTGTGGCGGAGCGGACAGCGTCTATGGCTCCTCGGGGGGCCCCGCTGAAGGCTCGAAGGCGCCTCTTCCTCTTCCTCCTCCTCCTCTGCACAACCTCCATGACGCTCTGCTGCTGCTACTGCTGCTTGCCGGTGCAGCTGACAAAGAAGACGCGCTAACAAGCGGAAGAAGAGTTGTAGCGGCGAGAGCGGCTCGAAGCTCAGAGGCACCAGAACGGGAAACCCTGCGGCAGCGTCTGCTGCAGCTTATTCAGCAGCAGGAGCTTTATCGAGCCTCTCCTGAGCCTTTGAGGTCCCTGTTTAGCAGCGAGGGCTCAAAGGCCTTAAGGCTTTCTTCTCGGCTGCGCCTGAGGCAATGCCAGCGCGGGGCCCCTGCGTGCAGTGCGCGGCTTCCCTTTGGGGGGTTCACAGGGGGGGGCCCCTCTGGCGGAGGCCTCTCTTCCTGCAGCTCCTTCTTCAGCGCCTCCCTGCCTGCCATCGAAGTCGAGGAGGCAGCGACTCCTGCGGCAAACAACCAACTCTTTGGAGCGTGGCTTCCTCGCACGTCTGAATTCTCTAGAGAGGGTGTGAGGGCACAAGGGCCCTCCCATACACCGGCAGAGGCCTCGCAGCCTCCTCCGTCCCTCACTTCTGCTGCTTCTGCTTCTGCTGCTGCCACTTGCAACGACTGCCCGAGTCTCAAGAGCAGCAACAGCGGCAGCAGCAACGACAGCAGCAGTAGCACTTGGCTCTGCAGGGGTCCACCGGGTGCGCTCATTGGGGCCCCCCCGACGGGCCCCTTTGGCGTAAAGACGGAAGCCGTGCTGCGAGGAGTAGGGGAGTCTTTGTGCGCGTCTTTCCGAGCCACCACCCTGTGCAGCAGAGAAGCCACAGCCGGAGGGGCAGACGAAATCGGGGGGCCCCGTCTAACATGCAAGGAACCCTTCCAGACCGCCTCTGAACACCCCTGGAGGGGCCCCCCCTTGGGCCCGCCCCCGGGAGATCGGCTGCGCAAAGATCCTGCGCCGGCCGCTGCCAAAGAGGCTCCAGAAGAGGGGCCTCGGCAGCTGCAGCGTTTTGCAGCGCTCGCGCTTAGCGGGAAGGAGGGGGGAGACGACTTTCGGCACGCTTCCTTCGAGGCGCTCTCGCAAGGCCAGAGAACATCAGGGCCCCCAGGGGCCCCCGCAGCGAGGGTTCAAGGAGCTCCTCCTGGCCTCCTAGCTCGCGTGCCGGAGGAGGCTGTGCTGCGTTTCGCTTCAGGGGTTCAAAAGCCTTGCTCCGCGCATCCTACGATGCATGCAGCGGATGCCAGTCCACTGCCTTTCGCAAAGGGGGGCTCCATGCCTGCGGGGCAGTGGCTTGCCGCCTCGCTGCCTTATAGATCCCCTGAAAGGGCCTTTGTCTTGATGCGACGCGCCGCAGCTGCACCCTCTGCAGCAGCAACTGCCGCAGCAGAAGCAGCAAGAAGCCTCGCAGAAGCCGCCGCAGAAGGCACCCTAGCATGCCTCACTGCGAGGTGAAGCGAAAAAAATTCCTCGCTGCCTTCAGTGCCTTCCACGGCAACTCCCGCAGCGCCAGGACGACCAGCACGGGGCCCCACCTCTTTTCGACGGCTCCGCGCTACCCCCTTCGAAAACGCTGCATGCGTCTGGCTGCCTCCCTGCTGTGCTTTCTTTCTGTGCAGACTGGCGATGGCGTCCAGAGGCGCTCGCGCCCAGGAGTCTCGGCGGACAAGGGGGCCCCCTAACGGGGCCCCCAGGCAACGGGAGGGCGACTCCGGGGGGCCGGGAAGAAGGGCCCCCAGCGTGCAGGTTTTGTGGCCTGTTAAAGGGCCCCCAGGTGCACCCCAGGAGGGCCCCCAGACGCCGCTTCCACCGGAATCTAGACTTCCCTTCTGGGTGCACTGCTGCTACCTCGCCCTGCTGGGGGCCCCCTCACCTCTGTTCCGCTTGGTGTCTGCCTGCTCCTGCCGCGCCAGCTCTGACGAGGCGCAGCAGCACGTGCAGCAGCTGCTTTCCCCAGAGGTTCGTGTGGAGCTCCAAGCAGTGACGCTCGCCTCTGCATGCTGCAGAGACAGCAAAAGCGTCTTTGCCTGCAACACGAGCAGCTCATGCCCCGGAAGACTACGACCGTTCTTTGCTGCAGCAGACTTAGCCTGCTGCTATGAGGCCCTCCTCCCTGCAGGTGCCGCAGCCGCGGCAGCAGAGGCTGCTGATGCCGACTGCAGCATTACAGGACCGTGGCGGGAAGCGCTAGCTCAGATCGCCGAGTAAGGCTCACTTGTCTCTGTGTTGTAGACTCCTGCTGCTGCTACTGCTGCTGCTACTGCTGCTGCTGCTGTTGTACGCGGCTTTTCAGCGGTTTCAGCAGTTCTCGCTGCGTGAGCGTGCGTCTCCGCCGCTATCCCCCGTGTTTTTGTACCTCTAAAGTCAAGCAAGGATGTGCTGCATGCTCCAATGCGATTGTATCAGGCTGGGGTCTCTAGTTCGTCGTATAAAGGCCTTCATTGACGAGTTCTTAACGCCTCCCACTGTACTGCTCTCCCGAGTTATCAGCAGCAGCAGCCACAACAGCAGACGCATTGACCACCAGCAACAGCACCAGCTCTTTTACGGCACCACCCTCGCCGCATTTGCCAGGGCAGTAGAAGCGGAGTTGCAGCATTTCGAGTTCTGTCTCTCTGCCGAAGTCATCTCGAGCATGCGCGCGTGGAGCTCTCCTTTGCTTCTGGCCGCGGCAGTCGATCGGTGGCGTCCCTCGCTGCTGCTGCTCACCCGCCTGTGCAAGCTTGATTTTTCTTCTGCCTGCCTCGACAGCAGCAGCAAGGAGGGGTGGCAGTTTCCGCGAGGAACTGCCTTGCTCGCTCGCCTGTTGAGGACCACTGCAGCCCTGCAGCACACCATGCTGCCACCCCCTTCGCAGCAACAGCGGCAACAGCAACTGCCGCATGAATGCGCGCTAGCCGTGCGGCTGTTTGCAGGCTCCGCCCCTCCCTTCCTCCGTTTTTTCACTCGCTGCTGCTACAAGGTAGGCCTTCACACGTGCGTGGGAGCGTCGGTCCTCGTCAGCAGGCGTGCAGCGCCGGCTCTACGCTTGGGAGGCCCTAAAAGCCTCGACTCTTGCCAGGCGTTTCTCGCGATTCGCCGCATCCCCGCTGTCGACATGCCCGACTCAGCAGCAGACGCATGCGTTTTCACGCTCTGTGCATGCGCTGTCGAGGTACTCAGGGCCGTCTCGATGACGTCACTATGGAGTTCTCCGTCCCCGCTGAGGTAGTGACAGGCGAGGGGGGCGGGGGGGAGACATTAGGGCCCAACGCGGATCTGCTCGCCGTGGGGGGCCCCCAGCGGCTGCTGCTCCTCCCGCGGCCGCTGGCCTCTTTGGGGCCCCTCGTTGAGCGCTGCCTCACCCTCCAACTGCTGCTGCAGGGGTGCAACCCGACAACAGCCGCTGCCGCATGCCTCTTCCCTTCGCAAGAAACGCTGCTAGCTGCTGGCCGTCGCGAAAACACAAGCCGTAGCCTCGCCGCGTGGATTCGCAGGAGGCCCTCAAAAACGCCTCGCAAAAACTCTACAGACCTTTTCGGGGCCCCTGGGGCCCTGAGATTCTCCGACTTTTGTGTCCGTGTAGAGACACTCCAGGCGCATGTAGTCGCAGCTCTCAAGCACAAGGGCAGCAGCAGCAGCAGCAGAAGCAGCAGCAGCAGAAGCAGCAGCAGAAGCAGAAGCAGCAGAAGCAGCAGCAGCAGAAGCAGAAGCAGCAGAGGCAGCAGCAGAAGCAGAAGCAGCAGCAGCAGAAGCAGCAGCCATGGCAACGGGCGTGCCAGCGACAGCCTTAACGCGCAGCACGATGGAGAGGAGGTTATTGCGTTCAACTCGCATGGGGGGGAAGGGGGGGAGGGGCCCTCTCTTGAAGTCCTCTCCAGCGGGGATTTTACCGACTGCAGCAGCAGTAGTAACAGCACTGCCCGTCTGCTCTTCGACCCAAGCAGAATGGCAGCCGTCTTGCAGCAGCAGGACCGCCTCTTCTTGCAGGCAATCGGCCGTCTGCAGGAACTTGCTGCTGGCAGGGGGGGCGCTCAGCTCTCCAAGAAACAACAACTGCAGCAGAAACAACAGCTGCAGCAGAAAGAGCAGCAGCAGCAGAAACAACAGCAGCAGCAGAAAGAGCAGCAGCAGCAGAAACAACAGCTGCAGCAGAAACAGCAACAGCAGCAGAAACAACAACTGCAGCAGAAAGAGCAGCAGCAGCAGCAACAACAGCTGCAGCAGAAAGAAGGAGAGAATTTGTTTGCCTGCGCATGCGCTGCAGCCGAGGCTTCCGTGAGGGGGCCCCTACTTCATGGGCAAGAAGGGTTCGAGCGCTCCCCAAAGCAACAGGCGATTCTGCCGCTCGAGCAGCAGCCACCAGCGAAGCGCCTCCCCCGTTATGTGACGCGCGAGAGAGAAACGTCTGCCGAAAATCCCGAGGGGTCTCCCGAAGGAGGACGTTCCGTAAAGCCTCCCGAGGGATACAGCGAGGGGGCCCTCTGTATCAAGTTTGGTTCAAGAGCCCCCGCAGAATGGCTGGGGGCCTCCTTGGGGGCCCTGCTGCAGCGGCCACTGCTCTTGCAAGAGGCTCTAGCAACACGGGCACTGTTGATGCTCGTCTTGGGAGATGGCAGTCTCGAGAGACTTCTGCATCAAATCAAACAGGCAAGCTGACCCTCCTGGTAGCGTTTCTGCTGTTGTATCCGGAGGTGTAAGCTGCTTCTCCTGCTCTTGTTCCTGCTCCTGCTGCTGCTCCAAGGGGCCCACGCGACTTTCATTGGCTGCTCTGCCCCCCCTGTTATGTTGCGTTTGCTGCTGCTGCTGCAGCTGCTGCTGCTCGGAGCCACCCACGCAGTGCAGGAATTTCGCCAGTCTCTCCAGGAGCGCCTGCAGCAGCACGCAGGAGAGGGCTGGCGTACAGCGGCTGTAGCCTCGGCCTCCGACCATGTTTTAGGGGCTGCAGATACTGCACGAGAGGCGCCTGCGGCAGCGAAAGCCAAATCTGGTGGTGACGCCGCTAATGCTGCTTCAGAGAGGGCCCTCTGCAAGGATGTTGAGCGGCTGCTGCACGGGGCCCTTCTGTCCTTTACTGCCGGCAGCAGCGCAACGGGAGAGCCGGAGGAGGAGGAGCAGCAGCAGCAGCTCCTCTACTTTGCATGCAGCCTGCGGCACGAAGCAGCACTTCCCACAGAAGTATTACCCCTCTCAGGAAGTGCTGCAGAGACTGACGCAGCCGCAGCCGCAGCGCAGTTGATGGGCCGCTTGCAGATGCTCCCCAGCGCCTCCCCGCCGCTCCAGTCTTTCCTTCCTCCAGTACGTCTCTTTTCACCCTCATCCCTCGCCAAAGGCTTTGACAAGCTGTACTTTCTGAGCTCTGGAGGGCCCATATCCGCCATGCAGCGTGGCATATGTTTCCTGAGGCTTGCATTGCTCGTGTGATGAGAGTAAAGAAAGGGGCCTAAGCTCGCGAACTAGGGCGCGCGAATTTGCTTGCTCGCAGCTCGTGAGCGAGCGCTATGCTGCAATTCTGCGCTTCGCCCTTCAAATGGACGCTGCTTTACAAGCGCTCTCGGAATGCTGGATGCTGCGGCGTCGGCAGCAGCAACTGCAGCGCTTCGCCGCGAAAGCCGCGCAGCTGCAGCAGCGCATGCAGCACTTCCTGAGGGCCGTTTGGGAATTTGTCTGGACCGAAGCCATTGAATCGGAATGGACGGTCTTCTCGGAGCACGTCACGACAGCAGCCGCAGCAACAGAAAGCACACCGACAGCAGCGGCAGCCGCAGAGCAAGGCAACTACCGTCTGAGCTACTTTGCTCTGGTGGAGGCGCATGCACGCTGTGCAGACAACATCTATACCAGGTGGGACGCACCAAAACCCTTTTAACCGTGACGGCAAATCCGTGAGTTCCCTGCAGAATGCCATATCCCCCATAAAAATATCTCCCTTGCTGTGGCTGCCGCTGCAGGTGCCTCCTTGCACCCCGTCTCGCCCCTTTGCACAAAAAGCTCGTGGCAATCATGCAATGCGCGTGGCGTCTCAAAGCCTTGCTGACGCAGTACTACCAGCACCAACAACTACTGGAGCAGCAGCAGCAGCAGCCGCAGCAGCACATGCATCAAGGGTCCATTGTGCGTGCCTCTTTGTCGCGCTGCCTCTCCCTTGCCGCTGCCTCCTCCCCTCCGCCTCTCGGCGCATCATCATCGTCATCACCTTCATCATCGACAGAAGCAGAAGCAGCAGCAGCCAGAGAACTAGGGTGCCTGGCCTTTGACTTCGAGCGTAACAGCAGCGCCTTTATTAGAGCCCTCTTCGTGTTGCAGCCACTGCAGATCCTATCGCCGTTGCTTCTCCGGCTCACGTTTAATGGGGCCCTTCGCCAGGAGGCCCTCCAGGGGAGACTGGCATCCCCCCACCGCTCCAGGGCCTAGTGGCACTTGGCAGAGAGAGACTTTTTGAGGGCACATCCTCCCCTTGAGGCTTTGGTTTGATCTGCCAACCTCTTTTTTTTCAAGCTGAACAGATTTGGGGTGTATGTGTATGGACCGGCCTCCCTGCGGGGCAAACGCTCCACCCACTCGCCTCACTGCTCAGCACTTCCCCCCCTCTTCTTGGCGAGCACTGCAAGTCTCTTCTGCCTTTTCCTGTGCTGGCAGCAGCAGTGGCTGCTCCAGTCTGCTGTGCGAGAGGCGAGAGAGGCCCCGAATCCCCTTCCCGGGGAGCCGCTAAGCGAAGCAGGCTCGCCTGCAAGGCCAGGCAGAAGGCCGTATATCTGGCTGTGCTCGCAAGGGAACTAAATAGTTGGTTCGCTATAGAGAGGAACTAGACCTCTCGGGAGCTAGCTTGCCAGCACACACGGCTTCGGGGCTGTAGAAGGAAGGCTATTTTATGCAGTAAAAGCGAAAAAGAGCGCTGCACCCGCCGTTACGCACTTCTCAATTCGGCATACGGGACCGAGCGCTTGCTGCTGGTGCTGACTCTTTTCTCTCTCTACATATTTACATAGGGCAGCGGATAGAGACACTGCAATGTCGCTATTGGCGCTGCTATGTGCGCCGCTCTAAAATAGCTTCCACACAGACTGCAGAAGGTTTTAACTCAGGAGCCGCGAGGGCCCGTTAGGTTTGCTAGGTGGTGCCATTAGGATGCAGTATCTCGTTCAGCGGCTGCAGGAGCTACTGCCACTAGATGCTTCGCTCTGTAGGGCTTCACAGCCCTGCAAAAGGAGGCATTTGGGCTCTCTTGCTCCCTCGCTCTTTCTGCTGCATTTGCATGCCAACCGCAAGGGGAATGTCTAGCGTCTGGAGCATTGCTGCGCTTACAGTAAGCTGCTGCTCAAGACTCTCTGACACCGGACGGCCCCTCGCAAAGTTAAGCCCCTGTTTCGTCGCTGCAAGCGCTACTGGGCTCATCTCAGCTAGCGCTAGGCAAAGAGCAACAGCGGCTTTATGCAGGGCCTCTCTATCAGGGTAAAGGGCAGAGACAAAGCCCTCCCGTTCTGCTTCTTGCGCAGAGAAGAAGCGCGCGGAAAAGCACACCTCCCTAACCCAGCTACCACTACGGACGATACGTGGCAACCGCTGCAGGGTTCCAATGTCGGGTGCCATGGCTAGCTGCACTTCCCTAACGCTGAACAGAGCATCTGCAGCGGCTAGCCGCACATCACAGCTGCTCACGAGGTCCACGCCAGCCCCAATGCACGGTCCAGAGATTGCAGCCAACACGGGTTTGTTGATATGTTCCACGCTGGATATGGCCTCTTGCAGGGGCGCCACAACTCTGCGGAGGTGCAAAGCGCGCCTGGCAGGGTCCGCGAGTGTAGCTGCTGGCGAGTTTACTTCTCTGCCGCTCTCCTCCTGCGGTTCGGCCTCCGTTGGCTGGAAGAGGGAAGCTGCATATTGCAGTTCTATGCCGCTACAGAAGGCTGCCCCCTCTCCCGTCAGTAAAACACAGCGGCAGGGCGCCCATGTATCCAAAATGCGCATGCAGAGAGGGAAGTCGCGCCAAAACGAAGCACCTAGGGCATTGAGCTTTCGGGGGCGACTGAGACAAACTTCCACAACAACGCCTTTTTGACCAGGGAGCGAAGCGGCAACGGACACACGTAGCGACTCCAACTCCTGTAAGGACCTTGGAATGTCAGGAATCTCAGACATCTTTGGCGAAAGTGGCAGTCAAGGTTTTATACTGTGCAAAACCGAGATTTGGGAGTTCGGAACGCGATAGACCACTGGTATCGGCGGCGGACCGTGCACGAGGGACGCACTGAATAAATAGGAAGCCACAGTAAACACGTATTTCAATAAATAATTCAGACCTCTGCAAAATCAATCATTGGAAAGCTACGCTTCTCGAGACCCTTGACTGACAGGTATATCCAACATAGAGTACATGAAGGGTCACCTGAAGCAGCTCATGCGTGAAGTTTCTCTGAGGATAAGCACTTCTTCCTTCGTTCTGAGAAGAAAATGTATAAATCAATGCATTTTTCAGTTAAAGCGAATGATACCGAGACGTGTAGGAGGTTCGTCACGATTGGTATCATGAGGGGCCCGTTCGCCGTAAGCCATGGAAGAAAGAGCTGCGCAAATCCCCTCCAAACTCATCTCATATCCCCGCGCGTTCCTTATTTCGTATAAATCGGATTTCGGCAGCCACCGAAAAGCGTGCAATCTTCTTATCATAGTTTATTTCCTTCCCCTTTCGCCGCTCACCAATGGTGACACAGCCCTCATCCGATTACGTAAAGTGACACCCGGAATTGTAACAGCCCCTATGCACGATATCTTTGTGTGAAAAGGAGTGAATAGAGCACAAATGGCCTGACGAGCCTGTGTCATTCCCCTCCTGCCCTGTGTCGTCATACTTTCCCCAGATTCCTCCCTAGTGCCCCGGAGGTTGGAGTGCAGCTAGCTACCGACCTCCACGCTGCTTCAGATACTCAACCAGCTTTGTAGCGATCACCAGCCTTAAGAGACGCCATCAAGGTCTCCCCTTTTGCTCGTTTCTGTTACCGTGTGCTCTGCGTTCCTTCCTGGTGCCACGGCTTTAAAACTCTAATTTAAAGCACTAAATGCGCTGGCGCATGGCTGGTGCCAGCTGGCAGTTGCCCTGCTGCACCAGCCCCGAGTGTGCGAGAGGTTACTCGCAGTGACCACCCAGCGGGAGAGCAAAAGGAGGAACTGGCCTCCAGCCTTTCGCCAGAAAAACATCCAGTGAAAGAAAAAATGGAGTTCGGGGAAACCCCCCTTGTGCCCCCATCCAATGCATAGCGCCTAAGTTGGCGCCGTCCAGGGGCGACCCCTAGGGCTTGTAGACAACCCTTTTGCTGCTTACAGCTCCGAGAGGTCAAGATTAAACGCCATTTCATCCAGCTGCTGATGCACTTTATCTAACAGCTCATTGTCAGTGGTGGCCCCTGGACCGAACGCTTGGGTGTTTCCATTAGAGGCGCCTTGAGCCCCAGGGAATGGGGTGGCTCGACGGGGTCCCCCGAAGGGGGCCTCCTCACTAATGCCCCCGTAGGTGCCCTGTGGCCAGACAGCTGGGGAGCCTTTGCATTCGGAAGCACCTGAATTGCTGCGAGTCCACGCTCTGCCCTCTAAAGTCGGCCTTGGGGAGGCCCCCCGTCGACTGGTTTGCTCCGGCTGGGAGGTCGACCTCTCTGAAGGGGTCCCAAAGGAAAACCGTCGCCCGTCTACAGCAGCGTTGTTGTCGCTGCTCGCGAGATTCTCGACTGGCCCTGGCCACTGCTGGTGACTTTGCTGCTGCTGCTGCACGCTCTGCGTTTCTGAGTCCCCTGGCCAAGTAGGCCCCTCTGCAGACTGACCCTTAGAAAAGGATCTGGAGGGGTGTATAGATGGTGAAAACTCGTTGAAAGGAGAGGCGGGGCAGCTGACTGGAGCAGAAGCAGCCGCGAATGAATAAGAGTCGCGGGCGTTGGTTTCTGCGCTCCTTTGAGTGTCGGTATCTGGCCAAAGGGCGGCATGGACAGGGCTGTGAGTGCCACGGGCAGCAGGGGGGGGGCCCTGGCTGCTGCCTCCAGAAGAGCTACAATTGGATGAATCTGGCGATTTGGGCGGCGAGTGGGGGCCTCTCCCTTCCCGATCCTGCTGGCTGGGTACCAATACCATAGGGAGCTGTACCGGCAGCACCTCTGCCCCTGCGCCTGTTGATGAGGAGCTGGTCTGCTGGGAGGGTTGCCGCAGCCAGTGGTCTTGCTGATCACGCGGTCCGCAATCAGCAAAGGGGTCGTCTTCTACACTGCGAGGCGCTGGGGGCCCCATAAGAGCCAGACGGTTCCCAAAGGGCAGGCCTCCCTGCCAAGGGGTTCCTCCCGCTTGGGGGCCCCCCAGAGGGGGCCCCTGAGGCCGGTTTGGAGTCCCCTGCTGGGGGCTAGCAGCAACGAAATCCCCGAAAGAAAACGTGTGCCAGGGTGCAGCAGCTCCGGAGGCGCTACTCGAGGGCCCTGGCGTTGAGGGTGCAACAGACGCGACACATGGATGCAAATCTGGAAGGACGCCAGGTGGGGGAGCCATCCCGGAGGAACCCCCAGGGGCCCCCTGAGAAGTCGAGCCTGCTGCAGGCCCCGAGGCCCAAGGGGCGGATGGGCCCTCTGGAGGAAGCAAAGGAATGAAGGGAGCAGGAGCAGACAGCCTGGGGGAGAACGAACTGCTGGCCACCGAGATTGCTGCTGGGAGGGCCCCTAGGGAGCTGCTGCTGCTGTTGCTGCTGCTGTTGCTGCTGCTGTTGCTGCTGCTGCTACTGCCATTGGGGGCAGAGGATAGGGGGGTTTTTGCCGGAGAGCGGGAGCCAGAACACGGCGAAGGAGGCCCTGCAGAGCCTTTTCCTCCACACGAGAGGTCGCTGAGAGCAGACCAAGGATCCTGCTGAGGGGGGCCCCCGGAGAAGGCCCCCTGGCTAACTCTATCGGCAGCAGCCACCACAGATCCTGCAGGGGTCGAGAAAGCCGGAGGCGGAGGGAGAAGGGCGAAGGTGGAGGGGCCTCCAGCCCTTGGGGGCAACAGGTCGGGGGCCCCACCAGCGGAGGGGACGGAGGGGCCCCTGGTAGCAGCCGAGGCCTCTCTCTCTGCAGAGGGGGCCTGATCCTCTTGGGTTTCTGTTGGCGATAGGTCCAGGAGGCTGATGGAGGCCCCTCGAGGCCCCTCTGACGAGCCTACGGCCTTCTGAGGCCCCTTCTGACGGCCTTCCAAGGAGCGGCGTGACTCGTCGAGCCTGTCTTCTGAAGGTTCCCCCTTCGCCAGTTCCTTGTCCACGTAGTCAGCTAGTTCTAGGCCCGCTGATAAGGAGGAAAGGTTGCGCTGCATGTCTTGATCCGTTTGGGAGAGAGACTGCAGCCACCCTCCGAGGGACTCCCGGGAGGCCTTCAGGTGTCTGTACGCCGCGAGGCGCCGGGAAAGAGGGGCCCCCGGGGAGGCGAGGATGGCAAGGGACTGCCGTAATTGGCCAACCTAAAAATTCGCCAGCAAAAAGACATAGCGGCAAGAAGCGGAAGCAGAATGAAGCAGAAGGGAGTGAGGGAGGGGAAAGGCGGGGACCATGCACACACACACACAGAGACACACAAGCACACACACACACAGAGACACACACAAACACACACACAGAGAGAGACACAAACACACACAGACACACACACAAAAACACAGAGACACACACAAACACACACACGCATACACATATATATATATATATATATATATATATATGCACACACAGAAGCAAAAAAAGCTTCTAGAGAGGACGCAGCGGACGCGCACGAACCTGCTGCTCGATGGGCTCGACCGAAAGGCCCGAAGAGTTTGCCGAAAAGGAGGAGCCAGAGAAAGAAGAAAAAGAAGAAGGTGATGAAGAAGAAAAAGAAGAAGAAGTTCGGCCTGGTAATGGTGGGGGAGGCGGTGGCGTTGGCGGCACTGCATGTCGCGGAACGCTGAAGGCAGGTGATTCCTAAAAGGTCGACCAAAGTACACATGACAAAGCGTGTTTTTGCATTAAAATGCTCAGTGCAGCGCGACTACTCGTGCCAGACAAGAGCATAGCCCAGGAGCCAAAATGCAGATGGCTTCGGTGGAAAGGCAAACGCAGATTCCCGCAGCGCGCCTTCCGGGAGACTCGCCCCTTCAGCATTATCTCCACACTTAGAAAGACTGTCTTTCTTGGGCCTGCTATATATACCTCTGCATTCTTGACGAGATACCTTTGCGATCGATCAATCTGCGGGAATTCTACCCCTGATGTAGGGATGTGCAGAGACACACACACACACACACCGCAGACGCAGAAGCAAAAGCAGATGCCCTTCCAGCGCAACCCTTCTGCAGAATCTAATCTCTCGCATTTCGAGACACCGTCCACCCACCTTTGCTCCGCAGCTTCCTGTACATTGCAAAGAGGGCGGGGCACCGCTCTTGGTAGAGCACAAAGGAGTCTGCGCCCACATCATACAGCTACCAAAGTGTTTATATATATTTGAATATATCAGTACATAGTGATATATATATATATATATGTATACGGCCTAAACGCTCACGCCTGCGACCACCCTAAACACAAGGCCCGTAAAGAAGCAAGGGCGAGCGCTCGAGCCATCCCCACCGTGCCATAATTGCAGCATGTACAGAACCTTCCGCTTCAATTTCTGTATGCATGCACACAAAGAGCTCCAGTGCCAAGGAACCCTCGCCTCCCCTCCTTTCCCCGCAGCCCTATCCATCCGAATTCCTCAACAGCACGTCAATCGACGTCCTAAGCAGCTTGCATCTCACATGGATTCTAGGATCCGTCGCGACTCCAGGATGAACAAACGGCCTGAATACACAAATCCACCCGAAACGCCGCTGTCAGATCTCTTCTTTTATGCCTTCGTGACATGCCCGAATGCCGACAAATCTAAGGCCACGTACCCGCCTATAATTTTTGTTAGCTTCTCCTTGACATCCTTTGTAAGAGAGCGCCTGAAGGTCGTCTGCACGAATACACACACCTGCAGCAGGCGGCCGAACACGCGTGAGGCTAGAGCAGCGATACATCTTCCCCGAGGTGAAGCTAAAGCAGTGATACATCTTCCCAAGGGGAGAAGCCAGAGCAGCGATACATCTTCCCAAGGGGAGAAGCTAGAGCAGCGATACATCTTCCCCAAGGTAGAGAACGTAGAGCAGCGATACACCTTCCCAAGGGGGAGACGCTAGAGCAGCGGTACATCTTCCCCAAGGTAGAGAACGTAGAGCAGCGATACACCTTCCCAAGGGGGAGACGCTAGAGCAGCGATACATCTTCCCAAGGGGAGAAGCCAGAGCAGCGATACATCTTCCCAAGAGAAAGAAGCTAGAGCAGCGATACATCTTCCCAAGAGGGAGAAGCTAGAGCAGCGATACATCTTCCCAAGGGGGAGACGCTAGAGCAGCGATACATCTTCCCCAAGGTGTAGGCAGCAAGGGTGCCTTTTACTGACGATCTTGAGAACCTTCGCCATCGATCGGAGAAAGTGCTCGTCCATGTGTCGTGCAAAGTCTAGGCCATTGTTTTTCACGCAGATCTCCACCAGCTGAAGCAGCGCTCGCGTAAATATACATATATATATACATATACCCAGACCCTACATACACAGAGAGTTTACCGTATCCCTCTGTACAGCCTTCTTTGCGAAGGGCCTTCGCCGAATCTCCTAAGCCGCAGCAAGACATGCTTCCTCCAAAACACCGTAAATAGAGGCGCAACGCTTCCTTACCTCTAGGGCCCTGTACATGCCTTCTGGGTCGGAGCCTTGTCTCAGCTTTTCTGCAGCTTGGGAAAGCAGATATCTCGTATTGTCACGGCTGGTTGAGCAGGCATCAACGCACTGAAGGGCCAAAGAAACACTAAGATCCAGCGGTCCCCCATGGTAAGTCAGGCACGAGGCCACTGCATCGGCGAAAGGGGGAGAAGCCCCCCTAGGGAAATCCATGACGCCGAAAGTCTGCGTCTTTTCGGTGCTTTAGGCAGGGGGCAGAGAAAGCGTTGAGACAGTATTCCGCACAGGCCAGTCACATGAGCCGGAGCGCATACACCCGAGGCCCCTGCAAGGAAGTGCGAAGCCGACGAACCCTCGCAGGCGTTCCTGGGGGCCCCCTTTGGCGATGCAGGGGCCCCCAGAGCCGTAGCACAGGCAACGGCCTGTAGGAAGAAGACAGAGCCACCAGGCGTCGAGGATAGCGTTCAGACGAGGCACAGAAAAACAGGATCTCCCTTTTGGGGTGCAGCAGAGGAAGGCACTGCGGAACAAGCAGAAGGGAGTAGCAAAGAAATCGAGAATAGAAGTCACACAGACGGATAGCAATGGCACTCGCAGGAGATTATGACACAGAAAATGTACAATAACCCCGAAGCCTCGGATCTGGGGGCAAACTCTTCATCCCACCAACGGCGCACGGGCGCCCACTCGCGCGCTGATGCCGTTCAGGGGCCCTAGTTTCCTCACTATACACACCATACAAAATCTACGCCTCACGTCCTCACAATATAAAAAGAGATCCCCAATATGAAAACCAACCTCATTTTGTTGCCTTGTTGATTAATTCTTTAGTCTATTGGGGCGAAGAAGACTAAAGTTTTGTGGCGCCTCTCGATTGCTGCCGTACGGATGCCCTGTAAGCTCAGGCGATTGACGACGGAATTAGGAGAGACCCTCTTTGGAATATTGTTGGCATTTTAACGTTGTACAAGAAGAAAGCATCAAGGTCTAGCACTTAGAGCTGAAGCTCGACTGAGTACATTTTAGGGCTCCAGACTTCTCCGGCGTATGTACACCTCAACACGGCACGCCGGTCTCAGCACAGGCATCCAAGCACCTGTGCATGTGTCGGTTCTGTTGTTCTTCTCTCGTCTGTCACACCGTTTTTAATTGTCTTATTCTCTTGTCACGGGGAGAGAAGAATCAAAATCATATATTGGAGAGCCTCATACCGCTGGCCTCGGCCAGCTCGCTGCTGTCGGTGCGGTTTCCGCGGGATCATTTTTACTCTTGTTTCCTTCTCATTTTCTGTCATGATTTCTTCCGTCTTCATGTTTTCGATATCACAGAGTTTTAGCGTGTAGGGTCAGGGGTTTAAATTCGATTTGGGTTTTACGATTCCTTGGCTGAGCCAGTCGCGGCGGGCCGTTGTTGCTGCGAGTCGGCGCACTGAAGCCTGTGTAAAGGTGGCCTCTTTCTCTCCTTTTTTGTCCGAGTTCCTATTTGCTTGCTTTGCTGTGCCACATTTGGCGGCATTTTTCCTCTCAGCTGCTTGGCAGACACTAGAAAGGCATCCAGCGCAGCACGATGCGGAGGTTGCTGCAAGGGGTTACCGCCTCCACAGGAGGAGGGTATAAGAGGGAGGAAGTCACCTTCGCAGAGGATGGTTGGGCTCGAGCTTCCAGTAGGAAGGGTCACCCGTACACCTCACCCGCAGCGGGAGAAGAAGGGGTAGGGGCCGAGGAAGGACAGACGTTGTACCCGGAGGGCGACTATGCAGAGCATGACGGGGAGGCCGAGGACCTCGACTACACGCAGTATTACACGGAGGCGGATGGGGAGAAGGCGGCAGAAGGCGAGGGGGAAGACGGAGACTCCGGATATTTGGAAGCGGAGTCTCCCGTGGCGGAACTAGAGGACGAGGAGGCGTATGACTACTCTTATGAGGGTGCTGAGACGCAGGAGGGGGCAGCGGAAGACCAAGAAGGCACGAATGGGCCCTACGAAGAGGCGGAGGCGGATTACGAGGACTACGGCGTGGATATGGAGGAGAAAACAGGGATAGAAGAGGAAGGGGACGAGGCGGAAGCCAGTGTCGAAGAAGAAGCTGCTGCGGAAGGCAGAGGGGAGGAAGAGGCCTCCCAGTCGCTCGAGCCCTTCACCTTATCGCAGATTGCCCAGCGCGTGCATGTTCGCCGCGTGGAGGGCAAGGGGAGGTGTCTGTACACCCGAAACGCCCTGGCCCCGGGAGAAGTCATCTTTGTCGAGCGGCCTGTGTTGGTCGCTGTGCCCTCCCTCAATCCAGAACTGTGGGATCTCCTGAATGAGCTGAATGGAGAGACGGCTTTCGAGCTGCCCCCCATCTGGCATCTCGCGGCACTCTGCTCGCTGACGATGCTCGATGAAGAGGCCTTCAACGTGTGTCTCGACAAGTGGGTGCCCGACGAGGATAGCGAACCCAGCCAAGACGTTTTGCGAGTCTGCGGCTACTTGGAAGGCGACATCGACGCCAGACTGTACGAACGCCTGCTTCTAGTTTGGCGATACAACAGCTTTGGACACCACACGGAGACACAGGGCCTAGTGCTGTACAACAGGATCTCCATGATGGCGCACAGCTGCGAGGCAACCGCATGCTGGCACTATGGAGAGGACGACGCATTCGTTCTGCGCTCGCGAGTGGCCCTCAACCGTGGCGATGAAATCACAATCAGCTACATCGGCGATGAAGAGCTCTTCAAAAGCACAAACATGCGCAGGGAGAAGGTGCAGGGCTGGCTCTTCACGTGCGGCTGCTCGCGTTGCGTCGATCCAGTCGACAAAGCACGAGGCTTCAGATGCCCTACGTGCGGCACCGGCAGCATGTACTTTAAAACAGATGATGAGGTGCGCGCTTGTTTCCTCGCTCCACACGCACCCGTTGCACACTTTCACTGCCTTACATTCCGGATTGCCGGACAGAGGACGAGCACGCATACTACGGATACACCGAAAAGGCGTCCTTCTTATTCTTATTCTTTTGCTTTCAATTCTGCGGCTTCGGTTTCTGCTTCTTCTTCGCGTTCTTCTTGTTCCTCTTCTCCTTATCTCCTTCGTATTCACCTGCCATGCGGCAGCCGGTGATGCTGTGCTTTCTAGGGGACTGGGTAGTGTCTTTGTGTGTTTCTGTGTGTGTCTGTGTGTGGCGCAGGTCACAACTTCCAGCCCTTGCAGTGTGTGCCGAACTGTGCCGGTTGACGCAACTATTGAGCAGTATGTTACTTTTGAAACGGCTTATGCCGATCGGCTGGCAGACACCAACAAGAACGATATGCCCGATGCGGAGATGGTTTACGAACAGGCTTCTCGAGTTTTTACGCGGCATTGGATTCTTTTCCAAGTGAGGAGAAAAACCTTTTCGAGCTCACTTTTAATCTGAGGCTGAAGGACAGGTGTCGAACACACAGAAGGGGGGATTTGTATGCGTAGGGGCGTATATATGGGTGTAGACATAGATGTCCAGATGTGTACTGTGCATCCGTGCGAGAGGGGGAGAGAGAAAAAGAGAACGAGAAGATAAACAAAAAGCAATCGGACGCTTGTGCATGTCTTTAAGCAGGCGTGCATGGAGGAGGAAGAGGGGGGAGAAGTGTGCGGGACGCCCCTATGGGCCGAATAATTGTGCCGCATACGTAGTGTCCAGTGCGTTCTGCTCTCTTCCTCGATGTTTGTGCGAGCGGCTCCCGTTTTGTGGCTGCCTCTCAGCTGGATACTATCTTGTTTGAAGGCTACCGCGCTGCAGGCGACTATGAGTCCGCCTACGTCCACCAGATGCACCGACTGGAATATGTTTCGGCAGTAAGTGGGCGAAGGAGGGGTGGGCCGGGGGTGGAGGGGAGGGTGTGCTTGAGGAGTGCCGATCTGATCGTGCTGCTTGGGAATAGGTAGCTTGTAAGGCTACAAGTACGCGGTGGATGCGCATTCATTTTCTTATTGAAAATGCCGGGATGGCCATGGCCCTGGGCCTCCCCGCGTTGCTTCCTTTCTTGTTTGGCCTTTTTCACCGTTGTTGCTGCTCGCTTGAGCTTTTCTGAGAGTCACCTTTCGGTGGTGCCCCTCTCCGTTCGTTCTTTTTTCGAGGCGGTTCCCGTTATTCCTCGCCAATAGTCCGCAGAGATGCCTCCATGGAGGCTGTCCGTCCACGGCTCTTTATTTAGACTCCTCTAGAGGTTTGTGAAGCGCACCTTCCTCGTGCATGCGATCTTCTGCTTGCCCCCTCTCAGGTGCTTCCCTTGCCCTCGTACTCGCTGGCCTGGCTGTACGAAGAGATGGGAGACGTGCTCTGGTCCAGAGTGCAGGCGAAGGGAAAGCCCTATGCAAATAGCCGTCTGCGAATTGCAGGTCGCCACTTTGAGGATGCTTACAACCTCCTGTACATCCTCTGCGGTCCCGAACATGAATACACGACCGCGGCGGCAACCAAAAGGAACAAGATCGACGAGCTTACAACAGACGTTTAACAGGTTGACGGCTCCAAGTCACCTCCCATCCGTTCGCACTGCCATGCACGCGTGCTGCAGAGCCCGGCCACAGAGCCGCAGACACGGGAAACATGTCGAATCCCAGAAAGCAAACGGCGCGGTTAAAGTTGAGCAGCAGCAGAGAGAGCTGCAGAGAAACACCCTTTTTACCTGTCTAGAGACATTTTAAGGGACATTGCCGCAGCCACGTGACGCTGCGGTCCGCCCTCCAGCTCACCAGGTATTAATTTACATCGTTTTGTATGTGCAAAACAGATATGTTCCTTCTACGGGAACCCGGCCTAAACAGCCTACCTACCATATGCAAGCTAGCTCGAACACCATGCTAATCACAGGCACGTTTGCGCCACACCGCGTGCTCTATGGAATGGCCACTTCGCAGCGCGGATATGTCTCTATGTATACGGTACCTATATGTTTATTCGATATATCTCAGTCAACATATGCACACATCCCTCTTTAAATCGGGTCTGTTGCGGCCCCGGTTTCATTACCTTATGGTGGTGACTGATGGATATAACTGTGGGACATTTGCGGGTGGGATGTAGCAGGCGTTTATCGCAAGTACACCTCCCGGTATGCACTTGACACCTCTAGTGATTCGGGGGAGGACGACACTCCTTGCAGCCGCAGAGCGGCTCTTGTGCCACGCTTCTTTTTTACGAACTCCTCTGCAGTCGAACCGCTAAACGTTTGAATGGTGCAGCTAACTTGCCATTGTTAGCAACACACTGGCAAACGCACAGTGCCGAGTCCCTGCTAGATTTCGTAAAAAATCCTCTGCTAACGTGAACGCCTTAGCTCACAGCTGTTGGTGAGCTGCGAGTACTTGCCGAACGTGTTCGATGCAAAGGCTGCGGCAGCGTCAGAAGAGGACAACAACCTTATGGGCACCGCTGACATCGGGAACGTGCTGCTGGAGGAGGGACGCGATGCAGTGTTTGTAGTAAGCGCATCCGTTCAGCCATAAGCTGTGAACAAAACAGCGCTATCGGCTGCTGCTACTGTTACGTGTGCCTCTATCCTGTCGTCTAATACTTCGTAGGGTTGACCAAGAAGGCGTTTCCTGCCGCTGATGATTTGCTGCGGTGCTTCGCAACTCCTGAGATCTCTGTGGTAGCATCTGATCCACCTTCTGCACGCGGTACTGCTGCTCCTCATTTGAGTGTATAGTGGAAGCGTCGTTAAATTCACGTACAGAAGTTCTAAGGTTATCCTTGTCAACTTGTGGAAAACCTGATCTGCTCTTCCACCATTTCTTCTTTGGTTTCTTCTTTGATTTATTCTGGGCAATTCAGTTCAAGGTATGCAATTCGTTTGCCCCAGTGCTCAGTCTTGGAATATGCGAGCCTACCGATCTCCCCGACTTTCCTTTGGATTCTTCTGACGCTTCATCCTCAAAATCATCACCCTCTTCTTCTTCACGTTCTTCTTCTCGCTCTTCCTCAGCAAGGGCTTGGCCTTCCCCCTTCTCTTCTTTCTCTTGTGCCCTGGCCAACTTTATCTCGAGTCGCTGCAACTTATCAAGATAGATAGTAATCTTCTCGTCTGCCAGCTGCGTGTCTCGTTTGAGGAAAAGGACATCAGCCTGAGACTAAGAACACGCACACGCACAGATGCAGTTGCCAGGGAGCACAGAACTGACCAGAATGGAATAGCGCGTTGAAGACATTCATATGACTCACCGCGCCACCCTCCACTGCATTTGATGCTACCTGCCGCAACTCTTGCTGCACTCGCCTCCTGTCAGATTTCGCCTGAAGAGAGGATCATCCATTCAATGCCACGATCGCAAGATTTTCATTCACGCATTCACGTATATTAGCTGTGCAAAAGTGATAGCGGTAGACAAATTCTCGGACAGCTTTGTAGCCACAAAAATCTACGGCTAGTAAAGCAAACAGGCAAGCGTGTGTAGTTTCTTCTGGTAGCAAAAATAGAAACACGAGCACAAACGCTAACACTAGGGGATATCCTTTGCATGAATAGACGTAATTTAACAGGGGATGCTTTTGAATCCCTTTGGGATATTGTGTGAGGAGGGAGGGGGGGAGTCTAACTTTTGTTAGTTCCTCTTGCGCCTCGGCGATTTCCGCCTGCAATTCGGCGATCGTGTGGCCCTTGATAGTCGCCATCTCCGCCAGCTCCGCGCTTCTTGCTTGCCTCATTTCGGGAGAGTTCATCTTCCCAAGGCATGCAACCGCCCTTGCGAACTCCAGCTTCTCCCTGGAGACAAGCAGCGCATGGAAGCAGATTACATGTCGAATGCGTCACCCCATGAACAAATGAAAGACAAAGAGGGTATACAGGATGTGATTCAAAAACAGACAAGAGAAAGAGGATGCCAGATAGAGCGGCATGAGTCCAGAGAGAAACAGAGCTGGTGACTTGCTGGGAAAGTTCAAAGATAATTCGGCAGTAACCCACGTGGGTGTCGGTTCAGGGGGCAGAAGGATGATGACTGGGGCGGTGTAAAGAGGCTCTTGTTCTGTATAGAAGAACATTAAACATTCATTCCCTGCGGCGTGTGTGCAGTAGCAGACGTACGACCTCCAGCAGTTAATTCGATTCCCTGAGATAATGTAAAGTGGGTAACGGTTTCGTAAAACGAATGTACGTTTCATAAGCATTTATAATGGTGTCTCACAGTTTGCTCTTCAGGGGGAGGTGGGGGCTGCACCACTGTGGCTGAGTAATTGACGCCCTAGGTAACCAAGTGTGCGGTGGAGGCATTGCACTTAGAAGTTTTTTTGGGATATCGCTACCTTTCGGACGTGAGATGAAGTCGCCGCAGACAGCATCTGAGGAGAGACATGAGTTAATGCTCTAAAGGCTTTCTCAGAGGAGTAAAGGCCCTACGTCAACTGCTTCCTTCAGTTTGTTGCCAAGCTTCGTAGCTGACAGAGAACGAAACAGCATCAACGGATGTACGTTAATACAGAAGGAAATTCCTTTGTGTCATGCTCAATTCACTTTTTTCGATTTCCTCATCCACTGCCGTTTGCGCTGCTTCCTGTAATGTCGACGCGTTGAATCTGATCTTTTGCTCCAGTGTTCCCTGATCATGAAGTCCTTACGATTGCATCAAGGTCCACTGGCTGCGCCTCTGGGGCAGAGTCAGCTGCGGGCTGCGCCTGGTCTTGCATGACCCCGCCCGGCATTCCATTCAAGACTCCCGCACCGGGAATTCCCGCGCCGAGAACTCCCGCTCCGGGAATCTGCAGAGTACTTGCCAAGCTGTTCACTGCGCCTGAAAGTGCCCCCTTTGCAAGATTTCCCAGGAACCGCTCTAGAGCAAATACGTAGAATTCATTAGGGCTTTATGGGAGGCTCAAGGATAGACAATACCTTTAGTTTGCATGAAGTGAGGAGAACGGAACCCTTCATCCCCCCGGGGAACGGTGTCATTGTGCCCATCAAAAGGATCACTGCATGAAACAATGGCTACATGGATGAACAAAGCACAAAATAGCTTTGAACTCCCAATGGAGTAACAGTGCGCCATTTTGGAAGCATGCTTAAGGGATCACGAAGAACATATTCTGCACGCTTGGGTGCTGCTGGGTCATGGGGAACAGTGGCACGATGCGGTGTACAGCCAGCTCGTGCAGAACTGGGGAGAGACCAGGTAATTCAAAACCATTTTCAACATCAGTAATATCGAAATGCTTATCATTGAAGCTCTAGATCATCTTTTCAAGAACAGTGCTTTTTGTTTCCAGCCTTGGATGGGCCTACGCGCCAACCAGAACATCTATTATTTTGTTTTGGGGGGCTCCGGAATGGGCCCATGTGGTAAACTTTCAATGTTACATTAAATGTGTGCAATTAAAATGATAAACAGTTTGTGCTTTATGGTTTAAGCCTCAAGGTATCTGCGGACCCAAAAAATTTTTCATGGGTTGTTGTCGGTCCAGTGGTCGTGGTGCGCTCCTACGAACATCGCTCTGTACTGCAATGGATGCATCATTGATGATGCGCTCCTCAATATGCAAGAGATCATTAGCCCCTTAGGCTACCGAGTATATATAACAGTATTAAGGTGTTTAGGCGCAGAAAATAAGCAAGAGCAGGATGAAAGAGAACAGCGGAAGAACTTGGAGCGGCCACATGTCGTTCGTGTTTCCGGCGGACCCACCTCTGCTAGTCGACTGCTGCGCATTCCGTATCTGTACACACAAAAGACCATCTATAGTTCACAGTAGCTTAATTTTAATATGAATATCACCTTGTAGAATTCATCCAGTGCCTTCTCTCTAGTTAGTCCAGTAGGGAGCCCCTTCTGTTGTCTGGCGTGCCCCAAAGGTCGCGCAAGCATACCGCCTCGCCTTTTGCGTTTTTTCAGACTCGTTGTCGTCTTTACCTAAAAAGGCCAGGCATTATGAGTATTTTAGAGAGGGAGCCGACTCCCCAGTACATAGTTATAGGGGGCCAGGAAGGAGATAGACCAGAGGAGTCAGGAAGTGACCCTGGGGCCGTTGGGGAAAGCCCTGTCATTCAAGGGGTGTCTGACACAACCGAGAACTATCACCAGCAGGCTGAGATGGAAGGAATACACGGCGTCAGTGGACGCAGAGGAAGCTTAGGGCTGCAGGAGGACCAGCAAGCAGATAACCCTTTTAACCAACAGGGAGGCCCCCCAGATCTACAGCCCATATATGAGGATTATAGAGGCATGGAGAGTCAGAAGTCGCCAAGACGGCACTCCGGCGATCCGCAAGAGCCTCCTAACCCTACAAGCAACGTAGCAGCACGCCCAAGCGACACTCTTTCTTCGAAGGCCCTTACCGCTCGCAGCACCTTGAAGCGCGCAACGACGTCCATGAAAGAGGGCGTTAAGCACGCCTCTGCACAGGTTGTAATTGCTGGAGAGAAGGTGGGGCAGGCTTGGAATAGGACCCTAGACAGCGCCATGTGGGTTTGCATCGTGTGCGGCTCCCTTTCCATCATTCTCATAGCCGTAGCCTTAAGCCTACGGACATGGAGGTATCAGGAGCTAATGTATCAGGACTCGAACGGACACAACATTACTCGCGTTGAGCTAGGCCTTGCCTACCTCCAGAGAATACAGACCCTTGAGAGAGCAGGCGACACCGGGGTTGTGGTCATGTTCGATCCTCCCTTGAGCTATGACGACGCCATAAGCAGTGCATATTGCCTCCCTGAAGAGGAGCTGTCCGTTCCTGGAGAAGAGGAGGAGCATCCTTCTGAGACGGCCGACACTGCGCCCTCCCTGACCGGATCGTCTGCAGTGTCAGAAGCGACAACAGAACCAGCACCCAACGCTGGGGAGGCGTTGGGGGCCTCTGCTGAGGGAGGGAGAACACTGCTGGATGAGGGCTTCCTGCCGCGTCAGCTACAAGATTCCTCTGAGGACACCTCTAGTCGCGAGGGACCGCTGGCGAACCCCCCACCCTTCAGTGTGACTCTTGGAAGACACCCGGGTGTACCTGGCTCCCTGTCGGGCCGGTATGTAGAGATGCGGGAAGCCTTGTTGGGGTCTACATTATTTGATCTGCACTGCAAGGACCTCCCGCACTTCTTAAAGAGTGGCTCTTTGTTCCTGCGCATGATGACGGGGTACATTGTGTTTGCTTCCCTTGGCATGATCGCTGCCATTGCGTCAATGCTGCTGGTCCCCTTCAACAATTCCTGCGTCCTTAAGCTAAAGCAGCTGCCCCTCAACCTTGTAGGCACGGTGTCTTGGATGGTCGCGCTGATCGTGCAGCTGAGCGCTCTCACTGCGTGGGGTGTCGGCACTGACGTTGCAGCCTGCGTAACACAGGAAGGGGGAGCTGCCGTCTGCAGGCTGGGCAGTGCCACCGTCCTTGCGATCGTTTCGCTAGTCCTGACCCTCGTTGCGACCCTCTGCTTCTGCATCTTCTTCACGCACACACTCATCAGAAACCTCGGCCGCGAAAAGGAGAAGGAACTCCATCTCCGCGAAGAATCCGAGCGCAGGCAATCCATGGAATTGGTACCCACTAGCACCTCGGGGCACCTGATAGCCCACCCAGGGGCCCCTGCAGAGGGAGAATCTGTGTCAGCACAGCGCGGAGAACTGGGCGATGGCAGGCACTATGGAGGTCTCGAAAGAGGCTCCACCCATAGTCCGAACCACCCTTGCCAAGATGAAGCCAACAGTCGTACTGTATCCCTCGCGGAAGAGTCGCAGGACCGCCGACATCGAAGATTTGCGTCGGGGCCCCCTTCCGGAGCCGTTAGAGCCACTGCTTGAATTGCACAGCGGCAGTGGGGGACGTGTTGTGAGGGGGGGGGCGAAGAGGGGCCAGGAGCGGCCGCCTCCCCTCTCAGGGGCCCCCCTTGCGCCGCCCTCTAGCCCCTGAACGCTCTCCAGGTTTCTCAGAAAGAACGCACACGTACACATGCAGACACACGCACACACCCGGCCTGTGCGAAAAAACATGGTGTAGATGGGGATGCAAGCAGCCACCGCCTCTGAAAAGCAGCATCTTGGGCCCGTGTCGTCCTTGCCTGCCTTTTTCTAGACTGAGGCTTGCGCCTTCCACATTTGCTTTGCATGCGGGGATGAAGCGGCAGCCCGCGGCACATTCCTGGCCCTCCCCGAGGGACGCGGGATGCTGCCGCCTTCGGCCTTGTGCTGGAAAAACCAATTCTTTTGCTCAATCCTTTGCGAGTCGGGGGCGAGAGGGGTTGCAAAATCACGAAAAAAGCTCGCTGCATCCTCGCCAGGGGCCTCTCATGATGAAGACACACTTTTCTCCAGACGAGGCGCTTCACGAGAGAACAGCTCTCCGTACGCTCCAACGAAAAACGCATCTCGCACGATGGCTTGGAGCAGTGCATGCCCTGCGCTCTAGGAGCCACGTGTCAGCAAGGCGACTTGCCAGCTAGCGTGCAAGCCATTTAGGAAGCCATCGTAAAGATCATCTAGCTAGGTGATAGGCTACCGAGAAAATGCCGCACCGCATGCGGCCTACGAGGCTTGCGCTCAACGCCCCCCGCCCCCCGCCCCCTAACCAAGACGCCCCTCAAGCAGGGCCGTTGTATTGTTAATTTCCAGGAGGCAGCAAACAACTCTCTAGTGTGCGTAGAGCAGTCAACCTAAGAACTTGCTAATCACCCTCTAACGCGTGCCTTCTATTTCAGCATACACCCACAATCGATGAATGAGGCAGTCAGCCGCCGGCCAGCCACAAGCCAATCGGCTCGCCAAGCAAATGCTAGGCAGCTCTCCCTTTAGGCAGTCCCCCCCTAGCCGAAGCACCCAACTGGTGATCTGACTAGCCGGCTGCGCTGAGAATGTTTGCTAGCGCGCTCCACTACGCTGCCTCGAGGCTGCACTGGCTGAGCCTCGGCCACCCCTCGAGTCATCCGATGGCCGCCTGTGTGTCTCCTTTGCCCTCCAATCCCTTTCCCTTTCCTTCTGCTCCCTCTCCCTTTCTCTGTCTCTGTCTCTTTCCCTTTCTCTTTCTCGCTCTCTTTCTCTGTCCCTTTCTCTTTCCCTCTCCCGTTCTCCCCGCGCTGCTCTGCTGTGGGAGGTGGACGGGGGCCCCTCGGGCATGCCCCCCCTTCGCGCGTGACCCTCTGGGGACCGCTCTCTATCCCAAACGCGCCGGCTAGATCTGGCGTTTTTATCTCTAGAGGGTCCTATGGACCCCCCCCGCTTGCTCCAGTCCACAGAGGGGCCCCTCGACGAGACCCTTGGCTCCGCCCTGCTGCCCGAAGGGCTTTCGCGGCCAGCATAGCTTCTTTCCGAGCTGCACCATGCACACAAATACAAATACACACACAAATACACACAATACAGAAATACACACAATACACAAACACACACATAAATACAAATACACACACAAATACAAATACACACACAAATATGCATATATATAGACACAGACCACTCGCACCATTCGTCACAATGCGCCGGCAGCGGAATACCCCTAGCCAGCCAAGAGATTGCCACACAGCGAAGGCCTCGAACACACCGTGGCGGGCGCGTATTAGTTGTCGCCTTCAGCTTGGCTTGCAGCTCTGCCACCTCCACTTTTAGAGAATCTCGCTCGCCCTTAACCTCCTAAGCACACGCCACGCACACCGCCCTCGCGAGCCAGCCTCAGGAGCCAGCAGCGGCCAGAAAAAAAGACCCCTCAAAAGGCTGTCTGTGAGCTACACGCCCTCTTCAAGCCCCACCGACGCCGCAAAAGCCTACACTAAAATTAACAAACACAGCCTGGAGCTTCTGCGAAAGGTCTTCATTGTCAGCATCGAGATCCGCGTTCAGCTCGCGCAGTTGCCTGCACACCAAACAAGCACGCCGCCCACACGACGATGCACAGCATCCGTGGCGTCATCCTCGCCACTCTGTCTCTTCTCTCCTCTCCTCTCCTCTGCCCCCGTTGACTGCGGGAGGCGTAAAGGCCTGCCGCTCATCGCCTAGGGCCTCTATTCGGGGGCAGCCAAGCGGCATCGCAGGGGAGCCGTGCCTCAGCTCATTTTTCAAGAATAGAACATGCTTCTTGAGGGCCCCTATTTGGCTTGTCGCTGGGAGCAGAGAGCCCTCTGCAAGCGCTCGTCCAAGCTCTGCGTTCTCCTGCTGCAAAGTTCTGCACTTAGTGATCAGTCGCTGGCCAGTGACGCTGAGGCAACCGCAAGCGCACATCGAAAAAAGGGTAGCTAAATGCCCATGGGAGCTGCATGCGAGCTCGTGGTACCAGATGAGGGACTGCATACGTGAAATTATAGATATTTAGATAGATATATATGGATGCGCTGCCGTCAGAGGAGCTCGTGGAGGCCTCTGCATGGAGGAGAAAGAAAGAGTCCACTTGCGTTCCCTCCACATTCATGCAGCAATAGCGAAAGCAGCAAGATACTCTTGTCAGCAGCAGTAGCGAAAGCTGCAAGATACTCTTGTCCGCAGCAGTAGCGAAAGCTGCAAGGTACTCTTGTCAGCAGCAGTAGCGAAAGCTGCAAGATACTCTTGTTAGCAGCAGTGGCGAAAGCTGCAAGATACTCTTGTCAGCAGCAGTAGCGAAAGCTGCAAGGTACTCTTGTCAGCGGCAGTAGCGAAAGCTGCAAGGATTCGAGCGTAGATCCGCACCTCTGTCCAGAGAACTGCTGCGCCGTCTGAGCCTCCTTTGCCTTCTCGATGGCCCCCTCTGCCTCTGCAAGCCGCGTGCGGAGCGTTTTGATCTCGAGCTGCGTTGCAGGGTCCAGGACGAGGCCCCTAAGCGAGGGGCCCCCCTGAGATCCTGCAGGCGTGGGATGCCCAAGAGGCGCTGGAGGGCCCCCTGCGGTTGCGCGTCCTTCGTCCTCCCGTTTGATATCCTTCGTGAAGGGGAGGCCCTCCAACCCCCCCCCTCCGCCAAGCTGAGCTTTGGATAGCTGGCGTTCTAGCGAGGCTAGTAGAGACAGGTGAAGGGCCTCCCGGCGCTGCAGGACGCGCATGCGAACGACAGTGCATGCGGCTGAGGGGGGGTGATCTGTATTCCTACCTCTCCATCCAAACACATGTATATGTGTACACACACACAGAGAGACCCCAACCAGCCCCCTGGGGCCCGTAAGAAGTGCACAGGGAAAGAAGGAGAGAACGAAAGTCGCATGGGGCCCCCAACGCGCGGACGTTCCGTATGTATGTCTACAGCTGAGGCTTCAGGGCAGAGAGGGCTGTCGCTTGGCCTTACTTTGAGTTCGGCAATGACTTGCAGGAGCTGCTGGACGCGCTGGCTGTCGCCCGCGTTCTCAGTTCCCTCCTCCATGGGGTCCGTTGTGCAAACCCGAAGCGCGAAACTTGAGCGGGAGAGGAAACGCAGTTTCTGCAGCTTGCCCTCCCGGCGGAAAGGAGGGTCCTAAAATCTGAGCTCCTTCTCCCTCCTTTGAGTGAATACTGGGAAAAGCGAATGCACAAACACGCTAGGGGTCCGCAATTCTTCGTCTAAACCGGAAAAAGGGCGGCGTCTTACGAAAAGGCCCCTTCGCGGGTAAGGTAGGCATGGGGGGCGAGAGGCTGGGGAAGAGAGGGGGCCCCCCGGAGCAGTAGCAGGTAGGCTTGCCTGTGGCGCATGGCCTCGCGCTGCACGTCGATCCTGTCGAGATTCTTTAGAGTTCTTCCAGGTATTCGCTCCAAGTCTGTACGTTAAGCACTGAATTCTAGCCCTCTGTGAGCGCCTTGCCTTGTGGAAGCGTCCGCGGAGGGCAGCACTTTCCACGGGGGGAGCCGAACACCGCTTCGAGAGCCCTTCCCCGCAGCAGACGATAGTTTGTTCCTTCTTGGACCGTATTCCGTTGATTTTCAAGCGAATTCTCAGCTCTATTTGGGCTCCTCGTCGGTCTTAGGGCAGAAGGAGGCCCCTCTCCTGCCCTTAGGCCCCAGTACGTCCATACGCGCGTTGCGATGATGCCGCTCACTCAGCGGGTTTTGCTGCAGCAGCAGCAGCAAAACTCGCTTGCAGTCTTGGCTGCTTTCTTCGAGGGAGGAGGAGCCAACAACGCGTCAGAAGGCGGCAAGCCGTCGGGAGATGACGCCTCCCGCCTTCTTCGGGAGGGCCCCCCCCTCCGGCTATCTGCCTCCGAGAGGGCGGCAGGCCGCACTTGCTGGACGGCACTGCGTACTGCCTTGTCATCTCGAGCTGCGGCAGCGGCTGCTCCTGCAGAGCAGCAGCCGCTGACCCTCGCGATTACCGTCACGCTGCAGTGTCTGGAGAAAGCCATGGAAGAGCTGCAGCATCAGAACGAGCAGGAGCGTGGGGGCGAGGAGGAGGTCGCAGAGAAGGGGCCCTTTAGGGGCCCTTCTTTGTATGTCGTAGGTATGGCAGTCGTTCTGGAGGCCCTGCTGGCTGCCGGCGCAAAGGCGCAGCTTCTCCCGCAAGCGGGAGAGCAACAGCAGCAGTTTTTGCGACAGCTTCTGCACCTTCTTCAGGCCGCAACCGTCGCTCCCGCTGCTCCTGAGAGGGCTTTTCTCTCACTTGTGCAGTCCTTGCGCCTCTGTATGGGCATCGAATCTCGCAAAGAAGGAGCTGTTCGCACCGTCCCCAACGGCAGATGCGGCCTCGTAGCCGGCATCTCGCGCGGCTGCTTCGAGGTGCTTCTGCGTGTCGCAGCAGAAGTGCCCCACGTCTCTGCGCAGGCAGCAGCTCGGCGTCTCTTGCTACACGCACTCTCTAGGCTCTGCGAAGAGCTGCAGCAGGGGGAAACTGCGGCCTCGGCGACAGCCTCCTCGAGTCTAGGGGCCCTCACTACTGCGCTTATCCGGGCGCTCAAGCAGCAGCAGCAGCAACAGCAACAGCAGCACCTGTCGGGGCAACAGGGCAGCAGCAGCGGAGCCAGGCTGCTGGTGCTGCTGCAGCGGATGCTGCCTCAGCTGCTGGGGGCCCTCGGCCGCCGTCTGGAGGCCCTGCAGCGGCTGCCGCCGGAGCAGCAGCAGCAGCAGCAGCAGCAGATGTTGATGCAGCAGAAGGAAAAAGTTGAAGCCCTATGCTTGTTGCTGGTGCAGAAGGGATACAAGGGAAAGGTCCCCGCAGAGTGCTTGGAGGCAGTGGGAGTAATCCTCACGGAGTTGTTGCATCAGCGACGTGCATTGCTGCTGCAGCTGCAGCAGCAGGATGAGCAGCACGGCGAGCAGCAGCAGCAGCATCAGACATACAGCCTCTCCTCGCTCTGTCTTGCCTCGCAGCTGCTGCCGCGGCTGCTCTCCAAGAAGGGGGCCCTCTACTGCTGCACCAGCGGGGGCCCCCGGGACGTTGCCGCTTGGTGCGCCGCTAGTTCTGCTGCGGTTGCTGCCGTCATGCTGTGGGCAAGCGAGAGTTTCGTGCAACAAGAGACGCGACAGGAGACAGGCACTGCAGGAGCGAGTGGCAAGTCAACAGGTGCAGCAGGAGCAGTAGCCGATGCAGCGGAGGATCAATTGATGGCCCTTATGGACAGGCTCAGCCTCGAGGCTTCGCGACATCAACAAGAACAGCATCAACAACAGCAGGAGCAGCAGGGACGGAATCGGATGGGCGTGTGCTTATCCTTAGTGCAACGCTTCGTGGCAGCCCTCGCGGAGATTGTGAATAAGGCCTCGGACCCAACCGCCGTATCGGCAGCACTTAAGGCAGCAGTACGTCTTTTCCAGTGGCCGCTAGTCTCTGCGCACATGCGCGTGTGTTCAGAGGTCTGCCGCTATCTAGGGGTGTGTTGCGCGTATGTGTGTTCGACGCTGCTGCAGAAGCGGTTGGTGCTGCAGGCTCAAGTCACGAACGTGCCGCTATACTCGGCTATCATCCCTCTCATCATGTGCGCCTTACATTCCTCTGCGCCCTCTTCGCTGCCGAGCTTTAAGCGTTAGACTGCCGAGCGATTCGTGCACTTGGCATGGCAGGCCCTGCACAGCGTTCCCCGCAATGCATGCAGCCTGCCGCATGTCGAGACGTGTGCTTCGTGATTCACAGGAGTTTGCTGCATTACCGACACAAGACGCGCTGGCCTGAGGCCTTTGAACTGTGCACCGAAGCGTTGACTGCGTTGGAATGTGCTTCTTTCGTGGATTTCCTAGGATGCAGTGTAGCAGACGCCAAGCCCAGCTGCCTCTCTCTTGTAAGCGTCACACCCTCAACCCCCAAACTGCAGAGGCTCTCGAGTTTGCGCGCACACACAGACTGTGCAGCCTATCATCTCCACTCGGGGACCCTAGCAAGGGCCCTCAGCTTAAAAGTCTGCACATTCGACCCGCCTTGGTCACCGTGAAAATCCTACTCAACGCTGTGGGAGCGGCGTGAATTTGTGAGGTGTACAAGGGGCATCGCCGCTGCGTTTGTAAAGCTGCAGAAGCGCTGAGGGTTCACGAATGGGAATATGTTGCTTTGTGTTGATGGCTGCACGCTTGCAGCGAGCGGTGGGATCGATGAAGGGACTCGAAGCCTTTAGGGAGGCCTATCTCAGCTATCACTATCCTATCTTTCTGCCCCTCATCTCTGCCATATGGTCTCTCCTCCTAGCGGCGGAGGGCATCGCGCTCAGGCAGCTGGAAGAGGCTGCCGCGATGGGGGGGGGCAGCGACGCGTCAAGAAAAAATGCAGCTTTTTTGAAGGCGAAACAGCAGGAAATCCGCTTTTACAAGTTCGTGCAGTACTTACCCTTGCCCCCTTTTGCGAAAAAGTCAAGCGAGGTTTCTGCAACTATGGATGGCGCTCCTTTGGGCCCTTTTCCAGCGCAGGGGAAGTCGGGGTGTATGTTGTGCGATATGCTGTGGGTAGCCATATATCGCGCGCTCCGGCATACCCCTTCCTCCCCCGACACCCTACTCCACATTCAAGCGCATGGAGTTGAGGTCGGTTACTGCTGCATTCGCTTTTTGTCCCTCAGGCCTCAGCTGGAGGTTGCTTTTGGAACTGCGGTGCGCGTGTTTGGCTGCATGCGGCTCTTGGGAGATGGACAGGAAGGCACACGCTTGCACCTCTCGCTCGCCGCTAATGCTTCGGTCTCCTTTGAGGCCTTTGTGACGCGCAGTAATGTCTGGATGCTGCCGTTGTTACAGCGCTTCGTCTGCAGGGATAGCCTGCAATACTTTTGCAGGCACATTTTACCAGCGGTGAGCTGCTACAAAAGCGCGGAAGTGGAGAAGGAGGCTGCCTTTTTTCCACGAGGGTGTGCAGCGTCTAGCCATGCTGTGGTGGCCCCCGCCGGTGCTGTTTTGGCCTGCTATCCACGGAGCATGTGCTCTCTGTTGTTGCTGCTGCTCTTATTGTTGCTGTTGCTGCGTTATTGGTGCTGCTATTGCCGTAGTGCTCTGCGTCGTGCGTGCGTGAGTGCGCATGCGTTGCTGCAGGCTGCAGCCGTGCAGCGTCGGGCAGAGGAGGCGACAGCAAATGGCCGTTCGATAGAGAGCAATGACTGGGTGCGAGTGCACAGGCAGCTCTGGTGTTTGCTGCCGGCCTTCGCTTCCCAGCCCTTAGATTTGGAGGAGGTTCTTCAGGGGGAGACGACGCCTGAGGGAGGCAACGGCTCCCCGCGAGACGGGGAGGAAGCTTCAAAGCCCGCACAGCTGCTTCCCAGGATATTGGAGTTGTTGCACGACGCCTTCCTCAGGGAAGCCGCGTGCGCCGCCATTGTTGCTCTCTCCAGGTCTGCAGCCGCACCAGGCGGGCATACGGCCCAGCAGCAACAACAACAGCTACAACAGCAGCAGCAGCAGCAGGCAGCGCTGCTGTGCTTCGGGGCAGGGAGTGGTGGAAAACGCGCGCCGACACCAGCGGGGGCTCGCGTCTTACACTGTTTGCAGCAGCTTGCTGACGCTGCTGCTGCTGCGTCTCCAGGCGACACGGCAGCAGCAGATGCAGCACAAGCTGCCGTGCAAGCAGCAGCGGCCGCCGCAGCGCGTGCCGCTCGCATTTGCTGCCCCGCAGACAGCAGCTTGCTGCCTGCCGCAGTCACGGCTGCAGCAACATCCCACAGCAACCGTCGAGCCCTCTCTGCCTTCGCCGAGGAGACTCTCGGGTTCTTGACGGTTCGGTATTTGCTGTTGCACAAGGACGTAGCAGCGGGAGCTGCGGCAGCCAGACCAGCGGAGGCGGTGTTTGCTGCGCTGTCGCCCTCCGCGAAGGCCAAAGCTGCGCAGCAGCTGCTCCAAGCAATTCAGGTAAGTTTCTGAGAGACGCCAGGTCAAAGAGCTCACGGGGGGCAGATCTAAGAGGTGCAGATCTACACACGCATACACACACAATATGAGTTGTGGAAAACGCGTTAGACGTCCTCCAGGAAGCAACGCGCCTCGATTTCACGGAGGGCAGATAGGGGAGTACACGGGGTATGCAGCTGACGCGGACCGAGGCGGGCGACACTCCAGCGCTCTGCCGAGATGAGATGCAAAGGCGGTCATGCAAGGACTCTCATGTGGCATTCTTTTGCAATTAATGCCGCCTTTGCTCTGATCTGGCCCTTGTTGCCCCCCGCCCTTCCCGTGTGATCTGAGGGTCTTTTTTTGCCGGCCGTTGCGGGAATGCCTCCCTTTAGACCCACGTTTTTAGCGTCGCGTCATTCGTTGTGCTGCTCGGACGCCGCCATGTGCGGGGTTCTCTGGGGGCTGGGCTGCATTGGATTTTTCCCGAGGGTTGTTGGGAGGTGCCGTTTGGTTATCAGGCCTTTGCGCCGCTCTGCCCGCGTGCTTTGATGGAATCAAATGTGAAACGCTTCTCGTCAGCCCTTCTAGCGTCTGCGGCTTCTGCGTCCATCGCGGCGTCTCCCGCACTCGCCCCGAAAGAGTGTGCAGCGTTGGTTGAGGTCTGTGACACCTTGCGGCCCTTCACGGCGGCAGACACGGGTGAGTTTTTCTTTGCGGCCATGATAAAGGTGTCCTCGTGAATTCGTTCGACACGGGAGGGCAGTGGTATGCGCGTCTTGTTACGGGAATTTGTCCTCATGGGCTGGCGGCGCCTACTCGAGTGCCTCGTATTTCTTATTGTAAAAGCGAGGGCAGAGCCCCTCGTCTTCGGCGCAATGTCCTCCCTGGAGCTCCCTTCGCGGCCTCCTTTTTCTGATACACCTGCGTTTGTCTATACGCCTGGGTTTGGAGTTTTGCTGCTGGTTGACCCCTGCAGGCGCCGATCTCTTCCAGGCGTTGCTCGCTCTGCTGAGACGCTGCTCCAGCGCACTAAGCGGCAGCAGCAGCAACTCCGGCAGCAGCAGCAACACCGTCCTGCTGCTGCGGACGCTGCAGCGGAAGGCATACGGAGCTCTGAAGCATACACTTGACGACGCCGAGCAGCATTCGGTAAGGCCGCCCCTCCGCTAAGCAGACACACGCCGATTTTTATACGAGCCCCGAGACTAGGAACTCAGGAAAAAAGGGCCGCGCGATGCACAGGGCAAATATCCCGAGGGTTGTCTAGGCCGAAGGCCTTAACGGCAGCCTTCCTGTGTGCTTTAATGTGCGCCGAAGGGGTTTGTGGTCGGGCAGCCACAGTTGTTGGAGGTGTGGGCAGCCCTCAAGGAAAGCCGAGGCACTACCGCAGCGGCCATTGACTTAAAACAAAGGCTCGGCTGTCTCCTCGCGCTTCTGCAGTCCTTCGACAGACACCGCACGGCGTTCCCCGAGTCTGGTAAACCCCGAACGACCCTTTTCGAAAGAGGGCGCAGTCGGCGCTGTTCCCCTGGCCTCTCTTTCGCTGTAACCATCAAGAGAGAAGTGCAGTGCACGCCTTTTGGAATGCGTCTGTTTGACCTTTTGAGTGTGTCTGTGGGTGCTCGACGGTGTGGCAACAGAGTGGGAAGGGCTGCTGCAAGAGGTGCTGCCTGCGGCGGTGCCTGAAGTACTGCTGTCTCTAAAGGACCCCAACAAGAAGAGCCGCGAAATCGCTGCTGCTGCTCTCGAGGCCCTCGTCAAGCTCTGTGAAGACAAACAGCTTCACTGTGAGGGGCCTTTCCCACATGCACTTGCTGCTGCTCGTGCGCCTACTGCTTCCTGCTACCCAACGCTACAAAGTCTTTCCTAGCGACTCTTGCACTGTCTCCTCCGTTTTCTTAATGCCCGGCAGCATGCTGTGTGGACCTTTTGCGTGCTTGCTCCATTTCTCTTCTGCGTGCTTTTGACGTGTATATCATTCACCGCTCGACCGAGGTGTGGCTGGGTAGCTCGTGTAGCAGGTCCCAAGCACTTGACAGGGAGTGCCGGCATTCTAGGTTTTTGCATGTACATGTCTTTCTGTGTGCATGTGTGTTTGTTTTTTGCTCCGGGATGCTTCTTTCAGTATCCGCCCTGGCTACGTTTGTCGCTGCTGGCTTCGGCGGTCTTGCACCCGAAATCGGGGGCCCTCAGGGGGACCAAGGGGCACCTCCTCCGTTACTCAAATCCGCGGCAGCCCTCGCCTTAGGGAGACTCCTTGACCTCTACGGTACGCTTCCTGCACCTACAAGGCCTAAACCCTCGGCAGTGTGTCTGTGCCTGCGTTGACGGCCGCCGTGTTTGCTAAAGGATGGGTTGAAAAGCGCTTCAGCGAACCGTTGGGTTGGCACTCCGTAGGGTGTACCGTTTGTGCCGTAGGTGATGAGCTTCCCCACAGCCAAATCCAGCAGTGGGCAAAGGTTGGATTGTTGCTGCTCAAGGATCACAACCGCATCGCCTTTCTCGCAGGCCTTCACTTCGCAAAGGCAGGCCCGAAAGCTAGCTCACCAGAGTACCAGCCTTTAAACTTCCGTGTTGAAACGGGGAGTCATGGCTCATGCTTCATCGGGAGAAGTTGGCCACATGGCGCTGCACAGAGGCTCCGCTTTTTCTGTCTCTCAGGCATGCATTCGTGCTGGTGACATGGATGACTTGGCCGCCTGGTTGCCTTCGATGCTCGCCGCCCTGGATAATCCAAATGCTGCAAAAGGTTCGTGCTTCAAGCTTCAACCCGGCAGCCTCGAGATTCCTTTCTTTGCAGCGTGCGGACCCTCCCCCCCACACCCCCGCTGATTCAGGGTAAAGAGTGGGGTTCAGGCCTTGCGGCTTCGTTGCGACGTCCATGTGGGTGTGCAGCTCGCATGAAGATCCGCCGTTTGATTGAAAAGCTGTGCAAATTGATGGTGCGTCTGCTGCTAGAGTGTTATCGACTGCTCACTATAGCCTCTTTGCCCTTTGGCTGCGCTGGCTGAGCAGCGACCTTCGTATTTACCTGTTTGCCCGAGAAACTTTGGGTGTAGGGTTGCTGTCCTGTACTGCCCTCGGAATATAGAGTCAGACTTCTCAAGTCTTTATATGGGTTCCACAGGGCGAAGAGGCTCTAGAGAAGGCCATGCCAGAGCAGCACATCCCTTTGTTGCGCTACATCCTTCGCTCCGAGAGGCGGCGAACTATTCGGCGGCTCATCCAACAGACTCTGAAGGTGCTGCGTGTACCCTACCCCGTATTCCTAAAGTCTTGTGCCCAAATAAGCCGCTGATATCTGGAATACTAGAGGAGCATGCTCTTGATCCGTCGTCCACCCCACTATTTTTTAACAACGTGCTTCTAGAGTTCATCATATCCGGCTTGGGGTGTCTTAGGGAACGGCTGACTCGGCTGATGAGAGTGAAGGCTCCGAGGAGGAGCGAGGAGGTGGTGAGGAATCCGAGACGGACGCAGATTCGGAGGACGATGTCGCCGTCGATGAGAAGGTATGCGAATCAGCTGCTTCACCCGGACCCTTCGTCAGTCTCGGATTGGGGATCTAGCCCCTTGGTGGCAGAGTTTCGGTCTTAAAGGGTCTCCCTGTAGCTTTTGCCGAGTCTTTCCGCCTGTTGTCGTGCAAGGTAATGGAATGACGCGGTTAGGGGCATAGGGCGAAAGCTTCAATACCTAAGGATTCACAGTTTGCTGGGGTTGTGCGTCTCAGGTTGCGCCACCACGCAAGGCGAAGGCCAGAGGGGAGGAATTGCGGGTTGAGAGCCGAGGCGTTGAAGCCGTAGGGATAAAATCTCTGTTAGATGCCTTTGAAGAGGAAAGCGAAAACGAGCGAAGGTCCAGGGTAAGCTTACTTTTGACTGAGCGACCCAGCTGCATGTTTCTTTGAGTCCGCGGTACCGACGGATACTCATCAGCAAGCGGGTGTCATATCTGGTATTGCATGACCACTTCTCAAAACCTCTGTATAAGCAGCTCTGGGGGCAGCCCTTTTCAAATAGCACAGTGCTCCCTCTTAAGCTGGCCAGAAGCATGTACGAGCATGCTGTAAAGTGCTGGGAGAGCCATGTGTGGGGCTAGACATAGCCACGTTTCTGCCGCTGCCGCTGCACCTGACAAACAGTAAGAGTGTGCACTACACCTGTAGGGCGTTGGGGTGGATGGATGGATATTCGTATGTCCATATGGATGTGACTGACTCTGCAGCGAAAGCGACAATCAACAGGGGCTTCTTCTTCGGGCAATCTGTGCATCTTCGAGGATGGGGACGGGGCTGACGCATCGTCTGCTGTTTTAGACTTCTGCGGTGTATCCGCTGCTCAGCAGATTCTCGTTGGCATGCAGCCGAGAAAAGACAGAAAGACAGAGAATGCCGGTAGAGGAGCGAAGAGAGAACGAAAATTCAGTCAGGTGAAGGTCAACGAAGACGGTAAAATCGTCATCGAGGATGAAGAAGAGAATGATGGTCAGGAGACGCAAGGCAAACAAGGTTAGGCAGCATGTTCTGGGACTGTAAATACTGCTTCCGCGCGGGCTCTGTGTACCGACGCGATGTCTGCCACTTTGGCATTGGCCGTGGCATGTGCTGCTGCTGCTTCTGCTGCTGGCAAGCCGAAATGATGGTGGGGTTGCTGGAACTACGGCCGCAGCGGGCACCTTCAGGTGCCCTGCTATTGGCTGCGCCTGTAGGATATGAGGCGGCTTCTGCAACCTAACTCCTTCTAGGCTGGTTTGGTGCGCTTTCTGTTGGCAGCTCCCAAGTTCTCTATTGGCAAGAAGACACCAGCCGCGGGTCGCCGCAAAGGCTTAAAGGCAAGGCGCAATATTATGCCTTTCGGGGAAAGACGGCCGCTTGCCGGCACAGGCTAGCAGACTATGGCCTGGCCAGCAGCAACAATTAGCAATAGGGTACGGGGGGCGACTCGGGGGAAGCCGTGGATACAGGCGTTATGTTTGCTTGCGCGGGTGATGCTGAGTTCAGGGCCTCTCCTCCGCTGCTTCTTCCCCTGCTGCGGCCAAGTCCAACAACCCCGACAGAAGCCCGGCCACGACTGGAAAGCGAGTAACTCTGAGCTGTCTGGCCGCTCGGCGTGCCGCATTACGCGAGATGCGGAAGAAGCAGAGCGGCGGGCACTTCGTGCAGCGCAGCGGAGAAGAATTTAAGGCCAAACGCGCCCAGGGAGACCTTAAACTCAAAGCAGGAATGGATCCTTACGCCTTCGTGAAGCTCAATAGGGGCGTGCTGAAAGAGAAGTATAGGGCTCAAGCTGTTAGGGTCAGTCAAGTTGCAATCCGACTCGCAGAGCGTGACACACTGTTCACAGATGTGGTGGCAGTCACTCTAAGCTTCAACTATTCATTCACTATTCTCATTCTCTTCAGCCTCTTTAGCCTTGCTGATCGCAGAGAATGCTGGAGCCGAGCCCTCACCGAGGGGCGACGGTGCAACTATGGAAAGGGGCGTCATGTGTCCATACGGGGCAGAAGCAGATAGCGAGGGAAACGAAGGCTAAAAGGGAGAGAGCGAGGCTGCTGTGCGGCTCTTGTGCTGCGGGGTGCTGCTGCGTTTACAGTCCCTCAAGTCTGTCATCAACAAGCACAAGAAGCGGGGAGGCGCAAAAGCCAAAGCGGCATCCAAACGGCGCCGTTAGGGCCCCCCTTACCTCGGCGAGGGGGACCAGAGGGACAACTCCAAGGCATTTCGTTTACTAGCAGATGGACAACTCAGCTGCGGGGCCTCTGGTTAGCACAAGGGCCGCTTGCGCTGATTCATTGGTTCTTTCTGGAATCCTGACTGAACACGTCGAGATTTTAAGAAACTGTCCTCCTTTAGACAATGCTAGTTTTGAATGGTGCAGCCGTCGTCGATTTGCTGCTTCCTAGCATTCTTGCCGATGCTCTTGCCTAGCAGCATTCCCGGTACAGAGAAGACCTGAGAGACATGTTATGGCGGGCTAACCTACACGTGACCACTAGTGACATTTTACTTAGAAGACTCTAGGGATTGACGAGTTGGCTCGTCTGTTCGTACATCTTAGAGCCTGTTGGAGCAATACAGGATGGAGCAAGGCCCTACACGAGTGTGCTCGATGCTATGTACAAGTAGCTGTGAATGCTCGACTGTTCTAGAAGGCGTATTTACGCGTGCCGTGGCTGCCCCTCTCCCCTGATAGGGCACTTGGGGGACGCTAGGAGGAACAGGCACGAGATCATTTGTGCGGTGACCTTGGAGGCAGTGTTGCGATTGTGGTTCCTAAACAGCAGCAGTCTCTCACGTGTCACCTTCGCAGTCTCACCCACGCAAAGCCGACCGCTACGCATGTGCAAACGCCTGTGGAGTTTTTTCCGAAGTTCCTAATTTCTACGTAGGGTGAACTATATGTGCACAGAGGAGCGCCTGAGGACTCGAAGGGCGCAGGCCCTGCGGCTACGGATCATGTCACAGCATCCTTGAGAGCTGTTGCGACAGAGAAACGGCTAAATGGCTTTCCAATGAGAGAATGTGCGGGGACGCAATTCCTCAGAGTATACAAGACATTCCCGCTAAGCAAGGCACGCTTTAGGGCCCCATAAGCAGATCCGCTGGTCTGCCATTTATGCCTTCCATAGAAGAAGGTTGCAATGTTTTTTGCCAGGGCCTTCCTTGTGACTGCTGTTGGTCTCAGGGTTGTTTCTCCAGGGCAATGAGCAACTGGCTGCACCAGCGGTTCCTGACTGCCTCGGGAGTGCCCACGGGTTTTCCCAAGAGAACTCTGGCCAGAAACAACACAAACTCGGAGATACCGTGTCTTACATTTGCAACAATACACACGCCACGTACATAAAAGGAAATACGATCAAGTGGAGGACGCCTCAGTGCTTCAGATTTCTGCTCATGGAGATGCCGACACGGACACTTGCTTTTACAGCTTGAAACACAACACTGGCAAGCATAGATCGAGCGCCCTACCCTAAACTCCCAGCTTCCAATGCTCAAACATTGGTTTCGCACACAAGCTCCCTCAGCAGAGGAAATGCGTTGCACGTGTGTCCACCGACAGGCAGGCAGCCAGGTCTCATCGTTAAAAGCATTGCAGTATGAAACCTTCAAAATGAAGACATTGAAAAGGGGCAAGGGAATATACATGCATTGCCACACCCTGACTGTGGCCAGTGTGAAGCACGGGGGCTGCGTCCTGGTGTGGATGCACTGTGGGACGATGGAGAGCACACTCCCCCTGAATTCTGGGCAGTATTCCTCGATCCTGCGAACACGCTGAACACTTCTTCTCCACAAAACACACCTTTCAGACGTAGACTTTGTTTCAATCAAGAATTTTCAATTTCTCAGGGACCAAAGCAAGATGCTCCTCAGGGCCTTAACGATTGCTGGTCTAGCGACTCTTTGTTTGCCATCCTTCCTTGCCCCCTCCCTCCAGGGCCACAATCTGACAAGTAAATTCCTCCCCCTAGTGAAGAGTTATTTGTGTTAGAGCCTTATACAACGCTTTTGTACTGCTTAAGCGTGCTTGCGCAATCGAGCCACAAGTTTTTCGCACCCCTGAAAGGAAGACAGACAGGGAATGGGGAGGTCGAGGACAACGACGGCATCACGTCTCTTGGGGCTTTGAAACTCCACACTTCAGCTATTAAATCTTAGCGCCCCTTCTTAGGACTGATTCTTTCTCGGTCATCATTACATTTTAGAGGTCACTTCAGGATAGTCGGATGGGAAAGCTCTTTCCAAAACTGCCTAGCGCTTACGGCGTACAGTGATCTGGCGTGCTGTGTGTTTGGATTACTGTAGGCGCAGAAGCACTCGAATTCACATTTGATCACCTCAAGCATTTCCAAAATGTTTCGGCACCTTTGTTATTTGCATGGCTGGCACCTTCTCCCCTGCAGTCGTGGAGGAAAGCGGATCGACTTTGGCGAACCCCGGTAAAAAACCCTTCTCCGACTTCTTCTTGGCTGCAGCATCTCCCGCATCTGATTACTGCAGATGCGGCATCGGCGGCCCATGCCTCTGAGGCAAGGCCCAGTACCCAGGAAAGGACTGCTGTTAAGGAAGCACCGCGGGAAGTGACCTACCGGAGAAATCGCAAGCCATTGGCATATACTGTCGATTGCACCGACCTAAAAATAGAGCTCGATGAAGAGGCAACCAAGGTAGTGGCCAAGATCGTAATTTACCTGCAGAAAAAGTGTTTCTCACACAGCGGGCGATGACTACCCTGGGTCAACCATCTCGGGCAGTAACTCTTGTCTTGTCCACCTCTTACTCGGTCCCCCAAACAGCTGTTTGCTGAATTTTGTTTTAGCTGTGTGCATGCTCGGCAATCGCTCATCCTGAACTGCGTTGGCCGGTTTGTACCCCGCTGGTCCCTGGCCTCCATGCCCCTCCTTTGCTAACCCAGTGTACGCGCTGCTGGCACTTTAAACTTGTTTCCGCGCTGGCTGAGTTCAGGTGACGTCTATAATGTCCGTGTATCGGTCTGAAGAAGTCTATGAGACGGACTTGGTGCTCGATGGCGAGGAATTGCAGCTGGTTTCGATCCAGCTGGACGAAACACAGCTGACTGAAGATCCCCTTACGGGTTACACTATCTTGCCAGATGGGAGACTTAAGGTGCCATATACCTTGCTTTCACCCATGAAGGAAAAGATTTTTTTTTTGAAGATAGTTGTGATCATCAACCCCAAGGAGAACCTCTCTTTCAAGGGGCTGTTCATGTTTGATGGCAATTTTGTTGCGCACTGCGAACCCGAAGGGTTCAGACGGATCACTTACTGCCTCGACCGTCCGGATTCCTTAACCCAGTACGAGGTAAGTTCAGCCATGAAGTTCATCCCTGGAATTGCCAAGGCTATTGAATTAAATAACGCTGCGGCCGCACCATAGGCAGCACGCCCGACAGAGGGAACCCCTTCCATAGGACAGACAGCCCAAGAAGCTTGCAGTTTGGCAGCTTCCGGCAGTGTGCAAACGCCCAGTACACTTGGTGCAAGGGTATTTAGTACGCCACAGGGCCAAGCAAAAATGCCGCTGCACGGAACCGCTGCCGCCACTGCGGTGTGCGCTTTCCTTCGCAAGGCACAGGCAGCTTATCCTTCCCAATCCCTCTCCCCCCCCCTTCCCTTCCCCTCCACAGATGGCTGTAATTGGCTGGTTTTGTCTGCGGGCCTGTGTCACCGCAGGTGCGCATAGAGGCGGATATGGAAAAGTACCCACTGCTGCTGAGCAATGGAAATCAGGTTGCGCATGGATTGGTCGAAAATCTTCCAGGTCGACACTACGCGACTTTTTTAGACCCATATCAACAACCATCACACCTTTTCTCGCTCATTGGTGGAAGGTTCACAAGCCTCATGACTTTATTCTGGACTTTTGTAAGACTCTTTGCGAGTGGTGTGAAGAAGGCCGCGGTTTCCTTTCTGGCACATCCTGAGCCCATCTACAAAGAAGTTTCCCCCATTGCTCTCGAGCGCTTTTGCGGGACGGCGGCAGGGGTGCTGCCTCTCCTTGAATAATTCAGTCTCCCATTTGTTTGCATATGCCTTGTTGTATGTTGCGGCTGCTCAGTTGACGTGGTCGCTGGTCCTATTTCGTTCCACGGCTGCTCTGCATTTTTATTGCAGGGATACAGAAGCGTAGTTGTCACTATCTTGGCCAGTCCACCTGGCCGTGACTTTTTACTAATGGCGAGCGATGTCCTGAAGGCGGCCATGCATTGGGATGAGGAAAATGCAGGACGAGAGTATACTCTCGAAGGCTTACATTTGGTCGGCTTCCACGGTTTCAATATCGGCATGACAAAGAACAAGGGGATGTTCATATTCGACTGCGACAGCCTCCTCGCAGACCCTCTGGAAAGCATTGGTCCGGTTGCTTTCCTGGTACCCTGAGCTCATGCACCCTCCCATTTCTGTCACTTGATGCGCTTTTGCAGGGCCACCAGTAGGTTGCCCGCCCCTTAGAAAATTAGCTGCTCTTTAAACGCTGTGTGCAAACAAATGCTTCGGCACCCGCCGCTGGTATTGTTCTGCCTTGTCAGACATGGAGTATGCCTCAGTGGTGCAGACGGTGTCCCACGCGTACTTCCACAGCTGGACAAACAACCTCATGACCATAAAGTAGGCAACTCTGCGGGAGCTTCTTTGGAGGCGCATTGCCGCAAACGCTCAGGAGGGCCCCCTTTTTCGGCGCGAACCGAGGCAAACGATGAGGAAGGGGGCCGTCGGGGGGCCCTGCAGACAGGAGGGCACGCATGGCCTTGGAAGCGCACCTGCTAGGCCTCCGGCTGCCTATTTCTTTTGGTATCTATGTTAACGCACAAGGCATGCATTTGTAGCCCCGCATAGACGCTTTCTATCTGCTCGATGTGTTCCCTTTTCCGCAGGGACTGGTCCGAGTTGTCCCACAGAGAGGGTCTAGCAACTTTCAGGGAGAAACTCTTCACTGCTACCTTGGTCCCGCCCGTAGTTACACGTATGCAAGACTTAAGGAACTTGCTGAACTTTCAGTATCCGGAGGATGCGGGCCCTCTGGCTCATCCCATTCGTCCCGAAAGCTATGAGGTAGTGGATAATCTGTACACGCCAACGGTGTTTCTCAAGGGTGCAGAAGTCATGCGCATGTAAGGCCCTCCTGGCTCAGGCTGTGCCTAACCCTTTGCTTTTTCAAGCTCCTGAGGCGAAATTATTTGGCTGTCCTGTGCCTCTTCCGTCCCGTTGCCACCTATCAGCTCCCTCATGCCACGCCTCCAATGTTTTGGATCCATCTGATGTATGTCTCCCCGACTCAGGTACCATACAATCTTAGGAGATGCTGGCTTCCGAAAAGGCATGCTTCTATACCAACAGACATATAATGGCAAAGCTACAACTTCGGATGACTTTAGGGAGGCCATGTCTAGGGCGAACAAGCGCCAACTTGATCAATTTGGATTGTGGTACTCACAGGTGGGCCGATACGGAGCCTCCTTAGTGATTGGTAGCAGCTGTTGTGCATATCTGCGTGTGAGCGTGCTACTCCAAGAGCGCGCTCAGGCATGCACCTCTTTATTCTCTCCTGAGTAGGCTGCATTTTTGTCCTTGCTTCAATGCAGGCAGGCACTCCGGAAGTTATTGTTGAGGCCACCTCATTCGATCCGGTTCGGCACACTTACAGCGTCACTGTGAGGCAGAGGACTCCGCCATCGCCTGGACAACCGGTTAAAGAGTGGCTCATGATTCCCATGAATTTCGGGCTAATCGGCAAAAAAAGCAAAAAGGATATCTTAGACCCACCAACTCAGGTAATCGGACTTCCAACTGCACAAGCAGTTGCACAGGTCTCACGAGCTGTAGGCTTATTTTAAAGATGAAATCGACACATGGCGCATCCATGCCCCCTGTTGCTGACACTTTGCACAACAGGTAACACTCTTTCTCATAGAGAGCATGCCTGCCGTCTCAATGTGTGTGGTCTGCACAAGTCCGTCTAGATTCCTTTGTGTGCATCCCTGGACACTACATGGCGTGTATTCTGTGCTCTATGCCCGTGTTCTCAGCTGGTTTTGCTCACGGGCGAGTGGCGCACCCTCCGCTACACAGGCATTACTGAAGACTGTGAACCATCTTTTTTTCGTGATTTCTCTGCGCCTGTACGACTTATCTACGAGAGGACACATCAACAATTGGCCTTCATGATGGCCTATGACTCAGACCCTATCAACAAATGGAGGGCCGCCCAAGAACTGGCAATGAGTATTATTCTTGCGAGGGCCGCCGAGGCCGTACAGAACCCTGATGTAAAATTCCAGCAGCTTCCGTCTATCTTCGTGGATTTAATGAAAGCTATGCTATTGAATAAGCAAACGCTGGGAGCTGTAAAGGTAAGGCTAATGGGGTTGGCGGGCAGACGGGAGGCGGAGCAGCTGAAGGGACTTCTCATGTACTAGACAGTCTACCTGTAAAACCGTAGCTTGTTTGTGCAAACGACAATATATCAGTGGTGGCCTGCGTAATGTGCATTCTTGAAGCATCCACTAGCTCCATGCATGACTTTTCTGGACTAGCAGATAGTTAGCCTGCGCACTTGAATACATGAGCTTTACGGCCCCTCGTGCCTGTTTCTTGGTGCTCTTGCCACTTGAAAAACGCGCCTGATACACGCACCTTCCCTCACTTGGCGCCTTTCGTGGCGTGTTACTGTGTGTGTCTGGAGGCCATGACTCTGCGGATGCCAGAAATGCTTGAACTCCAAGACCATATGCGGCCTGCTGACCCGACAGCACTTCACCGGGCAAGGCGATCCGTGATTGTGGATTTAACAAGTGCTTTAAAGAGAGAGATGCTTGAGCTGTACAATGAACTGACAAGCCAAGAGGAGAACTCCGCACTGGAGGAAGTCAGTCGACGGCCGCTACGGAACGAGCTACTAATGTACCTCACCTCGCACAGAGACAGAGAGGCGGCAACGAGAGCCTTTGAGCACTTCGCTAGCTCACGGTGCCCGTCGGACACGTTTTACGCGGTGTACGCACTTGCCAGCATGATATACCCAGAAGGGCACATCGCGCTCAATAAACTATATGAAGAAGCCGAAGGTAAGCTGAGTCCAGGGAACTGCGGCTCAGATAGCACCGTGGACAGATGCTGTAAAAATATCAGGGCTGGATGGAGGAACGGGCTTGTCTTTTCAAGCTGTTTATATCTGGCGGCTGTCGATTGGCGCGGAAGACTTGCCTTGATGACATGGAGCCGCGGCCGTTGCTCGTATTTTGTCCATCAACAAGCAACTTTGGCAGCCCTGCGTGGTGTGGGAGTGCAAATGCAGTGGGATCAGGGGGAGTGTAATATGCTTATCTTTCTTTCTGTGTTTTTCTTTCCGCACATGCCGTGTTCGCCTAGCTCGATACTACTGAGAGTGATGCACCTTTATTTAGTGCAGTTTAACATAACATTGTAGCACCCTTGTTGGTTGTGTATTCCTCTGTATTTCCGGTGGAAACGTTCAGGTAATGCGGAGCTTATCAATCATTGGTTTCGTCTACAGGCGTTAGCCGATATGCCTGATCAGCTGGAGAGAGTGGAACGACTTTTAGAGCATCCCGACTTCTCATACACCAATCCCGCCCGCTTGGGGGCCCTGTTCTTGACGCTCACGTCGTGGAACAGCATGCAGTTTCACAGAAAAGACGGAAGGGGCTATGAGCTCCTGGCCGACGTCGTTATTCAGGTAAGAACCTTGGGGGTGAAAATGAGGCGAGGGGGGCAAGAGAAGGACGGCATTAAGCACCGCGATTAGTTAGGGGCTGCGGCACGGTCTTGCCAGTACAGCAAACAGAAGGCGGAATATTCGCGCTGCGGCTTTTTGCCTTTAATGGATTCATCTCCTACTGCTGTGCTTTTCCGTGTCTACGTTGTCTCCTCAACTTTACTATGCCCTATACATCGCATTGCCTAAGAGCCTATGGTGTTTTATCTCTTCAGGTGGATAAGCACATCCCCAAAATGGCGTCTAGACTTCTTATTCCTTTGACTAATTGGACTAACTTTGTTGAAAGCCGCCAAGAGCTCATGAAAAAGCAACTCAGGCGAATCTTAAATCAGCCCTCTCTCTCTATTAATACAAAAGACTGGGCTTCCAAAGCGCTTGCCGCGAATTGAGCACAAGGGAAATACATTGATAAAGACGTGAAATGGGGACACTCTTGCGACCATCTAGAACCGCGATTTTCGTTGCCGTGGTCATAGCCTCTTGCTGCTCCGAGCTTAATTTGCTCTTTCTGACTTCTTGTCTGATGCTGGTGGCCATAATACATTTTGAGCCAGTTGAGGGTCAGAAAGAAAAAGGCTATTTTTTCCCTTCTGACCTTTAACTGAATCATATAGTATGTCTACTAGGATTGCTGTAAAGCTGGTAAAAGTCTGCGTAAGAGGGCGCCTTGAGTGAATGTGTCTCGCCAAAATGAAGAACTGGAATTTTGCTACCGTATGGGATTGTACGGAGGCTATATGGTGACGCTGTACATTTGAATTTTTTCGACACTTCGTAGGAGCGCGAACCTTGGGATGGTACAATCGTGCAATTGAACGAGCTTGTGGGCTCTTCATGGTTGGGCTCTTCGGATGTGGATAGTGAGATAACAAAAATCACGCCGAAACCTTATCACCTTTAGGCGAGTGCACATGCAGGCTCACGACCTGCCGGTCAGTGGCCCATTCATTTCCAATCTGCATGCCTTAGTAGGGCCGTAGTGTTGGTGCTTCATGGCTATTCACAGTGAAGTACCCCAACAGGATTGGTTTCCAGTTTCCGCATTGGCCAGGATATTGCCACCATGAAAGCCAGTAGGCTTGGTAGGTTCTGTGGAATCGGTAAAGCTTTCGGGTTACAAAGCCCATTTATAATAAATGTGAGATTCACATATTTACTCTTCACTTTTTCCTCCTTGCCCCTACTCTTGTGTTGTAAGCGCTCGATGCAACGTCGCGGGGTCATAAAGGAACGGCACGGGAATTCTTCCAATATCAGTGGGCAATGGAAGAAAATAGTCCACTAAACCGATAGCATTTAATTACTAGGCTAACTATATGGCTTTGGTTAAGGTCTCCGTACATAGACGCTTCAATTCACACCAATGCAAACTTGCAATAAAGTATTGTTTTGAAAAGATCCTCCCCTCCTTTACCTTACCGCACCCTTCAGACTTCCCGAGATAAGGGAGAGGGACAGCTACGACACGCGTAGCTGCTCCCCTTAAGCATTCTGAGCATCTACAAAAATTTGCACTTAATCTCCAGTGCGCACGCACACAACATTGCGACTCCTTGTGTCAAGGTAATGGTGTGCCGCAAAAACTAAGATCTACGAACAGACGAACGAATCGGTCGACTTCTTACTTAAGCTTAGCCAACCACTCCTACTGGAATAGAAAATGGATAGGTGTAGTTTGCATGCCACATTAGGCACCTCGCCCAAGGCTGCTGGCCCAGCTTTGGTTAAGTGCCACACAGAAGGGAGCTGCACTGCTACGTATCCGTGCTCCTACATACACAAAACAAGCTATTGAATGAAGTCTTTGCATAAAATATGATATATCAAGCGTCGCCAATGCGAGAGTCTTTATTCAAAGGGGCAGAATGTGGAATGCTAATGGTTGAAGGGTCATCTCAGCGAGTTTTACTTTTGTGAGAGTCTCTCATCTGAGACTGACTGAAAGCGATATTACATGTGGGCTTAGGAGGCAAAACTCGAATGCGAACACTACTGGGCGATTGGTGGTGCTCAGTGGTACCACACATGACAGGGATACAACAATCTAACATGTTCATGAAATGAATATTTATCGAGCCACATGATTATTGCTTTTGGTGTCACTGATTGTATACTCTGTTTTAACTCCTGCTCTATTGGATATTTTCGCTTGCACCGCCGAGGCCTGTGCTGTGTACATTGAACCTGCCGAGACCAGCGAGAACAGAGAATAAGCACTCATTTTATATCCCTTGGCATGAAGCCCATCCAAGTTAATGACATACAGTCTGGCTTAGCTTTGCTTGTAGTTTCGTACTTGTTCTAGAATAATACGTTGACGAACCATGCTTTCTGTGAGGAGTGCCTATGGGCTTTGTCGTCCATCATAGCGACTCGTGAATTCATAGGTGCACATGCGGTATAAAAGGAATAAAGCACAAAAGCAATGCTCTATTATTTTGCTGCATTTTCTCTCATATTTTGTCTGGGGTGCGCGTTCCATACTGGTGTCAATCAGCGGTCTCCTAAACCTCAGCTCGCCATGAAAATTGCAACTAAAAGAGCAGACACTTCTCCCATTCCCTCCTCAAGCCTTTCTTTCAGTATGGAAAGCTCTGGCATATCCAGGAAATCGATGTTTTTTCCTTGCTTTTACTTGTTTGGCACCCACAATTCCCGTGGACGGTTTTTTCAGTACCCCGTTTCCGGAAGTGAGGCTAATTATCCTGTTTTTAACTGACCTATTCTTGCATCTTTTCTACTATTAGCATGCTAATTCGCTTTTTCTAAAATTTTGAATTACATAAGCCTCATAAGCAAAACTAGCGAAAATTCCTACGAGCAGGTGAACAAATATCATAAGAAACCCGCTTCCCTTTCACTATAGTGCTATTCAGCCTATCGGTGATCCTTGTAGGTGTTCCACCTCCTTCGCTTGTTTTTAAGAAGTTATTTGAATATTCTACCTGTATTTATGAATATCATGAGCTATATCCTGTTCCGGTAGTCTTTCCCGTGGTTGGAGGAGCAGCTGTAAGCAGTGCACGTAGAGTGTCTTGGGGGGAAAAGGTTGAGGGATGACGCAAAAGAGCATATATCCCTCTATACAAAAAGAATACTTGAGCTAATCTGCGTAAGAATAAGGAAACCACTTCGTTAAAAGTTCGCTCCGCGGGCTATTCTCGAGGTACCTGCAGGCATTAAAAGCATAGGTGACTGGCGCCCTCATGGGTCTGCGGTGCCTCAGCATCCCGAGGTAGGTGTTTCTAAAAGGGACTGGCACAGTCCACGCTACCTGGACAACGCGCTTTCTGGGAACTGCAGTGTCTGAGCAACACTTGCGGCTCAAGGAGCTTGTATACCTCTTCCAAAGGAAGAAGGCCTAACTTACCTTAAAAACGAGCCCTTTAATGCATAAGGCTGAGTAAGGAAATCTTGCAGCTATCCGCAACTGGAGGCCCGTTCTTGCTTTTATGTTGGGGGCCTTGCTGTGTTCGGAAAAAGACCCATACAACATGCGGCCGACGCCGTTTGCTGCGCTTGGGGCGCAGGAGGAAGCACTACAGCTTAGGGAATTTTCTGAGACAATAGACATTGGCAGATGAGTCACTGAAGGCTTGCTTGCCTCTAGTACGGAGTACTCTGTAAGCTGCATGGGGACTCCATCCGCCCAAGTGAGGCGCCTTCTCTCCTGACACCAAAGAACTGAATATGAAGGGATACGAGTAATCTGTCAGCCGACCTGCCCGCAGCACGAAGAGCGCTAAGGATGCTTTTATTTACTCTCGCTAAACCAAAGAGAGCCAGGCGAAACAAGAAAAGGAGAGCAATTCCGGAAAAGGGACGGGGGGCAACGATCATGAAGATGATTTGCGGGAGAAAGATAAAAAGGCGAAAATTGGAGTAAAGAAGGTACAAGAATGCTAGCGGACTTTGTAAAGAAAAGGAAGCGCTTGAGGATCAAACAGCAAGCATGTGACGAGGCGGATAAGAGAATTGCCAGGGACTGGTGACCCCATCGGTTGTGCTGTCGATCTTGAAACCACATATGTAACCACGCGGCTTGTCGAACAAGGAACGTGAGTGCTCGTTTCAGGACATTCATCAACAGGAGGTCGTGGCTTTCCCTTAGTAGCCCCCCTTTTCTTATTATGTACATTCAAAAGATGGTGCTCTTACTCCTGGCTGCCCTACAGGCGATCGCACATCGGGACACACAATTGAGGACAGGGGCGGGAACAAAAACCGACAGAGGAATGGAAAAAGAATACTTCCAGACTATCATGTGTATGTGCTCCCGCCATACACTTTAGTGCTGTTCTGTGTCTTGAATTGGCTTCCTGGCCTACTCAACACTGCCATACATGTCTTTTGTGTCACCTCATCCACCCCGCCTGAAAGCAACTGTCGCTTGTGTTTCGAAAACTCATATTCAGTAGCTAATGAAAACCTTCATCGTATGTATAATACATTAGTATGCCTGCATGTGCTTTGAATCTATGTATACATGTAAAAACTAATAGTTGCGCCGCATTTGCTTTTCAATGTGTATGCCCTTATTGAGTGTTCTGTCGGCTACAGGCTCATCTGCATGTAGCTCTCGATTAAAGGAGTTCAAATAGCTGCTGTAATTTGCATTCTTGTACGAGCTACGCACAGCTGAGTCACAGAGCATTCATCTGCCAAAAGGCGCCTGAGCATCTGATTCCTGCCTTGTTAGAGAGTTACCCCAGTGAACAGCCGGTCGCTTCTAGAGCACCCTGCAAAATGCCAAGCGGTGCCTGGTGCTCTTTACGATTAAAAACGACTCCTTGTAAGCTCTGTCCACTCAAACCCAGCCTGCACTAAGCATCGGCTTCGACGAATTGCAATCTGCCTAAAGCTACTGCAGCGCTGATGCCTGCAAAATCGATGAGGAGAATGCATATGCTCAGCTTGTCTCGATTCCCTTTACCTCCTTCTGCTTGTAGCAGCTTCCAAATTAACATAATGATGCGGCTTATGGCCAATTTAATTGCTTTACAGAATTCCATCCATTAAAAAACCCATGTCGTACATGGACTTTCGCAGTCGGTAGCGTGCATGCGACCCTCCTGACGACGAACCATAAAATACCCTCGTGTGGGCGTAAAATCGAAGATTTGCACCAAAAAGATGCAATATTGATACACTTACAAACCCAATGGATCCTCCGAATTCAGGGTCACCTTTCATGTAAAATATCTTACGACTCTAACTAATTGTCTCGAATGTCTTCAAGCAGATACAGTGCATAACACACCCAGGCGGAGCTAGTGTGCCCTTGATCTTTCCTTTTACAACATAAAGGGGCAACAACTTGTCGAGTCAACAGATCCTACTCCGTTTCTGGCGCTTCAATTCTTTCAGGGCATGGAGGTGCTCTCCCTTACTGCAGTTTCCCACTTACACATCAGTGTAATGCAGTTAAGATTACGCACTACCAAATTCAGCTGTCACTATCGTACAAGTGTGTCCACCAAATGAACATTTAGGCACTAGTTTCTAATCAAGGCAAATTAGGGTTATGCAGTGACCAGACGCCCAGCCTGCCGACTCGACTGTCCCAGTTCTGGATCTGCCGGGGCAGTTCGCCTTTCTATATCAAGGAAAGGGGACAGCTGATGTCCTGACATGCCTCTACTTTAGAATGATCATCTTTCTTTCGCTGCCCACTGGACTACACGACTGAGGGGGCCTTAGGCTCCGTCCTTTATACTGAGTACTCGGAGTTAAAAGCTTCTTTTGCTGCTCTTATGCCCTCCACATCAGAGCTGAAAATAGCCACACGGAGGTTGTCGAGGGAGGAAAAATGTACTGCTATACAATCCAGACTCTAAAGGACATGGAGCTGCCGGACTTGATACAGGGGGGAAATATTCTTTGGTGGGGATTTGGACTCGCTGCATTTGACGCCAACTGTAATGGGCAAATCGCCAGCTCCGACGAGTCATGGGCCCATAATACATACTAGAGGGCAGGAAGTGCCTGCCTTAACAGGAAGCGTTCTTGCTGCAGAATGCAAAAAGTCGTGCATTCAGAGGGTACTCCTTGTTTAGGCGGAGCAGCCAGGGAAACGGCCGGCCTATCCAAGTAGCGTAAGAGGCCAATAATCAGAATTGCATACATGATTACTAAAGAGGAGGCAGCTAGACGAGTGTGCTGATTTGTGCATGTCATTGCGCATCGTCGTGCATCGGCATGGTTCTTGTGAGAAGCTTGAAAGTCATTCGTTTATGCTTAGTTCACGATTGCGGGATAAAGCAGAGCTGTAAATTGAATAGACAGTAACGCAGGGAGCTAGGCTTTCAGAGGCATCAAATCGATTCAGCACAACTCGAGAGAGGCCAGCGTACTACACTTTCCAACACATGATGGTGGTTTCAGCACGACTTCAATGCCTGGCATCTCACTGATTATGCTTTACTCTATTAGAACAGTACAGGAGTTCAATGGCTCTGTCGGTCACAGCTCCCCCCCTCGGATCCCGCTGCTGGGCGACAGCCTCACCGCCAAGGGGAAGGTGATGGACACACGCCTCCCGCAAGACACATAGGAAAACAGTCCTACCATTAGAGGAATGCTTCCTATCTGGATCCGACGAAATTGCTCATTATATTTCTCGTACGAGCATTACTTTTGAACACTACACATTAGGGATGGGTGGACTGTCCGGCGGTGATCGAAGATGGGACATCTCAAAACTGGGATAGCGCGTTTAGCTATCCGTTTAGGGAGGTTACCTATACATTTTTGAATACTCAAACTCTTATTTTGTTGATGTGCCGGTGGGCATGTGAGGGTACATCACTGCTATTTCTGGTGGGAAGCTTGTTACGATGGGACACCCAGACGCTGCGTCGCACGCACCCACTCAGTCCACTCCCCACAAGAGCTCTCGGCTGTCCCTTTCTCATCTCTTGCGCTGTTTGGACTACTGTTTCCTGGGATATCTAAGCTTGCATGAATTCTGCCACATTTGCACCCGTGCACTGCTCCAAATATTCCTGCCTGCTCCTAAACCGGGCCACTTGTTCTGCGGCAGGTCACAGCTAGCCCAAGCAGCTCCGCACGCGCATCGTCTGAGCAGCAATTAACAGCCCCATATTTGCTTTTTGTGCTTCCGGTGTGGCTCGATGGTCAAATAGACCCTAGTGGAGACCACGTTGTCAGCAATATTTTGCACCATAGACGCTCCGCAGTGCCGTTCCCAAGGCGAGCTCCGCGAGAACTGCCGCTTTTAGGGCTTGCGTTCTTTTCTTGTGTACTCATCTGCGTGCTTTCAAGATGTGCTTATGAATTTGGATTCCAGAATCCTGTTACATATCTGTGGATATCTCGAGCGGATTAAACGTCTGTCTCCCCTCCTGCTGCTGAATCGACACGAGGAATACAGGAGCAAAGCCTGCACCATTACTTTTTCTTCCAGAATTTTTCGCGTATACGACATTTGCGTGGGCTGATTAACGTACTTTCCTTGTGTGTGCTGCGCGTACAGATTTTTGTTGCACGTCCCCTGTGGCTTTTCATTCCGCTTCACCACTGTATTCTCTAAGCAAAAATGTTTGGTTCCACCAGTAAAAGGGGCACCTCCCTCTCGCCTGGAGACTCCGGACTGTATCCTGAGTTCAAGGTATCTCCTCCGGTGGTTCCCCTTACTGAAGTGGGGAGTCCGCGCCAGTGGTTCTTTGTTAACAACAAGGGCATCCCCGTGTGCTGCTACACTTGGGATGTGACCAGTGCCAAGGCCACCGTGGTCCTTGTCCATGGCTATGGAAGCCATTGCATGTATGAGTGGCTTCGCACGGATACACCGGAGACTGTTCGCGAGACCGCCGAGCCGTTGGAGAACTGCAACTCAAAGGACTCCCAGGGCACTGAGGAAGACCGCCACGAAGAGGTAAAATTTTCGTGGTCCTGCTGCAAACCAACCATCTCCGTTACTAGAACTCGCGATGAAGCAACCTCCTCTTTGGGGTCTAGAGCTGCATCTATGAACGCAAGCGTGATTGCAACCAACGAAGGCGCTGGGGGCTCAGACGTCCTAAAGCAATCCATCTTCAATGTGCCAGGATCCAGTCCGGAACAACCTCAGATCCAAAGGGAAGATGTGATTCCGCAGAACGAAGCCCCCAAGCTATCCTTCACGGGCTCTTGGGTAGAGAGGTTCCTAAAGCGGGGATGGCGGGTGGTCGGGATAGACTTGCAGAGCCATGGTGCTTCACATGGGTGGGATGGCACCTCCTGCCAAGTACAGACATTTGACGACTTTGTACAAGACATCCGTACTCTTCTGCAGTCCGTCGCTAACGAATCTTCCCTCCCCATTTTCCTCGTCGGTACCGGCATGGGGGGCTGTGCCGTGATCAGAGCAGCAGAGCTCCTGTGCAAAGCAGGGATGCTCGGAAAGGCCACCCTCAAAGTAGCTGAAGGGGGCACTAAATCGCTGGCTGATGAGCACCAGCTGGCTGAGGAGTCGAAAGCAGCCACTGTATCCACGGCGAGTACTCACCGCGACCCTCAAGAAGCAGGACCCCAGAGGCCCCTTCTAGAAGGGCCCCTGGTTCCCACCTTGCGCGAGGGATCGGAGGCCCAGGAAACAGTCCAGAGTCCAATTAGTGCAGCGGCTGAGGCCATGGGCGCCTCCCACCGAGTGATCCGGCAAAAACCCGTCCCTCTGGCAGGTCTGGTGCTGCTCTCTCCCCTCCTGGAGGCGCCTCAAGGGGAAGAATACCGTCCGAACTGTCTGATATCGCCTTTCTTGGGTGTCTTGAAGGACTGGCTGCCGCATTGTGGCGTTGTACCTCGGCCGCAGAATGACCTATACCCAGACGTCGACGCTCTCTTCACCCAGGACCGCAATACGTTCAAGGGCCCCTGTAGAATCAACTTGGGTATGGAGCTGCTTGATGGAGTGAAGGCTGCACAGGCAGACGCCTACTGGCTGCGCCGGCCCATCACGAGAGACGCCTTGATGCCCTTTAGCCTCTCAGATTGGGCCAAGCTGTTGCACCGCAAATCGGCAGAAAAGTCGCATACTGCGGAGGGCGGGGGCTCGCTCGTCAAGCGCTCCCTCAAAACGCATCAAGGGCTGCACCAAGAGGCTTGGGGGACAAACAATCACGAGAAGGCCCTTAAGCCAGTTGAAAGAGAAGCGCCGCAAGCACACTGGCTCTCAGTTCTAGTTGTGCAGTCGCTCGATGACACTGTTGTCCCTCCACTGGGCTCCGTGCGTTTTTTCGAAAGGCTAGGAGGACGGGCTAAACTTCCTGAGGCGTGGGCATCAATCCGACGAGAAGAGCGACGGCTAGAGCGGGAGGCGCGCCGCGCTATGAAGGCTGCAGAAGCTGAAGAAGTTAAAAAACAGGAGGAAGAAGAAGCTTCTCAGGAGGATGCCGGGAAAGTTGAGTGGGGTCACAGGTCGTCCGCCGCCTTCGAAGCAGAGTTCCTCTCAAGGGCTGCCGAGAGAATGGAGAACCAGGCCCTCTCCGACTTGCGGAATGCAGAGATTGCATCGCGGATTGCAGAAATGGCTGCCGCAAGTGAAGAAGTGAATGACGAGGCACAGGGATTCATGCAAGTTGCAGTGGATGCTATCAAGTCAGCCTCCGATATCATGAAGCGGGCCAGTACTCTGGGGAGGCTGGCATCCAGTGCAGAGACGCGCTTGGCTACCGCGAATGGAGAGGCTGACCTGGCGCAGGCTTTTGCGAGGATGGGAATGATGAGCAAAAGCTTTGAAACCCTTCAAACTCAATCCAGGCTTGAAGTCATGGATAGTCCTACGGCCGAGAGTGGGACGGACTGCACAAGCGTGGGCGAAAGCTCAGCATGCGAATCGCAACCTGACGAGACAGTAGAGGTTCAGGATCACCAGCAGGTAGTGGAAGATAAGGCACCTGAAGTTTCAAGCCAGGCCATGTGTGGGTGCTGCACAGGCAAGCAGACTGCTGATGGAAAGCGGTCCAAAATGTCGAAACGAAATCATGGCAGTAGCAACTTCTTCGCGTGCTGCACACCTGGCATGAAACCCGAAGGAAAGAAGCAGCCAGCAGGGCTATACTGGAAGCGCAAGAGGTGGGGAGCCGTGGAAGGTTTTGTAGTTGATGAACATGGCTGCATGGTGAAAGTAGATGATGCCGATGCACTCATGAAAGAGGTGCGAGCAACCGGTTTGGACCCCCTGCCAGAAATTGACTTGCAAACTGAAGGTAGCACGGACGAGGAGCTCGAAACAGAGCTGCCTGCAGACGATATTGAGGAGAAGTTCTCCACGATCACTAACATTGCTGAAGACGGTGCGTTGCAGCTGTGGCTGTTGAGAGGGCATTGTCACATGCTAACGAAGGAACCAAGAAATGAAGAACTACAGTTGGACATCATTGATAGGTTCATAGAACCAACAATTTCTCGTCTGTGCAAGTCAGAGGGAAGTCACCAGGTGTCGGCTTAATCGTGTCTACCGGACAGCCGTTTAGGATATGGTAGATAGAACGCTTAGAGTGTCACGGAGCTGTGAAGTTTAGCAGACGTACGCGGCAAACTGGATGCAACTTCCAGTGAAAGTGCAGGGATCGGTGAAACGTCGCTGACCCATTTCAATTGATGTTTTACTGACGGCAGCGTATTTCTAGGGCACAAATTCATGGTAGATTTATGAGCCTCCATGAATGAAAGCTGTCATAATCTAGGCCTCACTAAAATACATACCACGGAGGACGCGTGGCAAAATCTTCAAATAGTATGAGCTTATCCGTATCTGCATGAATTATCGCGCTCATATGCCTTCCTCTGCGTGCTTTTTCATGATTTCCAGCCATTTACATGGTCATATGTGCACATTTTCCTGTCCAGTTCTTGACGTCCAGTTTGCAGAGTCTCATGGGGGAACTCGGTAAGGGGAACGTGGCGAACGAGACGTTCCCAGACTAATTGGTTGATTGTTTTATGCATACGCATAAATATGTTTTCTTCTATGGCAATTAAGACTAGGCCGACACTACTTCAGCTGCTGGGGGAATTCATCCCCTCGTGGGCGATCAAAATGGAATCCGCGAGTGGGCAATCAAAATGGAATCCGCGAGTGGGCAATCAAATGGAATCCACCAGATTCTGAACTTCTGCCGGAAGGTATCTCTTCCAGTTTCTGGTGCCACCAAGCCAAATAAGAGCATGGCAGAGATTAAACGCTTGTCTTTTCGGTTTTAAGCATTTGAGTACACGTAGGGATAATTTAACAAGAAATATTGGGCAATCAATTTCTATTTGTACAGGGTAGGTTTTCTCGTAGTCCACATATTACTACGTGTCGCCCTACAGCACGCACGTAGCGTGTGTTGCTATTTGGCGATTATGCATGGGAGCCTATGGTCGTCTAATTCAGGCTGACGCGTGGTCATCGTCAGTGCTGGCGGGCTACTGAGGGCCGTAAATGCTGTTCTCCTCTTGTCGAAAAGTATGTTTTATTTTGCCGTTGCTTCGGCTGCTATTTCTTCATGACTCAGTGGGCCTGGTGAGCAGTGTAACTGGATTCTCACCCTTATACAGTTAAAAACGTGAGAAATTTACACGAACGATGGCCCGTTTTCATTGAGAGACTTGGGAGCACTCCTGAGTTTCTACAGATATGTTTGGCCTGTTATGTATAGCGGCTTCAGTTATGACTTCGCTGGCCAGCATTGCCTTTGTAAGATGCAACCGATTTTTCTTGTACTTCAGCCCAATGAAGGCGTATGTATTTCCGCGAGTGCTCCAACTTCGGTTCATGCAGGATTCGTAAAAATGGAAGGACTCACTACGCTACCCACACATGAAGAGTGATCAACTGCGTTTGAGCTGGTAGTGCTGTTACTCGTCCACTGTGGCGGAGGAGCTGGCGAAGCCTGCAACCGCAAGGCAGTTAGACGATAAGTAGAAAGAAAAACGTCATAAAAATGTGAGGCCTCTCAATTTATCTTGGTAACGCAGCTTGGCAGAGCAAACTGTGCGGTACTAAGCGGAAAATCCGAGAATGCGCCGAGAAGTGAGTGGTTCTGGAGCCGCAAAAAGTCTGTGTACTTCTCCAAAACATTTCTCCGGTATCTAGCTTGAGCGCACATTGACACTCAATTTGCTGATAAAGCTCCACAAAACTCCTGCCAAAAAATTGAATTAGGAAGGGGTGTTTTTGCAGCGTGTTAGCGAAGTCGTGTCGGTATTACAGGTGTTGGAGTGATTGATCTATTGTGTTAATCAAGAAGAAGATGAAATTGTGTCGACCACCAATTGGCAATATTATATGAAAAAATCTAGTACAAGTTTTGGCACGGATAACAAGTCTTCAAAGGGAATTTGATGAGGCAGCTGTAGTGTTACAGCTGCGGTCTCCAGAGGGTAAGGATTTTGTAAGCTTCTGTGCTCTGGGAGAGAAGGTGCATATGCTTTCAAAAAACCCATCCACCATTTAAATGGAAATTGACACTAGTCTGCAAACATGAGGGGAAGGGAGTGCCTGATTATAGATGGCGGTACCCGCAGGTTTCAATGGGCATTCACAGAATCACTCAGCATACCGACACAAATTATTAGTTCCTCAAATCTTACAGACCGACACCACAAATCCCTAGCGGCGCACAACTGCCCATGCCACGCAGCCGACGAATAGCACCAATTTTCCAAAGCAAAAACCATTCGTTGCAAGGGTGTAAATCCAAGGGCACTTTGGCCCCAGTCAAGGGAGTCTCGCCATATTAGACAAAAGCCTACTGTCAGTAACACTAGGCTCAGTTCATCAGCTTAAAACGCATTCTCTACACCAGTTTTTGCATGTAACAACTGTGGGGCGTGAAGCAAAGCCAACGACACTTCTAGGTAGGACTTGTATTTCGGGCGGTACGTGTAGGATACAGGAAAGTGAGGTGTCACAAAGCCATGTGCATGAGAACAGAAACATCATGTTCTGCAAATAGTGACAAGCTCCTGTTTTCGATCCTCAACACGCACACAAGGTGTGAAAGCGTGGCACCGTGACCCCTAGGGTCTGAGGATCTTTACGCTAGACACGCCAGGAGACATAGCACATGGACAACTGGCCTACGGTAGCCAGGTGCTCATAGACAGGTTGCCTCACGGACCGTTGACCTAGCTTCTTTTCCTCTCCCGAGACAGAATTCTTAAAGTGCCTGATTGCCCACCCTTCTACAGAGCACGTGAGCCAAGCGAAGACCGTCTCAGGGCAGGTTGGTCCTACTTACTTATGAACTGGGGACTGTCGTAGCTATTCTATTCAGCATGGGGAGGGCAGCAGTCCATATTTCGGGTTCTATGACGCTAGGTAAAGCGCCACTACGGGGCGACGCCACCCTCTGTCCTGGTAAGTACACGCTGCACCACCAAAATACATGCTCAGCACGAGGCAACGGTTTTCACCGTATTGTGTACCCCTACAGTTCGTTTTTCCTCGTTAGAAGCAGATTCCTAAGTGCAGCTCGACGGTGATCGATGTTCAATCTGCTACACCTGAGGAGCCATTGTAGCTGTACCGCTCTCACCCAAGCCTTAAAGGTTTAGCTATCTCCGTACCACGACGCAATACAGCGCAGCCTTCATCATATTTAATATTCGTTTCTCTTCGTCCTGGCCCTCAAAAAGAGCCAAAGCACCCCGATCTAGCCCCATTTCTATCTTTTTCGCAAGGTTCCAGATATTTGTAAAATACCAATACCTGTGCAGGGACACGTCTCATTTGTATGAACCGCTATTCTGACACTTCTGCGCCTTCCTGTTCCGGCATAAACGTCCCCAATTACACATGCTTGTGCCAACGAATCGAAATTCGCCGAAGAACGACATATGCACTCAAAGTTGCATACGCATGTACACTTACCCAGTTCTGAATACATACCAAATCTATGAATACAAGTAGGTAGACCAAAGGCGTGCCCGCTGTTACTCTAGCATCAGGCAGGGTTTCCGTGCCAACGAGCCAATGCAGCAACACGCACTGCTGCAGCCAGGCCCTTCCGTCTGTGATGTGCTGCAACAGCAGCACCAGATTCCCATGCCGCTGCATCGGCATTCATTCACTGCTGGAGTGGAACCCCCTCCGGCTCTGCAGCAGATGTAGCACTAACTGATGCAGGGGATGTTCTCTCCGTTTCCACAGCGTCTCCCTCTTCTTCCTCAGCCAAGCCCTCATAGTCAATAAGCAAATCAGGATTTGGATTCCATGAGGGAATGGTGGTTAGGAAAAACATTGCGACTCCTTGATACAAAGCCCTCTTCCAGTAAGGCGGAATCGATGCAGCCTCTCTTCGGCTCGCCTGACTTACATTTTGCCCCTCTGCAGCACTGTGGATACCTGGAGGCCCCTCATCCAATACAAGTGTGGGTGTCTCGTTGGACTGACCCCGAGCACGAAGGCCCTGAGAATCTTCATCTACGCTGCTCACCCATGCCCTGTTGCTGTTGCTGCTATTGCTGCTAGAATCACCGCTGCTAGAAGAGCCATGAACTGCACTGCTGTCGCCACTGCTGCTGTTAGCACTGCTGCTGCTGCTTGCTGCAGCAACACCACTGGGTTGATCTGGGGTAATATCCGCAGGTACCGGTGCTTCTCCTGACGGGAACCACGCAGCACCTTGGCATATATCCTCCAATACCAGTTCTATAGGTATACATCTTAGAGCAGACGAAGGAGGAGGGGACTTCCACAAGCAGCAAACTGCAAGGAAAACATGACCTACCTTCGAACGGACGGCCCACAGACGCATGCAGTCGCTGCTGCCGCAGCCGTAGACGCTGCAGAGGCCTTCGCTCTCGTCGCCCCCTCAACTGTGCCATTGTCTGAGCATCCACAGTATGTACAACTAAACAGCATATGGATTCGGCAAAGCCTTGAGGGGCCCGACAGAGAGGCGAGAGTGCGTCTCGTAACGTGCTGATATGGAGGCAAGGTGCGGGTGTCAAGGAAAGTGACTTTGATGCTCGTGATAGCGCGACAAAGAAGCAGCTGAATCCTATGGGGTTGCCTCACCGCTTCAAACGGTTGCCTATGGCTTGTGCTTGTGATCAGATCGATGATGGGGTTAAATGCCCCGTTGGTGTGGAGGAGAGCCACCACGAGACAACAAACGTATACCCACTTTCCAGCATCAAAGAGAAACAGCAAGACCAGTAGCTTCAGGTACATTACCATAAAACGTAGTCGCCAAGGGGCCTGCTGCTGCGGACGCTGCTGCTGTTGCTGCTGTGCTTGCTGCTGTGGTTGTTGCTGCTGCTGACTCGCTGCTGCAGCCACGGAAGGCACTGTTGAAGCGTCGGCAGATCCTGAGGATTCCGTGATTCCACTAGGAATAGAGCTGCCAGTCGTTGCTCCCGAATATAGCTGCTGTTTCTGCTGGCAAGCATTGTCCTGCAATACACATGAAGGCACCAACGCAACAGGAGCACATGATACAGCAACGCGCGCGGGATGCGAACAACCATGTGCAGCATGCGCTAAGGCTTGCAAGTGCTTACATCTCTGCTGCTTCCGCCGCTCTCGCGTGCCGGCGCAGCAACATCGCTTTCAAGCAGAGAGGCCCCTGTAGTGCTCCCCAAGAGGCCAGGTCCTGAAGGGGGCCAGAAGCTCGCCATCCTGCTGCTGTCAGTGTTGCTGACGAGTTTGGCTACCGTCGCCCTCTGTGTCGCTACCAGCAGCCTCAACTGAAGCTGTGAAGCAAATGAATGCCAGAGACGCAGCTGCCCTTCGTACACCGCGGCCATCATTATGGCTTCCGCATGCCTCTGCATCCACGAAGTGCCACCAGCGAGAAACTCCGAAGGGGCCCCCGTTAGGGGGTCCACGAAGGCTGGCGCCGGGGAACCGTACATACTTGAAACAGGCGCACAACAGGAGGCCCCTATATCCGCGAAATCCGCAGGATGACAACGCAGCCTTTCTGGGAAATGGATGTGAGCTGCACCTGCGGTGACGGGCTCTGTACGTGCAAGGAGGGGTGGCTGTGCACCTGCGGACTTCTCATCTGTTATGGAGGTGGAGGACTCTAGAAGCTCTTCCAATGGTCGCTGGTATGCTAACGGCTGCTGAGACTCTGCTATGTGCTGATGCAAGGCAGCTACTTGATGCATGCGTTGAAAGAGGTGCTGCCGCAACCCCGCCAAGGAGGCGACAGCAGCAACGTGACCCTCAAGTCCCTGATCCTGCAGGGCTTCAGAAGAGCCGGATGATTCGGGAAATGGGTCAATTGGGGGAAATACAAGGGGTAGAGGGGTGTAGGGACCCCCTACAGCCGCCACGGGCTTTTGCTGTTGTTGCATTATTCCGACGCACCGCGCTTCGCCGCAGCGGCAAGAAAATAGCCGCCCCGTAGCCGCTGCGTCAGCGGAAACAATTACAAAAGACACCAGCGGGCCTGCTGTCTTTCAAGGTGCTGCTCACGCTGCAGTCATGCGGCATGTGATCGCCCCCTACCAGCGGGAGCATGCAGAAACTACAGATGGGCAATATTACCCTTGTGCCTGCCCCAAGCGCCCCTAGTTTTACGCATCTGGATGCGCAAGAGGAGCAGCACCCACAAAAAAGGAGCTGCTACAAGTATCAGCAACCAGTCAGCAGCGCGGGCACCAGTGGCAGCACGCGAGACAAGGGGCTCCGTGTCCTTCCGCAATGTATGAGATTGCTCTGGTTCAATGGCACACAAAACAAGAACAGCACAAAAACTGCTGAAAGAGAACTTCGGGGAAGGCCTTAACCCTGTAGCCATAGCCTACAGCGTCTGCGCTTCGCCTGTTACCTTATGCAGCTCCACGGACCTGGGGCTGCCTTGACCGCCACCTTCCTCTTTCATGTCACCCTGTGTGTCTTTCTTCTTGCTTTCTAACATCCTTCAGAGAGCAGCGATCTCTCTTGTTTTCGTACTCTGCTATCATCACGCCGATTTGGCCGTGAGGTACACATGCTGTGAAGGCGTTGCAATAAATTCTGGAGAGCAAGCAATGCCAGTGTACACATATAGCTACCTTGGGGGAAAGAAGTCGTCCATCACGCGGCCGCAGTCGTCGTCCATTTCCCATTTTAGCCAATGGGAAACAGACCCGTCTTTGAGGGTCGTGCTGATGTACAAGGATACATTAGTTCACTGCTTACCACAATGAGGCATCACCCGGTTCGCACGGTGGGATTTCCGGAGCCGAGCGCGCTAAACGAGCAGTTGGTCATGTAGTCTTATCATGCTCAACAGCCAGGAATGGAACGCCCTTCGGGAAGGGCGTTCCTCTTGCCTGCTTATGTAGCGGGCTTAACTAATCCAAGGCACTTATAATACATCAGTGATGCTAACCAAGAACCAGTAGACAATGTACAAATGGCTTTGGCTGCTCTTGCATCGCACTTGCCGAAGAGCAGCGGGATCTTGTTATGACAAGCGTTAGCATTGAGTAGCTGTGCGCTACATGCTATGTGTGTAATGAGCGCTCCATCAAAGGTCTCCATAGGGGGACACCATGTCACAGACTCGACATAAACTTCATGTAAACTTAATAAGTGATCTCAAACAGATGTCGCTTGGCTCTGCCCATGCCTCTCAGATATACAACATGACGAACAAGATACAGCCCCGACGCCCCTAGTTGTGCCCTCCAAGCACTCATAGTATTCGAGGCTACGTGCACGCAACAACAAGCGCACATGCACACACCGTTGCTTTATCTAACATCGAGATAACGGTACTATGCAACAATAAGCTCTGTGAACGGCCAAACCAACGAGGCTATGCCATACGGGACTAACTCTCAGTTAAAAATAACTAGTGTAGAAGAGAGTGTTTTTGTGCAGTTTACCCGCTACACTAATTGTTCAGCACCGTTATATGCTGGTGGGAGTGAGTAGAACATCCGCAGGCTCAAGCCCCTGCTGTGCCCATTAGCGCAGTGGTAATCACAAAGTACGCATGCTTACTGCCACTGCTGTTAGCCTAACTGTTCATGCAGATGGGAGTAAAAACCTGTCGCTTGATGCTTTTTACATCTAAGTATGGTGAGGAGCTGCGGCCTTTACTCACTTCTCCCGGAGGAAAGAGAGTGAATGTAGGTCCGTCCACGTTCAGACAAGGGCCACATAGCCGGGTATCAGCTAGCTACTGCGCAGACTCGTGGCTTTTTGTGCGGAAGGTGTATGTATGTGCAGTTGACAGTAACGTCATAAACGCGGCGCGGTAAGATCAGGTGGCACAAGAAGGGTACAGAAAGGACTAGATAGCTGACAGTCCAGAATGCGATTGCATTCCGCTGGGGGCCCATCAAGAAGGCCGAGTATCACCCGTCCCAGCAGTAAAACTCTCCGCTGGGAGGCCCCGAAAACTGCATTGGTTGAAAAGTGTGCATGTGTTTGTACGAGAGCACTCTGAAAGCGCCCTAAAACTACACTAAAACCTCCCGTAATTGCCCCTCCCGTTTCCTACATAATTCCTTTTGGGGCCTCCTCCACTCCGGAGAATCGACGAGGGCTGTTTGGTCTCCCCGTGCGGGTGTGCATGCCGTCAAGCGTTGGCAGCTTCGCTTAGGGAGGAGAAGACTTGCTCTATAACGGGTGGAAGGAGCTTGAAACAGGGGGCTACCAGGGAGAGATGCTTCAGGGGGAGGTGAATACCGTCAAAGGCGTACAAGACGGAAGGTTTGCGGATAGAGATCTCCGAGGTAGAGGCTCCCTCACCAGACTCGAAAGGAGCTTGGGAGCTCCTATCGTTTAACGGCATGTGGGGGATCTGCGGTGGTGGCGCAAGGGATACAGCAGGAAAGAATGATGACGGCAAAAGCCTATGTGTGGAACGCACGATAGCGCAGTTGCCTGATGAAGAGGAAACTTGCAAAAGACATCCGCACCCACACCGATGCACTAAAGTCAACTCCTTACACAACAGGTTCCCTCGCTCACTTACCCTTGGATATCGCTGGCTGAAGTGTGTTAGGATGACGCTTTCGGAGCCGCACGCGGTCGCTGCAATGCCGCAAAACAAGCCTCAAATCAAGCAAACGGATTCGGCAGAGGCAGGCGCACAAGATTCAAAGTAGCAGGAAATTGCACGTGTGGGCGGCCCTGGGAGGCTCCCCGGCGAATCTCTTGCGCAGAGAAAAGTCCCCAACAGCCGGCAGGTGTGCGCTGTTTGGAATATTTAAAAAGCGATCCCCGTGAGAAAGACCATGGCAGGCGCGTTCTGCGTTGGGGCGTCCATAAGCGACACCCTTCGGGCACAAATGTGAAAGGTGCTCACCTCCCTCAAGCACCTCGCTGACACAGGAGTGCTTCTTCTCAATGGCCTCCGCAAGCAGCCCATCTTCGAAGGTGGCTGCGGCAGACAGAGAAGTTGGCGGTACGGACAAAGGGGAAGAAGATCCGTAAACAGAAGCGGTGCAGAAATGCAGAGGATGTGCCCAGGAAACACACTGCAAGCTCCTCCACAATGGAACTCTCAGCGCAGGGTCAAGAGCCGCTGCCTTGCGAGGATAAGAAACTTGAAGCCCGTGCACAGAGAAGAGAGAATCGCAAGGAACACCCCACTTGAGCAGCACCACCTAGCGAGGATCTTTTTGCGTCCCTCCACCTTCCATTTGTATAAGCTCACCCTCGTGAAGGAGTGCCGTGCAGCCCTTCGCCAACGCAAAGAGCTGAGGGCATGGTCTGGTATCTCCAGAGTAGACAACGCTGACACCCTTGAAATCGATACGGATGCCAAACGATTCCGGGATATGGTCCACCTTCGATGCACACTTACACACATACACATACACATAAGTATAGCACCACCCCAAGCAGCGGTAAGGGATTATGTCATGCTTCGCAGCTCTAGATCAAGCATTAACAAGCATCGCGCAATGGCCTTACGCGCGTGGCACAGATGGACAGCTCAACACAGGAACGAGGGGTTGCTTCAGTGTGGGTGGCATCTACGGTGTGTTTGCGCTAGCCACGGTGAGGCCCTGGCCAAAGGGCGCGGGCGCACGGCAGCATGCCCTTTAAAATAAGCGGTCGAGAGTTTTAGGTTTACGCTCCTCTCTTTCCGAGAAGCTGAAGCTGGGGGCTTTGAAAGAAACACACATGAGTCATAAATGACAAGGCACGCGGCACACATCCTCGCAGGTTGCGCCGATGCTGGGTACCCGGTGCGAAAGGGTAGAGAGTAGCCTTACGGAAACAGTGCGTATCTCAAGGCCTGCATTCTCGCCCTCCCATGAGACAGCCGTGATGGCTGGAAGGTGTTCTGTTGAAAAGGGATCCTCCAGAGAGGAGAGAAAGGCGTCACAGCAGACGAATTCATGAGGAATAAACGCGAGCTCCTTATGGGCAAATGCGAACCATACCTGCAAGCGCACAAGCACGCATCCTCGACTCGGAACCGTAACGTCGCGGCGTGTTCTTCTTGTCCATCAACGAGGCCACCAACAGAAAAAGCGCAATCCAAGTGCTTAAACAGACGTGTTTGAAAGCACATAAGATAACTAGGAACACGCATCAGGCGAAGAGGACGTAGTTACAGCCTGCCCAGGGGCAATAGCCCCCTCCCACCTGCAGGCGAGACGGTGCAATTACGACGGGGGGAGCTGCATCTGGGAAGAGGGCAGCCCGGCATTGCAGCAGGGGCAGCACTCCTAAGTGGTGGTCGGCGTGGCAATGCGAGATGAAAACAAACCTGAGAAGAAATACAACCGCACGTCACCGACAGTACGATGTGTACCGAGAGGAACGACTGGCATGCTCTAAACCCCACCTGCGGCAAAAGTCCGCTACAACGGCCAGCAGGGCAGCATGGAAGGGGGAGCATCACAGCAAGCAAGTAAACGTTCGAAAATTGGCACGACACGAAGCATGAGGGAGCGCACTGAAGAGACAAGAGGATCTGCAAAAATTCATCTTCCGTCTCTGTGGCACTGCGCAACTGGGAGAGAGAGCCTTCACCGAAATCAAGGGCCATGCCTGAGGAACCACCCCACCACGCGCATTGTAGCACAGTGCATGGGGGTTGCGTTTTTACGCATGCCTACGGCTGTCTATCTATCTGACCTATTTCGCAGCTGTCCCTTGCCTCCTATGCACCCTACCCTTCCACCGCTACTGTGCTCTCGCGTTCTCACGGCGACTCAGACTCTCCCCGGAAGAGGCCGGCCATATGAGAGCGTCTAGCTCAAGAAAGACGGCTGCCGTCGCATGCGAGAGGTAGGGGAAGAGGAGACAGGGGAGGGGGGAGGTGAGTACTCCTTGCCAAGCAGCAGATGAGGCAGAGATCGCCAGAGTAAAACGCAAGAATAGCGAAGAGCCCAAAGAGCGTGAGCGCAGTATACGGTTTGAGACGCCACTTGTGAGAGAGATAACATAAGGCCCTACTCAGGTGCGGTGTGAGCTGCAAAACTGTGGCAGACACATTCCGGTAGTGTGAAGGGGCTGCCGATCCGGTTCCTAGGATCTTCAATGCGGGGCCTCCAAATCCATGGGGAACTTGCCCCTCGTAGAGTAGATCTGGCGTCGGCAGATGGCGTGCAAAAGCCTTCTGCAGCTCCTTCAGAGTAGCCGGTTCGAACAAGGTCTGAGAGACACGACAGATGCTCCATGTAAAAAGAATCGCGTACTGCTGCACGACGCAAACAGGACGGTTCACTGCCGCTAAGGCATTACCCCAACGCTTTTTGTTTGCACCCGCTATTTGCCTTCGGTGCCCGCTGCAAAAGCAAGGACTTCGCTTTCTGACCTCAAAGCAGCCGATGTGCGATTCTTGCGCTTTGTTTGGAGCTTCGTCCAGCAGCGCCTGAGGAGGCGAAACATGAAGACGCGTAGTGCAACGCAACGAATAGGCTTCCCCACGCATCTTGCTTCTCCGGCTGCCAGACAGAAGCCGCATCCACTGTTTTGCGGGGCTGCTGCTGCTGCTGTCGAATATACACAGAGAGCTGCAGAGTGGGCCAGGGTGAGAGCGGCGTGCGTGGTGTGGCAGCAAGCGCAGGCACGCGTTGAGGCTCTTTAGGAGCGAAAGCTCCACCACGACACAGAAGAAGCAGGAAAGTTTCGACCGAGACGGAAATGGCGACGTGAGGAGCACGAAAAAGTGCCAGAAGGCAAAAAGAAAGAGATCCTTCAGACAAAAAATACCGCCAGGTTGTACCCGTGAAGGTGGTGAGAGCCACAGTTTTTGTAGGGGCTCGATCTCTAGAAGGGCCTCGGGTTTGCAAGGGAGGGAAGGGGGCGCCAGTGTGGCGGGATGATCGTCTCCAAGCGATGTTTGCTCCTTCTGCTGCCTCCGTGGAAAGAGAGGGGGCATCAGGCTATGCAACAAATTGTTTAAGCGCGCTGCGTGGAGGAAAGGTGTACTCGCGAAGGAGCCCTTATGCGACCTGTAGCACCCAAAACAGCGCAGAAAATGCAGCTATTTCTGAAGTGGCAGCGATAGTCGGGGGCCTGCGTCCAGCACGTCAGACGTCCACACGCCTTTATTTGGACCCTTAGGTTGGCAACAGCGCCTGGATGCGTCTCCTCCCATGAGCGATTGCGAGCACCCTTGTTGGCTGGTGCCTCCAGTTCCCCGTCGCTGTCGAGGCTGACCTATTGCACGCGATGTGCTTTGTTTCGGACGAAGAGAGGGCGGCAATGAGAACTTGGTATTCTTTGGATCGGGCAACCTGCGGGGGGAGACACCATGGGGACAGTCGCCCTTGGGAGAACCTTTGAGGCATACCTTTCGGCTGCAGTGCAGCGCTAGAAAGCGGCGCATGCCACAGAAGTCTTAAGAGGAAATAGACGAAGAAGGGGGGCAGCAAGACACTAAGGCATGCTGGAAGGAAAGACAGACAGAAAGCTCTACATATGCATATACACATGCAGTGGCTAGCCATCAAGGTAGCGAAGCGCCAAGAGCGTTATACTGAGCCAGAGAGGCTGGAAGGGACGCCAGCTGACGCATGATGTACATATTGAATGAGGATTGCGAGGGATAAACACATGCATACTCAAACGCATATCATCAGCTTGACTTGAGAAGCACAACACGCACACGCAGACGGGGCCACAAGCGTAATCTAACTACCTCGTAAGGTGTCATGTGAAAAACTGCTGAGAGCTCCCCCATGGAGGAACCCTTGTAGCACTCAGCCTGAGACAAGATGACATCAAACGGGAGACCATAATCTTGCCTACATGGCAGCGATACGCCTCTACGATAAGGACTAGAGTTGAGCCTTAACCCGAAACCAGAATCTCCTGCTGTATTGCGGCATGCGCTGCAACGGGAGGCTTACGGCTTTGAGTGCTTGTTGAGGCTCAAGGCACTCCACAAAAGCAAAGGCCTTTCCCTCCTGAGGATCGCTGCAAACTTGCGAGGGTTCGATCCAGCGGCCGTCTCCCAGCTGCACCCGCTCACCGCTCTTCAGCTGTGCATACAGGGGGCCAGGAGGAATCTGCAAAGTCAAAGGCAGGACAGCCCGCGACGTTAGAAAGGTAGGACGGTAAATGGAGCTCGTCCGAATATCTATCCGTAGGCATAGGCAGGCTGCGCATCAGCACATAGTCCTGACGAGCAAGCACTAGACGCAAGAGCTAGCCAACAGAGAAGCCTGTCGCCGCACAAGAAGGGGAGATGGGAGGCTCTGGACAGGCACACAGAAAAGAGAGATTCATGGGTGGGCCCCTCCGAGGAACGAAGTGGGAATTCTGCTGCGTCAACGGAGACAGAGGAAGAGGCAAAGAAGGACCTCAAAAGAGGGCTGCTCCTCCCTAGTTCAAAGGCCTAGAGGGATACCGAATGAAGGGCCGGCACTGTTACACGCCTTACTCCCAAGGCCTTTGCTTTTTCTGGAAAGAAGCGGCCCCGCACTGTGGGGCACCGTAAGAGCAGAAAAAGACAGTCGGAAGATTCTGCATAGCCATTATGCAGGGTAGTCTTTGCTGGTGTGGGCTTCTGGCGCATCCCCACGGGCGTCGCTGCAGCGCTGCCTCTGGCTGTTTCCTGGGGAGTGCCTTCGTCCTGAGAGCGTGAGAAAACGCAGGGAAAAGGGTGAAAGGACTACTTCCAAGACGTAGCGGCAACAGCACTTTATGATAAGGTCCGTACAAAAGACAGCCTCAATTTGTAAGGGTTGCACTTACCCCAGCAAAATCTAAGCATGATGACCCCGCGGAGTGGAGCCTGCGGCGCTTTGTGGCTGCGTCCCAAGCCTCTGCAGCGGCGGCAGCAGCCCCTGTTGCTGCTGCTTCTGCTGCTGCTTCGTCGTCTGAAAGGGAGTGGCTGTTGTTAGGCATGCTGCTGGAGCTATGGGGGCTGCTAAGGAGGGGGTTGTCCGTTGATGTCTCGCGGCGCTGCTGCGGTAGCAGCCTGCTGCTGTGCGGAAGGAAGTAGGCCTCAACGGGAACCCCGCTCGCCGTTCCCTTGACAGTTGGTCCATACGAGCATGCACACGTACGAAGGCCCTTGCTTCTGCTGCTGCTCCCCCCAATACTGCTGCGGTGGCGACAGCCCCCGTTGCAGACACCCCCCGTGCAAAAGCGTTCCCCGGAGAGAGCGGCAGGGGCCTCCAGAGGCCCCAGGAGGCGGTAGTTGATTTCTAGCGTGGTGCTGCAGCACAAGGCACACAAGGAGGAGTCGAAGGCTGCAACCTTTGCAGCAGTAGCAGCACAGACGTAGGAGAAGCCGAAATTTGAGGGGTCGAATGTATGTGTGTGCGGGGGGGAGAGAAGGGGAGAGAAGGAGAAGGAAGAAAAGAAAACAAGAGTGAGAAAGAGAGAAAGAAATAAAGAAAGAAAGAAAGAGAAAGAGAGAGAGAAAGAAAAACAGAAAGAAAGAAAGAAAGAGAAAGAGAGAGAGAGAGAAAGAAAAACAGAAAAAAAGAAAGAAAGAGAAAGAGAGAGAGACCACCGCAGCGCAAGGAGAAACCTAGGTCTCCTTTCTACGCCCATAGAGTAGGCTCGCGCGGTGCACTTCCTCGAGAGACAAGAGAGAGCCATAACGCTATCCCGACATGCCACTAGTCAGGATCGAGCGGGATGTGACGGGTGCATAAGGAACTAGCAGCTGGCCAGCGAGCGAGCCGACTGTCTACAAAACAAGTTCGTGAGAAGCAAGCTCGGCGCGCGTTCTCACAGTCCTGCGAACGACTTCATAGCCAGTTGCAGCATAGATCTTAAGCCTTGAGGCCCCCATACGGTGACTGCAAAGGCTCCAGTGCCCTCTAAAGACAGGAGAAGTCCAACAAGACCCGCTGTGGCTGAAAGCGACAGGGAGGTCAAGAAGATATCACTGATGCGGTGTAAATGCAGCTTCTTCTCGAGGTGGTATCTGCAGGAGCACGCCCACCTCAAACCAGCGATAAGCGCGCAAACGGCCGCGATGACGGCACTTAGGGGAGCTGCCGTCGGGAAGATCTGAGAGCCCAAGGGTTTTCTCGACATAATTAGCACGCGAAAGGGCCTAGTTTTCGAAGGCTTCTGTTGCTGCTGCCTGGCGTAGCGTGCAGCTTCCCACAGGGCTAGCTAAAAGGGCTAGCTGCAGGACTAGCTGCGTCAGAGGCTACGTACCGCTGCACATTCTCTCCCGCGTTGATGAGCAGTCGCGGGCCCTCACAGAAGATGTGCAGCGAAGGCGCAACCGCCAGGCGATGGGTCCCCAACAGCTGCAGCCACGTAGCACGCGCATGCAATACAAAAGAACTCCAGTAGAGGGGGCCGGAGCGCTACTTCTAAGGGCCTCCTGGGGCATTCCCCCGTCCCTCCACCTATCTCTCTCAGAGGAAAAACTCGAGCATCGGGCCGAAGAGAGGCCCTTCCCGGCTTACCTGGGCCGTGATACTCATTGTTTGCATGCAGAAGGCCCCAAATACGCGAACGGTCCAGAGAAGTTTCGGCTGCTCCTGCCGGGGTAGTCACTCGGGGCTTTGTCACGCCGAGGCGCCTAGGGTCTCTACCGGGCTTGCCAGTTGTACAGGTGGCTCAGGCACCGCAGATTCTCGGCCTTCAGTCTCCGTAGTACATACACTTGAACTGGCCGCCGCTTCAAGGCCCTGGTAGGGCCCCCCTATGCGAGAATGTGCCCTCCAAGAGCCCTTTGGTGGGCAGTGCAGGAGAATGCGGCGAAAAAGCTTCTGTGATCCCCTGTGTCTGCCGCGATACGCTGGAAGTAAATTGAAACCAATAGGCAAAGGCACGGTTGTCTAAAGCCGTAAGAGGCCCCCCCTGTGGGCCCTGCAGTGTGCCCCTACCGGGCTGTGGGGGGCCCCCACCTCGATAGCGCGGGTCGGAGGAGCCACGCTCTCGGCCCTAGCCACTGGCAAGGAGCTCGAAAATGTGCCCCCGGCCTTCTGCATTTGCTTTTTAGTGCCTTAACCGCGGCAGCAGCAGAGGCTTATTCCTCTGTGGCTGCTCTGGTGAGTGCAGGTCACCTCCTGCTTGACCTGGTGGGAAGGCCCCCCCCAGCTGGCTGCTCACGGACGCCATTCCGCCTAAATTACCCTCAGACTTCTAGCTCTCTAAGCCCGTGAAGATTCTTCACGGCTCGTCGGGCCCCCCACCGCGGAAGTAGGGGCACCACAAGCATGGAGCCTTCAAAGAGCAACCACCAACTGCCAGAGCAACGCGCTCATGGTGAGGCGGCTGCTGGTTTGCCTACTCATTCCGGGCTTCCAGACACCCAATGCGCCGTATATTGCTGCCGGTATGCCTGGAATCCAAAGAGCGCCCGTCATTCGTGCACCTACGGCCCACGGAGGGGCCCCATCGTCGCCTTAAGGCCCCGCACTGAGAGCCTCCTGTGGTCCTAAAGCGTCCTTCCTGCCTCTATTCTGGTCACCTCAGAAGTCTTCTTACTTCCTGGATGCCGTGTATGCATGTGTATGCCCTATGTGTGTGTATGTGTGTATATGTGTGGGATTTAGTCATACGTATAGGTGTACGTGTAGATGCACATGAGAGCTTGCCCGCCCTTAGTTTCGCCTTTCACGCGATGTGCTCCCTATGCATGGCCTGTCTCTGTTTGTGGCGCGCCTTTCTGCCTCCACAAGATCCCCCATGGTCTTTCTGTACCTGCGAAAGAGTATCTTCCATTCTGCCACTGCCTTCAGATGCTGCCGGTACCAACTGTTCTATGAGAGCCAGCTTCAGCCTCATGAACCAAAACCTCAGGGGGAGTCAAAGACAGGCCTTCGAGCTGCACCACCCCCGAAGTGCACAAGCGCCTTCGTAGAACCCCTGCAGTGGATGCGCGGCCTTGAGGAGCAACGCGGCAAGCTTATATGTCCGAACCCTGCGGTAGGGGTTGCTGCTGCTGCTGCTACTGCTGCTATCACACTTCCTCAGTCTGCTACTGCGCGCCGGGTTGGAATCTAGGACAGAGCTTTTCATCCCTCCACTGCTGATGACTGTTTGCTTCGCTATAACCAGCAGAGTCTTCTACGTGCAGTATGGGAACACCTATGCCAGAGGCGGGAAGGGGAAGGGGAGCATGCAGATGCGCTTGTCCTCATGGTTCATCGCTTGTGATTGAGTTGTGACAGTGCGGCGCAAAGCTTGGTAACTGGTGCTGGGCCGGTCTCAAGTGCTCATGCGGTCAGTGGAACGCCCCCGCATTCCAAGTAAGTCCCACGCAGCTATTGGGGTGTCTGTCTGAAAAGGGGGTGCGCCTAGCCGCTTTCGCAGCAGCCAGTAGCGGCAAAAGGCCTACGCCAGTCCCAGTAGCGGCAACAGAAGGAGTAGCCGCAGCAGTGAATTCGCATGCAGGCAATACCCCGGATGTGCAAGGCCTCTGTGTCTTTTCAGGTACACCTCTCCCGAGTTGACCGCATGGCGCCCCTCCATGGGTCTAGGGGGCCTGTTCCGTCGCTGCTTTTTTGAGTATCTCTTAGCAGGGCAGTATTAGTTGCCCGTGTAAACATCTCCTTTAAAGGCTTTTCGGGAAGGCGAAGTCCTTGGGAAGGCTTGCGATTAGAAACCCTGCTCCTGGCCCTCTGTTACGGCAGACCTATCCCAGTGTAATGCGTTTTTATGTTGGGGCCTCAGTGGCACTCCTTCACTCACTCTGCCTCCCGAGGTTTTGGCGCTACAGTTTGCTGTTGCAGCTTCTAGAAAGCCTTTCTGCCTTGACTCTTTCTCGAGCGGCACTAGCCCCGCAAAATGAGGAGCCTTTTACTTCTCAGGGCCCCCTTGGTGGGGTACTGGCACTCAAGTCACCTCAATAGCCATGAGTGCCCCTCCCGCGGCCCGTAGGGAGTCCTTATTCGTCGTACTTCTTGCACAATCAGGTGTAGGTGCCTTCGTTCTCGCGTTAGGCAGAGTGCTCAGCATCTCTACAGGCTTGGACAAACGCCAAGGGTGTGGCCCTTGTAGGGGTGCTAGTGCATCGCTGCCCCCCAAAACCCTCGCGCCGCCCACAGCCAATTGCGGGGTGAGCACCGCGAATTCCGCATAACAGATGCACCGGACTCCATGGGGCTGCGATCCGTATGTGAGGCGCGAAATATCACTGCACACAAGGCACTTGTCTGCTTTGCAACCTCCACGCAACACAGCACAGCAACCCATGACTCTGTCCAATTTTTCCCATTCCCACACTTGGCCCCGCTGCGTCGCCTGATCCGCCGTTGGGGCTTTCAGTTTTTCTTGACGGTTTATTTGGTCAGGCCTTCTAGTTTTTGTGCCTTCTTCTTCACCGCTTCGTCTGCGTTCTCGTACTTGGTTGTCCCTCGTTTTTGTTGTGTACACACATTCATGTGTCCCCCTCCCCCACACCCTCCCCGACACTGCGAGCATGACAACTGCTGCATCAGCCAAGAGCACTCAGAGTATAGGCCAGTATGTGGGCGCTGTTTTCTGGATTATCTTCTGCGCTCACAAGAAGGCTCAGCCGCTATGAAAGGTGCTTAGAACCCGGGAGGACACATGTTCACCAGTTTCTCCTCGCTTGTCGTGCTTGCTGTCTACCACGCTTCTTCTGCAGCTCCACGTACAGCGCTGAGTCTGGTGTGCGACGCCTGGAAACGCTAAGGGGCGCCTGCCCATGACCTCTCTTCGGCCATTTGAGATCCAGCGGAACGCAGAAGCCCTTTGTGCAAACCCCTAAAGGGTGACCTCCAGGAGAATCTTCTCGATTTTCTTGTTCCCACTGCATGTGTCACGTACACTGTTTTTCCATTGGATAGCGCGTATTATCAGTGGGTCCCAGTCTTGCTAGACTGCCCCATGGGCCTCGTGGAGGAGGCTCCATGTGTCCGCTTCTCACCTCTTAGGCTCCATGGTGTCTCCTAGCAGAAACAAGGCTTAAAACGAAAAGCACCAAAGCCCTTTCAGTCAGTGTTTTGATGATTTTGATGCCCCCTGTTAAGCGCTAGCTCCATGCAAACTCGTGCATCACTTTGCGGCGCTTGCATAAATACCACGGAAGGCTTTACTCACTAAAGAGGCATTTGTGCCCATAGGGCGGTGCTTACCATACCACCGAATTTCCATCCACCGCTGCAAAGGCCTGGTCGATAGACTTTGCGTGTTGAACTTAAACAAACGAGGGCCCCCACTGTAGCTGTCCAGGTCAAGCCCAGGCAATATCTACTACACTAGTTATACTAAATTTAGAACTAGGGAAGTAGTGGCTATTTGTTCACACATCATATTCGTTATAGTGTCTGAGCCAGCTTAAAACGATCAGGTCAAACTTGTGTACATATGCTCTGAAATACCATAAACAACTGAGTGTGAAAGCTCCAAGGGATAAGAGGGTGCAACAAGGCGTTTCCTAGCCGTCCCTCCACCCTCGCGTCGGTCCCTTGTAGGCTCATGGCGTGAAAACGGGGGAAGGAGCTTGTTTTCAGAGAAACACCAAGTTCCTTGCTCTTAAGTTTTGCATTTGGCTGGGATCTGAAACTGTTTCACAGTAGAAACCCTTCAGTGAAGACCAACGCGAGTTATTTCTATCTACCTGGATATCCATAACACTGAGCCACGCAGCTAGCTAGGACTGGACAGTGAACACACCGTTTGTTTACAACGCACATCTACAGACTGTAGAACGTGGTAAGTCCTTATAGCACGTGACTCAATCCAGCCCTCTATACAGGGGCCAAGCCAGGTGTTTGCTCTATCACTCCTGTTAGGCATTCTGCATCTAAGGCAGACTGTGTTCTTTTCAGGCAGAGATAGTCATTGAAATTGGTAGAGGGAGGATCTACGAGGGTGAAGAGGGCACCATGTCCCCCACGTTAACAAAAGAAAGAGTACTGTCTGGATAGAAAGTCCGTATTAGAGCAATAATATGCGGACGAAACATACGGAGATAAACGGCCTGGCCCCTCTATGTAAAGCGTTTGCCGCAGGTAGCAGGTCGGCAGAAGATACAGTGACTTTAAGGCAAACCATTACAATACGCACTGGAAGCCAGCTTGCTGCAGATTCTGAAGCCTTCAAACACGCAGCTCAATCAGTATTCCTTCGTAATAATATTCTGCCATGTCGTAATAATATTCTGCCATGGAATGAATCTGGGGGTATACACGACCTCGACTTCCCAGCCAGGACCCTGACACTGCCATTCTCCTGAGGGGGCTTTAAGATCAATTTCACGAGCTTCTACACATGGATAGGCTCGCTGGTGTTGATTTAAAGTGACCGGATCCTAGAACAATTTTTAGTGGCTTCTTTTTCTTCCTGCACCCTTCGCATGCAGAACGGTAAACAACTCAGGAGGGGCCCGGGGGCCCTTGGCCCCCCATCGAACCGGCAATCGACGGCAGACTGTTCCTGCATGCTCCTTATTTCCAGACGTCGTTAGTTTTACTACCCTATTTCAGTAACGTCTTATCCTGGGCTTCTCAGCTGTCGGTGCGCAGCGTGCGAGCCGAACTTACAAATCTTCATGATGCACACGTACATGCCCGGAGATCTAACGAGCTGCGCCTCTCCGCATGCCCAGCGCATCCTACAGCTCAATTTTGCCGCAGAAAAAGTGCTTCTTCTCAACCGCGTAAGCCTTGGGGTTTGAGGCCCGGCCCCTTTTCTTCGCACACTGCTGCTAGTTGAACTTCATGGAACTTCCCCGGTGAGGGGGGACGAGAGGAGCTCGGGGTGGGCAGAGTGGCTCCCTCCAGAGTTTCTGCCGCACAGAAGACTCTTTGATTCTTGGCAGCTTCCAAATTGGCTTTGCGGCTTGTTGTGGTTAATGCAGTTGGTACTGGCCGTCAGTGAGCAGCTGGAGAAGGTGCGCGAAGCATTAGGCGCGTACAGGAGGGGCGAAGCGGGGGGGACAGTTACGGCTTCCGCCACAGCCAGCAGCAATACGAGCATGATGAGTGAGCCCTGCGGGTTCTTGGATGATTGGTTTCTGATTGGGGAGTCCTTCGTTGCCCTCGACGCCGAACAGATTTGCGTCTTTCTGTGGCAAGTCAGTTGCAACGAGCACCAAAAATTTCCTCCGACGATTTAAGCCTTTGGCCTCTCTAGAGTCCTTCCGTTGCCGACCCCTCCATGCCGGCCTTGCTCGTTCGCTGTATCGCACGCAGCCTTCCGAAGCCGCTTTGTCTCTTTCTTCGCCCCTACCTCTTTTTTAACACTCCTTCTGTCCCTTATGAGCTGCTAGCTACTGCCCTGCCCCGTTATGGATGTCTTTAGTCTGCCCTTTCGCCGTCCTTTTCGCCTAGATGGCCAGCCATGTGCGCCACCCTCCTCCTCGCCCGTGTTGCTGCAGCGCTCCTTGACCTAGCCAATTCAGCTTTCGAATTTGTTTGCCAGTGTGGCCCTCTTGTGCGTTATGGGGTACTTGCGTTGTCTCTGTTTGTCTGCTGCAGCACCGAGAGAGACTCCAGCGCAGACGCAGCCGTCTCCTCACCGAGCGACGCGGGGCCCTGCGATCGCTGCTGTCGCTTTCCCCCTCGGCAGAGGAAATTGCAAATAGTGACTGGGGATTTCTGCTGCAGCAAGCAGAGACAGATCGAGACATGCCTTCCAGTGACTCCGACTAGTGCTGCCCAACGTTGTCGCTGCTGCTGCTGTGGCTCCTGCTGTGTGTGTGGCTGCTTGTTTTGTCGCACCTTGGTCCCTTGAGGCTACGAAGGCAGTTGCTGCTGCTTTCCTATACAACAGCTCTGCACTAAGGCTTGTTCTATGCCTCTGTCTTCGATTCAAGGCCCCACTGTCCAATGTAGGCAGATCGCAGCCTCCTTTGCAATTTGCCTGCGGGGTTCTACTGCCCTGAAGGGACCTTAGGGACCTTTGAGCAGGGGCGCATCATAGAATCCTTTTGGGGCGTCTGTACACCCGAACGCACCGCCAAGATTTGAAGGATAGGTGGGAGCTCAGCGTTGGAACCTTTTTTCAGAGGGTATCTGGCCTTTGATGGTGTTTTTTGAGTTTTTTAGAATATGGTTTCAATAGATCTTTTTAGAAAAACGTGCACAACAGCAACGCGAATTTAAAGGCGCTTTTGGTTTCTCTTGAAGGTGGGTGACAGCGTGGATGAAAAGACGCGTGTACAGCGCATGCTGTGCGGATACCATCAGTCTCCTTATGGGGAGCTCATACTAGTGGGCGCCCGAGAGTCTTCTAAGGGGAACCAGACCATTGCGTCTCGATTGAAGCAAACAGGAAGAGGACCCCTATCAACAAGTAGAGTGTAACTCTTCCTCTAAGGCCTCTGTACGGACGTACTTGAGTTCAAACTCGATACAAACTTCGTGGAACTGACTGCGTGTTTTCCAAAAGAGTTCCCCCTTTGCCTTAACCCTCACCCAGCCCCCTAAATCTCAGCATGATATGTTAAGGACTAATAGGTTGCACGTTGCTGGATCCTCTAAGCACTCCGAGAGACCCAAGCTAATTGCACAACCAGCAGCCTCAACTGCTAAAACCCACAGCGTTGTGTTGGACTGTTATGTCATACCTTCTTTGCAGCCACCAAGGCGTGCACACCACTTTTTTTTAAAATGGCTCTCTAGTTGTGAAATCCAGGCAGCATAGTAGAAAAAGTCGCAGTCTGAAGGGGGCCCGCTGCATGGTGTTGTGCACAGGTTCGCGTCTTCTTGGGTGGTTGGAAGCAGGCGACCAACAAAGGCCGTCCGACCCATCCTTAAGTGAGCAAATGTCAATTCGACAACACATTCAGAAGTCAAAAGTCTTGTTTGTCTATTGAAAATTCGGAGAGGAGGGGCCCCTGCAAGGGTACCCAAACTCGATTGGGTCATTGACGTGTGGGGCCCCCCGGGACCCACACGCCTGTTGGCCGTCAGTGTTTTTTGCCGATTATTCAGGAGTTATCCCTGCACTGTTCTTCATATTTTGAGATAATACCTTTAGCATTTTTGTTTTGTGCGAGCGATTGGAGGATTTCGGCGCTCTGAGCAGCCGGCCTGGTGCTCCCTGTGGGCCGTTGCCCGTTGGGTGTCCCTTCCCCCTGCTCAGCCGCGCGTACACCTCGAGTAACCTCCACTATGATAATTAAAGCCGAGCAGCAGTAGTGGTGGGGCTCTGAAGCAGTAAGAGGGCCCCTCCGCTACGGGCTTGTTCTCCTTGCCTCGGTTGTGACCCCCTTGTGGAGGCAGCGACTTCCAGCGGGTTCCAGCGGCAGGCCAAGCCTTTCGAGGAAGCCACGCAGAGACTTATGGCCAGACACTCTGTAGAGAAGACTGCGAGAGAATTGCGCGGTTCCTCCACGAGCGCGAGCCAGGAAAAGGAGCAGCTGAGGATCCCAGGGGGGAAGCGGACAGGCGGGCAGGCAGGGGCTTCACAGCAGCAAAGAGAGCTGTCACAGGAACGATGAGGCGTGACCACCACGGAAAGAAGCGACAAAAGCACGCGGGGGGAGGCGCTGCTGCGTCCGACTTTGGACCCAAGAAAAGGCAGAAAGTGGGTGCTCCGAAGAGGCTCCCCCCTTCGCATACCCAGGTGGAGGTAAGGGTCAAGAGGCACCTTCTAGCTGCAGCGGCTGCCAGAGCAGAGCAGCACTTCCAGCAGTGGGAGGAAGAGGTCAGAGCTGCTGCTGCAGGGGCGGCCTTTAGCCAGTTCTCCACGCAGGCAAGCGTTGACGAGGCCCTCAAAAAGGTGAGCTGGCGCCTTATAGGCTGGACGCTTCCCGAAGGCTTTGCGCTCAGAAGAATCTGCTTCTAACCAAAAAGGCGCAGAAGTGGCTTCTCCCTTCTGCCTCTTTAGGGCTGGGAGGTTTTCGTGTTGCAGAAGCTGGCGAGGGAGCTGCCAGAAGTGTGAGAATGGAGCTAGGCGGCCTGCCCATGGCCTGTACCACGTAGGACGGCCTCCTAGCGCCCAGTTGGCTCGTGCTCTTCTTTGTGCGCTGGTGGGCTTTGCTTGTAGGTGTCTCTTTCGTCGCCGCTGCAGCGGCTTCAGGGCCTCAAACGCCTCACTGCCTGTTTTGCTGCACTCCGCCAGCAAGAGCAGCAGGATGGTGGTGTCTCTAGAGGGCTGCAACCGGTGACGCTGCTACCGCTGGTCCTACCTGTGCTGCTGAGCTTGGCAGCAGACGAAGACAGCGAGTGTCGGCATCAGCTGCTGATTTGTTTCTGCGGTCTAATTCAAGCCGTCGGAAGTTGCAGCAACAGCACCGGAAGCAGGGAGGCGGATACTCTCTCAGCCGATGCGCGAGCAGTCAAGTCGTTGCTACCTTTTAGAACCCTACTTGCTGCCTCCTTCCAGAAGTAGGTCTTTTAGGTCTGCGCTTTTCTGCTGCTGCTTCTGCTGCTCGTGTTGATGCCGATGTAGCACAGGGACGACGTCGGCGGTAAATGTGGCCATCCTAATGAGCTAGCACACTTCGTTGGTAGAAACACAGGAGGCACAATGAGTGGGTGCTAGCATTTCTGACTGCTACAGTTGCGCGTGCATGCGTGAGGCATTTTGCCTTGCTGCTCTCCTGTCCACCTGTGTAACTCAGCTGCTTGACCTCTGTGGACAGTCGCATAAGGGCTGACGGTCTTCGCCTGGCATCCCTCTGCCTTCATCGAATCCCTGCGATTACGCTCAGCCTCACAGATGTAAGCAGGAACGCCTTTGCATATTGCTGCTGCTGCTTTTAAAGCGGCTATGCCGCTACATCTGGCGCTGCTGCCACTGCTAATTTTAGCTACTGTGGTTGTAGTCTGTGCCGTTCGAAAAGCGGCTGTAACGGCATCATCCCGCTGCGTGATGCGTCACTTTCGCACACTGCCATGCGTTTCTATGCACTCTGAGTCTCTCGTTCGAGATCCAAGCCTTCGGCTGCCCACTGGAGGGTGGTAGCATGAAATACGATTTCCGATGTCTGCGCTGCAGCTGCCGTTCCACGTCCTGCGGGTTGTGGTAGCGTCCGCTGGAAAGGGGGCCTTCCTTGCGTTGGGGTTGCCACTGCTGCTGCGTCTGTTGTCGCCACACCTCTCATCAGAGGGGCCTGTCGGTATTTCTCGTTCGGTTCTCGCCGGAGAAGAAGAGGCCGCAAGCCTCAGTGTCGCGCAGCTCAAGGCGCTGCAGTGTAGCACTACAGCGCAACTAGGGGGATACACAGCTGCTTCCGCCACTGCGGAAGAAATTGGAGGCAATGGACAGACAGCGCTGCTTTTGCAGCTTTTCGGCTGCTGCTGCGACTGCTGGCTACAGCAGATCCATAACCTTCTGGTTCGTTGCTATGCCGCTGCTCTGGCGTCGTTGTGGACTGGATCTTACTGCTCTGTTGCGCTCCTCTGTCTTCTTCTTTTGCGTTGAACTACGTCCGCCATGATTGCTATACATTGTGTTGGTGCGGCTGCCGTTGCAACAGGACGAACGTGCTGTCCCTTTAACCCCAAGCACAAAAAAGGGAGAGGGCATCGGCTCCCAGCAGCAAGAAGACGCGCTGCAGCAGCTGCAGCTGATGCAGCAGTGCTGCAACGTTTTTCATTTGCTGCTTTTCGGAGATACGGATGGAAACGGGGCCCCTGAGGAGAGGCCCTCACGCTCGGGGGTTGGGCCCCTTATGAGGCCCCTCGTTGCGCAGCTATCCGCGGCAAACGAGCGGAAGAGGCAGCAGCACAAGCAGCAGCACGTGCAGCAGGTACCGGTACGTCGAAGCGCGACAAGTAGCTGCTACTGGTTGCGTTTGTGCAAGTTTGGAGGGGAGAGTTAGTGAAAGAGTTTTGAGCAAGGTGTTCCTCTCGGTGTTGGTATGTGGTGTGTGTATGCATGTGTATGTATGTATGTGTAGGTAGGTAAATATGTAAGTATTTATGTACGTATGTGTGTATATATGTCAGTCTGTATATAGCACACACAATGCATGCATGCATGTGTGTATGTGTCTACGTGTGTCTGTGTGTGTGATGGTTCTGGTGTGTTACAGCACATGGAGACCTTCTTGTCCCATGTCGTGCCTTCTCTGTTGGATCTGCTAGATTATGAGGGCCCCCCGTCGGTGCAGCAGGCAGTCTCGGAGTTAGCCTCCTCTCTGGTTTCTCTGATTTGCCGCCTACTGTCTGCCCCTTTGGAAGCCCTTGTAGGAGGCCCCGAGGTATTGGGGATCCTAGATAAGGCAGCCGCTGCAAGGAACGAATCTCTGAGGCTGCCGAGCGGCACCTCGGGAAGCAGTGAAGGGGCCTCTACACAGGGCCTTCACCGACAGGGAGAGCCAGCAGTTGGCGCTCTGAGAATTTGGGGGCCTCCGCTTCGTGCTGCGCTGCTCTCCGCCGCAGCAGCCGCTGTCGTCTATGTGGCGGCAACAGCGGCCAAGACACAGCAGCATCTCCTGCAGCTCGCCGCCCCTCAACAATCGCAGCACCAACAGCTGGAGCCGCATGAACAGCAGGGATGCTATGTCTCTCTCCCAATGGGAGCAAGGAAGTCCTACGTGTTATTCGCCGTGGGGGTCGGACGGCTTCGAGAGAGGGGCCTCTCGGGGAACCCGTCGGGGCCTTCTCGGGCGACACTGCAGCATTTTCCGTGTCCTCGTCAGCTTCGCTACCTGCTTCAGCAACTCCTCGACCTCGCCCTTTCCCTGAGGGCGCCAACTCCTCAAGGGGCCCCTACAGGGGACGCGCAGGGAGATGGCTTGCCACTGCTGACTTCTCAGGTATCTCTGTTGCAGTGGCTGCTAACGGGGCCGCAGACTTACGCGTGCAGTTGCTGCTGCAGCGAGAACAGTCGGCTGCTGATGCACATTTCGTCAGCCGGCCTGCAGAGGGGAGTGGCCAGACTGCAGCGCTCCTTATTTGTCAATAATGCTGCACTCCTGCTGCAGAAACAGCAGGGCGAGCGGCAGGAGTTGTTTCAGCAGGTGCCGCAGACAGAGGCGGTTGGTGGGGCCTCTCAGTCGCAGCCGACACCCCGACCTAATGGCCACCCTCTGCAGCGAGAGCAGAAGCAGGCGCAGGGGTCTTCCAGCAGCAGACCACAACTGGCTGTGCTGCTGTCTCTACAGCAACTGCAATCCTCGCTGGCTGCCGCGGCTGCGTCAAGCCAACGGGGGGGCCCTGGGGGGTGGCCCTCGGCGCCGTCTATCGCTGGACAGAAGCTGAGCAAGAAAAATCAAGAGCGACTCCAACACCGCAAGCAGCAGCAGCAGCAGCAGCAGCAGCAAGAAGCAGCAGCAGAAACGGGAGGACCCGCACAAGCACTCGCTCTGTTTGGGAAGGCCCTAGAAGCTTTATGGTTGGGAACCGTGGAGATGCTCCTGCAGAAGCAGCAGCAGCTCCTGTGTTGCGGAAGCAGTAATGCGATACAATTGTTGCGGATTGGAGCCTTACAAGAGGGCTGCGACAGGCAGAGTATTGCGTCAACTGCGGCAGACACAATGGCAGCACCATTGATGGAAGAGGAGCTCGATGCTGCAGCGGCTGCTACAGCCCCACCGGACTCCAGCCAGCCTGTGACGGCTAAGTGCAACAGTGGTGGCGTTACATTGGTCACTCCACGGCATGAGCCTGTCTCTTCTGTTGACGCTCAGCAGGTTGTGGAGATTAGCGATGACACTAGCGAGGATGATTGCACCAGCAACGCCGATCACTCAGCCAGAGCTGCGCGTGCCGCTCCTACTCGCGTCGATGCGGCAACATCAGCAGCACGCAGAGAGTCGCCTCTCAATTCTGCTCCTTCTGTTCTTGTGCCCTCTTCAGAGATCCTGAGTTCTCCCTCTGATGCAGAGACTGCCTCCTCCAGCGATGACACGCCGCACCAGCAGCAGGAGGGAGTCGAATCGTACGTTTTGCAGGCTCCTGCGCTGCTCTCTCCTCTTTTGCTACTGCTCTTGGGATTTGACGCTCAGGCGCTATCGCTGCAGCTGCCTGTTGCAGTGATGCCCTTATACGAGAGAATACTCTCCGAAGCCATAAATGCACAGCACCACCTACCTCCAGCGGCATGGGCAGGCCCACTTTCTGCATCAGTTGCTGCCAAAAGCCACCGGCCGCAGAAGCAGTGTGCCCACCTTCAGGTCTGGAGTAAAGGACTCACTCTGGTTGCAGCAGGGTGTACTGCTGCTGCAGCTGCTGCAGGAGGCGGTTTATGTCGTGCTGGAGAGGCTGCATGGACTGCCGCGGGTGGTTCCCCTGAAAGACGGCAACACGCAGCCTCTGAGGCTGCAGCCTGGTGTCGCCTCTTTCTGCTTGCGGGAAGGGCAGTGCTGTTATCTCCATCCAAAGAGTACGTACAACAAAAGCCTCCAGCTTCCGTCCTACCAGCATTGCCATTCTTCCTGGTTTTCCTGCTGACCCTATATCGATCAATCTTTGCACTGCAGCCGCTGTCCGTCCTTCTGCCTATGTGCGGCGTCTAAGCTTCTTGCCGCTCTCCGATTTTATGTTCCTGACGCCCCCTACTGGTGCCTGAGGACAAGCGACCTGCATAGAGTGTTGCGGTTTCTTAGGCGTCTCCTTCCCACTACGTTCTTATCTGTACTATCGGAGATCTTCTTCTATCCGTCTGCGTCTCCATCGGAAGGCCTACCACTTGTTGCACGACTGCCACTGCCTTGTGCAGAAGCGGCTCTTGCCTGTGTCTCTGCTGCCACAACCGCGGTGACAGCAAGAGAAGCGTTGCCCCACCTCATGCCTCATGTCATTCGCTGCTGCCTCTTCCCCTTCGGCTTGGGGCGGCGATACACCGTGAACGGCAACAGCGGAGGCACCAGTGGAGGCACCAGTGGAGGCACCAGTGGGAGCAGCAGCGACACTCTTTGTGCAGGCTTGTCGCATCCTCAGCCTTTCGAGGCGCACAGGGCAGCCGGCAGAGAAGGGCCTTCCAAGGCGTCCCTGCCTGCTGCAGGAGACTCGGCAGAAGCAGCAGGGAGCTGCTGTTACGACGCTCTTTGCTTAGATGATCCCCCAGTAAATTTGGTAATGGCGCCTGCTTCCCACTGTAATTCGGGAAGCTCAGGAGCAGCAATTGTGCAGTGGGATCCTCCGGGAAGCTCCCCAAAGAGTCGACTCCTAGCGGCATCGCATTTCGCTGCTCCCCTCATCAGCTGCCTCCTAAAATTACCTGGATCACAAGCCTGCAGGGACCCCTCTGACGCCATCCTCGAGACTGAGGAATCCCCAGGAATGTCTAGGGGCCCCCACGAAGGCCCTCTGGCGTGTCGAGTCGTGGCCAGTCTCCTCCTTGAGAGCACGAAACCATTCGGCTTCGCTGCACGGGAAGGCACCTACGGAGAAGGTCCTGCTTCTGTTGCCTCCAAGCAGCAACGGAAGGAGCAAGTCGTGAGCTTTAAGGGGCCTCTTTGCTTAGAGGCGCTGCTGCGGGAGGCAGCTACGCACCTGTTAGGGGCCGATTCCCACAGGCGGGAGGCGCTGCTTCAGCTTATACGGCCCTCAGGCAAAAGCCTCTCCCTTCTGGGTAGCGGCGACGCCCTTGCTCGCTTTGTGCTGCCTCTTTGCCAAGAGGCATGTGGCCCGGGGGCTACTGCTTGCGAGGCCGCATCACCACAAGCCAACGAAGGAGGCTTCGGCTCTGTGGATTCTCCTGCACTGGCGATTTGGCAGGGAGCCCGCGTCTCCGCCTCTGTCTGTTTCTTCTGCGCCGCCAGCAGCGAATTGCTACCCCCTTTGGCAAGCGTCTCTTGGGACCCTCCGGGGGAGCCCTTCGACGTAAGGCGACAAGCCAAATGCAGTGCTAGCTGCGGAGACGCAGAGAGCGAGAGCTGCTGGCTTCTTAACTCTCCTCCTAGGGCCTTTGCGGTGGCTCTGGAGTTTCTCTTCTGCCACTTGGGAGCTCAGGGGGCCCTCCTACACGCGCCCCTGCAGGAGGGAGGTTCCAGCAGTGGCTTCAACAGCTTGGTGGTAAGAGCAACAACGGCTGTTAGGGCTTCCTTTCGGGAAAGCACCCTCGTAGGGGGGGCCCTGCTGTGTGTCTGTGGGCACTGCTCCTTTAGCTCTTCCGAGGAGGAAAGGCTTGGAGAGATGCCTCCACATAGGCGTCCTCAGGGCCTGCTCTCCGCCGTATGTGCTACAGCTGCTTTCGCCTATGCAGCAGAGCAACCCGAGGGAGGAGCCCCCAGCACTGGTGGCAGCACTAGAGATGAGTGTTCATTCGCTCGTCTGTGTGCATTTGCTGTGGTCTGCGATGAGACACTCAAGGGAATTGCCAGTGCCCTGCAACAGCAGCAGCAACAGGAGGTCGGAACGTGGGGTCCTGCGTTTTTGCCAGTCGGGCTACGCCAGTGGTTTCTTACGAACTGCTCCAAGAAGGGTGGACAGCCCCTTCTCCCCCCTCAAGAAAATACAGTGGGGAGAGAAGCTTGTACCAGCGTAAGCTCAACATAGTCCCCCCGCTTGTGTCTGGCTTTCATTGTTTGCTGCATTCTCTTCACCTCTTGTACAGCTGGCCCGTTCCTTTCCCGCTACCAAATATTTGCGCTTAGGCTCTTCTGCCTTGCACCTTTCACAGGATACCTCTTGGTTGCTCGGAGTCTCTTTCGTTGCTAACACTCTCACATTTTGCTGGATTGGTTTCTCTCTCTGTAGGCGGGACCGTCTGTAGCTCTCTTCCTCCTGCGTCGTCGCTGCTTTTGTGTTTCCTGCAGCTCGTGCTTACCCTGAGGAAGGAACTAAAAAGCCTTGTGTGCTGCCTTGCGAGAATAATTGAAGAGCAAAAGGGTTCCTCGGGTGCGTTCATTTCCTCCCAACGGGAGCTCCCGCAAACAGAGGGTGGCGGAGCCCCATCACTTTGCTTGGCACTTGCGGCTGCGCTTCGGCGGGCTGCAGCAACAAGCGTAGATAACTGACTCTGCCAGGACGATCCTAACTCAACAGCGCTACCCTCTTGTTCACTGGGGCATTTTAAGGTCTTGGCAGCCTTACTAGGCCAATAATCGAGGAGTTTTTTCTTTGGCTTGGAGGCACTATAACTGTCCTTCTAAGGTCTCCCCAGGGAGACACTTAACTTTAGACTCAAAAAGTGTAGTTGAATTTTACTAACAGTTTCTCAAGAGAACCACCACCTTGCCCTGACCGCGGCGCTCAGAGTTCCCGAGAGGATGGGAGAGGGACGGCCAGTGTGTGCGAAACTCTACCATCCATGCAATCCGAGCATTCACAGCCAGCTCCATGGAATATCTAACGCAGTGTCAAACAACAATGCGTCTTATTGTGTCAAGCTAACAGTATTCTGCAATAAACAAAATATCCTAGCAGACAAATCAATTAGTCCGTTCTTTTCTCGTTCTTACTTGAAGATAACTAGAAAATACAAATCTTTTAACTGTTCATGTGCAGCTTAACCGGGTACAAGCGCCTTGATAGGAGTGCACTAGAGACTCGACACTCAGGAAAGAATAATGAGACTGCAAAAGCCGGCGACTAGATGCGTGAGCCAGTGTCTATCCCTGAGACGGCATCTACCTCTTCTTTTTGCACATCTCATCGTCTACGAACCACGAGAGACGAAAGCTACATACTTACACAGTGAAATGCTTGTCCTATCTGCGCAGTTCTAGCTGGAGACTACCCGTTTGCGAAGGGTTCGCCTTTGGCTGTACACCACTCCTTGCACCCTAGTATTTCCTCCACTGACCTCGAGACAAACTACCTCAACTAGCCACCAGTATGGCCGCCGCAAAGAGCCAGTGTAGCCAAGGCATTGTATGCCCAAACGCATCGCTGGCACTCACGGTGCAGGTTTTGGCAAAAGACCCTACACACTTGGACAGACTCTCACCATGGAAGGTAGGAGACAGTCCCTGGTTCGAAGTTCGGAAATTAGGGATATGCGTTAAGGATTCCTCTGCTTGTGATGCTGTGTCAACAGACTTTTAAAATTTCTCAGCTACGCGGGAACAAATTCGACAGCTTAACTCCCTATCGCTAAACCGCAGCGCCAGCAGCAGCACCGGCAGCCGCAGCGGCAGCAACTACAGGCCTCCGCATTCAGGGCGCTGCAGCAAGTTTTGAGCAACCGTCCCCCATTGTTCGTGTATTGAAATATCTCTTTCCTGGATTTCAGTGACGCACAGACTGCACCAGACACACCTCAAAGACGGGCTGCACGGAGGCCGACGACAAAGCAACAGCAGCGGTCCGTGCCTCATGCTACACTGCACCTGGGGTCTGTGAGCATCTTCTGCTATATTATATCCAGGATTCTTCAGGCCCTTGGAGATCCTTGCCCAACCGGAGGGATGTACTGGAAGGAAGGGTCATCAATGCCGCTGCGCCTCTTCGAATGTCTCTACAGGTCTCGACTGGCGGCAGCAGCGGTAGCCGTGGACACAGCATCGCCGACAAATCTGTTGAATAGTCCAGCACAGCTCCCAGTATCTGTCTTATTCTGAATAATTTTTACGTAGGGGGGACCAGCTGTGTTTCTACGGGCTGCATTTTCCCCTGCAGCGGTGCGACCACAGTCGCCAGGGTCACCTCGAGCCCCTTGCCCTGGTGCATGATAAGCGGCATCTCTGACAGACGTTGCCTCCATAGCTGCAATGAGTGCAACAGAGCTGGCTTCTGAGGCTCCTCCATCTTTGAGGGGCCCTGTCTTCTTTGCTTTTCCCACTGAGTGCGCTACCACGGACTGCCCAAAGAGGCCCACCAGCTCCCAGCTGTTGCAGATGCTGGAACAGGAGGCGGAGACAGGAGACCTTTTAGGCGTTATATCTCCATCCGAATACAGAGAACCCAGCAGGAGCACCAGTACAAGCAGTGGGAGAGGCTCCCTCACCGCTGCCTCTGCCTCGCTGGGTACTCCCTTGGCTGAAGACAGGAGTGCCCGTCCTCCTGAACCAAATTTGTTTGCTTCTGTTTATAGAAGAAGCCCGAGCAATGATGCCTCTCCAAAAAGGCCTTCTTTGGGGATTCCGCACACCTCGGGGATGGCGGGGGGTGTCCGCCAGAAAGTTGCGCTCCTGGAGGGTCTGAGGGATATACTCCGCCCCCTCAGCAAACCAAAGGGCGAGACCCTGCAAAAAGGTGCGCTTTGGAGCTCTCTATCTCTCCACAAGCTCGAAGCCCGCTGCAAAGGCACCCTAAAGTCTGAATCCAATGGGCTTCTTGCAGCACGCTCGTATCTCCCAAAGGGGCATCCTCCTGCGAGGGGGGCCTTTAAGGGATGCACCACAGACACTCCACACGCAGATGCCCATAAGGGCTCAAAGCCAAGCACCTCGTATGTAACGGGGGCGGAACAATTGCAGGAAACTGTCTCATCCATGGTGGGGCTGCTGAGGCCCCCCAAGAATACAGAACCTTCCAATGTGCGAGAAGCCCCAGCTAGTCATCTGCACAAGGCGTCTGCAGCTGAAACTGCAGAGCACCCAGAAGAGTTATCTATGGAATACGAGGAGGCCCGCACGCAAAGTTCAAGCAATCCGGAGGCGTTCTCAAAACCTCAGAAAGCTCCCGGGAAGCGAGCTTCTCTCAAAAAAGAACTTGGATGCTCTTCCGAGAGTGGCTGCTCACAAACTGACAGTGCGCTTGCAGATCGCCACGCCCTTGCTGCAGCTCTTCAGCAGGCTCAGCAACGGCTGTTCTGGGCGCCCCATAAAGTTCTCAGAGGGAGTCAGGTTGTTGCCATGGTGCCCTCTCTGGGATCCGCAAGTTTCCCTTCGTCTTTGCATGGACAGCTGCCGAGGAAGCTTTCAGTCCAAACTGAATATAACGAGAAATATCGACGTTCTCTGTTGGCTCGCTCAGAGGATCTGGGGAAATCAGGAAGCTGCCCACAGCGAGGCCGCCTCTGCTGGACGCCTACCTCGCAGCTGTCCGGTGAGCGACCCCAATTCAAGCATAAGGAGTTTACCCCTCACCGCTTTTGCTCCAGAAGCTGCGAAGACACACGAGCGCTAACGGAGTTGCTCCCAGACGCGCCTTCCATGGACTTTAGAGCCTGGAGAAGGACCCCGCCAGCCGTGGATACACCTCGGATTTCCAGGGGGTGGGAAACCCGAGAAGCAATGGCGGTTCCCGAACGGCCCCTTGAGGCAAGGCGGCGGACGTGTCTGCATGCAGGGGAGCTCTTGTCTTCGGAAGCATCAGCGGAAATCGACTACAAACAGAGGCTGCTGCAGGAGCAGCAGCGTTTGCTGTTGCAGCACCACCAACATGTGCTGAACAGACAATTTCGCACCAATAACGTGCAGCGACAAAAGCAGACACATTTACACCGGGAGCACCGCGGCAGCAGCTTTAAAGCTCAAGATTTGTGGGCATATGCTGCTACATCACGCCACTGTCCAAAAATTGCCATTCCTTCGGTTTCGTGGGGCTCCCCGAAGCTGCAGCAACACGTGGCAAGCGCCCTTGCGGCGCGGTCTAAAGAGTCCCCCCCGTACAGCCCTGCCCCCTGCTTTTCATCTACTGAGGCCTGCAGTTGCAGCACCTGGAGCAGCAGCAGCAGTCAGGTGCCTGGGTGCAGCAGCAGCAGTCAGGTGCCTGGGTGCAGCAGCAGCAGCGCTTACAGCGGTGTTGCAACTTCTGCTATCACGGAAAGGGATCGAGGCGTCCAGGCCCAGAGGGAGCTCTTGGAACAGCGACTGCAGCAACGCTACAGCATGCCACTTGGTGCTTCTGCAGCACTGAAGCAGCTGAAACAATGGTTTAAGCAGCGGAGTCAAACAGTCTCGGGTGCTGCATCCCATTCTCGGGAACCACAAACCGTGAGCGCAACTACTTTCACATGGATAGTTGATAGAAGCAGGCTGCAATCCAACAGGCTCTCTATTCATTATTAATTTTTTGTGGTCAAGTCGTGTTGATGCTTGGATGCAATGCCACAAGTCTAACGGTATCACTCGCTAGCTCCGGGAAGTGTTCACCAAAGCCGGGTGAAAGCACGCCAGCGATCCAGATAAGAGTTATGTATGTGCAAAGGGTATCTGTTCTTCTTGCTGTTTATGCGTTGTGCGTTTTTTAAAGCCTTTGAGCGGCGGTGGAAACTGTTGCTCTTGCAACCCTCTCGGGCATCCATTCCTCGGAGATCTGGAGGCCCCTGTTAGGTGTAACGAGGGCTCTACCGGTAGGTCTGGGCTGTTATTTGAAAAGCTTTTGGAAATTAGCTGCCCGTTCTGTCTACGAAAGCAGACACAACAAAGCTAAAGAAACTCAAAAGGAAATCTCACCAAAGAAGCTGGTTGTGTTTTCGGTCTTCCTGCAGGATCTTGCAAACAAGAAGCACAGAAGCAGCAGGGTCAAGGTTCCGCCCCCCTCCAAGGGACGCGAAGGCCTCCCCCGCCCCGGTTGAACGCAGCCCTTTTAACAGACAGGCAAGAAGTGGTTGAGCAGCGGGAGCAACATCCGCGGCAAGCATCAGGAGTAATCGACGGGAGAGACACCATCAGGATACGCCATTCCAGCAACCTTGTTGACGTTTTTGCTGCGAGGCCCTCTTCAGCCGATGGACTTTGGAGCGAGCCCCTTGCGGCTACTGCTGTGACCACTGCTGCCGCTGGCTGTCCAGCTAGAGCACGGCAGCCATCCATACCACGGGTGCCGCTAGAGCCATTGGCTGCCACGCGTCCAGTGCAGCACCACTTAGATAGCACTGCAGCAGAAGGAGCAGCAGCCGTCCTTCAAACTATTTCGCCAAGAGCAAGAGCAGGGCCAGAAGGAGGTGCAGAGAAAACAGAGGCCTTCATGCGGCTCACATCTCCCTCCTACAGCAGGTACATTAGCACTCCCGTCTAGGGATATCAAAGCGTCCTGAAACCCTTCTAGAGAAAACGCTGTGCAATCCCCCATGCACCCCTACCCATCGCAGGCCCCATCGGTACCCTTAGCATGGATTTATCTGGTGTTATGTTCTTTTGGAGTCGACAAAGGACGCAGAACACTTGCATAGAAGTTTCTAGAAGCTGTGGAAGGATGCTGCCGTCTAGGCACCATTTTTTCAGGAAACCCCAACAAAAAGACAAAGGGGACAAGTAGACACATATCTAGAGTAACGTAGACAGTGTGCAGCAAGAAGCTAGATAGGAGCAAAGATTGAGGTAGCTCGGTAGGCGAATGGACCGAGCTTGACCGCCAGTGCCAGTTATATCGGAAAGTGCCTACACTGACAGCAGGGGGAGAGTATAGCAAAAGCCAATAAGGCACATGGTAGCCTGCGCCGCCTCATATCCCAGACACTTGCACTGCCAAATCGTAGCCATTTCTTGTTTGAAAACCACTGGAAGCAGCGGGAAGCTTACAGTGTGAGGATGCGGAAGTATACGGGGAGAGCGACACAATTCTTGCTGAATACAGACACCGAAAACGAAATGCATACGGAGTCCTGCACGTAGGAAGATACAAGATATCAAAATGATCCACTGTGCAGATACAACCATTTTCACCGACCTCCATCTGCAGATGTTGTAGCAGATGGCACAATAAGAATGTGAAGTTCGCTCTACTACTGCTCGGGTGCAAGTGAGACACTGACCTTTTTCTTTGCTGCTGCACAGGGACAGCTGTAAAGTGCAAAGCAAAGACTTGGTGAAGCATGACAAAGGGAAAGAGAAAAGCACTGTCGCGAGCCAGCAACGACAGCAGCAGCTACAGGAAGACAGACAAGCTTCTACAACGAAGCAGAGCCAGACACATCAGCCAAGAAATGGTGCCAACCCGTCTGCAGATAGTTCTGCCGTTCCTACTCCTGCTGTAACATCGACAAGCTCTGACAGCTCAAGTTCAACAGCAGCCTCTGCACTACGACGCAATGGCGCTGGCGCCACAGCTGTCAATGCGGGACCCTATATCGCGGTGGACGCTGGTGGCGCTCAGCCCGCAAATGTGGCAACAGCAGAAGATGCAGCTACAGACACGACAACTTTTGTAGCAGCAATAGAAAGCCTTTCGATTGCTTCCCTCACGTGCCCCCTAATTGTGTCTCCTGAGGAATTTGCAGAAGACCCTGGCAGCTTCCGTCAGCCACAGACTGCGGACTCCCTGATGCTCGATGCTGTGTTTCCCTCCTGTAGTTCCTCTCTTCTTTTAGGTCTCTCTCTTGGCCTGAAGAGGGAAGAAGCACGCTGGGCTGTTGTATTCTCTGTGCCTGGCTGCTCTGCCTCTGTGCTCGCCGCTCTCTTGATCACAGAAATTACTACTACTCAACCCCCTGTACATGTTCGTGCCTCTAACGCTGCACCATCACTTATGGGCTTGCCCCGTTGAAGCCTTCATTGACACCTTTGCTTCGCCTAACCGAGTTTGAGGCTTCACATCCACAAGGGCCGTACTCGCTCTGCATATTTTGTTTTTCTGCAGCAAAGAGGACTATGGCCCCAGAGGCTGTGCTATCTACTATGAAGGCCTCCCCGGGGAAGAAACTAGACGAGGCCTCCCCACAAAGCCTGAATTCCACAGAGCCTGGCACGCGGCAATGCCTACCCCAGAAGGCACGAGCGCAGTTCGCCACTACAAGAGAAGTCTCTCCAGCAGATAGCGAATTTACGTTTGCTGCGGCTTCGTCCCCTGCAGCAGCAGCAAGACCAGCTACAGCTGAGGGCTCCAGTAGGGCCACCTACAGTAGCATATGCAGCAATAAAACACCCGAAGCAGGTTTAAATGGCAATGTGACCCCACCTTGCTGCTGGTGGTACCCTGTGAGTGGCAACACACGGCAGCAGCATCATATTCGCCATTGCCTGATGCAAACGCTATCCGATACTGCAGCTGCACGCGCCGCTTCCAGACAAGAGCCCGCAGTTGTCAGCACGCCAGGAGGGCTTCAGATAATGGCTTTTAAGAACCTTCTGTCGCGGGCACAACAGCGCCAGAGGCAGCAGCTTAGAAGGCAGCAACAGGAGTCACGACCCCGGGCGCTGCCGTGTGGTGACCCAGAGGGCCCTCTTTTTACGACACCCTTCGCTGTGACAGAACGCATGAAAGGCCCTACAGCTAAAGAGGGGCTTCAACGGAGAGCTCCGGGAACTCGAGTGCTGCAAAGTGTGGCCCTGAAGAGGCCCCCGCCACCCCCGGGTTTGCTACTCCCGTTGCTTGAGCGGTCCAATTTCCTCCCGACAAGGAGGAACCCTGCCTCTTAGGACCCTGTTCACTGTGAGGGGTCCTCATCGGCGGCAGTGCGGCAGACACATAAAAAAACGTTTAGGTCACTATCTACGTGAAAACCCGTTGTGGAGGGGAGAATTCTGTTGCGCACAAAAAGCCAGTGCACAGGAAACGGTAGGGGCCCTAAGTGTTTCAGCAGACAAGTAGGGGCTCAAGATCCAGCATGCCCCTTTACAAATGGGTGCACCGTGGGCAAAAGAAGGACCATCGTTGGGGGCTCCTAACGCTAAGTAATTTTGCCACAGGAGCATGTACAGCCCAAACGCACATCCTCCTAGGGCCTCTAGGGCCCCCCAGCGCGCACGCTAGAAGACCTTGGAGGCTGGGCAATGCAAAGCAAAACCCTGTTCGTCTGCCACCGATCGCATTTCTCCGAAAATATATGGAAGGCTCTCTGCGGGCCATCATAAAGCTAAAACCACCCAGAAAACCAGCCTCCTCCTCCGTTTTGCTCCTGTGGGGGCGTCGAGGCTCCACTGCTCGGGGGATCATTGTCGTCAGCATCCTGTGGCGGTTCAGCCGTAGGTGGAGGCTTGTGCTTTTCTTCGGCTGGTGCAGACGATCTGCTGCCGCTTGGAGAAGCAGAGCGTGCCGGTGAAGCTTCCTGGGGGCCCCCTTTGGAGCTCGACACCATTTTGGTGACATGCAGCAAACCGCCACCACGAGTCTCGCGCTTTTGACCTTTGTGTACAGCATTCCATATGCGGTCAATAATTGGGGACCTAAGCAAAGAAGGATCCGAGGAATGATTAAAGATAAAAGAACGACCTAGAGCCTTCCTGGAGTACTCAGGAAACCAAAACTTACACATGGGGAGTTTTGACATGTTTCCTTCGGTTCACAGTATGCAACTAAGGGCGTAGCGATTATATTTGAACGCAATAAGAGACTGAAATGTCGACAGATATGTAGGTTCCACCCAAATGCCGGTGAGGTGCAGAGATCTAGCCACCAACTAAATAAAGATAGACAGTCCAGGAGAGTACACATGCAGCGGCGGGGGCGCTCCAGATGCACATAAGGAGTGAATGGAACAGGATGAGGAGGAAAACGGCACAGATGCACAACCTGAAGTCAGGAAAGCATATAGGAGCATACATCGAACACACACAAGAGAGATAGAAGAAATACGCAAGCCCAGAAAAGAGACAGCCAGAGAAGAAGCGTACAGGAACTCCTGCACGGTGCATCTAACCTGTCATTTGAATCCTTTACAAATCTTTCCAAATCATCCAAAAGGGTGTTATACTTTTGCACGAGCCTATTGTGTTTCTCAATAACCTCGAGGTGCCTTTCCCTTGCTCTTATAAGCTTGTTGGTTCTTGTTTCAATGATTTGTTTAAGAGCGTCCACGTTGTTCGTTGCAGCAGCCGCTACAACTTCCCCCTCATCCAGCTTGTCAAGCACTTCCGCTTCCATATTTTGCTCCTGAGATGCGATTTCACTTTTCGTGCTTGCTTCTGCCTCTGGTGTGCCTTGCTGCAGCTGTTGCGGTGCCTCTGCCCGCTGCTTCTGAAGTTTGTGTTTCTCTGGTTCTTCCTCTTGCTGAAGTTTTTGCTTCGATTCCTTGGCGGATAGGCCCCCTTTTCCCTCCTCAGCACTAGATGAGGCCCTAGTGGCTTCTTCAGCCGCCCGCAGCTGCTGCTGTAGTGCCTCTATTTGCTTCTTTAGCATAGTGACGGCAGACTCTGCCTCACGCTGCTTTTCCATCAGAGCTTTGACCTCAGCGGCATGTGCTGCTGCCTCCTTTGCACTTGATTCCTTCTCGATCTTCATTTTTTCTGCGGCATCTGCTGTAGCATGCTGCTTTTGCTGCATCGACTCTTGTGTCTTCTTGAGTTGCTGCTGAGCAGTATCTCGCTGCGCCTCCGCCTTGGCAAGCCGCTGCTCCAGAGAGGAGACTGTCTCTTTAAGTTGTTGAACTTCGGCCGCTTTTGCCCGAATGTCGGCCAAAGCAGTTTCTAGTTCTTTCTGCAGACCGGCTAGTTGTTGTGCAACTGCAGCTGCTGCTGCTCCTGCGTTGCCCTCTTGCGCCTTGTCTTCCTGCACTCTCTTTAAAGCCCCCTCAGCCTCGCTCACTTTTCGCTGTGCAGCCTCTAGCTGCTGCTGCAGTGCTGCCTTCTGCTTCTCCATCTCTGCCTGCTGCTGCTGCAGTGCTGACTTCTGCTTCTCCATCTCTGACTGCTGCTGCTGCAGTGCTGACTTCTGCTTCTGCATCTCTGACTGCTGCTGCTGCAGTGCTGCCTTCTGCTTCTGCATATCTGCCTGCTGTTGTTGTTGTTGCTGTTGCAAGGATTCCTTACCTTTAAGTGCCTCTTGTTGCTGTGCCTGCAGCTCCTGGAGCTGCTTCTGAAGTTGCTGCTGCAATGCGTCTGCTTTCTTCTGTGCTTCCTGCTGTTGCTGCTTCATTTGCTGCAGTTGCTGCTGAGAGAGCTGGACCTGCTGCTGCTGTTCCTGCACCTTATGTGTTGTAGCCTTCAGCTCTTCCTGAGTCCTCCTAAGGGCCTCCTCTACTTTTTCTCTTTCCGCGAGCTGTTGCATGTTCGCCTCTATGTCTCTTTCGAGCTGCTGCTGCTGTCTCTGCTGATCCGCGTCCCTTAACTTTTTCTCCCGCATTTCTGTCTCGTGTATTCGTTGCTTTAGCTGCTGCTGCTGCTGCTCCAACTGGTGCAGCAGAGCCTTTGCCGTGGATGCCTCTTGCATCAGCTGGTCCCGTTGTGATGCTGCGGCTTCCTTTTCTTTAATCATGTCTGCAAGTATCTCACTTTCCCGTTTTCTGCTGTCTCTCTCAGCCTGAAAATGTGCCTCTGCTTGGATTGCGGCAGCACGGCATGTCTCCTCCTTCCGTCGCAGCTCTTGCAGCTGCTGCTGCTGTTGCTGCTGCCTTTCTCTCTCCTTTGCCACCGACTCTGCTAGAGCTTCCTTATGGGCCTTGTACTGCTGACACTCGACCTCCAAGCTAGTAATATGCAGATGCAGAGCATCTAAATCCGCCTCCTTCCTCACTAGTGCTGCCCCCGCTGCAGATACCTCTTGTTGCAATTCTGCGATCTTATGCTGCAATGTCCCGCAAATCTGCTCGTGGCGCTTCTCTGCCGCGTTCGCTTCTGCCTCCGCTCTTGTCTTCGTCCTCTCCAACTCCCTTCTAGTCTCTTCCTGTTTGCGGATACTTGTGGCGAGTTGTGACTCAGCAGTGGCTAGCTTCCTAGTCGCTGTAGCCAGCTCGTCCCTGATTCTGGCAGCCTCTACCTCTGACTTCAATATATATTGCTCCTGCCTTCGCCGTTCTGCTTCCGCACTCGCAAGCTTCTCTGCCGTCTCCTCTTGCGCCAATTGTGCAGCCGCCAGCTGCTTAAGTGATAGCGCCTCATTCCCTCTAAGTCTATCAAGTTCAGCATCCACCCCAGAACGAGAAAGCTCGACCTGAATCGCAACCCCCCACGAAAAGTATGCTTTCCGAGTCCAGAGGCTTTACACGAAGCACTCCAATCTGCTCTATGTCCTATGTACCAAATCGTATCTTTTAGGCCCCCAATAATGCGGAAACGGCTGAATAATCTCAGATTCGGAGCGCTCTTGGTTGTTCCTCATTCGATTTTTCGAGTGAGCTCTTTCAGTGTTATTCTTGGCATGCAACTGTGGTTTGCTCCCCCCTACTTGAAAGCCTCCTTTCGCGCTTGCTAAGCTTCTTTAGGGCTTAAGCATTGGAGCTTACGGCTTGGAGGCGCGCAACGGCGTCTGATGCGGTTGTTTGCGCTTCATTTGCAACCCGCTGTGCGGCCCCTCTGTCGATTTCCAGGTGTCTCTGCGAAAATGCGCCGAGGTCCTCACAATGGCTCTGGCTAACGAGGCGTTACCATACATGACAAGAGATCAGTGGCGGAATGCTGCGCTGCCGTATCTAGTGCTACGCAGCCCGATAGCCAAGCTAAGGAAGGAACAGAGAGACTATACTGGACACCGAATACAGGGGTCAGTGACGTCACGCCAACCCAAAGTAAGGCAAAGCGGCTCTTCTCAAAGTGCAGTTACAGCCGTATCTTGCTTTATGGGTTTTACGACCTACGCAGAGAGTCGTCAGCTCTTGAACTTGTCTGGTGAGTTGCTCAACCCTCAGCTGCTGGCGAGCACAGAGCTTCTCCAGCTCCTCCAGCTGCTGCTGCCTCTTCTCCGCCTACAGCAGAACCAACAGCAATAGCAGCACAAAGGATAGGACTAAAGAGTAGAGACAGCCGCAAGACGAGTGTCGTTGGCAGGCCCCTTGAATGCGTGTACCAATGCAGGGGAAGCAACTGAAAAACCTTCCTAAGGTCTCAGCTTCGTCCTTCTGGACGTAGGCATTACACTTCGTCTTTTCAAAGTTGGCATCTTAGAAGCTCAATATATTCCCTTTGATGCCCCTTGGAGCTCCTGAATTCCCATTAAAATCATTGCACTACTGAGTTCCAGAGAGCTACCCTGGCGTGCTCAGGTATCATCGCGTAAGCGTATGTGTGAGTGCATGCGTATGTGCTTATGCATGTGCAGGTGCGGTAAGGCTCCCAGAGAAAGAAACACGGGAGAATGATGAATAGTTACAGCAAATGTGTATGCAGGCGGCTCGAGCCTAGATGCCTAGCTTACGAGCTGATGAATACAAACCCCATCCGCTAAGTTCGCCTGAATTTCCTCCTCAAGCTTCATTTCCTCCGGGACCGGGGAGAAACGGCGGGGAGCGCCAAAGTGGCCTTCAGCAGTTCGCGTCTCTGCCTTGTGGGGCTTCTCTATCAGTCAAGGGGAGGCGCTACACGAAGAGAGAGTAAAGGGGTGAAGAATGTCATTTCTGCAGGAAGCACTGAGTTTTCTGCTGCTCTTCCAGATGGGCGCGGAGTGACTCAAGAAAAACAGCCGTCAATCACTCCAGACGCAAGAGCGGCCGGTGCTTCAGATATCTTCCGGCCTATGCGTGCCTCTGCAAGAGCAAGAGCTGCACAGTGCATGCATGCAAGATTCCTTAAAGGGAAGGCCGAGCCGCTTACCGAGAGGTAAAGGAGGGGCCTTCCTTGGGGACTCGCCGGCACAAGCAGTGGCTTATCCTGTACCGAAGGTGTTCTTCCTACCACTGCAAATGGCCACTATGGGAAGGATGATAAAGAAAAGGAAGGTCTGGGGGGCTTTTGAAGATCTGGATCAAGCAGAGAGCTGGAAAATATTGGCAGGCTCGGGCCGGACGCGCAGCCAAAAGCTTGCGTAACCGGGCCTTTCGAGCCAGGGCTGCTGAGCCGAGTCCCCTGTATGGGAGGAAGAAGGCGCCACCACTCAGAATAGCGTAGAAGACTCAAATAGAAACTGAAAGAGAGAAGAAATAAAAGGAAAAGGGCGATTAGGCCATGAACCTCGCAGGGGCCGCATTGCCCTCTGGCTATTGTGGCAATTGGGTCGACACTGAAATGCATGCAGCTACCCCTATCTCCAGCAATAAAATAAGGCAGTTTGATCCTAAAGTTGCCGAATAATAACACAATCATTGAATTAGCACAAAAGGGGATCCAGACAACAAGCCGTTTGGGGGTTCTGTCTTCCGCTATCTCTCTTCCAAGGGACCGCTGCAGCAGCGCCACTGGTCCCTTGAGACAGGGGGCCCCTCGACGACTCCTTTTCCTCTCTTTGTAATAGCTGCATGATGATGTAGCTAGGCCAAGCCTTATTAGAGAGAAACACTGCGATCAAATCCCAAGACTTCGTCGAACGCCCGAAGCCAAAGTTCTTCCCCGAATATACACCCCAACTCCTGCATGGCTCACGCACTGCTGCTTGCCTCTCTCTATAGTCCGTCTAAGCGGCAAACCCCAACATGTGAGAGAGACAGTTGCTGTTCCATTGATTGTATCTCACATGCTGATGCTACCATCGCAGAATCCCTTGGTGTATGAACCATTTCTTTCTAGCTTCCTGTCAAAGAGCACTCCTCCCTCGGCCACTATATATGACCCCCGCAATGCCAACATCCTCCCGTTTTCCCTCACTCTCTGGGTACAATTTCTCTAGTCTCAATTCTTTTGTTGTCGGAACAGCTCCCCTTTCCCTTGTCTACCCTTCCCACCCCTCCGCCCTCTCTGCTCCAATATGCGTTGCCTTACCAATGCAAGTGCACCACTCCGGTCCTTTATTATGGACCCTATGAAAACGTGTCGCCCCTTCCCCACCCGAAACCAACCGTGGTTGGGAGGGTGGCTGATTGGATGCACGGATGCTTGATTCCAAGCATGCGAGAATTCCCTTAATGCATGCATCTTTCCACGCAAGCAAATGCACCGCTACAAGTTGGTGTGTTTAATCCTCGGAGGGGTGCCCAGACAGCCGAAGCCTCGCGCGGCAGCCACCCTGCGGGGTAGGCACTGCTGCCTCAGCTGCAGAGGGCACAACAAAGCGATAGCCTCGTCAGCAACGCTCCTTACTTCGGGATCCCTATGGCAAAATGCTATTATTTCCCCCACCCCCCCAAAAAATTCCTCAGCAGAAAAGGCACCTTTCCTGTCGGCCTTGCCGCACTGTATGGAGCCTCTCTTTCGGCGGCAGTCCCTCCGCGAATCAGCATACATACATTGACCACTGCTCTTCCTTTCCCCCTACCGTTGCAGCTCCTGCTGATCTGCTATAGCAACTTTAAGGTGTCATAAGCTTTCTATGGGCTGGTGCCGTGCATCTAAAGCTGTTGTAGTGGCTGGTGTTGCCTCTCCTGTTCGTCCTTTAGATCCGTGTCGGCCAAGGAGGGCCCCGAGAGGACCATCGAGTAAGAACCCCCAGAAACCGTTGACGCGGAATCCCTGCATTCACCATCCTTAGGTGCTGTGCGTGTCCTTTCTCCCGCCCTCTCACCCTCACGTTCACCAGCCTTCGCATCTACAGTGGTGCTGGCCTCGTCCTCTTCACTTTCTGCATACTCCCGCTCATCCGCTTCGGCGTCGGTCGACACCCGCAGCACCCGCATACCTTTAACGGCTCGGAGCTCCAACTCTGAATGCTGACTCGCGAGGGAAGGGGCGTCTAGCGACTCTGCGGGCAGCATGAAGTATGCCAGAGGAATGGTGAGGAGAGGAAGGAAAAAGTGAGAGAAGAGGATGAGGGCCGACAGGTTGGAAAAATTACAGCCGCCTTCTGCGGTAACGACCGTGGATATTCCTGAAGCCTCAATGGCTCTGGCCCCTAAGAGTTTGCTCAAATTCCATCCTAGGTTGGAAATCCCCGACATGATCGCGTAGACTGTGCTTTCCAGCTTAGCCGGGCACATCCGTGATACGGTAATGACACCCGCCATGTGGGTCAGCGACATAATGCAGTGGTAGGCGATCGCATCCCCCAGCATGTACATGAGTTTATCCGGAATTCCCAACGCCACGTTCAGGCGCTGGACCATCACGAAATCAAACAAGGAGTCGAGCACGCGGATGGCATTCGTTAGCCAGAAGATAGACCTGCACACTCACCCGCATCACAGCCAGCACCACTCTTCAACTGAACTCGTGCCCTTCACCTCCCGTCTCCTCTTCTTCCCCTGCCATGCCCCCCACTTTCTTCCCCCCCTAACGAAAATGCCTGCCGGATTAGCTCTATTTACACACAGGACAGGGAGAAAAGTGAAGCGGGAAAAAAGCGAGGCCTCCCCCGCCCTTCCTTCTACGCGTTCCTGAGAGTACCTGCAGCTCCACGACTTGAACCACCTCTGGAATGCCCAAATCCCGAACCAGCTAGCAGCAGTGCCTGCTATCGCTGTGTATGTGGAGAAGTAAGTGTAATCAAAATGGGGGCCGTCGGGGACGCACGCAGCGTCCGCCGTGTAAAAGAAGTTCACGGCACCCTGAATGCTGAGGTGCAGCAAGGCGTCCACGAAAAAGTAGATCGTACACTGTGCGAGGCGGCGCGGGAGGAGCCAGAAACACGATCCCGAAAGCAGTATCAAGACCAACAGGGCGTAGGGAAGGCTGTAGTGAGCCTGATTTGTCAGCGTGAGCACCACTACCCCGCACGTACAGGCGGAGGCCAGGAGGGCAACGGTGAAGACACCCTGACTCCCCTGGAGGTGGGTACCCCTTTGGGAGCACATACCCCGCATCTCGAGCTTCTCTTCCCCAATAAAGTTCATGAGGACAGGGAATAGGGACTGCAAGGCGAGGGGCAGACACACGCAAAAGAGGGGTGAGGCTCCGTACGTATCGGAGACGGGACCAACAATCGTCCGACCCAAGAGGCTTCCCGCGGAGGTGCAAAAATTCACAAAGGCGATCAGTTTGGGGCCGATTGGCGGGTTGTTTCTGATGAACTGCGAGTAGACGCCTTCGCACAGAAGGTCTATGGTGGCGATTTGCACGTGGATTCCAAAGAAGGGAATAGCAAGGGCGACGATGCTGCCTTGAGCCATAGAAGGAGGCATCATGAGCAACCAGCACACCGATGAGATCCCGACCACGTTAGCCACAAACATGTAATACCGCTTGTGATACCCCAGGATGGGAAGGCAGTCGCTCATTGTTCCGAAGAATCCTTTAAGCCCCCACGGAACGAGAGCGATGGTCAGTGTCCGTTGGTAGACGACCGCATCGTACTGCAACTCCTTCAAGTAGGGCAAAAGAGACTCCAGAGAAAGGGCCCACAGCATGCCCTTGAGGCCTCCAAAAACGCTCAGCACCATAATGACGAACTGTAGACCCACGCTATCATGGATATCCATGCAAAAGCGACGTAGGCGCCCGGGAGAACCGACGGCCAGAGCCGCCGAGATGAAAGGTGGCATACGACTGGAAGAACGACGCCAGCACAGAGCCATCTTCTTAGCGGTGTTGGTGCTATTGTCGCTAAAAAGAGGCCTGCCTGTACTAGGAGGGCTGCTGGGTAGAAGCAGGAGTGCAACGACTCATGCCACTGTAATTGGGAGAACCGCCTGACTGTCAGGCCACCCTCTCTGAGGCTACCCCTGGCATAAAAGGAGAGGAGCCCGTCTGTTCTACATACGCGGGAAGCATAGCATCAGGAGGAGGTGCTCTTGCAGCGGCTTTCCTGCTGCCGCTGCCTCAGAGGCCCCCTGTGTAGAAGCAGCTTGTAAGAGGTGCCCGACGCCAGAGAAGATAAATGAAATAAAGAGAGTTTCAAGGAAGGCAGCGCCCCCAGGGCGCTGACACACTCAAACTGCTCGTATCCCACACGTCTAGCAGCACCAACGAAACCACGGCTGTTGCACCACATGGAGGCCCCCAGGGAGGAGGTGCTCGAGTGGCAAGCAGCTAGCTTGCCAGAAACGTCACTGCCACGGGATTAACGTGGACCTGCTGTGTCGGAGTGCTTCATGAAACATGAGTCTCAATGGAGTATGTGTTGCCCGAAGGCAGCCCTGGAAAAACCCGGGGGTGTCCCTGACAGCACACAAGCCCCCAGAGGACACAACTATGCAAGACAGTGTATGTACCGCATGTAAAGCAGTGATGCTGGCAGATAATGAGAGAGAATGGGGCGGCGACACGGACCTGTCCTCTACATGGGGGCCCCAGGGTCCTTGCTGTTCATGCCGCGGCAACTGCAGCCCATCTTGCACACGCTATTGTTCCCAACTACATCGTCTAAATGCGATATACACCTTATTTCCCTTTCAGAAAGGCACAGGGGGTGTCTGGAACAATGAAAGGTGCAATGGTGCAGGGGGTGTGCGCGAGAGTGATCGCACATGCACAGCGGGCAAGACTTCCGCACTCTAGTAGCTGCTTTGATTAGGACGGCTAAATCCTTTTCTTTAACAGTGGCAACTATGAAACCGCTGAAAAGATAAGGGGTAGCACTCTCCGCGGAGAGGAAGGTTTGCCATACCAGAGGGTTGCGTTCCTATCATCCATATTTGTGCTCTTCTCAAGGCCGTATACGTGCCACTCTGCATACAGCATCCGCCGAACCAAGACATCCCAGTCCATGACTGCAGGTTCACCTGCATTGACTTTTGCGCGAGAAAGACTTCAGTATGGCACTGGCATTTGGGGAATTAGTCCACCCCAGACACGCACCTCTGCTACTGCTTCCAGAATCAGGGAATGGCTAGTTGGTGCTTGTAACGATCCCCAGAAACTCGCTAAAGAGGCAGACCCACCCCCCAAGAACAACCGAATCCGCCTAGAATGTTCTATTTCATTCGATCTCCGGAGATCCTCCTCTCCTTCCACACACTCTGCAGGGTTCTCTGGCGCAAGGGAAGGAACTACCGACGGCGTGCAAGTCATTTGGTCGTCTGTATAACTGCATACAGTACCTCAGCATAGGCACACAGCGGACGTTTCTACTGGTCGGCGCTAACCTTGCGCTCAAGCAATCATAGTAAAGGCAAAGTTGTAGTGCGCCACGCTACACTGAGGCACTTTGTGTCACACTGGTTATGTATATGAAGAAGCACATTGTGCACTGCTTATACGGTGTGCTTATTCATATGGCTATTTGATGACGAGCAGGATCAGCTTACACAATACTACAGGAATGAGCGTTGTATGCCAGCTGCTCCATCTAGCGTTTCCACAGGGAGACACGTAACAAAAGACTCAGTACAAATGCAAGAAAAATTGTGGACTGATTTTTCAAAAGAACTCTGTCTATTCCTCCCCCGTTCCCCCATTGGTTTCCCAGAAGTGGGGATACGCACACGAAAACGTGCGCGTTGCAGCACCCTGTAAGCGCTTCGAGCCATCACAGTTCGTTCTATACGCCACGTGGCAGATACGCGTGCAATAGTGCGCTTCGTTGTATCGAGTTGTATAACTGTGCAGGAAGAAAGGTAATGAAACAGAGGAACCGCTTAGTCCATTTATTCTTAATTCTCAAACAAAACATCTGTGTGGTTGAAGCTTTGAAGTCCAGAGCAGTCCACTGCACATCTTACCATACTACCTGAGTTAAAAATTCGTGCTCTCCTGTTCTGTTTCTGTCCGCCAAGACCAGATTTGCACACAACAGCTGAACCTTTCTCGCCGGATCGCCACTTTCTGGGGCCTAGTTATACTTGAGCACTTTCTGCTACACCGTGTGTACATAACACAGAACTGATTTAAAATTGAGCCACCTGTTCGTCTGTTCGTATATCTCATTTCCTGTATAGTACTGGTAGCTCAGTACAAGAAGTGACACTGTTGTGTTGGTCTGCGCTAGATGCAATGTGCAACTTGCTGTGAATGCGGGGAGTGTTTAAAGGGAGCGCCAACCCCGCGGGAATTCTTTTGGCTTCTCTATTTAACCTAAATATTGAGCTTGCGTTGAACTATTTCCTTTCACATGCCATAGATGGAGCGCTACACAAGTCGGCGGCAAATACTGAATTAAACGAAAAGAGCCTCATGCAGGACTGTCTAAGCATTTCTTGACCTAATGCAGTCGTAGGAAATGTGCCTCCGGGGTGTGTGATGTTGAGAACGCGAGCTTACCACCCTAGTGCTTGAGCCAAGCCGACGAAATTGTGTCTTACACTGGGAGCCGAGCTCCATAGAGGCAGCCACCGAGCCCCGTCGAGCGCACGCAAATGTGCTCTGCCCTGGTGAAGCTTTCGTGCTTTCATAGAGCTTACTAGGCTACTGTCCATAGAGGGCTTTTTACGCGATTAAGTTGCACATACCGCATTTATGTTACTTTGAATGGCACCGCCCCCGATAATTTCGACCAATGCGCCACACACTGCAGGAAGCCTTTTAATAGGGCCGACGGAGTGCCACATCGCATCATCGACGAACCCAAGGGTAAAGGGGGGACGAGAAGCGCTAGAAAAGCCGTTTGGCGGCCTTAAAGCAACCTAAGACGCGGAATTTCAGAGAGCCACAATGCCAAAGAGGACATAACAGATACGGGCCTAAGACGAAAAACAACGACGTGATTGGCGTATGATCCTAGGCTGTAGTATAACTGGCCGCACCAAGGTATTATGCGGTACGCTTCATTACTTCTTAGGCTGGTGTGTGACTCTCTGAAAGGCACCACGACAACAGGTGGCCTCAACAGCAGGCATTATGCCAACCAGAAATGAAGCCCTGGTCTAATTCACATCGGGCCTGTGCCCTCTCTTCCCGCTGTTCGTCTAGCCTTGTAAACGTAGCGTCCTGTGATACAAGGTATTCCTCCTTGTTTGAAAGGATCCTTGTGTCCATCTGTTTTGTGTCAGCCGAGCTATTTGTTGTGGAGTATGTTCTGAGCCCTATTCAGCTCATGCCTAGTAAGTCTGCCCCTCGCTCTCTAGCCGTCCACCTGTATGAGCCACTGTCAGAATCTGTTCACCGCAGGCTTCCGGCTCGCCGCTCTCTCCGGCCTGCTGCTTTCGGACTCAGTGGGTACTCTGCGACCTTTCTGTGTGTAGCTCTCAGTTTACTCTGAGCTAGTCCATATGTCTAGAGGGGGTTCTTTCCGTGCTTCTAGAACTGGCTATCTCATTTTCTGCACTCCGGCTGCCATTCAAGCGTTTAATTGCTACCAGTTCCGGCTGCGAAGATGAGTATCTACTGCCTCGGGGGGTAGGGGCTGAGGCTTGCTCTCTCTTAGCTGCAGGAGACACATGTCAAAGGAGGTGGACAAACTGAGCTCTAACTTTTCCTTCGCTACAGCGGCTGCTGTTTTTGTTCCACTGCTGTTGCTGCCGCTGCGCCTGTTGCTATCTCCACGTGGACGCTCTGCAAGACGTCGGGCTCTATCAGGCGAGACCTGAAGGCCATGACAGTCCAAAGGGGGCGTGGAATCCTGCTTCTGCAATAGCTGCTGCCCTTGCTGCTGCAGTTCATGCTGCCGCATGAGCAAAATGTGCGTTAGCAACAGATCTTGCTGCTGAGTCCCCTTTGACGCCAGTGGACTGACAGCGTTTCCGAGACCACTTTTCCTCGCTGGAGTCTTTATGGGGGCATCCGCAGAAGGAGCAGCAGCAGCTAGTGCCATGGGGGCAGCGGGTTGGCTTGGGGGGTTGGGAGGCGAGAAGCTGTCAGTAAAAGAAACATGGCCAACAGTGCCGCAGCGCCCTTGGTGCGGTACATCTTCGCCTGTTCGCCCGTCACCGACGCATCCACTGCTACTGTTGCGATTGCTGCCGCTGCTGCTGGAGAAGGTGTGGGAGGTATCTTCAGCGCACGGATTCCTGCCGGGCTTGCTGGACTCCAGCGCATCCTCCCAGCCAGGCACCGAAAAGCCCCATAAATTGTTCTCTGCGTCGGCTTGCTGTTGCCACTGCTGACTCTGCTGCCAGGGGTCTCGCTGCAGTCCGTTTGGGTGTCCCCAGGGGTCCTTTGCATCCAGCTGCTGCTGGTGCTGCTGACAGGCAGGTGCAACGGCAGAAGGATCGAAAATGTCGAACTCTTGAGCATCCAATTGCCCAGGTTGGCTTTGCCTCTCCGCAATTTCCTGAGATAGAGAGAGAGAGAGCAGTAGTGATAGTCGTTGCTGCTACAATTCAGTTACAACAGCAAAACAAGAGCAAGAACAGTGCGGACGACACAGCTACGGTGAAAGCACCATTCCTACAAAGCAAAGCAAACCTACCCTAAAAGCAGATACATGTTCTTGTTGGAGCCGTGGCTCCTGCTGCTGCTGTATTTGCTGCTGCTGCTGTTGCTGCTGTTTTTGTTGCTGTTGTTGTTGCTGCTGTTGCTGTTGCTGTTGCTGTTGCTGTTGCTGCTGTTGCTGTTGCTGTTGCTGTTGCTGTTGCTGCAGCAGCTCGGCAAGACCGTTCGGCGACTCCAAAGCGGTAACCAGCTGATGGGCTGTGGGTCTTTGTGAGGGGCGAAGGGACAGAAGACAACGCAGCAGGGACATGAGCTCCTCTGAATATCTGAAAATTAACCAACAGCAAGCTCAGCAGAAAAACTCCGGCACAAGGGTAAGCCAGAATGGGCCTGTCGGCATGCGCGTGTGCCTTCCTAGAGCTATTCTAATGAACCAAGATTAGGGGTTTGCAGGATTGAGGACTGCCTTAAGACAGCCGAACCACTGATTCTGGTGTTAGCAATACACTTCCTACGGCCTGGAGAGTCGTGCATTTACCGGTGATGGGGTGGAATGACGTAAACCCCGTTGCTGATGGCGAGGACAGAGGCCCCCTCAAAGGGGTGACGGTAGAAGCAAAGAATGAACAAAACGCAACCCAGCATCTGCAGCACCATCGGAAGCAGCAGCTAGAGAGGGTGGGAGCTACAGCAGCAAAAGCTGCAGCAGCAGGCTCTGCTGCTGCTTGCCTCGCTATAACTGGTGGGAGGGCTGCGTGTGGTTCCCCGAGAAGAGGTAACAGAGTGTATGGGGTTCGGATCTCGGAGATTCACCCAAATATCCGCGGGGGGCCCTACTGGGTACTCGAGATACAGGTCGACCATCTCAGGGGCCCTACGGCACCAGAAGGCATCTAGCAGCAGCACAGGCCACGATTTGCAATGTTGGAACGTCTGATGCATTCGTGAGAGGAGATGTGCGGGGATGAGAATGAGTACCGCACCGACAGCAGCCACGAGAGTAGTTTCACGGGAGATCGAAAGGCAACTGCGTTGACTGACAGCACAGAGGATCATGCAACAAAAGGGCATAACGGAGGAACGGCAGCTGCAGAAGGCTCGACTGCCACAGGAGCAGCAGCAGCTGCTGCTGCTGCTTCTGCTGCAGCCTGCTTTTGTACCGATACGCGAGAGTGGAATGCCTCTCGATTTGCTCGGCGAGCCGCAGCTTCTCCTCCCTTCCTCCGGTCGCAGAGTTCATGATTCCTCGCATGCAGCTGCCAAAATCGCAGACTCGGAAAACACCTTCTAGGCCCTCGGGTTGTGTGGCCTTTTTTGCTGGTGTGTGGGTGGCAGCTTGACCCCGTGCGCGAGACCACAGGGCCCCCAGGGAAGAAGGCGGAGGCCCTTCGAGGGCCCCTGCATCCTTAGGCGGGTCGAACAAGACGTTCTCCACTTTAAGGTCGCAGTGAACAATGGGGGGATTTTGAGCGTGCAAGTGTGCAAGGCCCCTGAAGGCACAAGCCTCATGCCCGAGAATCTTACGGCCGCGCATGTTAGGCCAAATGCATGTTCAGAAGAGGCACTGGGGCTTTCTATGCGGGTACTGCAGGCTTCTGCTATCTGTGAAATGAAACTCGCTAACCGGTATCAACAACTGTTTGTGCTCTCTCTGCCGCACTAGCGAATCCCAGACCGCCCATACCCTAAAACTCTAACCTGGCGACATGTAGCAATATACGCCGAACGACTTGCTCCTGCAAGCCTTCATGAGGATTTGCACACCGCTGCATCAAATCAAGCAGCGTGCCCCCCCTGCAGTAGTCTAAAAGGATCAGGACCTCACCGGGGGCCCCCCGCATCCACGGGGCCCCTTGCCGGGATGTCACACTGCTCCCGTGGCATCGCACTACGTTATCGTGCGGAGGTAAGGAAGTCTGGAGCACACAAACACTCAGTGGCAAAAGCGACCTCCTGGGCGGCCGATCTCATTAGATGAGACGCCCACCAGCCTCTTTCTGCTTCTTGCTTGGTAGGCTCTGCCTGCTCTGCACGCAGTGACGGCTCCTTACAAGGATGTCAAGTTCCTTTTTAGCCAACTCATAGCCTTCTGCATCTGCAAACGGGAGGCGCTTTAGAGCAAAGAGCGCTTCGGTTTCGATATCACGCACCAAGGAGACGTATGCATAACCGCCTGCAGCAACAGCAGGAAAAGTGTCACAACAAAAGGCAACGGCATCCATAAATTGTGCAGGCGCATGAATGGCGAGCAACAGCGAAAGATGTCTACCGTCATCAGTAGCAGCAGAACACGCCTACCTTCAGCAATATCCTTCTCGGTTCGAATGGTTCTTCCTGCGATTTGAATCTGAGAGTTCGAGCGCAGCGCCTGCTGACAGAGATGACGCAGGGACTGCATCATTTGCCGCGATGGCGGCTGCTGCTGCTGTTGCTGCCACTCCTAGCTTTTTTTTAAAGCTCCTGATGCCGTTATGGTTCAGTCTGGAAAGGCACCTGTGCCTGTTGTTACAAATGGCAAAAGCAACCCTCTTCTTGCAGCCGGTGTATGGGTGGTCGGCAGCTGACCTTTGCCAGCAGACTAACCATGGGATAGCAGCATCAGAAAATGTCTTCTGTTGCGACAGTCGCTGCTTTGGACGTTTCGCGACTATTCAGACCGTGTGGTGGATTCAGATGTCTAGAATTTGGAGAGCTGAATATCTCCGGGTGAGGCGAGAGATTTCTGCGGCAGTGAGGCGTAACGACCTTAAAATGAAGCCCGTTCAAGCGGCATTGACTGTAGAAAGTGAACAATACTCTATTTTATGGAATCCCTCAGGCTTTCGGGCCCGCAATACACCGGACAGCTGAGAGCTCGCTCATTTCATTCCCAGTCCCGTCTGAAGCGGTGTGTTCTAAACAACCCGCCCAATGCAAAAGTACTAGCAAGAATCCTAGATTCCTTCATTTTTCAGATGAATCGTTAAATGGCAAGCCGTACACCTTGGTTCCTGTATTTACTTCTCTTCGTGTGACCTTCACTAGCTGCCGGTCGGCAGCAGGGCCCCCCCACTCTCAAAGCCAACCGCATGTGGTTCACCCTTCTTACTTCTGCCAAAGTCCTAAATTAGAACGACTTCGCGTATTCCGCAGAGCCAAAAGCATATGCTCCCAATTTTTCACGAGCCTTAGGGCTTCCTAAATCTCACGCTCCGGCACGCGAGGGGGGCCAGGAAATGGGTGGGGGGAGCTCAAAGACCGGTCAAAGGCGAACAACATGAACAATAGCACCGGCATAATCAGTAGCAACAGCTACGCCAACTGTCCTTTGGCCAAAGGATAAGGAGCACAATGAGTAAAACGCCTGCTGCAACCCGCTTACAACAGCCCTCGCGAAGCCAGCAGAAAGAGCAGCACTCGCGGAAAAAAAGGAACCGAAAGCACTCGTAGAAGTAATACACCAGAATGCACATTCAAGCGAAGGAGGCAAAGTCCCTCCTCAGGACGCAGATACTGCGGATCCGTACGGAACGCCTCGCGTTGCAGGCGCCACAGGGGAAACAACAGCAGGCAGCAGCCACGGATGTGGCCTTGCAGCATTTGGCTTCTCAAGAAGGGCCCTTTCTGGAGCTTCTGCACCGATTATTTCCGGGCAGGCTCAAACAAACAAGAGGAGGCCCTGCAGGTGGCATTTTACGTTGCAGCAACAGCAGCACGCACTGCACTGCCCAGACGCTCATGTATGGCTCCTCGAACCGCAATACAGCGAACTCTGTCATGTGCACCCTTTTCGTGCAGGTATGGAAGCAGGATTAACGCCGCTCAGAGTTGGAGGATACTACAACATTGGATCGGAGTATAGCTGTCTGCCCATGCTGCAAATGCTTTGCTCTTTGGGGGCAGAAACCTCTCTGCCGGTATGCCCTCCTAAGGGTCGCCTGCTCGAGTTTAGGAGATACTTGCCAGGGGACCGGCTCACACCTGATCGGGTGCGTGACTTTCTGAAGACTTAGGGTTTAGGGAGGCATGGCTTACACCCAGTCTGCCAAGTAATTCCCCTCGTCATCGACCCTTGTACTCCAGGATTGGTCTGTGCGCCCTCTATATTTTTGTTGCACGTTGTGGTGTGTGTTTCTGTCTTGTTGCGCATTAGTATGGAATTCCAGGTCCCGCTGCGTCAGCGGGCAGTTGGGCTGTCTCTCCAGATCTTCTGCTGCTCCCTCTGGTCGCTTTCGATCGCCTGGGAGTCCGCCTCGGATATGGAGGCGGCTTCTTCGACGCCACACTTGCCGCTCTGAGAGCTCGCCAGCTTGCGCATAAAGTTGATGAGTCTGACTCTGCCGAGGAGGCAGAGAATCCCCTAGAGCTGCTGCGCAGACTCCACGCTACAGGCACTCTCTCCGCCGCAGCGGCAGAGGAACGAAGCGTTGCAGCAGGCACGACCCAGAAGTGGAGAGGCCTCCTGGTATGTGGCATGGCGTTCAGCTGTCAGGAGGTGCAAGAGGGGACTATCCCCCTAGAACCCCACGATCAGTTGCTCGACGTGGTTTTAACTGAAACAAGCCTTCTTCTTTGCAATCCCAAACTTGCAAAGCTCATGCAGCAGCCCGTTGTACGGACTGGTCTCGCTGCAGCGGCAAACGCTAAAGGGCTGTAGCTCCACCGCTAACGGCCCAAGGCACCACTACGGCTTCTGTAACGGCCACTAAAACAGCTGCAGTAGCTCCAAGTGTAAAGCTGCACGAGAACAGCGGGCCTTCCTTTTGAATTCTGTCTTAACTCAATGACACGACGTCCGTACCTCTACGCAAGAGGGCATGAGCCCCTCCCTACTCCGTTGCTTCAAGGCATGACTCAACAGCAGCAGATCCTAGCAAAACAATAAACCTCTAGGTCTATCAGCGGCGTTTCGCGCCGTCTGTTCGTGGGGAGGGATTCACTAATAGGCGCCCTATACCCATAAAGGCGGTGGCGTGGCCTACCATTGGGCACCCCCTCGAATAGGCAGTGACCCCGAGCAGACTGCCTGTTGCTGGAAATCCCTAGATGCCGTTCGAAGCAAGGAATCTGCTGATGCAGCCTCTGTTTTGCTGCCGTTAAGGGTGCTGCTGTGGTCTGCAGCAGGAGCATCTTCCCCCGCAGGCGCTGCTGCTTGTGCAGCAGCTGTAGAGCAGCCTGCCCTGTCTTGATGGGTAATCACCTGCGACAAAGAGAGGTCCCCGTGGGAGCATACCTTGCCAGCCTTTTTGCCGCATGGCAAATTGAATCGATACATATATACATAGACACTGCACGTAGGCCTCGTACCACGGCATATTGAGCAGTTCGTGCATGCCCGCCCCCACGCCTAGCCCGACAGGAGACGCATGCAGATGGACTGCATGGTGCCAGGGAGTGCAGCCCAAGCGAATGCAGCGATGAGAGATCCCAGACACACGAGACAGCAACTTAAGGCGCTTGAGGGCATAGCAGTGACACGCGGCGAGCCGCAATGAAAAAACCGAACCGGAGGTGAACAAAAAGGTGGCCAAAAGTCACACCGTTTCACAAGAGCTGAAGGAAGCAGTATTTGAAGATAGGGGCCTCGCAAAAGTGAGCGTCTAAGCAATAGAAGCTCACCTCTAGCCATTCGGAGAAGGCTGCAGTCATCTCCGCTGCATCTTCCGGACCAGGGTTGAGTCTCATCTGTTTCTTTCTTGCTGCTTCAACTGCCACCCTGATTTCATCTTGCAACTGTCGAGGGGCAGTGGCGGCTGCTGCCGGGGGGAGAGCCAGATCCTGCTGCGCATGCAGAAGCACTTCGGGGCCTGCCCAATCGGCTGCAGTGCCGGAGGGGCCTTCAAACGACAGCTGCTGCTGCTGCTGCTGCTGCTGCTGTAAGTACAAGTGGAGGGAGAACAAGTGAAAGCCTGCAGACGCATGCACCACCACAGCCACACTTGCGGGCACTTGTCTTGCCATCACGACTCTCGCGGTCCCCTGGACTCCAAAGCCCCGTTTTGAAACAAACACATGCAGCCAGACAGTTATACGCGCAACAACAAACGCAGCCTAAGCACATGCAGCCACACAGTTATACGCGCAACAACAAACGCAGCCTAAGCACATGCAGCCACACAGTTATACGCGCAACAACAAACGCAGCCTAAGCACATGCAGCCAGACAATTATACGCGCAACAACAAACGCAGCCTAAGCACATGCAGCCAGACAGTAATACGCGCAACAACAAACGCAGCCTAAGCACATGCAGCCAGACAGTAATACGCGCAACAACAAACGCAGCCTAAGCACATGCAGCCAGACAATTATACGCGCAACAACAAACGCAGCCTAAGCACATGCAGCCAGACAGTTATACGCGCAACAACAAACGCAGCCTAAGCACATGCAGCCAGACAGTTATACGCGCAACAACAAACGCAGCCTAAGCACATGCAGCCAGACAGTTATACGCGCAACAACAAACGCAGCCAATCCGAGGAACTCAGCTCACCCCCGCAATTCGCTGGCTCAACAGCCCCACTGGCAGAAGCGAACGGCGGCTCCAAGTCTAACTCGTCTCGCTCGAGGCTGCTGCCGCTGCTGTCGGCTGCAATCACGGAGGGGACAGATTCTGGTGAAGGGCCCCCTGAGAGACCCTCCTCGCCCTCCTGGTACTCGTAAGGGTTAAAGGGGCCCCCTCCTGCGGGGGTTCCGTTTTCGGTGCCGCTTGTCCACATGCGCGGAGTCCGCTTCTCAGCTGGGCCCCCCAAGTGCTGCTCCTGCTGCTGCTGTTGCTGCTGCTCTTGCTGCTGGGGAACGCAGCGCAGCCTGTCGATCCACAGGCGTCCTCCCCGCCCTCTGCGCCTAATGATACTGAATCTGCATTTGGGGGGGCCCTGGGAATTGTCGCCGTCCACCTCCACAGCTCCCGTCTCTGCGGGTGCCCCCTCCGGCTGCTGCGATGCAGCAGCAGGAGAAAGAGTAAAAAGCAACGGGGAAGACACCGGGATGAGAGAGGGCGGCAAGGGAGAGGTGCCAAATAGACACTGAGTTGAAGGCTTCCAATGCCTGTTGGCTGAGCAGCATAGCACATACACACACATACATCTCTATATATACGTACATACCCTACACATATACACCCATACATACATACATACATCCGTAAGGACAGACATTCCTAGATCCTTATCTATCTAAAGAGCCGTATTCCATGGAAAGGCCGAATACAAGGAGCAACAACAACACAATATGCGAGGCAGCGAGAAGGGGCTGCCGAGACAAAGTAGTACAGAGAGAGAGAGGATGGGGCACGCCTGCTGGCAAGGCATAAGAGGCTTAAAAAGCACAGCCAGCAGAGCACGCACAGCAGAAATGATGCGAAGCAAGACAGAGAGACATAAATATATATATAGATTACGAAAGATGGAAGAAAGGAGGCCCCGATAATGACCTTTATCAGGTGATACTGGACAGCACAATACGCCAACCAACCCCCCTGTGAAAAGAATAAGGGATCTTTGTCTGATGCGCACCCTTTGGGCGGAGGATTAGAGAGGGACTCATTACGGGTATCAGCCGCCCCAGTCGATCCCTCTTGGCTTGTCTGCGTATCTGGCGTGAGTCTGAGGGGGGGCCCTGGGGGGCCCCTGGTGGGCCTTGCTGCCGTGCAGCGCCAGCAGACGCAGACCCCGGGGGCCCCTGCGGCGGCGGCAGTGCCGCAGCTCCAGCACTTGCAGAGGCAGCAGCATGCAAAAGGGCCCTCTTGTCGCCCCTCCGATCGGTCCTGCGGCTGCCTGAGCCTTTGACCTTCTCCCTTAGCTGCAGCCACAATGGGTGGGAATAAAAGGGGTCGGTCAGCTCGAAGCGCTGCTGCTCGAACATCAAGCTTCGCACCTGCACACCCGCCGCAGGCCCCCCACACCCCACCGTTGTTGTCTTCTTAAAGGGAAGCAGTACATCAACTTAGAGGGCTACACGCACGGACCACGCGCAGGATACTCGCGCCAGATCCACATCGCCTGCTCCGTCCTGCGGCGTGGCTGTGAGTTTTTCTCGGCTAAAGATACCCCTCTCTAAGGGGCATGCAAAAACACGCTGCGCAGCAGCAGCCGACCTCAAGAAGATGCTCCTTCTTTTCGTCACGCGTCCGCATGCGGCGCAGAACCTTCTCAACAAGCCTGCGGCACACACAAGGTCAACACACAAAAAAACAGCAACTCCACCAGACAGATTCTTAACCCCGCTGCAGCTCCTGGTGTCTCTGCTACACCTATGGCACTCTTCGCGCGGCCCGCCCTCTTACCCGCATACACAAACATACAAATACACACATACGTACACAGGCAGGCAGGAAGGCAGACTGCTGAGGCAAAAACACAAAAACGGCCCTGCCTCGCTGCTGTCTCCCCCCTCGAATCCCTACAGCTATCGGACTTATAAAAACATCCCTGACCTGCAGTCATCCAGCAGCTTTTCGGCTCTAACCAGCGCGTCTTTGCCAATCCGCTTTTGCTTCCTCAAAGTCATCTTCTCGCGGCCCACCTGCGACACGAGGCACAGGACGAACTCAGGGAGGGTGAGTCAGCAGAAGTCATTACGACGGAGAAGCACACGAGGCGAGAGATACACTGCAGAATTAAGAGGCACTGTAAGCGACACGCGGCACGAATGCTGCACGGCAGAAGGCGGTAGCAAAGGCCACACGCAGCCGCAAAATAAAGCCGGAGACGCGCCAGCCCTCTACACATAAAAGAGATGCTAAGCAAAACACACGCAAACTTTATTCGAGAAAAGAAGCACCTTGCATACGACTACCACCGGGGTACACAGAAAAGACGAGACACGATGTGATAAGCAACAAAAGAGCAGGCATCGTAAGTTTACTCTCGGTCGGAAGACTGCAAGCGGCGAGGTATCTGCAGGCGAGGGCTGAGGCCATAAATGCCGCAGCAAAGGCTTCTGCAGGCGCTGTCTGCGGCGCTGCCAATGCTGCATCGAACCGTCCACCAGCAACACACACAACCCCACTAGCAGCAATTGAAGGACGCGCTCTAGCGAAAGATAAAGGGCTCCAGGTAGGGCACCTACAGCAACCGCAACGAGGCTGCTCTGGTAGCCTCTGAGACGCGCGTACCGCATGAACATGCTTGCAAATAACTGCATGCAGTCCCAAATTGAGGTCTTGTGCCGCAATCCGTGCGGCCTCATCAGGAGACACCGAGAGCTCGCTCCCCCCTCTCGCATGTGCCTCCTTCTCGAGAGCATCCATCAGCTTGATGAACGCAATGTCGGAGAGGAAGAGCGACTTGTTTGCAAGGCAGATGGGATTCAAGACCAAACGGAAGGGGCCAGAAGTAGGATGATTCTGTTTTTGCAGGGCTTCTTCTTGCTGCTGGGAGTCAGACGCAGCACCCTCTCCGTTGGAAGCGGTGGTTGCAGCCGTTTCAGCTGCCAGTCCTGCAGCTGCATCTGCTGCATTTGACGCAACGGCGCATGCATCAGGGGCCCCAGGTTCCGCGGGCATGTAGAGCGGCTTCTTTGTGATGATATTATTTCTGTTTGTTTTTCGATTTAGCGCGTCGACAAACTCCTCATCTTCCTCCAGCATATCATAGTGGACAGTCGATCCATCAGACAGTCGCAAGCCACTCACCCTACACCGCAAACAGCAACATACTGCAAGTCCTCACCATCTGAGGCAAATGCGCTCTGACCTAGGGGAGATGGCTTGCCGGAACCACTGCAAAGAGGCTAGCGAACGAAGGAAGGAGGGAGGGATGCAAGGGCGCCAATGGCAGTCTAGATACTGGTGGGGGGAAGTGAATGGAGAGGGAAAAGGGGAGGCTGGCCGCCCAGAGGCTCAACACGCATGCACCCATTTATGCAGCTACACATAGGCACGGAGAGAGAACCAACCATTATATGCACATGTTCCTGGGAGACACCGCACGTGAAGTACGAGCAACACGACAGAAAGCTAAAAGAAGGAGCCGGCTTTTTGCAGATAGTCACAATCACAATTTCCCCTCTCTTCGTGCAATATATATATATATATATATATATATATATATATATATCGTTGCCCGACTCCCCTCCTCCTCGCGCCTCGCTGTATCTACAATACTAGACATCGCCCTTTCGCGACACTATTTCTCGATTGCTCATGACAGTGCGCTCTGGACGTACAAATCTCTGTGTGCTTCGGTTCGGATATAATACTCCGGCTGTACGAAGTCTGCTGCTTGGTGGATCCGCTTTTCCTTTTGAATGGGGGGTACTGCAATGCTCTGAGTCCGAGGCTTCTTCGGGGCTGGAGCCGTCAAGTCCTCTGTTACGAATTGCGAAGGCGATAAAAATCCCAATGACACCGGGTCCAAGCGAACACCCTCCTCCTCCTGAAGAAAAGCAGACAGACGCACAGAATCCTTAGCCAGAATGCGACTCCACGAGCCGACGGCAGCGGAAAGCCGCTGGGCTGCATCGTCCCCAGGAGTAAGGCAGAAGCAACGAGACATCACCCCAACCCTGAACCCCGACTTACTGCAAGCACTTCGAGGTCCTTCACGGAGCGAACAATATACAGAGGCTTGGAGCCATCCACTGGCCGGGTACGAAGCTGACGCTGGGGAGCCGCCTGCAGAGGGCCCCCCCCAGAGGAGGCCCCCGAATGTGCTGACTGCGCGTATGCCATTCTCCCGATGCTCTTGCTAGTGGTGACGCAGCTGTGTGCAGCTGATGCTCTGCATGAGAGTCGACACGGTAACGGGGGCACCCGCCCTAGGGTAGCAGTTCTTTGAGTTGCCAACAAACGACGCTGTGATCAGAGGCTGTAGCTGCTCGTGCCGCGGTCCCCACTGCCGCCGTTGCTGCCTGATATAGGACAGCAGGAGGCTGCGGAAGACACGCCGCCGGGGATGCTGTCGTCTGGGGGGCCCCTGGGATTTCTGAGACCTGGGGGTCCCCCTGGGATTGCTGTGGTTTCGGGGGCCCCGCTGGGTTTGCTGTAGTTTGGGGGCCCACCCCCCGGAGTAATTACGCCGTTAGAAGAAGAAAGAGCCGGTGAGAGGTAGGAGTAATGTCTTTGTGCACAGCTTGACGGCGATGTGTACTGAGGAACAATTTTATAGACGGGCACGGCTGCACGACCTAGGTGTACCGACCACATCCGTGATGTGCAGATACACCTAAGCGTTATGCATGGTACGCCTTTCCCTTACATAAGAGACGACAAAATGCAGTGTCTGTACAACTGAAACGAAGAATAGACTAAATATAGAGCGTGAATAATAGAAAATGCATCTTGCTGCTGGTGCTGCTGCTGCTTCCTGCCTGCTGTTGGGTGCACCAGTGGGAAAGGCGCAGAGTCACAGCCAACAGCAGCAGCAACAAGAAACCGCGTCGTTTATGCTGCTACAGCAAATAATTGCTGCTTTTCGGAGCAGCGTCTGCTGGGTGGGAGCGCAGCAACAACAACAGCAGCTGCTATTGCTGCTCGCGCTACCGCGCTGACAGCCTCCTGGTAATGGCCAACTGCCACGATTTCCCGCTAGCCCTTTCTTTTATTTTGACTTTCGAAAGGAATTTAGGCTCAAAGGCTTCATATTTGGGATATAAAAGTATTAAATGAGCTACGCTGGTAGTAGAAAACTAAGGTGGGGAACCTAGCAGAAGTCGCAACGAGGTGGCCTGCGTGCATGCATCGTTGAGGTTGGCGGGGGAAAGTCATCAAGCACGAAGACGTGTGCTCCTCTGCGGTACACCGCCTTTACCGTAGAAGGCGCTGCTAAATCTGCTTGCTCCTGACGCTGCCAGTGTCACCGCCGCTGCCAGCAGAGGACAGTTGCCGCTGCTGGTGTAGGACAGTTGCTGCTACCAGCAGAGCAGTGTCCGGAACCCCTGTAACGCGTAGCAGCTAGCTAACTACATTTTGACAGTTTCTGTTAGACTGGATACGTTTGGTTCAGAGTGAGTTCAGCATTGAGTGACTAGGTAAAGTCGCATATTCACCTTGCTGCAGTGTAGAGGTAATCTTGTACTTCTAGTACGCAAACCATAAAGCTTCATCACACGTCACCATTGCGAGACACATCGCTCCAGACACAATAGGAGTCTACGAAAGAGTCATTGGATGTCATTCCAAAGACGCTCCCCTTTGCCATGCCCTTTTCCCCCCAATTTCTGTCGCTACGTGAGGGGAACTGTTGCGGTGAGTTTGTAGCGGTGTAGCGGGCTAAGGTACACTTTGAAACTCCCCTCTACAATAGTTATGCTAGCTATAAACTAGTCTGAAATAGGCTTTTGGTTTGTTCATTCAACGGTTATCGGAGCGTACTGTCAGCTCAAACACCAGGAGGAGCAGTGTTGTGTTCATGTGTACTAGATGCTATTTCCAAGTAGCTGAATGCTAAGAGCTCATACGGGGTGCAGCTTCCAGCACTCTAGCTAGCCTTTTCTCCTTATATTGGTAGCCAAAGTGGCGTGGGCAGGGAGAGCAAGGGATTTTCTTTGAGAAACCCTTTAAAAAGTTCCATCTAGACAGGGGCTGGGGTTCAGTGTCTCCCCATGGAGACGCTTGATAGAGCATTGCAATACATAGAGTACTAAAGAGTGTTAATGTGCAGCATAGGTCTCAAGTGTTTGTGCGAATGGGTAGGAATGAATCTTCTCAATTTTCTCACGGTGCGGAAACGTGCATCCAGTGTATCCTGTCACATCGCACGCACGAGCATTTTAGGGTGAGGGCAGGAAGAGAGGAGAATACCGTTGAATGGAAATAATACAATCCTCAAAATACGCTGGACTGGGTAGCAAGCTCCTTCACACTCAGGCACTTTTTACTATACTGATTATCTCTAATTGAGTAGTAGTAAAGACTCAATTATTCTGTTTTGGCTGGTAATGCATGGTATTTGCTACAGAATGGAGTTACTTCAATACTCTAGAAGTGAAGGCTGTGTGAATGTGCACCTAGTTGCTCTGCACAGCTGCATGTGATGGCTCGGAGAGACCAGAGAGTGTATCAACCCTACCCCTTCCCGCATGCCCGTACCCTAAGGAGTTTAAGCATCGAAAATGCGGGGTCTTTTCTGGAGGCATATCCAGAAGCTTTGACAGTTTTGAATTGTTTTAGGGCCAAAAGTGTCTGCCTATAGACATCCTGCCTGGACTGTTGATATTATGCATCATATTCGCCACAGGATATCTAATCTTTTTTGTTTGAGGCTAAAGTGTGCGTCTTCGCGCATAGTCTGGGCTCCATGAACAGATTTCTAGATCCTTGCAAGGGCGCTTGGAGGAATGAGGACGATTCTAATATTGGCTGACGAAGTGAGAACAGTCTATGCTTAATATAAGGCTATTAGGGCTGTGTCTTGGCCGCTTCTTACGGGCTGGGCTACCTCTCCTACAGGGGGCCATGGTGAACTCCCGTTTTGAAAAGGACTCTGGAAGATTGCTGGGACCGCCCTGAGGGTGAGGCTACGCTTTGCAAGCGTTATGTGCTTTCTTTCAAAGGCAGATCTCCTATGTTCACATTATACTGGACAGTGGTGCCTCTTAAGTGACTACAGGGCCGTAGCGCTAAGCGCTCCATGGGTTCGTCAAGCTATGGGCCGTTTCAAGAAGACCTTACAAAGCATATTGCACTGATGACTAGATGCACAACAACAGCGCAGAGGATCAAATGTGTTCTCCAAAACCTCTGCTCACGATGCATGTTGCAAAAGCCGCTTTGCAGCAGCAGCAACTCGAGAATGCGCTGCACCTTGCCGTCAGCCCCTGTTGCTACCGTTACTTTTGCTGCTGCCACTGTCGTTGACGCTGTTTGTACCTGCTACTGTTCTCGCTGTTGCTGCAGCAGCTGCTCGGTTTCTTTTCGCTGCTGCTTCGAAACCTTACGCGCATCCCAACATGCCTCTTTCCTCTGAAGTCGTCCGTTTAGCTTCCTGAAGGCTGCAGCTTCTGCAGCTTCTTGAGGGTCGTCTCTTCGAAGGCGATCCTCTGCCGCAGAACACAGATGTTGGGCCTCCTTAAGTCTCCGAAGGCCCCCTAAAGCCACTGCCTTTCTGTAGATGGCTTTACTGTTGTGGGGGGATACGGAAAGCACCTGAGGGAGGAAAGGCACAAACAGGCACACTAACTGCTGCTAAATGGCGTTTGCGAGCGTGCATTAAAGCACGATTGCCTGCATCAGTGTTCTCCGCAGCACCAATACAGCTCAACAGCACCACAAGGACATGCCTTGTCGGCGCAGTCAAGGGCTTCCTCGAAACGCCGCAGCCTGAGCAGCGCAAGTGCCTCGTTCAGCTGAAGGGTACTGAGGGCCCACTGAGAAGTGGGGCCTTCCCTAGGGGCCGCCTCAAGTACTGCTTCGGCCTAAGTCGCAGACGCAAAAAGCTGCACATGCATAGGCGACACTCTAAACTCGAAGAACAGGAGCACTCAGCACCTTCTGGCCTGACAACGGCTTGTCCTAAGCCCCAACTCTGGCTTACTCGCCGATATAGCCTGAGGGCAGCGTGGATGTGGCCCTTAACAAACTTGGTGTTCGCCTCTTTTCTCAGCACGTGCGCTGAAAGCAGACTGCTGCTGCTGGCGCTGCGAGGGGGGGACAGGGACACAATTTTAAGGTCCTTAAAGTAGAGGGGCTTGCCCAGTAGCGCTGGGCAAGCAACTCCCGGTAGGGCGTTCCTTGCTTGAGGGCCGCATCCACAGGAAACTTTCGATGTGGAGCCTTCGTCCAGGCAGCCTGAACCCCACAGTGGCTCCACCCACATGTCCACAGAAGAATCTGCATAAAAGGGGCCGCGAATCCATACATCGACTGCGGGGCAGAGGGGGGGTCCCTCTCCTAAGGTGTAGCTGTAGGTGCAGACAGGCGCCTTCTGGGCATCATGGACGGTGCCCTGTGGGGGAGCGAGCCTCAAACGCGTGTTGCGGAGATCCTCGAACTGGGACGAAGTGACAGCTGAGCCATCCTGAGGCGCACCAAGAGGAGGAAGAGGCCCCTGAGACTGAAGGGGAGACTGCGAGGAGGAAGGGCGGCAGAGATGGCGCAAGCTATTGAAGGAGAACGGCAAGACATATGAATTCATGCCCACTGAATGCTTCAAAGAAGCAAGACAAAATAAAGAGGTATTGGAGAGGACGGAGAAAACGCGGAGTGAAACCAAAGAAAGGAAAGAGGGAACTGCATGAGATGCCAGCAGATGCACGACCTAAAAGGTGGTGCAGGACTAAAAGGTCCAGAGAGAGGTCTGCAGCAACACCAGTAAAAACCGCAGCCACAACTATTTACACCCCACCTGTAAATAGAGGGAGAACTGGAGGGTAACATGCCAGAAGTCCAACGGCGGCTCCCCTGAAGGGCCTGCTGTGCTGCCAGTCGAATTTCTGCAATAGAAGCCACAGGGTTGCTGGAGGACGACACGGGAGCTCCGTGATGCCCTCGTCTGCTGTCTGCTTTTGCAGACGGCACAAACGTGATCGCTGTGGTTATTGCTGCCGCTGTAGCTGGTGGCGCTGCAGCTGCATGCGTCCGAGTCTGTGTCCGGGTCGTCTGCCCCGCTGTAAGCCTCTTCGCTGCTGCAGCAGCAGCAGCGTTGAGGCTTTTCCTCTTCAGAAAAGGCAGCAGCAGCTTCTGAGGCGCCTTGCTTTGGCCTCTTTGGTGCTGGCGAATGCAGCAGCCGGCGGTAAAGAGACCTAAAAAGCGGCAGCGGTGGGGAAAGGGGCAACATGGTGGTTTGGTAGTGGAGGCGTATCCGCATCAGCAGACAGCATGGCTGCTCGCCCTTTGTTAATGTTGCGGCCTCATTCGACGGAGTAGACGGCTCTGCCTGCCGCTGCAGCAATAGAGTAGGTGGTGCTGCTGTGGCTCGCAGTAGCAACAAGGCCTCTTCACCTGCAGCACAGCCCCCAGCCTAGAAATGGAGAGCACTGGATTTCCCAAAAGGCCACAGAGAGGTTGTCGATTGACGTTTCGAGCGTCGTAGTGTTTACTGCCGGGGAGGAAAGGCTGTGGGGTGTACCTGGCAGCATGCGTTGCAGCGCTGCATTGAGTCCAGGGCCGAAGAGAGCGGTGCCAACCGAGGCGACAACAAGGTAGGCAGCAGCTGATGCTGCAGCATCAACAGCAAGACAAAGCGCGAGGGGCAATGTACGTTCTGGAGCACCAATTATATCGCATGCCTCAACAACACTGGCTCACGTGGTTCGTTGAAGTGCTGCTGCAGCTGCGCACTGCTCCAAAGCCCTTCACGGGGAAGGCATTTCCCCTCGCACAGAGGCTGCCACGCGTCCTTTGGCTCCTGACCTTCGTCCGGCGTGGGAAGCTCGAGCCACCACGCTTGGTAAGACACGCATACGCTCCTCCCCTCTTGAGGGTTCCCACAATGCAAGCACACGATGTTGCCGCTATGGAGCTTTTGGGGAGCCTCAGTGGTCGCAGGGGCCCCAGGTGCACTCGAGATCCCCCAATGCGACGGCAACGTTGGGCTTACAAGAGTTACGAGGCATCCTTCCGAATCTGATGTGGTGGAAGCGCACGGGGATGCAGCAGCTGCCGCTGCAGGAGTTGCTGTGGCTACTGTGGGCTGGGCCTCGGCTCTAGAGCCAGTGCCAGGAAGAAGTCTTTCAAACCCTATAGAGGGGATCTCAAATGGATGACATGGTTTCACTGAGAGGCTTCCTGGGATCGTCTTTTCCTCGGACAGGTTCGGGTGGCAAGGCGGACAGAACCGGGGGCCCGTGCCCCACCAAGAACTCTCAGGAATGCCGTCCCTTGGACTTTCGAGCTTCGAATCTGCCATCGACGCCTGTGTTGGCGCTGACGCGGTTTGCGCTGTGGCTGTGGGAGCCGACCTCACCAGAGGTTTTACAGTGACACGGCGGTTCCGGTGTCTCAAGGGTTAAGGGTGTAGTGCTGGCTGGATCCCCGTCTGCAAATTAGGAGGGGGTACGGTGAAAGCAGCGAACAACTTGGTTTCGGCTGTATGTACGGCCAAACCCCTTCACGGCCTCCGACGCGAAGTCCACTGTAAGGAGCAGGCACTATCTGATGAATTCCATTGACGGAGGCCGATCGCCTAGGCATATCCAGTCCCGGCTGTGCATTAACTTGCACAAGGCACCTAGAAAACGTGGAGGAAGTGGCCCTAAGGGGCCCCAAGGGGCCCCTGGGGTGTCCCCGGAGATCCCAGGGGCCCCCGACCGCCGCGGCGGAGGCGCGGTCCGTTGGCACCGGCCCCTGCCGCACTCACAGCAGGGAGAAAAATTATGTTTTTCTGATGGCCACAGACATATAAATTAGGAATTTGTGCCTGTGATTTGTCTTGTCAGTTGTTTCAGGGTTTAGGGGTGGGAGTTCTATGTTGCCTTTGGGTGGCTCGTATTGGGCTCCCAAGTTGGGTCGTTGCCCTCCATCCATTCACCTGATGAGGGCCTCCCTCGGATAGCAAACATACCATTTAGAAGCGTATTCGTTGGGTGGAAAGCTTCACGGAGACGAATTTTGTCTGCTCTCTATGTGCAGCAAGCCGCAGAGATCCCATCCAAGTACCTCCTGGTGGTGGAGTGTCCACGCTCCTGCTGGTTGGGGGCCTCTTCCCCTGCAGTCACCTGCAGTCTAGGGGCCCCCAATGCAAAGCACGCACCAGGCCCCCTCAGCTGCCTTCTTCTGGACCCGGGCCCTCAGCAACCATAGCAGCGGTAGCACCATCTTTCCCACTAGGCGAAAGACACACACACACACATACACACATACAGTCACATATACATACAGTCACACACACATACACCTGCCTTCTCCTAGTAGCCCCCACTACCGGTTTCCATGGAATCCGCAGAAGTGCTGCTAGGGAGAGGAGGCCCTCTCGGGCCCCCACCACGGCCAATGATCAGAGAGCACTGGAAATCCACTTGGTCTGAAGGAGCCCTGGACTGCCTCTATTCCGGTACTGCACGTAGTACCGAGACTCCGACTCCCTCTGGAAAAGGCGAGCAAAAGGTGTCTCAGGAAAGGAGAATCACCAGGTCCCATCCTTCTCTACCAGCCCCCCAAGACATCTTCTGCGAGACACGCAGCAGTCCTCTCCAAAAGAGGCCTGAGGGTTCACTTGACGTGCTGCTCTGCTCGCCAGTGAAAGACAGAGGGGCCCCTTTGGGGCCTTGGACTCCCCCCGTAGAGGAGGCACAGCCTCAGCAGCCAGTCCCCTGCGAGAAGCGCGCGCAAGAGTGGCAGCAAGCATCACAGCAAAGGCAGGACCGCCTTTCGAACTCAGAGGACGATGCGCGAGCGCACCAACTGCGGCGTCAGCTGCATAATCTGAGGGCTGAAAGCCACCGCAAGGCCGCACGCCTCAGAAAGGAGAGACAGCAACTTCAGCAGCAGCTGGCTGAGGCTAGGCAGCACCAGCAGGTGCTGCAGTTGAGGCAGCAGCATCGCAGCAGCAGCAGCGAAAGTAGCGAAAACGGGAGCTCCATCGAGCCCTGGGCATCGTCGATGGCGCTGCCGATTATGCCGCGTAGAAACCGCCCCTCACCTCGGGGCCCCAAGGGAATTCTTTTGCCACCCTTCTCTCCCCGCATGGTGCTCCTGCATGTCTACGACTTGACGCCTGCCATATCGGCCTACATCAACCGAATCATGAGGCCCTTTGGTGCGGGGGCTTTCCACGCGGGTGTCGAAGTCTTTGGCCAAGAGTACTGCTTTGGGCAAACGCCTGGTCAGTTACCAGCTGGCTAACCCCATTCTAAGAGGGATAGACGACTAAAGTTGCGAATGCTGCCACGCCACTTGAGGGGTTCCTCCTCAGCAGGTGGATAGCAAGGCCCTAGCCACGACATGCGAGCCGCTGCATCGGACAGAATGCCCATGTTGCACGGCGAGCAGCTGAGCCTTCCCACCACTGAGTCGGCGGGCAGGTAGTCCGTTGGCTGGGCACGTCTGGGAGCGAGCATCGTTAGTCCCGTGTTAGCTGGGGAGGGACTGCAGTGCTGCATCTAGCTGATGGACCCTTTGTGCAAGCCGTCCTCGACACATGCCCGGCGTGAAGCTAGACTGGGAGTAACAGTGGCTAGCTGGGCAGCTGAACAGCATGGGGTTGGCTTTCCTAGGTTCGTCCTAGCGTGCGCAGTTAGTCGTCACCTTAAAAAGGCCCTTGTTTGACAAGCGAGCGATCTAGCGAAGGCCTATGCACAAAGGGGGCAACCGCATGTGCAGACGTGCTGAGGGGTGTTCCAGTGTCGCGCAAAAAGTCTGGCTTGCAGAGCTCAACAGAGATACACCAGCAGGAGCCATAGCATTAGCACCGGCACCTGCAGTATAGGGGCAGTAGAAGAGGAGCACAACAACGCAGTAGCATCTGTATAATTACATTCATATGCTTATGAATGCGTCTATGTACGTGGGCTGTAATGCAGACGACACCACCGGAGTCAACGTCTGCGAGCCAATGCAGCATCCCGCTCATATATACAGAGAGACTGTCCCCATGGGGTTAGTAAATACCACCCCAAATTGATTATGTTGTGTGCTCTGGCCGATTTGTCTCTTCTGCCGTTCAGTAGTCCCGCGATAAGATCCCTCCACCAGGAGCAATGCAGGGAAGCTTGTTTTTGTTTCGGACGCTCTTTGTGACTTGCGGTGTCTGCACAGCCCAACAGACTTGAACGTGGACGACTTCTGCTCTCTGATGAATACGCTGAAGAAAGAATGGCCAGGCAACTCCTACGACATTCTTACGAGGCACGGACCATCCCTAGAGTATTGTACTTAGAGGAGTTTCTCAGCGGGGGAACACTGAGCATGTTCAGCCTGACTCCTTTCGTAGCCGACCGCCTCCTTAACCCTACAGAATAACTTACCCGCTGCTCTTTAACTGCTTGCTTTCTCCCTGGAGCGGTTGAACTGGCTGCTGCAGGAACTGCGTCAATTTTGCCGACCACCTCTGCATCCTCTTAGGAGTAGGCCGCGTGCCTGCTTGGCTCTTTAGGCTGCAGAACCAGGCGAATTCCATCAAGGGAGGAGCCCGAGCAGCAGCGGCAGCAGCCGCTGCTGCTGCTCGACAGCTTCAGCGCCTGGACACGCACGCAGGGATCTCAGCAACTGCAACGGCAGCAGCAGAAGCAGCAGCCCATGCCGCGTCTGCTGCCGCAGGAGCAGCTGTTTCCTTTGGAAGGCTTTTAAAGCAAGCGCACCAGGTTAGAAGAGACAGGAAGACAGGGGCACGGCGGAGGGGCCCTCTCAACCTCACAGGGTGCCACACCAGACTAGGAGGGAGCTTCCCCCCTCCCGAGAATATAGGGGGCCTCCCAAGCGTCAACTGCCCCGAGAGCAGGAAGGGGAGCAGTAGCAGGGCAAGCTCTGCTGCGCAAGCGGCATGCAAGGCCCCCCCCCGTGCCAACCGAACGGAGGCCGCCTGTTCCTTCCTTAGTTCAGCCTCTTGCACTCTCCTGAAACCCCTAAAGTCAGGATCCACTACTAGGGGAGGTCCTACATGCGACTGCTGTAAAGCGGGCACCTGGTGGATCGCTCGCCAGTGCCAGCGGCCGGCGGAGGGCTTAGGGGCCCTGCATGAGCCTCCCCTGGGGCCCCTCGAGAGGGTCGCCTTGGGGATCCCCCTCCTGGGGCCCCCTTAATGGATCAGCAGGGCCCCAGAAGCCCTCCGAATCGGCCGTGGCTGGGGAGGAGGCAAGCGCCAGCACATAGGCATGTACTTCCTTGTGTTCCCCCGCGTCTCTTGTTTTGCTTTTCTGTGTCCTGCCTCTATTCGCTGCTGACGCTTCTACTGCGGTGTCTCTCTTTCAGGATGTGAGGCTTTCCGATGAAATGGGAAGATACATACTAGCGGTGAGACACTCGCCCAGAGCTTATCAAGGCCATGCGATCAAGGACATGTCTAGTATGAGGGTCTTTTAAACAGGTGGAATGCTCAATAAGAATCAGGGCTTCTGAAATATTCGTGTACTGCAGGGCGTAAATTTTCTTGGAGAGCGTTTGGCTGAGGGCGTCTCTTGCCTTCCTTCAGAGTGGCACGAGGACGACTGTCACTACTCGGAGGCCTTTTCTTCCTGTCAAAGGTGTCCCCAGCTGTCTGCAGACTCCCTTGGGATCCTTGAAGAAAAAGCCCTTCCGGGGCCCCCTTCCGATCAGAAAGAGAAAGACAAAGAGCAAGGGGTTCATTTAAGCAGCACGGCCCTTGAAACTCCCACTGACTCCAATGACGCATTTTCGCGCTAAAAGGTCTCTTCCTAATTCCCACCGTGTGCACATAGCACCAGGGTCGAGGCGCTAAGGCGTGTAATATTTGGTAGTATTTTACATATTTGTCGTTTTGTTTGACTTAAAGGAGCCTTCCCACTTTATATCCCAAGACCTTGGGATTGCCCCAGGGACACATCCTGTGGGGAAAAGTAGCTACAGTGGGGACTCCTTTATACTTTTGTCTTAGCCCTAGACAAAATTTTTTGTTACTGGTATACAGGTAGACATGGCGAATGGGTACTACTTGCAAGGGTTTAGTGTCCTGTGTGTTGTTCCAAAAAGTGGCAGTCAGAGATCTCCTGGAGCTGCCATACAGCCCATCTAAACAGGACGTACCGTTCGGAGCTTCTGCACTTTGAAAGCCGTAGTCCCTTAGCCCAGTGTAGTGGTTATTCCGCGCACTACAGTATACGCGTGAGGGAGTGCGGCTCGCGTTGGCTGCTAGAGGCAAACGGAATCACACCTATAGCTTGAAAGGATAGTTAGAATATACAGCTTACATAAATCCCTATTTTGGTTGTGCTCTCAGGATTTACGATTTAGGCCTTGGCTGCTCGGGGTATCCAGCCCCAGCCAGTGCTCGGCTCCTCCGTGCCCGCGATAGTTCGTCCACCAAACACTTGCGTATCTCTGACTTTCTTGCAGTTAATTTCACCAGGTTTCAGCAATTCGAGGTCTCACCAGCTTGTCGCACGCCTTTCTCTTCCCTTCGAAGAAGGATTTAAAGGCGTAGATAGGGTGTAACAGCGACGATGTCAGTGAAGTGCCTGCTACGGTTCATTCTTACATGTTATTCATCCTTAGTGACCCTAGCTAGGATTATGATCTAAGCTACGAAAGTCGATGGCCTTGAGGGTTGGCGCCTATCTCTGTACACCACAACTCGAGGTGACCCTCACCCATGTATTCTCTCAATGCCAAGGCTGGTAGACATGCTTGGCCGATTTGAGGTTAATGCTAAGATTTAGTGCTCACGGGCTTCCACGGCCCTTTTTCCCAGAATAATGAACCCTTCTACCGCAGATGCCCTCCATCATTCCCTGGCCTGCGGGGACTCTGAGTGTCTTCGACGCTCGAAGACACCCGGAAGCTCCTCTGATATAGGGCTCTGCGCCTCTGAATGCCCCAAACGTTCGAGTACCCCTAGGCTTTCTACTAATAGCTGGAAGAAGAAACTATTAGCACAGCCCCAGTTCATGGGCAGTCAGAGAAACCCAGTCCCAGCTCCTGCAAGTAAGAAAGGAAGTACACCGGAAAATAAGGAAAGGAGCCCAAAGGACATCATACTGCTGGTGCAGCAGCACTATCACCAAGTATGGCAGTCAAAGCAGTCGCGACAGCCGCAGAAGGGAGCATGGAAGAGAGGTTGGAGTGAAGCGACTAAGAAAGTCCACAAACATTCCCCCCGTCGATATTGCTTCTCTCTCTCCCCTATCCTTCGAAGCCCAAAGCAGCGACTCACAGTAAACCACTTCAATACTTGATGATCTTACGCTGAATTCTGGTATATGGGCAGCTTTGGCATACGGAATACACTTTCAGGGAGGATACACACACTCGATCCAGCACGCAGCGACACCGATACTTCATAAGGTGGCTTGTGATCCTAGGCATACATTTTAAAGTAACCTCTCTGATTGAATTCAAACTAGTGCCTTGTGTGCAGCAAGAAATTCGTGCGTCCGGGGCATTGTGTAGTGCTGCTACGAAACAAGACTTCGTCGCTCATAGGGGCCCCAAGGCACCCCTAAACACGTTAAAGCAAAAGCAGAGGCAATGTATGTTGTGAAGAACTGCTACTCTCTAGCCCTGAACTTTGGCCTGATCGGTGCCCGTGGTGACCATTTTGGGCGTAGGGTTTCCTCGCTGAGGGCATGGTCCGTCGTTGCGTGCAGGTGTCTCTCCGTGTCTCCGATCTCTGCGTATCCAGGTAAATCAATGGAAGTCTGTAGATGGCGTTGATCGATTCCTCTTTGGCTTGAGGCCTCCATAAGTCTTCATGGGTTATACATGGAGCTGCTTGAGTGTATGGCCAGCCAAGGCGATTGTCTCGTTGGTGCGGCCTCAGCGCAATAGAAAACCGAAAAGGCTGGAGTCTGTGGGGGTACAGCAGGTGGGTCCCCTGGCATAAGGTCGTGAATCAGACTTATTACACACTTGCCTGTAGCGCAGGCATAGAAGCAATCGTTGGGGCAAGCGAAGCAAAGGTAGTGGCACCAGACTGTTGCAAGCCAGCCGCAGAGCATAGAGAAAAGGTAGAATACGTGGCAAAAGCGCATAGAGGTAGATCGAGAAGGTACCAGGGTGGTTAGGGCATCATTGAAAAAATATTTGAGCGAACTGAGTGATATGAGGCTTCCGGAGCACGAGGAGGAAAGGCTACAGTCAAATACGCAGATGGTAAAAACCAGGCAGACAGTAAGAGGTACAGCACACTGCATGATGAGGACGCGAAAAAAAAGCTATTCGTACCTCATGGAAGAGCCTGATGTTGCCAATGTTGTTTGCAGATCGCACTCAAGGCTGCTTCTTCAGTTAAGACATCTAAATTGAAAGGTGAGACACTTGCGTTTCAGCTTTGTAGTTTCAGGGTCTGACTACCAGCTTCGTGTCCTCATCTCAAGTGAACAGCTGGATAGAACATTGCCACTCTAAATTTTGCATCGATACTTCTGGCCTGAAGTTTCGCATGTAAGAACTTCCTTGGGGCTCAGCGAGGACTGCTGCTGGAACAAAGAATAACGAAGTGAGGACCAACACACCGATTAAGGAAGAGGAAAGAGCATCCAGGACAAAGGTCTGCCATGCCACTCGTCTCCTAATAGTCGAAGTTTACAATAGGTTCTATTAATTGCCTTTACAGAAGAACTCTGATGCTTCTGTGGGAGCGGTGCACGCAACACCAAAGCGGACAGGAACCCCCCAAACTCGAGCCAGAGGCTTCCAGAATGCGCATAAACAGGATGCAATACCACTCTCAGCCCCTTAAACCACACTTTAAGCTATGAATATACTAGATCTTCAGGTAATGCGGTTGGGGCGGTGGCGCAGGGGAAAGCGTCCAAGTGCTCCGTATCGTTATCTATTAGTATGCCCGTTAGTGGTGCTCCCCTTGGAGTCCAGACACCCTGCAAAGATTCAAGAATACCAAATGCCCCCAGCCAAGAAGAAGCCCACAGCTTTCTCGGGGGTCGTTGCGCCAGAGCTGTTGAGAACCCGTCAGCAACTAGTAGGACCAGTAGGCACGATCCCCAAGATAGCGGTCCCTACAGCCGGGCAAAATTTCCTTATGCTTTTTCGGTGTCCAGTAGAGCTGTGGAACTGTCAACATCGAGCCACAAAGACACTCTACCTCGAAACGTATCGCAAGATGACACCAAAATAACAACTTTCGTGGAGGCTTCACAAGAAACAGCCCTACAAAAACCCTCCGAGAGTTCCTGGCCCGCTAATGTTCCTCCAGAGATATTGGTTGCTAATGGGACCAAAGAAAGACTAGAAAACGGGGAAGCATGTACACAAGAGCGTAAGCTTGAAGGGAGCCTAAGGAGTGAAGCGCTCATGCAACAAGGGCAGCTTACTTTAGCGACTAGCTCATCCGAAGTGCTGCAGTTGCACCAGCAACAGCACCAGAAGCATGAACAGCAAGAGGTACAGATACAGCATCAAATAAAGTTACTAAAGCAGCTGACACTGCAGCAGCCGCTACTGCACAGCGACGTGAAGCAGCAACAGCTCCTGAAACAACTTAAGCATCAGATCATGCATTACCGCCAACAGCAGAAGCAGCAGCAGCATCTGCTGCAGCAACAAGAACAAATAGAGCAGCAACTGCACCAACAGATCACCCTGCTGCAGCTCGAAAAACAGCTGCTGGAGGACAAACAACAAGTGCTGCTGGCTCTTCAAAAGCAGCAGCAGTCGTTGCACCTCTACATGGGCTCTTTAGAAAGAACAGCCACAGGACTAAACGTTGGGTCCACAACTGAGACTGGCCAGTGTGTTCTTGAAAAAAATGATTCATGTGGGCCTTCTGGATCGGCCAGGCGGGTAAGAAAAAACCCAGGGTCTCCTCAACCCTCTAAGTTTCCTGTAGCTTACTCTGGGGAAGCACTGCAGAGGCATCCAGGTAAATACTTTAAGAGTCCATCCTCGAAGATCCCCGTGGTTTGCAAGAAAGGTACAAGGGGTCACAACACACAGAAACGGCTCAATATAAAGACGATGTCGAGCGGAGTCGCCCTGGAGAAAGTGGACCCAAGGGTGACCCCGGAACTTCAGACGTCCAGCTGCCCACCCCGGCTCATACCAAAAGGGTCACCGCGGCCAGCAAAGAGCACCCTCAGAAGCACCCCGAACGGCTGTTCAGCTGTTGGCACTCCTATATCCATAGTAGACGATTGCTGCATGCCCCCCAGTAGGTCACTTGTCTTCCCAGTCGAGGGTTGCCGGCGAGCGCCAACCAAGGCAACACGCAGGCAGTCCGACAGTTTACACATACTTCTGAAGCCTCGTGGATCTTCTGGGAATTCAAAGAGAGTCTCTAACCCTATTTCAGTCTCGGTTGATGTTCGTCTTGGGGTTCGGCAGCTGAGTAGGCACGGAAGAAGCCTGGAATACACCACCTGGCAGCGTTTCCTGCTGGGGTCGTCCACGACAGACAGGAGCCCCCCACTCAGGGCGCCTCTGGGGGCTGTGCAAGACTTTAAAAAGCATGGAACAACAGCAGAGTCACAAGTTCAGTACATTGCAACCTCTAGCCACGGAACAGGCGCGCAGACTGAGAGGGTCCTTTGGGAAGTGGTGAAAACCGGCAAAGAGGTGAATCCAAAGGGGAGCCCCCAAAGCAAGGGCGGCCAAAGCGAAGTAATCCGGCTCGAGCTACCAGTGGTAGGGGGAGCGAAGCTGGGTAGCTTGTGTTTACTCGGAGAGGTGCGACAAAGAACTCACAGCTTCTGCGGAGCACCAGAAGAGGAACCTTGCGGGCAAGACTGTGCACCAGCACATAACCAGCAACAACCAAAGCTGCAACAAGATGAGTTGCTAGCCTTACAGCATGAGGAAAAAGAAACACATGACCAGAATTATCCCCAGGTAGTCACAGACAAAAAAGTGGATGGAATTCCGTTGAACGAATCATTGTATGGGGATTTCTTTTGTGGCGTTCCCTTGAAGAGTCCCCGTGGGAGCGACTGGCCCTCGGAGGCACATAGCATTGAGAGTTTCGGCAGCATCTACGGCCCCCCTCCTCTGACCTGTCCTTTTTGACATGCACTAGAAATTCACCGTGAATGATTTAGCTTTGTAGCGCGTGTGCGAAGCGTGTAGCTAGGCGCCTTCCAGAAGAATGGGTAGTCAGCCAGCTAACAGAATTGGTGGTCTGGTAGGGCGGAGGGTAAATAACTTGCGGGATAAGCGGGCCCGCTAATATCTGGATTTGTTGAATGGACAGTCTTCAAATACACTAAGGATGTTGCCATGAGGTCCCAGTAGAATATGAAAGGAGTCAAAACGTGGGGGGAAATAGATCAAGAGAGCACAGGCATCGACCTAAAAGTCGCCGGGGATCATTATTCTTTAAGTTGGGCGGTACAGCTTCTAGACTGCAGCTGCGAGCTGGACTGCTTATACTAGCTGCTGATACCACCGTAGAACTTGTGGTGGAAGAAGGCCTGGGGCCGATGTGTCCCCTAAGAAAGTGGCGCCAGTAAATATCGAAAAGCATTTAGAATTAAATGCACCGGGGAGGATTTAGTATATTGCGATGTGCTAAGCAAAGGCGGAAGGGCTGTCGTAGAGCTAATCGCATTACTCATGCGCAGCTAGGTAGCACTTGGTGTAACTTAATAATACAGCTTTAATTTTGGGCCAGTTAAAGTTTGTTTGTACGTCTTTTCCCTGTAATTTTTCTATAATCCGCATTTCTATCTGAATCCTACCAGAGGGTTTGAAAACTTGGTGCAGTTTCAAAATCGACTTCCGCGTTATTGCATCCTGTCCTCAGATCGACTCCCCCTCACGCCGTTCCAATTCGTGTCCCTTAATGCTTCAGCGCTTTTCCTTCCCTTCTGGCCAGGCGAATCAAGTGATAATGGCGATGAAAAGGACGCGTGAAGAAAAACTGGGGCTTTCTTACTTACGTAGGCCTGTGTGAATGCACATAGTCCAGTGGACTGGTTCGGTCGGTGCGCTCCGAGGCCGCCTTAGTACAAGGTTTATGGGCGTTTGGAGACAAATCTGTCCATTTCTGCACTCCTAAAAGCCTTGCTTCTGTGTAAAAGCCTAACGTTGATGGAAGCCCCATAAAAGCCCCTCATTCGACCCTTGAATTCTATATTGTGTGCTACTGCGTGCGGTGGCAGCTAGGGCCTACAATTTACCGTGGCCTACTTTTCAAATACTACACACAGCATACCATACCATAGGAAGTAGGTGAACAAAAGCCTTCGAGGAGACTGCACACTCTGTGGTCCGCCTGCCGCTGCCTCGTCGCACCCGATCTGACACACTCTTGAAAAGCTAACGCCGGAGGCTTATTCATGGTTATTCGGCTGGGGTTAGAAAGCGATATTTTCCCCCTGACCCGCTTGACTTTGTGGATGTTGGCATTCCATTGCTTTGAAGTAACCTAGAAGGCAGGACCAGCCTTCCTGCTCTGCATTACCATCGATTTTTGTGTAATCTTCTGTGTTAATATTGCTCCCATGGAAGACCCCCGAGCCGAATGTCTCTCCCGTTCAATAGCTGACTCCGGTGAGGAGTGGGCGGGTTGTAATTCTCTGTCTTCTTCGATGCAGTCCTTGCTGGTTTGTCGCTGCTGCCTCACTTGGTTGAAGACAGTGGATGCTATAGTCCCTCTTATGAGCACCTGCATCCCTTGGGCTTCGACATTGAAGCACCAGATTCTATCAGGGTCTGTACCTGTAGTGATATCCCTTTCCTGTGTTCAAGCGCTGTCTCAGCTGCCACCCCAGCAGCGGGGCTCCCTGGTTTGTCTACTTGCTCGAGCTGCAGAGACCTCTCTCTTTCTGGACTTTTCGCGGAGTGCAGGCTTGTCAGCCCTGCAGGGCCCAGCCGCTTCCTTAGGTCGAACCCTGTTCTCCCGTATGCGCTTTGCTGTTGAGCTGTCGGTGGATCTCGAGGAATGGGACCTTTCCCTTGGTGGGTTTGTCGCAGAATTGTGCAAACTTATTGCCCGCAGTGGAGCCCGCCTCGAATCGCTGCAACTCAGAGGATCCGTTCTTCATCAACGCATGAGGGTCATCCTTGCATCCGGATGCCGTCTTGACACCTCCCACAAATTGTCAGAATACCCTAGCCCCAGAAGCTGGAGCAGCAGCGGGTGGGATCCACCGATAGTTGAGAGCACAGACCACCAGGAGGGCTTCGAGATTTGTGCTCAGCTTACCCATTCACGTGGCAAATGGGAGGAAGCTCAGTCAATGAGCAGTAACGATCCCCCTTCTTCATCTCTTCCGCCTTCCCCGTCTGCATGCGCAACGGTGCAGAAAGCCCCACTTGCAGCCTTAGCACCAACAGCACTGGCAGAAGGGAATCTGCCTTCTGCTGCTGCCTCTATGGAAAGCGTGTCGAGTAAGCCTGGTGGGGGCTATGCAATCCAGCGGCCATCTTGGATGTCGGGTCTTGCAAAAGAGCCCCACGAGCAACAAAGAACATCGCGGACGCTGTTTTCGCTGCCCAGCCTTAAGCGACTGACGGTTGAGGGGTTTCAGCTGCTGGAGTTTTTTGACGTGCCTGGGCTTCTGGAGCACGCCATGACCCTTACGTCGGAAGTTCTGAAGAACGAGTCGGCGCATAGTGGTAGACTGGGGAGGACCCCACTTGAGCGGAATACCTTTGCTCAACAGGGGCCCCTGCAACTTCCTGTTCATAGGCATTGGGGGGCAGACATTTCGTATATCCATCCTTGTCTTGCTGTTCGATTTGCTACTCTGAACTACAGCCACCTCCGGACAATGCAGGTGGCGGGATTCCTACTCCCAGTAGCAAAGGCGGGCATCATCAGGTGGATCAGGAGAGCGCTAGCTTGCGATTGCACCCGCTGCGCCCCGAGCGAGCAACCACACGGAGCCCGAACCGGAGCAGCCGCCGACAAAAACCCCTCCAAGGAGGACAAAAGCATGGCACGTGGCCCACAGGAAAGGGTCCTTGGGGGCCCCCGGTACGGGCAGACCTTAGAGGTCCAGTGCCACGAATGCGTGGAACTGCAGCAGAGTGAAACAGGGAGAGAGGCTTGGGGCGGTCCTCCACGCATGCCAGCACTGCAGTTATTGCGAGTGGACGATATCACTTTCCTCGCTTTTGTCTCATCTCCTAGGCTGCAGCAGCTCGAGGTGAACGTCTGCGCGAGCGGAGAATGGCCCCTTTTGTTGGAGTTCCTTCGAATGTATGGCACTCACCTAAAGGTACTCTGTGTGTGGGCAGAAGACCTGCCACCCACATGGCTTGGGCCAGCTAATCAATCCGAGAAATATGAAGGCATGGGTATCTGCGGGTCTACACCAGAGACAATGCTACTCGTATCCTACATTCAGCGGCGGGGCCTCCCCGAGGGCTTCTCCCACAAGACTTGCGTGTACAATCCGTGGGGTGTGCGCAGAGCCTCTGGCAACTGGTTAGGATCCCCCACCCTGCCAGAATTGGTGAGCCTGAAGGGCCCCAGCTGTATACTTGCAGAGTTGAGTGCCTTTCCACGCGCGCTGCCATCCCTCCGGCAATTAGACACCTGGGGTGATAAGGGGAGGCTCACAGAGTTTCTAAGGGAGAAACGGCATGTGGAAACAGTACGTATCCGAGGCACCAACCACAGTGATGACGCATTCCGATGGCTTGGAACCAGCAACGCCCGTAACGGAGGGGGAGACGAGTCTCAGCCTTCCTTCATGGGGCTCCCCCCCAAATCCCATCCTTTCAGACTTTCTCCGTCAGTCACCCCTATGCGGGAAGCACTCGCGATCAAGGAATACTCCGGGCCAGGAGTTCCCTTGGAAGCCTCCATGCTCTGTCCTAGACTCACCAAGCTCGAAGTGAGTGAGAGAGACCAACAAGGGCTCTTGCCTATTCGAGTGTATGATGAGCATGTGAATGCAAGCACAGAGGGTTGGTTAAAAAAGAGAAAGATATCAGAATGAAGCATTCATTACTCTTTCCTTTGCCTCTCCTGAGGTCAAATGGGCGTGTTTACTTAACGCGTTCCACTGCGTCTTCCGTGTACAGTCGTACTTGCTTGATACATATCTTAATGGCATCCTTGTCTTCTGTCCTATCTCTGCTTTTCTTGCAGCTAACCGAGCGAGCCGATCTAGCGGACCGCTTTCTCCTAAATGGTGGAGCACCCCAGTTGGAGGTATTGCTCTATGCTGGCCGCTTGACAGTACCGCGGGAAGACCTCGCGGAGGCCTCCCGGAGCCTTCGACGCCTCAGAGTGCTGCATGCATTCGTCTTGGATGTCGCCAACTTCACAAATTATACTTGCAATGTGCATGCAGCAGAGCGCTCTGCCTCCTCTCTTGCGTGCCAGAGTCTCACCATTGACCCTATGGGCGTCTCTTCTCCACCAGGGGGATCTTACTCTCCCGGAACGGACGAAGAGAAGACTTCGGACAGCCCCTGTACTGTCTCCACAGGAGGAGCGTTCCTTGATGGTTTACAGCAATTGTACGTGCACCGCCTCATGACATCTCCCGCAACATTCACCGAATACTTAAGGGCTGCAAGACGGCTGCGCATGGTTGGGTTCCAGCGATGCCTCGGAATCAGTTTGTTTGCTATCGTTTGCACACTGGAGTCTTTTGGTTTCAAGAGACTTGAACAAGATATACTACCAAACCCTGAATGCAGGGCCTTTGCACACTTCCTAGAGAGGGGCGTCCCCGATAGGTTTATTGTGCTTAAGAGGGATGACTGAAGGCACGGGGACATGGAAGAGGAGATTCACCTCAGTCCGCAAGCGCTCCCACTGAAAACCGGCGACTAAGAATTGCTGCCAAACGGAGAAGGCGAAAATGCCCCCACATGCAACAGGTTTACAAGCGTATAAGGGACAACAACACAAGGATAGGACGAAATCACGGAGAATAAAAAGTGTTTTTACTGTGTATAATAGAGTATGAAATATGGTGTATGTGTGTTGCAGTAATATCATTGGGAAGTGCAGGTTATTTGAGCCACGCTGGTTGCCCTTAATAATGAAGCCCTAAGTGCTTCTGCCCCCCCCGCCGCTCTTCTGCTTTTCAAAAATCTTGATACATGAAGATGCATCCATCTTCCGCGATCAACAAAATGTACAGTTTACCCCACTCTGCAGACTTCCCACGCAGTCGAGCATCCAGCTTCGCTGGGGAGATCCGCAGAGGAATTGGTCCCCTGGGAAGACATTCAAGGCTCACATCTCAAGGCCCCCAGTCCATCAAGTCATGACGTCTTCGGGGCTCCTATGGATGACTTGAAGTGGTTTGAGTGGCCTTAGCGTCAGTCGGTTTGTCGTGTGATGCACCTCTCTTTGCGCTTAACGAAAATACAGGATGCATGCCATACTTACACTGCTGCAGCTTTGCTTGTGTCGCACAGCCAGTTTAGCAATATGGCTGGTGCAGTTTCTAGATTAGGCCCGGAACGAGTTCCTCTTCACTGGTGGAAAGCCAAGGGTCTGGGGGCTCCCTGAGATCAAAAGCGTACGGCAGCTGTGTTCCCGAAGTATGTGTGAGACTTAGCACGAGTATACAAGTATGGAAAGTGACCTGGGGCACACAGGGCTGTGGTAGCTGGATGACCCCAAACATCGTATAGGCATGATCTGTTCACACCTATGCATCTACAGCAGTAGATATGTGCACCAAAGTCCGCTAATACATGCATGTATACTCGTTTATAGGCGTATTTGCACGTGTAAATTTTGGCTTTCCCACATACTGACAAACATATGCAAAGCTTTAGATTGTTATGACTCGTAAAACTTAAACACAGCTGGAAACGTTTGGACATATATCCTTACACGTACACATACATCCACACATTTAAGATATACCTGCACAGGTAGATCTGCGTTGAAGTCAGCTATACACTGTTACCCTCAGGTGTCTACATGGAACCAAATAATTTCAACACATACCTTTGCTGTGAGAGAATCGCACTGCGCTGTTGTATGTCTTGGGGTGAGGGCAGAGTGTCCAAACAGAGAGGTCCAAGGTGACCATCTCGGAACAAGTTCAAGAAGAAAAGAAAACCGCGAGAGAGATCAACTGGTGGCAGACTGAGGCGCTCATGCTTGCGTCCCAATGTCATGCAAATGTGCCGAGATACCTGCACAAAGTGACAAAAAGGTAGAGCGCCGTAGACGAGGGGTGTAGAGCAGAGAACGTGAGATGACTTGCGGTGCCCCGAAATGAGAATGAGAAAAGACACACCACAAGGAGAGGTAGAGGGGAAGAGAAGGCGAAAAGAGGCTAGCCCATAGGGGAACTGACAGAACAAACTATACAAAATCGCCCGAGGCAAGAAGCATGCAACGCCAGGGGAGATCACAAAGCATAAAACCGTAGAGGGAAGGAAGGAGAGGGAGAGAGAACGAGACAGACGCAAAGATACACAGAAAACCCATAAGCTGCTCAGCACGCTGAAATGCCATGCCTCATATATATCGTTAGTAGGCGCCTTGAGACCTAAGACCTGAACATAATCAAACTGCCTCTTCTTGTTCAAGTGAAATAGCACAAAATCCGCCGCCAACTCCTCGCCAACCAAGCGCTCAGGTAAGATGCCCAGGACTCCAAAGACTAGACTGCTACGCGGATCGCATTTTCTGCAGCACACACCATCAGTATACGATAAAATGAATAGTCGTAAAGTCCAAGACTAAGGTGACAGCAACGGCACAACTCAGCAAATGCACAGAGGGGAGCTGCGCTATGTTGGACAGAGAAACCTAGTTAACCCACATATCAAACCTATTACAGATGAATGGAAGAATTGACTCTGTGCAACCCACCCTTAAGCAGAAATGTTTGTTAGGGTGTACACATGCATGTCATGCAATATTTATAGGTGGATCTGTATAAGACTCAGGTTAAATGTTTTATAGTGAAATATATCGGGCCCAGACAGCACAAACATTTTCATGAGCTCCACGAGATTCACGTGACCACGGATATGCATGCACAAACGCAGCAGTGGATAAGCTAAGATATATGATTGCATGACAAGTAATATATGCGCCCGGACGCACTGCCAAGCCACAGCTGACTTCGCGCGTGTAAATCAAGCGCTGAAATGCCTAGTGGCAAAGCCCATACACACTCTCCTAATTTGTATACACACTGAGATATACATGTCCAATGCGCGTCAATATATGTATATATATGCATAAATGTATACACGCCCTCTAATGTATATTTTTTACAGACTCGAGTAGCACAAGATCCACCACTTGGCGCTCTGGAGTCCTGCACGAGCTGTGAAGGGGCGGCGTCCATTGATCTTCAGTGCAATGCGTCCACAATCAAGGACCCTTCACAGTATTGGAGCAAGGAATTTGATTTTTCGTGGATGCATCGGACGTCGTGTGCAGATACAGAAGGACATAGCAATCAAAAAGCTAAAAACATTTTATTTGACTGTAACACCAGACAGACGGCCCAAAGCCCTAGACGCCAAACCCTAAGCATACTGTTTACTTGGGAAGCAAAATGCCCGGGGAGTCAAGACAATAGACCCGGGGTTTGTTGGTTAGTTGGAACGCCTGCACTTCCTTAGTGACCCCCGGCAATTTTCCTGTCTTGGCTGCAGTTCGCTCTGAGCAGAAACAACAGAATCAGCAAGAAGAGTCATATTTTGTAGAAGAAGGTATTGAAAGCAGCCGTAGGGTAGTTTGTTCACAGAGTTTCCAAAAAACCAGTGTCGTAACTATGTTGGTCACAGATTGCACCTGCCCAACTGGACCCATAACTATGGACGCTGGCCTGATCTCGATCCAGTTTCAGCTTGCCCTTTAGAATTTTTAAGCAAGGCAAGACACTTCTTTACATCTACTGTTACTGCGTGCGAAGCTGCGGATGTAACCGGCTACAGCCCGATGCTTGTAGAACTCACTAACGCCTTGCACAAGCTGGTTGCCCGGTTTTCCGTGAAAACTCGCCTGCGAAATCCAGCGCAATACAAAAAGAAACACGCTTCGAACCCAGAGCAAAGCAAGGGCTTTAAAGGATGAGAAACAAGCAGCCCGAAATAGTGTGTGATCATATTTTAATCCATCTGCTTCCACAAAGCTCAACCTCTAAAGATAGATTCCTGATTTGTGTGTATGTGTTTAGCACTGTGGTCACCGAAAAAGCGAGCTGCTTTAAGGCATTAAGGATAGAGGATTTTCCAGTATTTGGAAGGCCCGCGAGCAGCATCCAGCGTCCAATGCTGCCAAATTTGGGGGCTGGTGTTCCCAGCAACCACTCTGTTACAAGGTGAAGGCCATCCCTCGACCGAGCGGAGGCCAGGATACACTGCGACACACGAGCACGAAGCTTGATCCGACGTACCTACACGTACTATAAGACTGAAGAGGAATAGTAAAAAAAGTAGGCTTCCTAGCGCACAGAAATGAAGCAAGACAGGCACCCGCAGGCCCATGCAGGTGCAGCTGTAAGGCATGAGCACTTGGACACCTTGAGCCTAGACGATACGGCTCGAAAAAACCTTCGAATTACCTTGAGGCCTGCCGCCTGAAGAAGTTCTTGAGCCTTCTGAAGTAGAAGCACAAGAGGCAACTTCGTTTCCTGTGCCTTGGCCATATGTTCTCAAGGCATTCTGAACCCGAACCTTCCTTTACACGACAAAGGCTGTAAACTGTCTGCACAGATCTACGGCCCAACCCTTTCTGCCTACCTTAGCGTCCGAAGATTCCACAAGGTCACATTTGTTGAGCACAACGAGGCGTTGCATATCTTTTGAGGCCTTTAGGGGCTCCAGGCAGCCGCTTGAGGTCAGGGGCGCCCTCGCGTCCCTGACCTGCATGCAGCGCAAAAGCAAAACCACATCCACAATACTGTTCCCAGCATATTACTCGCAGAAGCCTCATATACCAAGCAGCACAATGGCCACACAAACAGTAGGGAAGGCCGGATAATACCTCAAGAAGGCAATCCAGATCCCCTATTTTCTTCTGTAACTGCAGAAGGCCCCGCGACATGTGCGGCGGAAAGTACGGGGTCCTCTCAGCATCCCGAGAAAACCATAAGCGAGGAGAGAACTCAGGATATTGATCTGTTTTCCTGAGGTAAGCCTCCTTCGGAGTGTCCTTCTGGGGGCCCCCCGCAGCGTCTGAGAGAGGCTTGCGTCTTTGAGCCCCTCGAGGGGCCAGCAGGAAGTCGCTGGCCAGGGGGCCACCAGAGGCCCCCAAAGATCGAACCTTCTGGGCGGCCTTTCCGCGCATTCAGGCTGGTGGTGGGGCCCCCTTCAAGGCAGCGCGAGCAGGTACGGTGAGGTCTTGTGGAAACAAGCGAGCTTTAGCACCGAGATAGGAGATCTACAAATACTCTGGAGAAGTGAAAGGCCACACATGTTGTGGAGAGCAGATAGAGCCACCAACAGGCAAACGAGGCCACACCATCGACGGACTGAACCAACCTTGTCACCCGACGCCTCCTATTGTTTTGATTGAAAGAGCAAATCCGGTGTCTTGATTTCCACTAAATATGAATAAGTTGCATCAGACTTAAGCAAAAATGGCCTCGAGTGCCGCCGGTTCTCCTCCACCGCCATTCTGGGGGCCCCTTGGGTGTCCCTTTCCATTGAACTAGGATCTTCCCGACTGCGGGGAGTGGGGCCCCCGTCGACAGTCCTCGGGGGGGCCGGATCTTCCACAAGCGATATTTTCATTCCGTGTCATTTGCCGTATCTCTGCAGTTCATTGCAGAAACGATCACTTTCCGGGGCCTCCTTTCCGGGTTAACCGGCGGGACTCTGGGGCCCCACAGGTCCAGAGAGCTTTGAGGCTTCCTTCACTGCAGTAGGGGCATTCACAACAGAATGGCTACCTCAGCGAGCTCCTTTGGAGCTGCAACTGCAGTGTCGCTGCACAAGGCGGGCAAGGCCCTAGAGGCTTACCTGTCGGGCTCCCTGGACTGCCAGCAGCTACTGGGGTGTTTTTACGCATCAGCTCCTGGGAGGCGCGCATTTATTGAGCAAGCTGTAGCATCGCAAACGGCAGCCCGACCGAAGCCTCTCCATGCACAACTTGCCGCCTTCGCCGGGTTGCTGTCGAGAGCTCTGGAGGCTTTCGCCGAAGCTGAAACGGCGGATGAGGGCCCCCAAGAAGGGCGGCTACCAACACAACCCCTCGAAGAAGTAGTGTTCGCAGGCATTTGTGCAACAGAATTCTGGCTGCAGCACGTGCAGCAGCTGATGGCACTCGAGACTGCAGCAGCAGCAGTATCCGTCGCAGATGGAGACGGTCCCTCAGAGACAGGCGTGGTGTATAAGGAGCTCGAGCGCCTAGTAGGCCCGATCGCTGCTGCAGCTGCAGCACCAAAGGTAGGGAAACTCCATCCCAATGCTTTTTCCCAACAGAGTAGGTGCTGCCGTGTCCGTCAGACCTGCAGCTGATTGCACGTCTACTAAGTGTATCTCTTGTGTTGCTGTGGTTGCTGATGACGCTGCAGCTGCCGCTACACACGCGAAAGACAGCTGTCGACGTGTTGCTGCTAATGGCTGTCATAGCACTTGGGGGTCCCGAGGGGGTCTTTCAGGGGGGGCCGCGTGAGCAGCGGAATCACACCCAGCAGAGTGGTGTGACAAGAAGGAGACAGGCTTTGCGGCGAGTTCTACGAAAGGCTCTTGACGGAATCCTTTCAGCCTCTGGGGAGGGAGCTGATGGGGCCTCAGATGCTATGCGGGTACGGTATTTAACCGAGCTAGTCGCTGTTGCAGGCGTCCCATCGCTGCTTGTGGTGCTGCTCTTCCCTTAGCGACTGCTACTTATGCTGCTGCGCTTGTGCAGGAAAAGGCGGTGGCCGCACTGCATACCATGCTGCACTGGCAAGGGGCGGCTCGGGGGCCCATGAGGGCTGCCCTGGGGCCCCTGGCTCCTGGCTTGCTTGGGATCGCCCAGAAAGGCGCACTAATGAAGTCAGACCTCACCGCCGCTGTGAGTCCGACACATTCAACCCTAGACCCTTTAGACACAAGTCTTCGATCACAAGCCTTTGGCACCAGAACATTGGTGCCAAGTATGCGCCAGATCCTTGAGAGTCTCTGAATCCGTGAGAGGTTGTGGATCCTCCCTCTGAGAAAGGAATTTGAGCCTAGAAGAGAAAGGTCCCCGTGTCCTTCCATCCGCCATATGTTCTGGGCTGGCTGCAGCTGGGTCGTTCGTTGCTCTGTCGCTTAACATGGATCTGGCGGCCTTCGCCTAGGCATGGGGATCAAGCGCAGCAGGAGCACCAGCAAAGGCAACTGCACTCTATGAGTGGCGGCTGTCTCTTTTCTGAAGTCCTTAACAGCGCACAGCAAAGTGTCAAGGGCCTTCTGGAGGCCTCCAATGCGCGCGCTCTCCATGGGGACTCTGCGGATGGCCCCCAGAAGGTCTTTTCTCAGGGTCCCGAACGCTTTCTCTTGCTGAGATCTCTTCAGCTTATCCGAGATCTTCTTCTCTGCGGTCCGCTACTGCTCATTCTGGTTCTCTTGCTGCTGATACGCACGTTCTGACCACCGCTGTCGCTGCTGACTTGTGGTGTTTTAGCGTCTTTCGCCGTCATCCTGGTGATTTCTACTCTGTCTAGGCGTTTAAATAGGCCTTGATGTTTTTAATGCCAATTGCGACGCTAATGCAGGCGGGGGCCAGACCTTCCCTCTTCAGGGCGCAGTTTCTTCTTCGCTCTCTCAGCTTGAGGCAGATGGTGGTCGCTTCGTGCTGCTTAATACGCAAAGTCTGGGAGAAACGCTTCTGGCTGCTGCTACCAGCTGCTGCGAGGTTTTTGCTGCCAGTGTCTCTGCCGCAGCAGCGACTTTGGCGAACAGTGCCACAAAGCACCCTTCGGCATCCGATACGCAGCTACAGCGGAGAAGCGAGGCATCACAACAGAAGGAGCCGCCGCCTACGCAGCAGAGGCCTACGAGGAGGGGTGGTAAGGGAAGTCAAAAGAAGTGGAAGAAGCAAATGCAGCAGTTGCAACAACAGAAGCAGCAGCAGCATGAGCCAGGTCTTCCGCCTCCTGTAGTCCTTGAGAGCAGCAGCAGCTCTGAGGGGGAGAGCAGTGGCGCAGGGAGTGCTGCCGACAGTGATAGCAGCACCGTCAGCGGCAAAAAGAAATGCGGGAAGCGCGGCAAAACCAATCATGGTAGCAGAGCAGCAGTAGCGGCAGCAGCAGCAAGCCTCATGGCGAGTCAGTTGGATGAGCTGTCTGAAGCTGAGCTGTCAGCAACGAACGCTGCAGCTCTAGAAGCTGCAGTGCAAGCAGCGGGAGCCCTTGCGGAGGTTGGAGGTTCTGGGGGTGTCCTACCTTGCTTGCAAGTTTTCTGCTCCTTCCTAGAGACGCTTCTTAGGTGGGCCAACACGCCTCGAGGTGCTAGGGGCGTCTTTGGTTAATTCCAAGATAATTGCAAAGTAGCTAGGTTCACAACTTCCAAAGCGTTGTTGTTTCCGCGCGCAGCTGTATGAGTGCGTCGTTCTCTTGTTGCACACCTTCTCATTGTATCAGATTACTCACTGTGATGTATCTTCAGAGCGCAAGTGCATTATATGACATGCGCTTCTTGTTTGACAATGCAGTGGCACATCTGAAACTTTGCTCACTTATTGGCCTCTCGGCTATGGCCGCAGGGAGGAGCTCTTTCTTGTGGTTGTCTGTTACTGCGTATCGATGCGGTTGCTCTATGGGCAGGGCGTTAGTGCGAGTATGCCTGCATGCATTGTTACCTTCCCCTTTACTGCCACATTTCAGCTGGCGAGCTAGCCGGCTGGTTCCTCATCCGGGTCTCTTTCTTCTCGCAAGCCGTATCATTGCTGAAAGTTCCAGTGAATCAGTGGCCTATACTGCCCCGCTTGCATGGATTCTGTGTCTTGTTTCAATTTTCGTCTGCTAATACTCTCGTTTCCTCCTCCTTTCCCTATCTGCATGTGCTGCGCGTTCAGCTCCTCGTCTTCTCTACAGCATTGTGTCTTTGCCATTCGCTTTGGGCCATGTCTTCTAGCATTTGTCCGGAGTCTACTACGGGGGGCCCCTGCCGCAGGGGCTCTTGTTTACAGGGTCTGTTCACGATACGCTGTTTCTGTTTGCCGCCAGCTAATCGTTGGCGCAAACTGGAGGTTCGGGGGCCTCATAGCTAGGCAGCTCACCCTCGCGGAGGAAGGGGGGCTCCCCTCCTTGCTCCTGCAAGCACGTCTAGCAATGCCGCCTGAAAGCAAGAACGGCAACCACAGGCAGCGCGAGAGTTCTAGCAAGGGTAAGGGCACATGTAACACTGCACGATCTGTACCCAGTCCTTCAGCGATGACCTCTGCAACGCCACTATCGGCAACAGCAAACCTAGAGAGTCAAGATTGGTATTTTTCTGCCTGTGGTATATCCGGGGGCATTGGTTGCTGCAGAGGTCTTTACAGGAGGTTTGCGTCCTGCAGCAGCCGAGGAGGCGCTCTGGGATGTTCATGCCCCCGATAATGAAGCCTTGGTGCTACTGAACCACGCGTGGTGTAGTACCTGTCGGCTACTGGAAGAGCTCCTATATGTGCAGGACGTCGCACTCGTAGGGTCCTCTGCTTTGCAGCTAGAGGCGTTTATCGAGGCCCTTGTCCTGGGAATCCTTGCAACGTATGTTTGGCAGGAAAACAGGGCAGTGTTGCTATTTGAACACGTGCTGTAGCTGTTGCCGCTGACGCCTGTATGGTTTGGATTGTTGCTTTGCATGAAGTCACTCTCGCGACTGTTGTTCATGCCGCGGTGACAGCTGCTGTTGCATGTGCAGTATTAGTCAGTTGTAAACGGATCCGACCTTTTCTTTTGTTCCAAAGGGCGTTGCGCTGTAGCGGCTTGCTCCAACTGAGTTGCCGTGCATGGATAGCAACCCCCTCTTCATGTAGCTGATTTGTTTCTTGACATTTATCGCTTTATGTCTCTGTGTGTCGTAGGAATCTGTCGTGGAATCCTTCGAGAGGCGACCAACCTCTCTTTGCCCATGTTATCCTCTCTGACCCCTTCTCTCTCGTTGCAGCCCTGCGTCTTCTAACTGCCTCCATTAGTAAGTCCAGCACACAGAACTTCCGTGTCGTTTTGTTCGAGCCAATTACAAAAGCCTCTAGGCCCAGCAGAGACACCACTTCACACTTTGTTGTACCCGTGGTACCCGATATCTACCCTTTTTTCTGCTACTCTCCATAAGGGCAGTGGGCCCTTCTTAGCAAGTAGAGTATAGAAGTTTGCATTTAGGTTCAAGCCGATCGGGTAGATGTTTTGGGTAGCTGGATGATTGCAAAGGAAAGGTCATGTCGTGTCCACACTTGTAGCATGACAAATGCTGCAGTCTAAGGGTTCTGGCTCTTCCTGTTTTAGGCGTGTGTCTCCCCCCATTGGCGACACTGCGCGCTGCAAGCTCCTTGCATGAGCAGTTGCTGCAGCTTTGCAGCAGCGGCCAGGGTCCTCTGCCTGGGGGATTCCGTCTTTCAAGCTGCTGGAGCCTGTTTGAAGTTCCTGGGGACGCCCACTTCAGCAGCAGCTGGTCCATGTTGCAGCAGGCAGCTGGGCATGGACCTGTAACCGCTACGGGGGCCCTGGAAGTAGCATTGACGGATCTGGGCCTTGCCATCAGAAACGCCGCATGCAGTAGGCAATGAACTCGTAAACCCTGGCTGTCATCTTTTTCCCGTTATGAGCCCCAGAACCGGCAAGTTCTAGGTGTGTAAGGAGGTCTAAGTTAGCCCGCTCCTGGGCTTACACTTGTATCCTGCTGGCAGCAGGAATGTTTGTTTGTTGTGGTGGTTTTGCCGCGCAGCACGAAGTACTGAAGGCGCAGCGGCTGCGGGTGAGGCAGCCATAGAGGCAGCTGACGGTTGCGCATCTCGGTTCATCCTTAGGCCTGAGCAGCTGCAGGTCTACCAGGACACACCAGCGGGTGGCCCGAAGCCAGCAGCAGCTCTTTACAACACGTGCTTTTCCAACAGTTTGAACTTAAGCGCCCCTAAAGTCTTGGGCGAGCCTTCTCGCCAAGGAGCTGGCAGTTGTCCACAGGGGTCCCTTTGGACTTCAAAACGTAGCTCAGCCTCCGTCGGGGGACTTCGAGATATTGCAGGTGCCCACGCAGCCTCAGAAGCTCCCGGACCCTCACTCGTAACTAAGGGGCATGGAGACAGTGTCAGCGAAAAGTGTGACACTCCGGATGTCGGTAATGGGACGTACAGCAGAGCTGCAGCTAATGCATCTTTGTCTGCTGTTGGGGCTGAACCACGGCGGTCCACGGAGGACCTCACGGAGCGAAGTGCCTCGTTTCCTCCTCAGCAGCAACACCAAAACACACCTGGCCTCTTGTTGGGAGGAAGTTTAGTTTGCGGTGAAGTAGAAATAGAAGAAAGTGGGAAGAAGCTGTGCAAAAGGCAGAGGCGAGAGCAGGGGCATGTATCCCTCAGTCGTAGTCCGTCTCCTTACCCAGTAGTCATTCAACGGGGAGATGCGAGATCCGATGACGAAGTGGTCATTCTAGAAGACACTACTTCGCATTCTGCGCCCAAAGATAAAAGGAATAGATTTTCTGAAGGACGCGCTGCTGGAGAAGATCCCGCTATCCGGCAGCAACAACTGCCGCAAGCAACGCAGCAGCAACCGCCAGATGTCTCCGTTTCCGCAGAGGCTCAGGCGAGAGCTAGACTTAACAAGCTAGTGCAGTGTGCGTCCTCGTTTCCCCCTCTCCGCCTTACCCCAATTGAGTACAGTTGGGAGATGTAGGGAGCGCAGGAGCATATTTGTTTGCTGCCTCTGTTGTACTTCCCTCAGCGGCCTCAACAGGATCAGACCGCAGACCACCGCCCTACACAGCTCATGAGTATAGAAGAGTACTGCCGTGGCGTCTATCTTATTCAAGGGGAGCCAGTGGGGGTGCTTGTTTTGTGTGCGTGTGTTCAGCGGATTCGGACTTGTCTGACTGAAGGCGCCTGCCTCCTTGCTGTATATGCTTCCCTGTTGGGCCTCCGAAAGGGAGTCAGCAACGCCATTATAATAAAGGGTATATTTATTGCCTAAAGGGTACGCTTCTGTGCAAAGGGAGGGGCTGCAGAAGCGTCTACTTGTGAGCCCTACGTAATGAACACAACATAGCGTAATAAAAAGTTGCACACCCACCACAGGGAATACCGACAACCGACGCCATCAAAGCATCAAACTGCTCTTTCAGAGCATCACTTGTGCTTTAAACAGCAGGACGCCAGTAAAGTAATACAGATTTTGTGCTAACTTGCAAACACAAATTTGAAGAAGGTACTTCTTCGTTCATCCCTCATCCCTCTGCTAATCTTTGTGTCTCCGTGGTTACATGTGTACCAGTCTACGTACTATCAGGGCAGTAACGCTTAGGGCTCTTCCTGTCTGCTCTCGATACTTGCGGCAACCACAAATCACAGAAGTCCCCAGATGGACGAGGTAATCGGACTAACTGCTGGCAGGCGGTCGGAGCTGTGAGGAGACAGAGAATGGAAAATGCAGGGATGTGCAGACACGTGTAGGGCAACAGAGACTGGCAAAAAGAGGGGATTGCAGAAAGGGTCGGAAGTAGAAACTAAAAGGTTACAGCGAAATTCCTTCTCGTACAGGAAAGATCTTCAGTCCTATGAATCTGTACTTGTCAAGGCCAGGACAGTCTTAAGCCATAGGGTCTAGTTTCAATCAAATACTCCCCATTTCACCCTCAAACATATATGGATTCCACGACTGGCTCCCTCTCGGGGGATGGCATCATAGTAGGCGATGAAAGGAGTGTGACAAGCTTAAATTTAGGAGCCCGCCTCTTCGTTACCGCTCTACTGCGGAGCATTTACCATATAAATACATGACGAAGCTCTGTGATATATCATGACTTGCGCCAACTGTGACAAGCAATGTATATCAACTGCGGTAACAGGCTCCTGCATTTCACCCTCGAAATGCACATGCTCACGGAATGTGCTTACAGGTTGCGGCATTACCAGCCCGAACTCCGCAGAACTGCAAATAAAACAAAATAAGACATGCACAAGACTGAAGTAGCACCAACCTTCCAGCCAAACAAACAAGGACATGCAATGTCCTTCACTGCCTTGCCCGATGCTCTCGGGCATTGTTGCTGTGTGCGACCCTCATCCCAGAACTCCACCCCGCTAAGCATGAACATGCCACAGATTATCCCCCAGCAAATCATGGTGCATCAACAAGCTACAAATTTAGACGAGCAGTAGCCTGGGGTACCTGGTCAGAGAAGATTTTTGCACTGGAACGCCTGGATGCTCCCTAAAAGGCAATTAGAATAACGCACAGTAAAAGAGCTATTGCCACCTTTGTGAATATGCTTCCAGGTACTCTGTGCTGCTCGCTAGTTCGACTTTTGCGCTTGGACTTTATTTGGCTACTCTGGAGCAAAAGGTAGCCGCCTGAGCCCCGCGTCCTCCCCGCCCTTATTTGCACCTTATTCAAACAAAAACTGTTAGATAACTAAGATTACTTGTGATTCGGAAGCTAAAATATCCAGGGGGCCTCACCACGGGAATTTGGCTATCAGGCTTTAGAGTACCCGTTATAGGATTTAATATATTAGATTGGTGGGAAATCCGGTTCAACTTCTATTATATTTCCGATATTTCGACTTCACAGCATTATAACCTTTCAACCTCAGGGTAGGGTAACCAGGGTTACGAGATTTTGAAGGCTGCTCTAAGGATGCAACATGAGCATTTCTGTTGGGGCTCACAGTTACGATGGTTCATCAGGCGCTTTTTCTTGTTCTCACCGTCTCTGTGCACACGCCCCGAAAATCGCGAAGAAGATTAGCAGGAGTGAGCCTGCTCCCATCACGATCCAGAGGATGTTCAATTGGCCAATATAATCTCCAACAGTGTGAGGGACAGGCAGTGTTTTGTCCTGCGGAGAACAGCAACCAAAACCAAAACCTGTTCGATAATGCGCTTGATCAAAAAAGTGTATTACGCAAAGACCTTTAACTTGCAAACACTGATTTCAGTAAGCTAACTACTACGAAATGGATAAAGCTGCCGCCGCACTCTCTTGTGCTGCAGGGTGTGCGTTGCCAGCTCACACTCAGTTTAAGGTTTCAACATCAAAATCGAGAGATAGATCAATGAATGATGACAAGCAGACCAGCATCCAATGCACACTTCTTATTTATAAATGAACAAACTTGTCAGGGGGCAGGGATATGTGCCGAATGAGGCCTTATGATTAGCAAATATGGAGCCCTCACAGTGCTATCAATCGACGCCCGCATCTTCCATCATAAAGAACATTCGATCGGGAAAGCAGAGAGCTTCTAGGAGGCGTCGTGTAAAGCCCTTACTAGGGCGAAAAGAGAAATGGATAAGACCAGAAAGGATCCAGGGCGAGGGGGCGCAAGGGATGCAAAACCAGCTGGGGAAAACTTTCTCGCTGATAGCGAATGAGCTGTAAAGCCACCCTTTGCATGAGCTGTAACAATAGCTGGGCACAGTAATTCGATGAGATAGGAGGGGAGAAAGGCTTGGAGGCAACGGCCAACTCGAAGGTGCCAACAGCTTGCTGGCGAGGTGAAGCGGGTTCGTGTCAAGCTCCGATGAATATACACCAAAAAACAGAATGAGAGACGCAATCGGAGCCACTTATTGAAGATTTGAACCAGAAGCTCCTTCCCAAAATCAAGACGGAGAATTAAATTAGTTCGCCCTGTCCCACGAGTACTCAGTAGGAGAACCACTGAAAGATACAGCAAGAAAATCAACAGATCCACCCAGAGAACACCCCGAAAGGAACGTTGAAAAAGATTATCAGTACTTTGACTAATGTGAATGGAAGTAAGCGAAAGGAGTTAGGACATGAGCTGCCACTTTGCCTTCGGCTGCATGTGTCCTGCTCCAAAAACCTTCTAGGCAGAGGGCATCTTCCTGCTCCTGTCCAATATGTGACTAATTAGAGACTTAACAAAATTTGATACGTGTGTCGGTATTTTTTGTGCGTAAACCCACCCATAAGCATGAAACGGGGTTGCATTAATAGAGCCGCGCAGTGAAATTGCTGTGCACAGACAGGCAAGCCGCTTCATTAGAAAGGGTAGCTAATGAACCCAATCAGCACGAATTCCACTACACAGCCCGCAATACACACAGCTCTAAGTACACCCCTCTTAGTGATAATTGTTTGTAATAGTCAAGTCCGTCAAATGGGGTTGCTGGTGTGCTGTTCTGTGCACCGCAGAGCACTGCGGTACCGGCTGTGTTCACTAGAGAACTACCTGCGCTTTCTAAAAATCACTCAGTGATAGCTGACAGGCCTCAGAACTGTGCATTTAGAGCAACAAAACAAGCTAGGAGTGCACTGCTACGCCAATGTTAGTGACTCCGTGCGCCTGCAACGTTAATCGCAGTCTCCGTAGGGAGACCCTCAGGCTTAAAAGCGCTCTGAAAGATTACGTAGAAGTGTGACCGTCTTATTGAAAAGTTAGATATCTTGTCGATATTATTTTGTGGGGCTTCTATCTGGAGGAGTGAAAAATAACCTAGGTGCATGTGCCGCACCCTGGGACCGCTGTGTTGATGCCAACACAGCAACTTGGGCTGCAAAAGTATATTTGTTTAATTTCTATCAAGTTAGCATCTAAAAACATTCAACTGCAACTTATCCAAGTAGTGGCTGTAGGTTTCGACTGTTATTGTGCGATATTTGTGGCATAATCTAACAAAGTCCCGTGCTGTGAAATTGAATTGCGTGTGCCGGTAAAGTGTGCACCCTGCACGGCCTGATAATGTAGGCCCCTCGCGGATTTAACATTGCAAGGAAATAAAAGGCCCTGCAGGCGCTGCCACTGGGAAGCACGCAGGACAAGCCTGTGTGCCATACTCTACTCTAGGGAGTTTGTCGAAGGCACATCAAATCTCGGGAGAAGTTTATTAATTGTCTCTTCAGACGGGTTTCCCTTCCCTGGACCTTGCCAAAAGCATTATGTCGTGAATAATGGTAGAAAATGATTAGGGTGCACTTTGGTGCATCCCCTACGGCACCACTCTATGAAATATAATATATAAACGGCAAAGGCATTCAGTCAAAACTTAGTGGTACCCTGATGCTTCATAGTGCAACTGTAGCACCGCTTCCAAGGCCTCTGCATAAAGAACCTTTACGCTGGCATCAATATAAGCTTAATCGAATGCTCCCCACAAAAGAGCACCCTTCTTCACCTGCACGCCCCCATGAGAGCTCTGGCCACAAAGGGCGTATTTGCATGCAGAACTTGCTCCATGAGGTACAAAGGCACTGCACTGCTAAACGAGTGCTTTTCTGACCTCATTTTCACATTTTACTGCTCTTCATTCTCATCATAGCGGGAGGCTCAAACATTTCAGCGGTCCGATGTTAGGGACCCATCTGGCCGATGCAGTCAAATTGGACTAGGCACTCTTTCTTGTGGCCAGTGTGTGTGTCCTTCTACTTACTCTCTTAATTTTTCAGGTGATGCATGCGTCTGCTTCTCCCATTCGCAGTGTTCACGCATTTCTGCCTGCCTGGGGATTGGTAGATCATGAACTTTTCCGCTTCTTGGCAAGCAATTGGTCTCGACGAATAGGTACGGACCACGAGAAAGTGTGCCTTTTGATGATGGAAGGAGCTGTAGCCGGCTAAGTTACAATTATACGCCGTCCACTACACCTGCATACTTTATAGAAGAATATGTAGAGAATTGAATACTCGTTTTTTGGGTTACTATGTCTCCTCTTTACTGCATAGTACTGTTATCCCGACACGAGTAGGAGCAATGTGGTGTGCCTACCTGCTAGATGCAAAGTGCATATGGTTGTGAATCCTGGAAGCGGATCAAATAATGAAGTTTTGGTACCCTAGCTGTCCGTCTTCTCCCATTGCCAAAACTCTGAGGAAGGTGGGTAGGGACACGTAGTTCCTTAGAGAAACACTGGAT